TTTTTGCTTTTGAATTAGTACGTTTTTACTAATAAATAGTAATTTCTATTAATTTAATTGTAAAATTTACTAATTCAAAAGCAAACAGTCAAACACTAGTTCAAATTAATTACAGTAGAGACTCCATTATCCGGATGACTAATGGATGCAGGCACTTGTCCGGATAATCGAAAATCCGGATAATCGAGTAAAGTACGAATTAAACAAATTTTGGATTCATAATTTTATGTATTTATTTGCATATGTATTAAAATAAGACTGAAACAAACTAAAACTTTTAAAGTCAACATTAATAAATATTTAGTTAGAAATATTTCAAAATATTTACATAAACATTTTCTTAAAATAATTAAAACACTTTAAAACGCAACATTTCGTGTAAAGAAATTCAAAATAGAAGTTAACGGCTTGAGACCTTATAAACTTTATATTAAAAAAAAAAAAAATTAATTTTAAATTTGTCCGGATAATAGGGGTCCGGATAATGGAGTCTCTACTGTAGTTAATTTTCACTAATAATAAGTTAATTTCTACTAATAATTAGTTTTTTTTACTAATAATTAGGTTTTTATATTAATGTTTAAAATAATTAATAATCTTTCAAGTAATAATTAATTACTCTTTTAATTTGAATTAGTAAAAAATGTTTACTAATTTGACCTTACTCTATAAATTTGAATTAGTAAAAATGTTTACTAATTAGAATTAGTGACTGATTTTTGCTTTTGAATTAGTAAATTTTACTAAAAATTTAATAGAAATAACTAATTATTAGTAAAATTTACTAATTCAAATACAAAAAGTCAGTAACTAATTAAAATTAGTAAAGATTTTTACTAATTCAAATTTAGAGAGTAGAGACTATAACTTTTTGTTTCTGAATTAGTTAATTTGAATAATAAATAGCAATCTCTAGGAATTTATTACTACATTTTATTAATAAACAGCAATTTATAATACTTAATTAGTATATTTACTAATAAATAACAATTTCTACTATTTTATTAGTAAAATTTATTAATAAATAACAATTTTTACTATTTTATTAGTAAAATTTGCCTGTAAATGTTAATTTCTACAAATTTTTTATTAAAATTTACTAATTCAAATACAAAAAGTCAGTACCTAATTAAAATTAGTAAAGATTTTTACTAATTCAAATTTAGAGAGTAGAGACTAACTTTTTGTTTTTGAATTAGTTCATTTTTACTAATAATTAGTTATTTCTACTAATTTATTACTACATTTTACTAATAAATAGCAATTTATACTAATTAACTAGTATATTTACTAATAAATAACAATTTCTACTATTTTATTAGTAAAATTTACCTATAAATGTTAATGAGTGATAAGCGTTAAATCCTTCCATAGTTTAATTGTTAGTAGTAAAATAAATGATCATGGGAAGGTGAAGAATTGAAAAATTCAATGTTAATTTCTAATAAATTTTTATTAAAATTTACTAATTCAAATACAAAAAGTCAGTAACTAATTAAAATTAGTAAAAAATGTTACTAATTCAAATTTAGAGAGTATATAATTAATATTGAAAATAATTTTCATACCATTTAGATATATTTAAAAAAGTAATGGCAAAGTATATCATTAAATGACGCAGTGCTCTTAATTCTATTGACGCTCATTCGGCGAAGTTAATCAGGTAAAGTTTCAAACAATGTGATGAGTCGCAGATGCAGAATCAGTCCTATGCAATAAAATATAGCTATACATATAGAGAATATTTTCCACCATATTCAACTGCGCCTTTCTATCGTAACCGGTCATTTGAAATTATTACGCTTTATGTGCATTATTACGCTTTACAATATAAGTTCAATAATATTGGAAAATTTTATATATGTAAATTAAAGCGTAGTTTTAACCGGTGATAATGACACACGTGCAATAAGGATAACGGAGGAATCCTGCGCTCAAGATCAAATTTAACCACAGATGAACCTACCATAATGGAATCCATGAAATTCGATATACACTCGAAATAATCTAAAATTTCAAATAGTACACGTCAAATATTTCTATTTTTATTTAATTCTATAAGTGTCAAGATCACTGAAAATTTAAACATCTAATTTTAAAAATTACACTCAAATTTAAAATTGTAATTATCAAAATATTCAAAATTATACTAATTTCCAAATTCTAATTTTCAAAATTACTTGTATATTATAATTAAAAAGAAAAAGAACCTTGAGAATTAATTTTTTTTAACAAAAAATTATAATTAATCACGTTTGTATAAAAAACCGTATGTGATGAAAATTTTAATATTATTAAATATTCTGCGAATATAAGAACAAAATATACTTTCTGAATTTAACTAATGATATATACTCATGCTAATTTTTAAAACAACTAATTAAAAAAAATTCAATTCATTATACAATTAAACTCAATACGTGCCAAAGCGTTAGATAATAAATGAAAACAGACCAAAAGATGTTTAATTGTTCTTTAAAAAGCGACAATCAAATTTTTATATTTTTAATCCTCTATTTGTATTTCCTTAAATACAATTCGAGGAAATAAATCATTTTTCTTATGTAAAAAAGATTTTGAATAAAATTATTTATTCAATTCAATAATTTATAAGAATATTATTATTATAAAACAAGAAGAAATTGATCACTCCGGGTAAATAATTTATTTAATAATTGAATGTTTCTCAAAAGTTAAATTCTCTTAAAGAATTTTATCAAGAAATTTTTAAATAATTAAATTCCTTCGACGAACTTTAATAATTTCTAAGAATAATTACACTTTTCGAGGAATTCAATTAAAATTTTATTAAAAATCATTGAAATTTTGCGATGAGTTTTATTATTTATGAAAATAATTGAATTCCTGTAAAAAATGTTATTATTTATGAAAATAATTGAATCCCTGTAAAAATTTTTATTACTTATTAAAATAATTGAATTATTGCAAAAAAATTTATAAAAAAAAAATTTAAATAATTGAATTCTTTCGACAAATTTTAATAAAATTTTTAAGAATAATTACACTTTTCGAGGAATTCGATTACAATGTTATTAATAATTGAAATTCTGCGATGAGTTTTATATTATTTTTGAAAATAATTGAATTCCTAAAAATAATTTTTTTATTTTTTTAAAAAATTGAATTATTTATAAAAATAATTAAATATTTGCGAAGAATTTCATTAACATTTTTTTTTAATAATTGAATTATATTGGAAAATTTTATTGAAATAGTAGATATTTTAAAAATAATTGAATGGAGGGTAATTTTTAAAAATATTTGAAATTTTCCTAAGAATTTTAATAAAATCTTTGAAAATAATTGAACTTTGGAGATGAATTTTATTATTTATAAAGATAATTAAAATTTTGACGAAATAATTAAAAAAAATTTTGAACATAGGTAATTGAATTTTTGCGAAGAATTTAATTATACTTTTGAAAATAATTGAATTTCGGAAATGAATTTTATATTATTGTTTATAAAGATAATTGAAATTTTGAAGAAAATATTAAAAAAAATTTTAACATAATTGAATTTTTGCGAAGAATTTTAATTATTTTGAAAATAATTGAATTTTTGTAATCAGCTGTTGTTAAAATTTCTATTTAAATTCATTAAAAATTGATATTTTGAAATAAAATACGAAATAAAATAAATTAAAAAAAATAAAATATTTTCTAAAATTTCAAATTGAAACTATTGAAGTTAATCTATTTCTGAAAATTGTAAACACAATTCTTTTAAAAATTTAAAATTCAATTAATTTTGAAATAGTTAAGGAAAATTATTCAATTAATAATTCATAAGTCATATTTTTATAATAGTTCTTTAAGAATTAAGTTATTTAAAAAGAAAAAAATTATTGTCAGAAATAGAAAAAGTTGAATGTTTTGTATAAGAATTCGTGATAATTTCATAGTTTATCAGGCAAACAGAAAAGACACCAAAATTCAGAATTTTCTTATGAATTCTAAAAATTTAATTTTTTCCAGTACTTTTAATAAAAATCCTTGACCTTTCCCTGATTTTCCTGATCAATTCTATTTTCTCTGACTTTTCCCTGCATTCCCTGACCTATGGCAACCCTGCAGTGACAGTATTCTTACGATTTGAATCAGTGAACTTAAATAAATAAATAAAAAATAAAGATCAGTTAAAAATGTCTGAAATTTCAGTAATTTTTTACTGATTTTCAGTAAATTCACTGAATTCAATTTTAGAGAGAAATTATCAGTAGAAATATTACTATTTGAATTAGTCACTGAGTTTTTACTACCGAACTAATTTATTTTTACCTGACTCAAATTAATCATTATAATGATTAGTTTGAGTCAGTTAAAAATAAATAATAATATATATATTAATAATTTATATAAATAAAAATTAAAAAAGAGAAAGGTGAGAGAATGAACACATTTCTCAATATTAATAATCAAAAAAAGATATTTTTCACATTCCCTCTCGATATCAAACAAAAAAAATTCCAAAACTCAAAGATTATTCTAAATCAACAAAGGAAAAAATGATTATTCACAAATAAACAAAAGCTTTTTTATCCATCAGAATATTGTAAATTCTTTCACATTTATAAATAATTCACTATCACTTATAAATAATTTATTCATCAATGCGAAAAAATTCCTTCTTATAATAATTGAATTCTTTATTTATTATCTAAACATTTCAGAAAGAAGAAAACACCGAAACACCTTTTACGGTATATAAATACATTTCTTTTTTTGCCTCAAAGAAAAATTATGATAATATACTTGTAATAATATCAAAAAAAGGCCATGCGGAAAATGTTGATTGCCTACCGGTAGCTTCTTTTATAAGTCATTATATTATCTTTAAATATATACATATATCTATATGCACGATAAGCGAAGAAGCATGAAGAAGTTTTATGAAGAAGAAGGCTGCGAGGGTGGAGAGGAGTGACTGCCACGAGGGTGGGGATTTCAAAGATTAAAGTTACGCGCCTAGCAAAGTCGTGCTTTGCTTTAGTTGAGAATTGGCTACAAAGCGTATACGTATTGAGGTTTGGTCCATTTCCCTCAATTCAGAGCTTTGTAACAGAACAATTTTTTCCGCACAGAAAAAAATCTTTATAACAGAAACTTACATTGAAATTTAGTGATAAAATAAAATTAAGCATTAAAAATAAATTAGAAAAAAATTATGTTAACATAAAATCGAAAAAACTTTTTTTTATTTTCTCTCACATTAATTTTGAGATATTTTTTTCCGCTGATAAATTTTTTTTCTTTTTTGCAACGAAACGAAAAAGTCAACAACAATCGATTTCCAAACACTTGTGGATGTCAATGTCCAAGTGCACACGTTTTCATAAGAACTTTCTGAATGAAACACATTTTCCAATTAGAGGAGAAACTATGAGATCGTGATTCTTGAAACAACTCTTAGAACCAGTTGGTAAGTCCAACAATTCATGTAGATTAAATATTAACTATGTAAATTAAAATACAATTCAAGTTATCTTCCATTGTCATCGCCTTACATTCAATGTGAATTAAAATTCATTATTTATTGTTATTCCACTAAATTAAAAAAATATGCTTCATTTCCTTCAAACATTACTTATAGAAAATAATTCTTTTGTTTTCCGAAAGCAAACTTTATTTTAGTAGAGTTTAAAAATAAAAATACTTTTTAAATTTACTTTTTCTATTTTTAAAACCTGTAATTAATTTTTTTCATAAAATAATAAAAAAAATAATACACGAAAAAAGCATCACCTGGAACTGCTACAAATTTCATTATATTAGCGAAACTTTTAGTTGCTTTAATTAAAACTTTCGCTATTTTAAAGAAACTTATCGCTGTTTCCAAGTAGCTTTTTTCGTGTAACAAAAAATGGTAATAAAAATAATAAAATAATAATAAAACAATGGCTATAATAAATATAGTGATAATAATAATAATAATAATAATAATAATAATAATAATAATAAAAATAAAAATAATAATAATAATAATGATATTAATAAAAACTGAATAATATTAAAAGTAATGATAAAAAATTATAGTAAATACAATGTCAATAACAAAAATAATAACAACAACAAAAATGCTAGGAAATAATAAAAATAACAAAAATAATTAAAATAGTCATAATAATAATAGTAATAATAAAAGTTTCCCTAAAAAAATTCTCAAAAATGGTCCAATTCGTGTTTTTTACACGTCATTCAGTTTTCTTTGTAGTTTGTTTAACAACTTCCTGAACACTAATTTTGAATAATAATATAATGTAAAATAATTGACACTATAAAAGAAATACAATTGATAAAGGAAAAAAATATGACAAACTACAAAAAATTGCAAATTTTCCAAAGCTTTATAATTATAAATTATGGAATTTCATTCGAACCGGCATTGTAACGCACGTGCATCGTTTACATATATATATATATTTCTTTACTACACTAACTTTGATTGTGCGAGACTCACGTGCGTTCCACACAATGACGACTCTTTTATCGGAATCTTGAATAAATCTTTGAATCGACTATATAGTGTAAATGAGAATGATCATTGAATTAATTACAAACACTGAATAAGATTTCCTGTTCTATATATAAATTTTACTATATTTACATATTATAGTTTCCTATATTTACATCCATTTATTATAGAAAGAAAACAATACTCATAACATAATAAAAAAAAAATTGCAAAATTCAAATAAAAAATTAATAATAAAAATAATAATAATAATAATAATAATAATAAAAAATTATTCCCCCAAAGACTTGAACATTCAATTGAACGAAATATTTTTTTAGTATTCCAATATTTTTAAAACTTACTAAAATGAAATAAAAAATTATTATTATTATTATTATTATTATTATTGTAATCGAGTATTTATTTAGTTAAACGTTAATTTTTTAATTATAAAAATATTATAAGCCTCTTCTCTATAAAAAACAATATTTTGTAATGAAATATTATTGAAGTTAAAGTTATAAGAAAAAAAAGTATTGTCGTTCGTTTGAAGGTTCGAAACTTCTCTATAAATTTTAAAAGTAAAAATGTTTACTGATTTGAATTAGTGTCAGACTCTGCTTTTGAATTAGTAAATTTTATTAATAAATAGTAATTTCTACTAACTAATTTATAAGTAAATTTTCATTTTAATTTCATTTGAATTATTAATTTTAATTTCCATTAATTCTACTAATGAATAGTCATTTCTGCTATGTTATTAATAAATTTTACTAATTCAAAAACAAAATTTCAGTAACTAATTCAAATTAGTTAAAAATAAAATATAAATATTTGTAATTTAAATTTTTACAAATAGTTAAATAAATAATTTACAAATAATAATACTATAAATATAATAATAGTAATAATAATAATAATAATAATAAAAAAAAAAAATATTAAATATTTTTATTATAAAAATAAAAAAAATTGGCAAAAGAAAATAACTATATACACTAAACCAAATAGAAAATTGATACATATATTTACACAAGCAAAAAATATTCCAACAGAAAAAAAACTAAAAAAAATGCCTTTTTTCCTTAGAGAATTGGATACATTTTTCGTGAAACAAAAACTTGTGTAAATATTTTTTTTATAAATATATTCAACATTCTGGGAAAACTTTATTCTAAATTTAGGAATAAACCTTGACTCTAATTTTAAAAGTCAAATATTTCTATTATAAATATTTAATTTAATGTAAGAATTTGCTTTTTCTTCAAAGAATAATATAAATTCTTACTTTTGTATATGGTTTCAAATATGAAATTTCATGAAGAAAATTGTCTGAATTTGACTCCTGTAAAGAGCGAAATGAGGACGATTTTTTTTACAAATGAGAGGCGACGTATTTTTTTCTGTAAATTTAGAATGAAATTTTTTCAATGTTTTCTAAAAGTTTAATACTATTATTTATTTATTATGCACTGACAACAAATTTATTTTATTGAAATAAACTCGAGTACATATCTGTTTTTAAGTTTTTATCAAATAAATATTTATTCGAATTAAATAATTTTTAATTAAATCAATTTGAAAAATTTTTGCTTCAAATACCGAAATTATTGGTTCAAATAAAATTTATTTGATTTTAATAAAAATTATCTAGTTCAAGTAAATATTTATTTGACAGTAAGACAAGTAATCGGTTATTTGAATCAAATGTTTCTAAAGTTTTGAACTTTCAATAATTGAATGGCGATATTTTTAGCACTTCTGTTAAATTGTATATTTGTCTAAAAAAATATTTTGTTAATTAAAAAAATTAACTTATAAGGAAGAAAATTTCCTTATAAGGAAATGTTTAATTTACATTATTTCTTATTACACTATAAATATTACTAAAATAATATAAATCAAAATATTATTAATAAATATTATTAATAAAAATTCTATTATTAATAAATTTCCTTTAATTTGAACATTCAAACTTTTGGGAAAATAATATAAATCAAAATATTAATATAAATATTACTAAAATAATGTAAATTAAAATACAATTGTAATAAAAATAAAAAAGCAAATTAAAAATTAAAAAAAAATTTCCTTTAATTTGAACATTCAAACTTTTGGGAAAATGAATCAAATACATTTATTTTCAGTGTATATTTAGTTAACATAATTGAATAAATTTAAAGAATTGGTAACAAATATAACTTGATTAGAAAATTATAATATTAGGGTATAAATAAGTTTTCTAATTGTTCGCAAAGAGAATAATAAGAGAGCTTTACGGGTTATTTAAAATCTTCAAATGAATATAATTTCAGGTAGCGGAACTGTCTTCCACTAAGCGTAGCGTCAACCCATTTGAAGTTAGTGCGGAGACAGTTTATCTTTTTTTTCTTTACTATTCTTATTCTCGCGGCCTTTTAGACAGTAGTTAAAAATATTACTGTTAACAATTAACAAACACTTCCAATAGATTCACATTTTTTCCCCATCAAAAGTTTGCTTTTAAAACAAAAACAATATATCATTAAATAAAATTGACTGTTAAAGCGCACTAAATTTTCTAATTTTATTGTTCCCATAAAACAAAAGTTCGATAATTTTTAACTGAATTTCCGATTTCTAATCTATATTTCCGATTCGATTCAAAACAATTTACGAAACTAAACTAAATAAGTATTTTTTAAAAATAAATTAAACTCTCTTTAGATAAAAATAATTAAATTTGAACTCTATTTTGAAAATAATTTTTACTGATTCGAATTTAAAGCGAGTAAGAAGGAAATTTATCATTTCGAAGACAATATATATTAACAAAAATATTTTCACATAATAAGAGCACGTAAGATGCTAAAATATTTCACACACATAAAATATTGCGTTTATAAATTTTTTTTTTTCTTCAAAGTCGTAATTTTGATTTCCGTTTTAAATAACAAGAATAAATATTAATTAACCCATAAAGTACTCTCTCTTGAAAAGTATAAGTAAATTATAAATAAGGAACAAAATGCGTATAGAGAAACGCAAATTTACAAGAAAAAAAAATTACTATATGCATACATATTTTTTTACGGGAAGAGTTAAGAAGATGAAACTCATCTTCCAGTTTAACTCTTCCTTTCGAATAAGATATAATGTATGAAAAAAAAAATTATCTGAAAAATCAGTTGAATTACAGAAAACTCTTATATTACATGTGCGTCACGGTCACAAGCACGAGAGTGAATTGATGTTTAACCACGTACGAATCATGTACATATGAAAAGATGCGTTCGAAAATGAAAGCTTATCTATATTTAAAAGAAAAAAAAAGTGAAGAGCACATTAAGGAATTCTTAGAGCAAACATATTTGCTTTATTATTGAATATACTCTATTGTTTCGCAAATTAATAAATATATTACGAATTTGTCTCTTATTTTCGCAGAAAAAAAAATGTTTAACAAAAATAGACAATTTCACCGCATTTTTGCAAAAGTTTTTTTGAAAAAAGATAAAAATTGTGGGCTTTTCCGAAAAATCAAACAATTTTTTTTCTATTCAGAATAGATTATTAATTATTATTATTATTAATTATATATTATTATTAATTATTATTATTATTTTTTTTTAAATTTAGCGTGGTCTTCATGAAGTTTTTTGGCTTTGAAGTTTACAAAAAGTTTTCTTCTCTTAATTTAATTTTTATTCATTTCCATTATGCAATTTGTCATTTAATTGAAATACAAAGTTTTTTGCTACAAACATTAATTAGGTAATAAATAAAGAAAAAATATTAAATATTACATAAAATAAAAACAAAATAAAAATTTACTTGTAAACCTTTTATAACTATATACATCTACTTAAACAGACATTGACGTTTAACCCTGACTTTCAGAATTATTTTTTATATTGTGCAGAAATATGCAGACTTTTAAATGTTCTCGTTAACGATGCGAGTTCATTAGTCTATAAATTATTACTATACAGAACAACTAACTCTAATCTTAAAGCAATTTTTTTTAATAGCGAAATAATTTTAGATAATTAAGAACGGAGTTCTTAATTGAAAAAACTTAGACTCTTCTTAACAAAAACTTAAGAATATAGTATTCTTAATCCATTTTCGAAAAAATAGCAATTCTCTTATCAATCTCTCTAACTTAATTTAAATTACTTTTTCCGCCAATACACAATAATCACTATTTAATTAATTTTGAACATGAAATTAGAATTTACTTTTTTCTCGCGCACCAATTTAATTTTCATTTCATCAATATACCTTGATTTCACTAAACAGCTGTTCTATATAAATTACTCATGTAGAAACCAAAAAAAAAAAAAGTTCTGTGTGAATAGTTAAAGTTAAATGGAACAATAAAAGAATGTCGAAGAATCAAGAGAGTCTGCACGCTTCATCTCTAGAGAAAATTAGTATTATTTGCTTCGCAAGACAACACCGCGATAATACTTTTTCTCTAGATTTTAATACAAAATAAATATTTTTAAGAAAAATTTAATAAAATTTAAACAAAAAATTAATAAAATTTTAAAAAAAAATTAATAAAAAGAAGAAAAAAGTTAATAAAAAATAGAAAAAAAATTATAGAAAGTAATTGGCTAAAACTGCAGTTTTTCTGCAGATATCAAATTGAGATAAAAAAGGAATCAAAAGTGTTGCGAAGCAACATTTTGATTCGTTTTTTGTCTCAATTTTATATCTGCAGAAAAACTGTGATGACAATTTTCCATTTTTCCATTTCAAACATTATAATTATGCTCAGAGGGAAAATTTCATTTTCAATGAACAAAATTTTTTTAAAAACCATACACGCATATTATGCAAATATTTTTTTTGCATTGAAAATATTTTAAATGAATAAATTCGACGTCAGTAAAAAGTCATTGACATATGTTCGTCGGTCATTCAATCTCATCTTTTGAAAGTTTTAAATTCCGATTAGAAAGTCGAAAACAAAGAAATTTTCTATTTCATTATTTTAATAAAACTTCCGATAAGATAAACTTATAATAAAACTGCATTCAGTTATCAAAATTAACAAACCAAAAAACTATTTTTTAAATCTTAGAAATTTTGCTATTACTATTATTATTACTCTATACTGAAAAAAAAAATTATTTGAATCAAATTGACTATTATTAATTAAATATTTACTTGAATCAAATAATTTTCATTTCAGTCAATTAAATACTTTTGGCTTCAAGTACTTAAATTATTAGTTGAAATACAATATTATTCTTCTATTACTTTTTTTTGAACAAAATATAAAAATGTTAAAACTATTAAAACCTACTAAGAATATTGTTCTATTAAAAATATTAAAACTAAATAAAATAAATAAAATAATAAAATAATATTAAAAATAGAACATTAAATATTAAAAAAATATTAAGAAACAGTTTTCGTTTCTCTAAATTCCATTAAATTTACCACCCACAGATTTAAAATTATCATATAAGATAACTTTATATTGAATATAGAAGAAAATTTGAATTAAACCAAATATGATTTGCAACTGAAAGAAATGATAAACATTTCTATATACTGATAAAAAAAAGTGCATTTCACCCTGTGGTAAAAGTTGGGGAAAAAAAGGGGGTCACAAACATCTACTTCTTCAGTCTCTTTGATCTCAAAGGGTCGCGTCAGTCGCTCGAGTCAAAACGAAAAAAAAAGAAAGAAAGAAAAATAAAAGTGCACTCACGCATTCAATGCAAAACAGATGCATGATTCACCACAGGGAACGCACCCGCAATTAGGGCCTCGACCTGGGACAATTTTAAGTGATGATTGTGATTTGTCTTTGTTACAGGATCAAACGCAAAGAGAGGGTGAAGAGATTCTTTCAAGATGAGATACAAGGTAAGGACACTCTGTGTTTTTATTTTTCTTCCACTTTTTTATCAACAATTTTCAAGAAATTTTTTCCTAAATAAAAGTTATTGTCTTCCACATTTACTCTTATCTCAAATCTATCTTAAATCTAAGTTTTATCATTTTTCCCTTGAATAATATTTTACAATTCTTTTTTGTTATTGATTATTTTAAAGGGAAAAATTTTATTATTTTCCATGTGAAAAAATTTTTTTTTAATTAAAAAAGTTATAAACGGTGTACTAAACATCTTTTTTTTGAACGAATCCAACAAAAAAAAAACTGAAATTTTTAAACCCAAGTTTCCGACAACAATTCACAATTTATTTTGCATATTAACCGTGAATGCATACAGAATGAAGTTGCTGACGATAACTTGCTGTCAGTTCCCTTAAAAAAAAGTCATTGAATTTTGAGACTTAACTTTTTCTCTTCACTGCACTGAATTTGAAAATAACTTTAAAATACGTACACACGCGTATTTTAAAACTATTTTTAAGAGTTCCTACGTGATAAGAATTTTTATTTCACACAATAAATATATCCTCTTGCATAGAAAGAAAAATTTTCCTTTCTTCTTTTATATACTTTTGCAAAATAATTTATCAATAATAATTGTTAATAATTTATTATCAACAATAATAATTTAATACCATTAACATTCCATTCTACGTGATATGTATTTATTTATCGAGAAACAATTCACATGTTTAGATTACAACTGTCAGTTTAAAACATCCGTTTGTTCAGTTAATCATCTCTTTTACTGGTAAAGTAACTGCATCCAGTGAACCGCATTGCTTGTCATGGACACCTTCTTCAAGAATGGAGAAAAATTAATTTTTCAATTACAATTTTTAATTTTAGAAAATAAATTTTTAATTTTTTTAATTATCCTCTTCTTTTTTTTATTAAAAAATTAAGACTACTGAACAAAATAATACAACCGACTCTCAATAAAATTGAACCTCAAGGAACATAGCAAAAATGCAATTTATCGAGAAATTTATTTATCGAATGTTTTTTAAGTATAAAAATTCATACCAAAAAAATTTTTTTTACTAGAAAACTTAATTTTTTCTATGTCCCTTGAAATTAAATTTATTAAGAGTCGAATTTATTTTTAAATAGCGCAAACTTAATTTTTTCTATGTCCCTTGAAATTAAATTTATTAAGAGTCGAATTTATTTTTAAATAGCGCAAATTGAAGGAAAGGAAAACTATAAACATTTTTTTATAGAGAAATTTTCAACTTTAATTTTCGAATTTCTTGAAAATTGAATATATTTTATTTTAAAGGCGCACATTGACCTTTTCGTTATGTTTAAAGAACCACGGTTAAACCAATTGTTTCGTTGAGAAAAGAAGTGGAGCGTATATATGATCATTCGTCTCTAAAGCGAGAGAGTTCAAAATTGCTTGGGAAATTCTAGTCAATGGCAAAATCAGCACTTGACACAAATTTGTACGTAACCTCATCAAATCTAAAGTATCAACGTCGTGCTATTCACTTGGCGAAAATTTTAATCAAAACTCCAAATTCTGATTGAAAATTATGGAAACTTTATTATTCATCTCGATTCATTAAAAATAATCGGATAACAATTATTATTTACTAAACTAATAAAAGAATAAGAATTATTATTTATTAAACTAATGACTAAATAAAATTAGTTATTAAACTATAACTCCTCATTTTTTCGATAAATTGAATTTTGTTTTTCTGATCCTTTGAAATAATGTTGTAACATAAAATATTCGGTGAATAAAACCCTTCATACTTGAGTGTAGACTTTTGAAAATCCCAAAATTTAAACAAAAGCATATCAATCACAACAAAACAACCAATTGAATTAATTGGTAGATAAATAATTATATAACATACGAGAAATAAGAAACAATAAGTTATTTGATTTGATAAAAACCAATAACAAACAACTCGAGAGTTGTAAAAACAACAACAATCAGAAGAATAACAAACAAGATTGAAAGAAATCAACAACGCCAACTGTATATATACACAGTTGATACATTTTAGTTCAATCGTCAACAAAGACTTTTCACACTTCCTCCTAACAAAATACAATTCGAAATACGTGCAATGAAATTGCAATTGCAAAAAAAAAGAAACAGTAATAAATTCCATTCAGACAGGAATGATTGATTTTGAATTTTAATGAGCATTTAATGCTCCGATTTTAATGTGCAGAAAAGAAGGAAGAGAGCACACAATACATTATCATCCCGGTGCATCTTTAAGGTCATGTGTGTGTGAAATGAAAATCTAAGACGCGTTATTATATACAAAATGTTATCAAAGGCATTGACTTTGTCATTGAACGTAAACGTCATACAGTGTAGGGGAACATAGTCTAGGTCGGCCACCTTTTTGACTTTTGTTTATAACTTTTTTTTAAAAATGAATTTGGACAATTGAAGTATATGGTTGGAAAGTCCTGTTTAATAGGAACATCTTTTCTGTACAAAGTAAATTGATTGGTTTTAAAATGAAAAAGTTATAAAGATTTAAAAAAAAAAAAATTTGTAGTCGAGGTTGGCCATTACAGTCAAGGTCGGCCATGTTTAAAATTCAAAGGGCATTAATCGTTAAAAAATAAAATAACATGTTTGGAGTTACGGAATATTGATTCTTTATTGTTTACAGTTTGTAACTTAATGAAATAACAAAATAATAACAATAAACAATATAAAAAAATAAATATAAATAAAAAAAATTTTGCACTAAAATATTAATAAAATTAAATAAAAATATTAATAAGATGATCAATTATATTATGAGTTATACAGAATTGCAGTTTTTGCAAATGAAGTAGCTCGTCCTCATCTTTGCGCATTTTAAACACATAGTGGCCGACCTTGACAGTGAGTAAGATTACCGAATTGTTGTAACCATAAAGAAATACGTTTCGGGATTCGATTTTTTACTTTGTTTTTCTTTCAACCATGAGTCCCACAAATTTTCTGCATACTTGCCTTGACGATTCAATTTGTTTTTTATCGTTTATTAATGGTTTTTCACATTATGCACAAAACTTTTTTTGAGCTTTTTTTGTACCGACGGCACAGAAAACACAATTTTCGATCCTCCGAAAATGTAATTGAACAAAAAGTTAGGTTTTACTAAGACAAGCTTCGACAAGCATGCGCGTAGGTGGCGCTAGTGAACTCGACAAAAAAACACGAGTGGCCTACCTAGACAGTAGACCAACCTTGACTACATTCCCCTACATATAACGTGATGCGTTCATTGACAATTTTATTGTTAGAGCAATCCATTAAAAGGATTACACTGGGCCTTACAATGATGTACACTAGAGCTATAGACATTGTTATACACTCTATTACGTTGTTTATAAATGTTTTATATAATTCTCTTAAAATTTAAATGTTTCAATCAAATGCATACATTCCTCTTTGATAGGTCTTACGTTTCGTTAAATTCGTATATTACTTACGTTTCGTATTTTATCATATACGAATTTATACCTGAGACTTATCAAAAATATTCATCAAGAATTATAATTTTTAATTTTTCAAAGAAATACCCTTTCAATTGAAAATAAATTTGTAAAAAAAGATAAAAACTTAAACTGTTAAACCGAATATTCATTAAACAGCAATAAAATCAATTTAAATCGTAAATACACATAATCTCTCACTTGAGAGAGAGATCATTGACTCATAATTAATTTACATTTCAACAACGTATTTGAAAGATTATTAAAGCATATATATATACGCGTCTATTTATTAAACCCTCGAAATGTTATTAAAATGAGCTATATTATTAATGAAAAGAAGAAAAAAAACTTTAAGTATACTAATTTTGCGTGACTGATCTTCAAAGACTATTATTCGACTTCTTTACTTTTTTTTCCTCTAATACAAATTAATAAATATAGATATATAAAATTTTTCTCAAACTGGGTTTATAGGTCTATAATGAACGCTGATTATCTCTTTGACACAAAGAACATTCCACTCAAATGAACCATTTCTTGATCTAAGATCTCTTTAGTTATAATTTAGAGATCTGAGTGTAGCTTCCGACCATTAAGAAAGATTAATGTGCTTTCAGTTCAATATCATTTAGTTTCACATAAAATGAAAGTCTCTTCATTTATTATTTGTGAGATTTGCTTTGAAAATTAGCAACATTTTCATTTAACTAAATTATCGAAGAACTTATCCAAAATTTTTCAAAAACTTTTCCTTTACATTTTTATTTTATTTTCTAATTTTATAATTCACAGTTTTTCTAAGGATATCATAATGAAACAAAAAACGAATCAAAAGTGTTGCGAAGCAACATTTTGATTCGTTTTTTGTCTCAATTTGATATCCTTAGAGAAACTGTAAATAACTCTAACTAAATTATTCTTTTCTGTTAATTAATTTGTAAATAATTGAACTGTTTATTAAACAAAGCCATTTTACAAACCAAAAATTAAAAAAGCAATAAACCATATATAACACCTAATTACAATATTCTATAAAAAGCAATTAAAAATAGATATTTAATATTTTTTTTACCGAAAATATAAGTCATCTAAGGCGATGCTAATGAATCGTAAATAGTGCCAGACATAATAAATATAATTATAAAAATTATGTAAATTTTCTAGTTTCATGACACCTCATAATTTAATTTTCAACTCTGTATATTCACAACAATTTATAACTATAAAGTATAATAACTTTTCAAACCCAACTTTTATTCTTCTTTCAAACGTCGAAACGTAGAAAACACGAAACGTAATAACGTATAAAGCGTAAAAAAACAAAAATTCGAAAGAAACCCAGTCAAATTGTTTTTAATGACTCAATTAAATAAACCAATCAACTAAAATAAACGAAACTAAACAATTAAAATAATTAAATTAAACTCCATTGGATAATTCAATTAATTTCCAAAAAAAGAAGTTGACCATGAAAATCACTTATGGTCCTTTTACAAGATCCTTTTTTTCACTTCCTTACAACCCAGAATATGCTTCGATTTTTACTGGTCAAGGGTAGATTTTCCATTAGCATACAACAATGGTTCATCTAGCCAAAATGAGGAATAATGATATCATACTGCGTGAATAAATTACAACACCAATTTTTGTTTCATTGATTTCATCATTTCTCAAATCGTACTTTATCCAAGTTCAAAATTAAGAATTAATCTTAACTCAAGAATTAGGCTCTTAAGTCAATAAAATACTGTAAATAAATAAAATACAGGAAACTATACTACATATATGCAATAAAACGATTCTTGAGAATTCAAAATGATAATGAGACAAAAACTTGATATATAGCGAGGAAAAAGTATTTAAATACTACATCTATATACAATTTTACACAATGAAGACAAGCTCTTTTCAGGAAAAGAAAAATACTCTTCTCTGGCATTAAAAAATCCTTGTTCAACAATAAACTAGAAGCATGCAGGCAATTATTTAAGATCCTCGAGAAAACTAAGACTGCGTATAGTCTCTCTCTATATATACCACACATACAGGAAGGTCGATTGAGATAATGAAAAGATTGTCGATATTGAACAAACTGAGATCATTTCATTGAATTATCTGCATCCATTACCTAATATTTCTCCAACTTACATAATTATATACAAGATTCTCAAAATACTTCCGATATAAGTACTCTTAATAAAAAATTCTTTCTTTCCTGCAAAAGAATTTCTTTGGGAAAACATTTTTTAAAAATATTATCAAGCACTAGAGATTTATAGCAAACCAAATGCTTTTATAAAATACCTAGCGAAATTGGCGCTTTTATAAATAAAGCGAGAAGTTATCCTTGCAAACCATTTCAACGCACAGAAATGCATAATAGATGCAAACCGCGAGCACAAGTGCGCGAAACAAATGGACGATAAAAAAATAGTACGAAAATTTTTAAAGCATTGTGATAAGAAAATAATGAACGATAAAAAAAATTTAATTCCACAATTAATTGACCACAAAGATTCCGAGCAATGCAATTACACTCTTATCTCTTTGCTGTTCCCTTTGCCATCTTCTATTCTACAAAAAGATGGTTTATTTTTTTTGAATTTTTTGAGAAGAAATGTTTTCGCCAACTTCATAGGGAGCTTTGTCTATAATTTTCTAAATTTTCCTACAAAAACAGTTCCTTTAATTCGAATAGGTAAAAACGGATGACAATCCGCGTATAAAATTGTATGATTTGTCTCTCAAACTATGAACTTCTAATAGAATAATGACAATTGTCCTGACAATGAGCAGTGCAGCAGGATATTGCTTTTTAAGAAATCAATGGTTACAATGTAAACGATTCTGGCACAAGGTGAGAGCATTGATCACAAAGTCAGATGACTCTCTCTCTCTCGCAATGATGATACATATATAAACATCAGCATCATATAAAATTAGGCGTGTCGATTAAATCTGTCGCAGCATTATTTTGATGCTCTCGAAAAAAACTGACCCTGCCCTAAGATAACAAACGTAACACAATCTATCAGATAAAAATTTATAACACAATCAATCCGATAGAAATTAATAATACCACATCTGTTAAGTCTATCATCTATTAATCATATAAAGCAAAAGGCTTATCTTTCTCAGCATCCTTTCTTTTCTCAAACCAAGGTCCTCATCTGTCGTTTTCCTTCAATTTTCCCTGTTTAACGAAGTTATACAACGAAAAATTTAATAAAGTTTAATAAAACTACACGCAAGCATCTATATAACGGTACAAAACTAATAAATTTCATACACGGAGTTTCCTGAAGTCAAAGTTGTTGACGCTGAACGTCAATTTTTTTGCGAAACCAAAAACAATAAACATTTTATAGTGTCCCTGAAGTTGAAATCGACATTCAGCGTCGAAAACTTATTTCGGTTTTTAAGAGCCGCAAATGACACTATAATTTCCATTATTTCATTCACTTATTAGAAAGATAAAAGAATTGACTTTCAGAACCTAAAACCTTTGTTTCTTTTCGATTACGCGAAAAAAATTATTTTCATCAAACAGCGTCGACGCTAACTTCAGGGATAAGTTTGAAAAGTCACATCAAATAAATCTGATCATCAGACTCATTAAAACGTAAAACCCCAAGTAGAGGTTTTCGATAGGAAGGAGTTCAAAATATACACAGTAAACAACTTCTATTATTGCAGTGAAGATAATTTAGTAATTAAGACAAGATAAATAGTCAGGAAACTTGAATCTCGTATTTCTTACTCAATATGTAAGGAGGAAACTTTTATGCAAGTCTCACTACTGCTAAAACAAAATTTATACAAAATTAATCAAAAAAATTCCGAAAAAATTTCTGTCAAAATTTCCCTAAAGTTTTGAACATTCAAATGAACGCCAATATTTTAGTTACAATTTGTTTTGTATTTTGACTTTCATTTTGATTCAAGTTGATTTAAGATGTCTCTGAAGTTAACGTCGACACTAAGCACCGAAAACAATTTTTTTTTCACGAAATCCAAAAGAAAAAAATAACTTTCAGTACAACTGTTATGAAAATGCGAACTTAAAAAAAGAACTAAAAATCAAACCAAAATAACCGAAATTCAATTTTTAAAATCCCAATTTCAGAAAAGAAATCCATAAAAAATTAGGTAAAAATTTCTAAAGACTCAAAGACTCAACGTCTTTAGAAATTTTCACCTAATTTTTTTCGTTCTTATTTGTATAAAACAAATAAACCATTGTCATCATAAATTGAAGAATATAAACAATACGTTCCAATAATAGCACACAGTTCACTTATATCGTTTTACTTGAGTAAGCAAACAGGAGCTACTGATAAATCTTTGCCTTCTGTCCTCGTCCCGGTTCATCGGATATTCCCTCATCCTTCGTAAGCTTTATTAGGAACAAACGTTCCTTCCTAGTATCGTCAGCAAAAAACACACTCATTCTTAATTGTCGATAATTTTACTATTTAGATCAAGCCTCTCTCACTTGGCAATTAAGTAATCTAAATTCTATATAATCAGCACTTAACATCCGATCTAATCTGTCTAGACATTTATTATACCTTTTTTCCTAGGTAAACGACCCGGAAAGTAATGACAGAAGTTCAGATGGCATCAAAATTGGTGCGGAAGCTTCATGGTAAGTAATATCGCTTCGCACTGAAAAATTTAACCCACATTTTCAGAAAACAAAGAATTTTTCAATTCCGGAAATAAGTAAATTAGCAAAAAAAAAAAAAAACAAATACATTTTGTAAAAATATTAATTCAATTAAAACTAAATTTTTTCATATTAAAAGGATGTTCACTGTACAGATATTTATAGCCACTTCATGAAAATTACGTAAAGGTCATTTCAGTAATTCAAAACCCTATTATTAGCCCTTGAACTAGAAATACCATTTGTAAGAATTATCAAGAAGAACATAAACGAATAATAGACCATTATTAATAACAAAGTGTGGTGATAATTTTCCAGTAAAATATACAAAAAAAAATAATTGATTTTCAGTATTGTTCTTATGGATAAAAGTAAACAACGTAGAAAAAATTAATGAATACAAATTATCTTCTATAAATATAATTCGCGAATATAAAAAAAATAATGTTTATATTTCTTTGAAATTACGTTTATAACTCATTAAAATGACCCAACAGGCAGTACAATGAAAAAAGTTCAAATACGAAGGAAACAAAACTCATAATAGTTGTTGGATTATTAGCTGTCGCTGTAATTGCACTTGTCGCTACTTTAACAATACAAATGGCTGTTTTTCGAAAGGAGGAATACAAAGAAATGTGCCAAAGCGAAGAGTGCATAAACACCGGTAACACCTTTTTTTAGACCTAAACCATTTTTTTATATTTCTTTTCTTTCTAAAATTTCTTTCTTTCTAATTTTTTATTTCTCCTTTTAGCCTCTAAAATATTGGACGCAATGAATAAAACAGTAGATCCTTGTCAAGATTTCTACCAATTTGCCTGTGGTGGATGGATTGATAAGCATCCGATTCCACAAAGTCAAGCAGCTTGGGATCAATTGAGTCTTATAAGAGAAGAACTAATACAAAAATTGAGAATACTTTTAGAGGAACCTGACAGAAGTGACGATCTCAGACCTGTAAAACTAGCTCGAAGTCTTTATAGAACGTGCATGGATACTGGTAAGATAGAAAATCGTCTAAAACACTACAAAAGAAAAAAATACAACTGTTTAAATTAATTATTATCTCCTTAAAGTTCTGGAGGTTTAAATGAACGAAATTTTCTTCAAATTTTATTGCAACAATACTGCGTCACGTATTGGAAAAAAAAATTATGATCCTAAATATTAAATTTTGTTTTTCGATACTGTTGAGCATCGTGGCTAAATTCAGAGACTTATAATAGCAAGTAATTGTAACATAAAATTCGATTTCGAAAAAGAAGCGTTATTTAAAAAAATTTTCAATTTCAGCTAGTGTAGAGGCTCTTGGACTGAAACCAATATTAGAGATTCTCAAAAGAATTGGACTGACAGGTGAGATCCCAGTGGGCAATGATACAGAAATCATGAACATTGCTGAACTATCAGGAAAATCGCAGAGAATCATAGGTTTCAATATGTTAGTCAATTTCTACATCAGTGAAGATGTGAGAAATACTTCGAGAAACAGAATGATGGTGAGTACCTTTGCGCTTAATTAGAGAAAGCAGATCATTTCGTTCCAAAAAGGAAAATTAAACCCAAATAAAAAATAAAACTTAACTAAACATTTACTCTTAAAGTTAGTAAAGTTCAAAACGTTTACAATAACGAATTAAGAAGAAAAAACATTAACTTTACCCACGTTGTATTTAGACAAAAAGAAAAATTAAACAAACTCAAAAATTAGACAAAGAAATTCGACAAACAAGTATCCTAAAAAAAAACCTGAAATCCCAAACAAAATAAAAATTCTAACGATTCTTTATTTTCGAACAAAACAGATAGAACAAGCATCACCAGGCATCAGCGAACGATATCTATTAAATAAAAAACGATTCGAAACGGAATTAACAGAATATAAAAAATACGTAATTGCCATGCTGGAATTAGCGGGAGCTGGAGAAAAAAGTTCTGATCTAGCTAATGAGATTTTAGACTTCAGTACTCAAATTGCCAAGGTATTATAATTTCAACTTCGAAAAAAAGACACACAAGATGAATCATTTATAATACATTAGAATAAATTAGTTCAACGTGATAAAAAAAACCTACTACGCATTCAATTCTTCAAGACTTAACTACAAATTATTTTCAAAAACTCCACACTCAGAGAAATGCTTTTTTTAAAACCAAATATAATATTTATTTCAGTCAGAAAAACTATATTTGTCGTCAATATATTTATTTGAACCAAATAAAATTTAATTCGAACCAAATAAATAATTCAATAGACTCTGAGTAAAATACACCATTTTCTGATTGCAACGTTCATTCTTTATGACACATAAACAATAAAATTACAAATTGACAACAAAATAATAAATAAAAATAGGGTGGAGGTTTATAACCTTAATTTGTACTAGATAATTTTTTTTTTTAGATTATGTCGACACAAGAAGAGCGACGAAGTGAAAATCACTTTTTCCACGATGTAACGATCAATGAATTACAACAGCTCACTGACCTTCATGCTCAAAAAGTAAGCTTATTTTTCTTTTTGTCGCAAAACTGTTATTCCTTGTTTTCAATTGTAATAATATAATATTTTACAAAGTCATTGAAATTAATTTCAAAAATATTTACAGTGGAACTGGACGAGTTACGTGAATGCAATTTTTAATAATACAAATGTCACAATAGACACAAATGTCGACAGAGTAATTGTTATGGATTTACTCTATTTGCAAAAATTACCGAAACTTTTGGCAGAAACACCTCCAGGAACAATAGGTATTTTTTCATTAAAAACATATACCAATTTAATACAGTTTCACTAAAGTCTCGAATACGGAATTAACAAAATTTTTTCAAAAATTATTAAACAAAAAGGAAAAGTGATGTAAATTTATCATTCATTTAATCAAAAATTAGTTTTTTTTATATACAACATAATTTTTTTTTACTTCATAATTGGTTTTCTAACTTGCAAGCACTTGAAAGAAAAAAAAAACAAAACCCAATTCACATCTTTTGATGAGAGACGGAGGAAGTAATTCCCTTGAAAAAAGATTAAAAGACTAATTTTAGAAGCATCCAAATTTATATTGAAGTGTCTAATCTAGAAGGAATAGCGCAGAACGTTTGATATCTGTTTCTCTCACAAAAGGGAATAGAAGAAAAGAAGAAGCAGGAAAGAAAGAAACAAATATATTCCTTATTGCAATCAAAATGAGGCCACTTGAAAAGTCAAAGATTATCAGACTTAGAGCCAGAAGAATTTATTATTTCCAACTATTATTTTGATTCAATTTTATTGTAAAATATTCATTATCGCATATAGTCAATTCAACCATCCATGAAATATGGTTGTAAAGGAGTCTAAGATTATTATTAAATTCTGCAAATTATTTTAGCTCGATTCCTCTGGTGGAATATCTACTCGACAGTTGCACCTCTCACATTACAAAAATTCCGAGATTTGGGTTTCCAATTTTCGCAAAAAGTCTTTGGATTAAAGGAGAAAACTCCCAGATGGAAGGGTTGCACCGGAAATGTGAATTCAAACTTTGGCATGGCTCTTAGTTATATTTATGTTCAGAAATATTTTAACGATCAAGCTCGTGATAAGGTACAGAAATTTATCCAATTAAACTAATTAAAATACGATTGGAAAGTAATTATTTCCAATTAAATAATTCCATTTTTTGCAATGAATTAAATTTATTCATTACAAAAATGGTTATTATATAAACGTCTAAACTATTTTTAATTTTTTTCAGGCTCTAGAAATGTTATTGGATATTAAAACTGCTTTCGATGAAATGGTAGCCGAATTAGATTGGATGGATAGCACAACAAGGGCTCGAGCTCATAAAAAATTGCAAGCTATTAGACCGTTTGTTGCTTTTCCCGAATGGATCAAAAATCCGGACAAGTTAAACAAGCTATACGAGGGAGTAGGTTTTAATAAAACATATTTTTTATTTAAAGTCGACGCTTAACGCTAAAAACTATTCTTCGCTATTTTTAGTAATGAAAATAGCTCTATTTTTCACTGCTTTCAATTATGAAAGTTTCCATTTAACGATTTTAACACAAAATCTTCAAAAAAAAAAGGTTCTGCTTCTAGTTTCACAGAATAAAATTATGCTTAGCGTCGACGTCAACTTCAGAGTTTTGATTTTTTTGTCATTGTGACAAGACTTATTTTGAGTATAAAAAATTAAAATTAAAAATTCTACAGGTGGACATAATTCCAGGAAAGTTATTCGAAACATTTTTGAAACTCACCGACAGGGAAATAACAAAGAGTCTAAATAATTTAAGACAAACGCCAAATAAAGACAGATGGATAACAACCTCAACGACAGTAAATGCTTTTTACAGCGCAATTCTCAATTCAGTCAGTAAGTGCACGACTTTTTTGTTTTAGTAGAAAAAAATTCTAAACAATCATTTATCCATAAATATAAATGAAAAAATTACCATTTCTATTATCCGAACTAGGTCCTGATTGAATTAGTTCGGACAATCGAGATTTCACCGTAATTTAAAAATACAATTAATTAAATTAATTTAAAATTCAACGAAATTAATTTCTTCCATTTCTATTCAGCTTTTCCAGCAGGAATACTAAGTCCTCCATTCTATGGCAATGGATTAGAGTAAGTTCGCAAAATTTCACCTCCGACAATAAATAATTAATATTCCCTAATAGAGTATACAAAGTTTTGATAATGTGATAATTTCTAGGTCAATAAATTACGGTGCCATAGGAGCGATAATGGGTCACGAGTTAACGCACGGATTTGACGACCAAGGTAAAAAGAATTTAAAATAAAAAATATACCATTTTAATAATCCAAACAGAGCTTCTATTTTAAAAATCTACGTACAATAACTTTTCTCCTCTTAAATAATTATACGAATATTAAATCTTTTCCGATAGGTCGTAGATACGACGAAAACGGTAATCTAAGACAGTGGTGGAGCGATGAAACATTGCAACATTATCACAAGAAAGTCGAATGTATCATCAAGCAATACAGTAATTATCATTTACCGGAGCTAGGTACCAATTTTACAGTAAGTACACTTTAAAGAATATGAAGGTCTCCAAAGCCTGTGTCAAGGCAAATCAACATAAATATTTATCCTTTTAAACAATTCATTAAAAACAAAATATTTCCCTTGAAAACACAATAGGTAAACGGATTTAATACTCAGGGTGAAAATATAGCTGATAATGGAGGAATAAGGGAAGCTTACAGAGCTTATCAAAGATTAAAAGCTAGAAGTCCAAATCAACAAGGTTTGCCTGGTTTGGTAGATTACAGTCATAATCAACTTTTCTTCCTCGGGTTTGCGCAGGTATTGTGTTTTTTTAATTAAAATTATTACTATAAAGATTTCTAACTTTTAAGAAAATGTTTTTTTCTTTCTAGAAAATTTTTTTCTCTTTTTAAGAAAACTATTTTATTATTTAAAATTTGCATGTAAATAAAAATTATCAAAAACAGTTTTATTTTTACTGTTAACAAATCAAAAACTAACTTTTAAACAAACTTTTTAACAAATTGGAAAAATATTAAAAATAGTAATAAAAAAAAAGTGAAAGTGGAAAACCTCCTCATCCTCAGCCTCACTTTTTTCCTTCTTTCATTTTTTTTCTTTATTAATTTTATATTATTAACTATGAAAAATTAAAAACAATAAATTTATAAAGAAAATAATTTAAAAATTACATAGAATTTATTTAAACAATTAATTTCAGACAAATACTAAACAAGAATTTACAAAACTTTAAGCAAAAAAATTGCAATGTTTCTAAAGTTTCGAATATTTAAAATTTTAAATGAATGACGGCAGATTTTTTGACTTCTCTTAATTTGTATTTTCGTATAAAAAAATTCTTAACTCAGTAAATTTTCAATTTAATTTACTTTTCTTATCTGGATTGTAAATTTTCGAAAATATTTTATGAGAAGAAAAATTTCATTCATTTGAACGTTCAAAAATTCAGGAAAATAATTGCAAAATATTACAAGAAAATTGAAAATTAAAAAACAATTTTAAAAATTAGAAGTCTTATTAAAAATTTTTGTTATTTTTCTAAAGTTTCGAATGTTCAGAATCAGGTGAACGACATTTTTTTCTGTTTAAATATTTTTAAATAATTTCTGTACAAAAAAAAAATAATTAAAATCCAACGTTTCATTATGCAAGAATTTTTTTTTTAATATACAAAATTTCATATAGAAAAATACAAATGAAAAGAAGTAAAAAATATTATTTTTCATTTGAACGTTCAAAACTTTTTAGGAAAATAATTTCTTTTAAAAAAACAACAACTACGAAAAAATAGCTCAAAATTTTATAATTTTCAACAATAAATTAAATAACTTATAAATTAATAAACAAAAAAGTTGCAGTGCTCAAAAAGAAACCCAATTAAAAAATTCGAATGCTAAAACGCTTTTTTTTAGAAATAATCAAAATTAAAAGAATTATTCGAATTAATAACAACTTTTCTAAAGTTTTAAAAATTCCAATGAACAAAATATTTTTTTTCAATCCAATAGTTTTAAAAATTACTAGACTAAAATAAAAAATATTGCAATTAAACATTTATTTAGTTAAAAACTACATTTTTAATTATAATTATAATATTTTGCAAATAAAATTAAAATTAAAAGAAGTAATAAAAAAATATCGTTTTTTTGAGTGTTCGAAACTTTAGGAACATTTAATAACAAACAAAATTGCATAATTTCAAAAATTACAAATATTAGTAATTTTATATAAAAAATATCCAAAAATAACCCAAGAAAATTTACAAACAATTTAATTAAACAACTGATTTCAGACATGGTGTGGAAATTATACAAACGGTGCATTAAAATCAAAATTAGTCGAGGGAGTACACGCTCCAAATCATTTTCGAGTAATTGGAACATTGTCCAACAATATCGACTTTGCTAACGCTTGGAAATGTCCCGTGGGAAGTCCAATGAATCCTCACCACAAATGTATTTTATGGTAGAACGTACGACGAAAAAACAACCCGAAGATAAAAATGATAATAATCAATTAAAAATACTTAAATAGAAAATTTGTTACTAACATTCCTCAAAAATCCAAATGAAAGAAAAAAAATCCTTCTTGTTTCTAATAATGTAAAAATTAAAAAATACTTATTCTCATTCAATGAGAATGGAAAAGAATATTTATAGAAATTATCAAGCGACGAAGAAATGAACAAAAAAAGAAATGAATCTCGTTAAAATTAATTGTTCTCAAATATATTAATAACAACATTGTTTGTGAATTTGTTTTGTGCGTGAATGTGTGAATATCAATTTTGTAAATAGACTGATTAAAAAAATAATAATAATAATAATAATAATATTGTAAATAATTTATGCATTTAGACTGAAGGTTTATTAACGTTTACACTTTGTAAATATTTATACAACCAAAATAAAAAATATACAAGTCTTTAACCATCACATTCATGGTTCTTTACATTTCTTATACATTAAGACTTTAGCGTCGACGTTGAGCGTTAGAAAAAAATTTTTCTATGAAACTGAAAATTTGAAACGACGGTTTCACATTTAAAAAGTGTCTTGGAAATTCTTTTTAGCTCCTTAGGTGAACGAAAGTAATCAAATCTCTAGAAATCCAAGATAATAATTTTTGGACGCTGAGCGTCGACACTAATTTCAGGGACCTTGAAAATTTCCCTTATACAGTATTATATTTTAATAGTTATTTAATTTTATTTTAATAGTATTCTTTTTGTTATTCCTGGAGAGAATTTTTATTCTTTTTCTTCTTCTTTTTAGAGAAATTTCCACTCTTCAGATTCAAATCTTTGGCGAATTTCTTTTTGGGAGAAACCTTCTTGTCATCGACAATAACTTTTTTATTCTCCTTCATTTCTTTTGATTTTACAATCTTATCCTGATTATCGGAATTTGTTGCAAGTTTCTTTTTAATCGGTGTCTCCTCAATTTCCTCCTCCAACCATTTTGAATCCTTCCTTTTTTTCGAAGAAGTTTCTTTCATTTTTTTCCTCTTCTGCTTCGGAGGCGAATCACCATCTTCATCATCTGACGATCTTTTTAAACCACGCTGCTCTGAATTATCAATATCCTCCACTGTAAAATCATTAATTTTCTTCTTTTTCTTAGTAACTGGAGAAACTTCCTCGGCTGCTTCCTCATTCAATCGAACTTTACTCTTCTTCTTCGTCTCCTTTACTTTCAAATGACTATTGTCCTCTTCATCTTCAATAATCACTTCTTGCCGCATTCTCAATTTCTTTATTTTCTTTATTTCCACAACTTCTTCCGTCGTCACTTTATCCTCTTTTTCACGAACATTTTTGCAAACGGTCGCTAGTGTGAGACACAATATTCGCGAATTACAAGTGACTTGATTGAGTAATGACATTGAATCTTTGGTGAATTGCCAAAGTTTTATTTCACCGGAACTCGAAGCTGTTACCAAGAGATCGTCAATATGTTGCATACACTTCAATCTTGCGGTATGTGCAACAATGTCCAAAGTTTTTGAACTCTCCTCAAGATCGTAGAAACTTATTTTCCCATCGTCATAGCCAATGGCAATTAAATCATCATTAAGAAATTCAACGCAAATTACTTTTGAGTCGAGATTTATTTCTTCGTCGACGCCTGCCGTTTCTACTGAGTAAATATCAATTTTCCTATTTGACGCAATTAAATACTTTTCACCATTTGGACTCCATTTTAGTATATTGATATTTTTCGCAAGCGTTCGCCAGCGTGGTATTAAATTAGTGGCGTACGCTTGTTTTCCTTTGACTAAATTCCAAGTTCGAAGTGTGCCATCGCCTCCAGTTGAAAGAGCCAATTTTCCCGAGGGGTGCACAGCTAGTGCCTCGATTGATTCACCTTTGTGTGGTTTTTCCCAAAGTTTTTCAACCTGCCAATTGCCACATCGAACAACTCCTATTTGTCCATCTCTGCCACCGGTTAGAATATGCGAAGCGTCAGGTGTAAAAGTGATGCAATTCACGGAATCTAAAAAAAAAGGAATTTATTAAAGTAAATTTTAACTCTACATCTCTACATTTTTATACTATATCCCATGTTCCTGAAGTTAGGATCGAACCCTCAGCGGCAAAAACTATTTTCTAGGGTCTTTAGCCGAATGTTTTTAGTTTTTTAAATAAATGAACAAAATTTATTCATTCAAAGTTGCCACAAATATTTAATTTTATTTTTCCCTGACTTTTCCCTAATTTCCAGACAAAATTTTTACTTTTTCCCTTTGAAACAGTTGTTTGATTTTTTTTTTATTTTGCGGAAAAAAATTGTTTTTGATGCACAGAGTTGACGCTAAATTCAGGGATATTATTTCCAAATGAACATAATATTTTTTTTTATTACCATTGTGATGTATTAATTTTCCATTTTCTGTTCGATAACGCATATCATAAAGACAAACCACTTCATCTGCTCCTGCAGATGCTAAATAATGTCTATTGCTAGCAACACTTCGTATGCTTGCCAGATGACTGTGAGTTGCAAAAGTTTGTTCCAATTTATACTCCTGAAATTTAAAAAAAATTATTTAAATATATATATATATATATTAAAGCAATACTTTCTAGAGAATAAAAATGGAAAAAACAAAGAATACTCATTGTTAAAATAATAGAAAAAAAAGAAAAAAAAATGATTATATAAAGTTACTTATTTTTCATAAACTTTTGAAATAAAGTAAAAATTAGTAAAATTTACAACGTTTACAATAAACAGTTAAAAAGAAAAATATATTTTTCCACTCAAATTTATGTCTAAAAAAATTTTTACAGTGTTTCTTGATCTAAAATTCAAAAAAAAAAATTTGTAATAAAAAAATATTGTTCTTTTTGAATAAAAAAGAATTTTTTCTTTCAATCGTTTATCGTAAACGTTGTAAACTTTGCCCACTTTTCCCTAAACTCCTCGAAACTCTTTTAATTTTTCTTTATTATCTTTACTTTCATTATTATCTTCAATATTCAAAATCAAAAATAGGATTTTCCTAAAGTTCTGAACGTTCAATTGAACGAATTTTTTTTTCTATATTTAAATATTATAAAAAATTACTATTCTGTAATGAAAAATAATCGGAATTAATCATTTGCTTAGAAATTAATTTTTTTAATTTACTGACTTTTTTTAAAAAATTACTGACTAAAAATATTTTGTTCATAAAAGGAAAAAAGAAAATTAAACATTTAGAATCTTTGTATTTACTTTTTTCAACACGTGACGCAATATTACTGCATAAAAATTAAATTTGAAGAAGTAAATAAATTTCCTTCATAATAAAGTTCAGAACTTTAGGAATATCTTTAGAATAAAATACGAAGAAATTGTAAAATTCATTGTAATTGAAAATTAAATACAAAAAATAGCTTAAAAATAAAAAATTTAGTTTACTTGTGCATTATTAAATAAAAGCTTGAAAATAAATAAATTAAAAACGAAAACAATTATTCTAAGTATTGTTTTTTCAATAATTAAAATATTCAAGACAATGTGAATTTAACACTTTTGATTCTTTCTTTCGTGATAAAGATTCTAAAATGTAAAAACAATTAAATTTTACTGTAAAATATAATATAATTTATTATAACCTACAATAAATTCAATATTGTAAATTAACAATAAAAATACTTACATCAACGATTTTATTGATTTTGTAACCGAGCAAAAATTGCTCATACGTCCCTACAACAACCTCCAAGTTTGGTGTCATTTTTAATATATAAATTAACACATAAATTAATCAATAGTCTTGTTTTTCAAACACGTGTTAATGCTCAAAACACTAACAACTTTTGACTAGAATAAACATGAACTAAATTGCACATAGAAACACAATTTTCTTCCTAGTTATAAAGTGGAAAAATTTCACTATAGATGTCGTTACGGTATTTTTGCGCGAAAATTCAAATAAAATAATTGAACTTTTTGTAATTATTATTTATTTTTCAATAAAAAAATAAATCTTTTTAAATATTCCAAAAAAAAAAAAAAAAATGATGAACTATTAGTTAACATTTTATGGTTTTAAAATTAATTATTGAATAGAAACTACTGCACTGAGAAAACTGGATATTAAAAATCTTAATAATCTATAAATGTGAGGTTATATAAAGCTTAATATCCTTTTCTTACATGTAAGGAAAATATATTCGTGTAGAAAAGGTAAATTAAAAATTACAAGAATAACAGACTATTTTTCGTACAGAAAAACTTTTTTTTAAAATAATTTTTGCTTTATTAATATTTTACATTTGAGCGATTTAACAACAATATTTGACATAATTGCATATATAACATATCAAAAATAATATTATATAATCATAATTATGCATAATCAAATAATGCATTTTATTGTATCTTATCAGGGTAAAAAATGTTAAAAAAAGAAGTAAACATTCAGAAGATAAGAACTAAATAGGCCTTACAATTGATTTCAAATATCAGTTGATGTTTAAGTAACTTTTCATTCACAACTCGGTAAAATAACGATTTTTTTAAAATAACAAATTTTTCTCTTCACTTATTTGCATTTCAATTTTCCAACAAAATGGATGAAATAGAAATAAATGAAATTGACGTAAAGGACATACGATTTCCAACATCTTTATTATCCGATGGCAGTGATGCAATGGTAAATTTAAAAAAAAAAATTTTTTTTCAAAAAACAAATAATAAAATAAAAATAAAAATTTAGCACGTTGACCCCGATTATTCCTGTGTTTATGTGACAATAAAAACCAATAAACAATATGAGGGTTACGGTTTGACTTTTACCTTGGGCAGAGGAACAGAAATCGGTAAATCGAATTTATTCTTTATAATCACTGATTTTATTATTATAAAAATTATAATTTATTAATAATAATTCATGACAAAATTAATTAAATTTTGAAATAATATATTTTCTCCAGTGGTACAAGCATGTGTGACTATGTCAAAAATTCTAAAAGGCGTAAAGACGAAAGAAATTTACTCAAATTTCGCCGTTTTTTGGAGGAAACTAACAAGTGAAAGTCAAATAAGATGGGTATAAAAAAATAATTTACAAATACAATTTACTTGATTCAAATAAAAATTATTTGATTCAAGTAAATATTTATTTAATAATAGAAATGTAATAAACAAAGAAATTTAATTACAAAATAGAAGCTAATTAAAATTTTTAGATTGGCCCAGAAAAGGGCGTGACACATTTAGCAACTGCAGCAATAATAAATGCATTATGGGACTTATGGGCACGAATCGAGGAGAAACCTCTTTGGAAATTATTAACAGATCTCTCGCCCGAAGAACTTGTTTCAACCATCGACTTTAGATACATGTAATTAAAAATTAAAAAAAAATAATAATAATATTAATTGGTAATTATTATTACAATAATTATAATTATTCTATTATTTATTATTAATAAAATAAAAAAATTACAATTTTTTGAAGAAATAAAAAAAAATTACAGAACGGACGTAATAACAAAAGAAGAGGCTTTGAAGATTTTACGCGAAAAACAAGTGGACAAAGAGAAACGAGAGAAACTCTTGCTCAAAACTGGATATCCAGCGTATACAACACAAGTTGGCTGGTTGGGCTATTCAGATGAAAAAGTTCGTGAATTGTGTAAAAAATATTTGAAACAAGGTTTCACATCATTTAAAGCAAAAGTTGGTCAAAATATCGACGACGACATTAGACGTTGTCGAGTGATTAGAGAGGAAATAGGAAATAAAAATAAACTCATGGTGGACGCAAATCAAGTTTGGGACGTTCAAGAGGCCATTGATTGGATGAAGAAATTGAGGGAATTCAATTTAACCTGGATTGAAGAACCAACATCGCCTGATGATATTTTAGGACACGCGACAATTGCCAAAGAACTTCGTCCCCTTGGAATTGGCGTTGCAACTGGAGAAATGTGCGCCAATCGTGTTATATTTAAACAATTATTACAAGCAAAAGCCATTGATTATTGTCAAATTGATTCAGCGAGAATTGGAGGTGTCAATGAAATTCTTTCAGTTTATTTGATGGCCTACAAAATGAACGGTATATTTCTCTCGATATTATTATTATAACTTTCGTCTCTAAATATTATTTTTGAAAAAAATTATTTAATTTTTGAATAATTACAATTCAAGATTTGAAAAAATTCATTTATCAACTAATTAACTGTTTAATTATTATTATTATTTAATTTCAAACATTTTTAATAACATTCTTTATAAGAAGTCAATTTTCATAAATAATAAAGTTCTTCACAGAAATTCAATTATTTCAAAACAATTTTAATTAAATTCCTCTAGAAAGAATTGAATTATTTAAAAAGAAAAAATTGAATAAAAATCCTTGAAACAATTAAATTATTTTCAAAAATTTCTAATAAGATTCTTTATAACAATTCAATTATTTTCATATAAACAAAATTGTTCACAAGAATTCAATTAATTCAATGTAATTTTAATTTAATTCCTAGAAAGGATTTATTTTTAATTGAATTCAAATTTAAACGATAAAGTATCAAAATAATTGTCGTTTATTTGAAACTTTCAAAACTTTATAGAAACATCTTATTAACGCCAAATTATGGAAGCTAAAATAATTTCTAAATTAAAAAAAGTACATTTTTAATAACAATTTTCATTTTCAGTACCAGTCTGTCCCCATGCGGGAGGCGTGGGCCTCTGTGAAATGGTGCAACATTTACAATATTGGGATATGATTTGCTTAAGTGGAACAACAAAAGACAGAATTATCGAATACGTCGATCAACAGCACGAACACTTTGAAAATCCAACAGTTATCAAAAATGCCCATTACATACCACCAATGTCAATGGGATATTCGACAAAATTAAAAAAAGAGAGTATAATTAATTTTGTTTACCCCCATGGAAAAGAATGGCAGCGAATGTTTAAAAAGGGAATTTTTCAGGCGCCAGATAATTAGGATAAATTATCAAAATCATTACATAAATGTGTATTTGTTAGTTTTAAAACTTTAATAAAATATTCAACATCATAAAGAAATTATAACAAATTTAAACAAATTTCTTTTAACTAATTGTATACAACTCATTTGTCTTAAAATATTATCACAATAATCAAATTTTATATCGATAATAATTATTAATATTAAGAGGAAGTTTAGGATATATAATTTATCTATAGAACATTTTGTGAATTTTTTTTCATTTCAAAAGAAATAAATTTGTATGAAAAAAAAATTTCTATAAATTGCTGGTCGCAAAGCGTGATTTCACATAATCGGTCTGAAAAAAAGAAAAATTGTTTAATAATATGTAGAAAAGTCAAATTATTATATCGGAAATATTTTGTGCAGAAATAATAGAAATGACTAATTTAGATAAATTATGTGATTGCTGAAAATAAATAATTATTATTCTAAAAATAATACAGCTATAAATGTTGAGTAAATAAATCAAAAATATTCTGCCTGAAAAATAGCAAAAGTAATATAACACCTTAAATATTAAAAAATTTGCCAAATTAAATAACAAATTCAAAAACCTGACGTCCAATTCTCATAATCATCACATGTGTAAAATCTACAATCGACAAGAAAAAAAGAAATAATTTATCCACCGAAAATTTCGTTTTATCTTCATCAAAAGTAGTTTCAAAATTTTTAAATTACCAAAAATATTTACGTACACTAACAAACCAAAATGACTCGGGTTTAAACATTTGTCTTTGCAGGAAACCCATCGATTCCACAGGTGAAATTACATGAAGATGCAAATGATTTACAGTATTAAATGGCGGCCAATGAAATCCAGTTCTAATAGATGAATTTTCAAAATGCTCTTGTTTGGCAATTACATCCACTGTTGCGACCATTTTATCATCTGTTAGAAAAATAGAAATTAAATATTAAAACAAAAATTACAGAATTGAATATTAAAACAAAGAAATTCTAGATTTTCATATTATAACAAAAACAACAAAAATAATAAAGAAATAAAAAAATTCAGAATTAACATTTATGAAAAATAAATAATTGTTTAAAATTAAAAATAATAAATTGTTAAATTTTTTAAATTAATTTAGTGAAGCAAATAGAAACATTTATTACGCACTGATAGGTACATTCTAGAAATGTCAATATATTTTACGTAAACAATAAACAAACTTACAAAGTTCTTCATCCTCTTTTTTTAAATCTTTTGGTGTCGAAATATGCCTTTTTGGAATTATTAAATAATGATGAGTCGAAGCTGGTTTAATATCCTTTATACAAATTAAATCATCGTCCTAAAAATTGTGTAAATAATTATTAATAATTATTCACAATAATTGATAATTCACACTATCTTATCTAAAATATACTTTTAAAAAATGCAAAAATAAACCAAGAAACAAAAATATTTATTTTCTACAAAATATAAACAATTTTATAGGTTAGTTTTTTAAAATTGTTTGCCTACCTCAAAAACATATTCAGCAGGTCCTTCTTTTCTTATTATCTTACAAAATATACAATTTTGTTCCATTATAGACACTAAATTTATAGTTGCTCGTGTTAAACTGACACTAAAACGCATTCGCAGTGAAATTATCCTTATCGCACCTCTTCTTTTCACAAAAAAAACAAATAATCCACGTCACCGTAACGAACGTAAATATGTTTACGTCACGTATTTACGTCAACTATGTGTATACGTAAACACGCATATTTCACGATAACTATTCGCGGTTTCCGATTTTTAAATTGTACGTAAAAAAAACAAAGAAATAACATTAAGTTAAATCTCATAATTTTTGTAATAATTCGAAGAAAGGGAAATTATGATGGTAAACAATGTAAATTGTAAAATGTAAAAATGTATTCAAAAATGTAAAATGTAAATTTTTATATTTTTATAATTAAATAAAAAAAATTAACGCTCATTATTAAACAACAATATTATTGTCAAAACAATGGCGATTTATTTTTCAATTTAATTATGTTAAAAATTAATTCACCCCCCGTTGTTTAAATTTAATAAATAAAAATAATACTTTGCGTATTATTTAAATGATTGGATGTGAAAAATAAAAAAGGGAAGAATCACCAAGTGACAGTGGATTGATATCAAAAGCCAATTATTTGAAAATAATTGACGTTTAATGAACAAAATATATTATATCTAAAAATACATGCACCTGAAAGAAAATAAATTATACATCCTATTCTATTTTATCAATTTAATATTTTAATTTCCAACAAAATTTTAATAAACAAAAAAGTATTTGCAAAGAAATCAATTATCCAATAAATATTTTAATATATTTAACTGAATGAAAAAAAATCATGTATACCACAAGTTTTTAATGTTCAAATGAACCAAGTATTATTCATCAACAATACTTTCAAAATTTTTTTTTAATAATAAGAAAAAAGAAAAAAGACAATAAAAGACAAACGTATTTTTAAATTGAGAAATTGCCAAATTGTCAAAGACAAAAATTAAAAACTAAAATTTAACATTTAGACACTTTAGAGTTAATTTTTTTACTTGACGCAAAATTATTGTAATAAAATTTTAATTTGAAGAAGAAATAAATAAATTTCGTTTATTTGAACACTCAGACTTTAGGAACATAAAAAATTACTTTAAATAAAAATGTTCATTATTTTTTATAAAAAATAATTTTTAAAAAATAATTTAAAGTGACAAGAGAAGCGGAAACCTATTCTAAAAAAAATATAATTAAAATAAATCCACTTGCTAAGTAAATAATTCAGTTTAATTTTATTTTTAATTAAACGTGAATTGATTATAATTAGCTGTCACTAAATGATTCACCAAAATATTACAACCTGGACTCCATCACATCATTGGAGGCAGGAGGGACTAACCAGGATCGCGGATATCCTCGACGCGATATATCCTTTCCTCCTTGTGGAATCTGGACCATTTGGTAAAAAACATCCTTCCCGTCCTTCCTTCTTGTATCTCAGAATCAGCAATAATCCAAAAAATATTCAGAAACGCCTGATGGTAATCCTTTTCAGTTTTAGCACAACACATCACTTTCATATTATTTCACATTTAAGTCTTTTTTTTAATTTTAAGTTTCTTTTAATAGTTTCTTATATTTTATTTCACGCTTGATTTCAATGTTCACTTTATTTCACATACACTTAACACTTATTTTGATCACTTTTTTTTAAATTAACCGAAGTCCCGACGTTTTAAATTTGCACTTTTTTTTAGTTATTTCTAAACAGAGATATTTTTATTTTTATTATTATCCGAATTTTCATTAAATTTTTTATTTAACTGGTAATTAAGATTTTCACTTCACTGATAATCATCTTTTTATTTAACTTATTACAACTCTAACCTTTATTTTATTATGGAAATATATCAAATTTGCAACTGAAATGTAAATATTTACTCGAATAATGATTTCTGAGATTTCAATTGAAAACTATTTTTCCAAAGTTGTATTGAATTCAAAACAATAATATCATAAAAAACTTTTAAACTTGCAGTGAAATTATATATTCTGAACAATAAAAACCAAAAGACTTTAAGCAAAAAAATTAAATCGATATTAAAAAATGTGACAAAAAAACTTTAACAATTTTAATGGAAACTTTTGCAGATGGCTGTCCCAAAAGCCACATGTCAACATGCTTTTCGGATGAACAAATTTTTTGTTAATTTTTCAGAGAAATACTATCACACTAAAGTCGAATGTAGCATGTATAAAGAAACCTAACAGTCTAAATCGAAAATTTACATTTTATGCTCGAAAAAAAGTAAATTTCGCCAGAAGAAAATGTTGAATAAAGTCCACACGTGACTGACAATTCTTCACTCTATTAAGCACAAATTCTACCACTATAGCACCAATTTTATCAATATTTGAACTAAATTAACAATATTCAACTCGTCAGCACTCTATTTTCTAACAAAAGACACAAACAATCACGGAAATATTAAAGAAAAGAAGATTTGAAAACAATATTTACAAGTGACAATGAAACTGTAAGTTTGCGAGGTTAGAACTGTGGCAAAACTGAGTTTGCTCAAATTGTTATATTCACCGAATTAATCCTTGGAATCACACGTCCATTTGTGTTCTTAATCACGAAAAACTAACTTTGTGAAAAATATTTACAACAATAATAAGATTTACAGGTCGACTTGACAAGAAACTTTTCACGAAATGTGAAACTACTTCGCGTTCTTCACCGTATTTAGTAACAAGCACTGCTGCCAACCTAATTCGATAAATTGTAAAATTCCCTTCCTTTTCACGCTGATACCAACATAAAAGGAATTCATTCAGTCGTTTATAAAAAATATAATTTAAAAGTTATTTAAATACTGCTAAATAATAAAAATATTAATTTCTGAATGTAATAATATAAATAAAAATAAAAAGCATATAAAAATTAATTCTAACTAAGTGGAATATTTTATTTTTACTTTCAAATTGGTATGGATTTTAAAAACGCGCCAAAATTACTAAAATGTTTACACTCTGAAGTTAACTTTCTATTAAATCAGTTGAAAATTCGTTTCTTTGAAAAGTTTCTATTAACGGATTTCTAAGAATTCGACCAAAATTTCCGTTACCTTGAAAAATTATTCTAACAAAAAATTATTTTCCAACAATCTACATACATTTGATAAGTTAATTATAATGTACACATTTACAAATTGCAATAATTTTTTTTTTATTTTCAGCTGAGAATTAATATTTTGACTCGAAAATTTACAAATTTTTTTTTACTTGAAAACGAGCGAATTCTTCTACTGGTACTATTTACTGTGAATTCTCGGAAAAATTCTACTTTTTTAACACCGATTTTGTCAATAATTATTGAACTAATTTTACGATATTCAAGGTATTGGTACCTGATTTTGTAAGAAAAGACACAAACAATAGGAAAATAATGAAGAAAAAAAATTGAAAACGAAATCTGCAAGTGACAATGAACTCTAAGTTAGAATCAGGGGCGGATCTGTAAAAATCGAGTTTGTTCGAAATATCATATTTACCGAATCAATCCTTGAAATTATACGATTGTGTAAATTATTTTCTTGTAAAAACTAACTTTTTGGAAAATATTTACGACTGTAATGAAATTTTACGTGTGGACACGACGAGCGACTTCATCGCACTGATTGCGCCAAAACTATTCTCGCTACACTGTGAATATATGATATACAACAATGTTGCCAACCTAAAGTAATAAATAAAGCGCCAAATTTTCTTTACGATGTATAGCCTGAAGTTAGCTTACTAAAAATTTAACAGAAAATTCGTTTTTTCCGAAAATTTGTCATTACTTTGCGTGAAATAGACAATTTAATTAGAGTTATTTTTACAGAAAGAAAAAAATTTCACGAATTGCAAAATAATTTCCTCTTTCATGTATTAATAAACACATTCTAACCGAATTATTATACTAATAACAAAAAATTCGTAAATGGAAAATTTATCACTGTAACAAAAAAATTCAAAATGGCGGACACACGTATTTCGTGTCGTGTGAAATCTTGTTGAAGTTATCAAGAAATTGAATCGAAATTATTCATCATCTATGCTAATTTAGATATTTTTAGCTCAAAAGTATAACTTCTATTCTAAAATGTTTCATTTTTTCAATTGAAAATGAGAAAATTTTACTATTAGAAAAGATGATGTCAAGTGAACGCTTGACCAAAAATTCTCTTTGTTAGGAAAAAGTTTTACAATTTTGGAAATAATTTTACGAATCAGGGCTCAAAATTTACGCTTTATAATACTTTGGCTTCATATTTCGTAACAAAGTCTCTAGAACTTTGGAAAGAATAAAGAAAAAAAAGATTTGAAAGTAATATCGGCAAGTGACAATGAACTCTAAGTTAGAGAGGTTAGAATTGCGTGAAAAAATGTGTTCGAAATGTTATATTTACCGAATCAATCCTTGCGATCTCACGTTTATTTATATTATTAGTTGCGAGTAAACTAATTTCATGAGAAATAATTACGGTAATACCAAAATTTACTTGTCTAGACTGTGAGAAACGCTTCTCGACTGAGCGACGCAGCCGCAACTTTGCCTTCTCGTTCTAGTAACAAGCAATGCTACCAACCTAATTCGACAAATTATAAAATTCCCTATCTCCCCTCACTAATACCAACACAACATAATTAAATGCAGAATCTTATGGAAATTTTGAAATTATTTTTGGAAAAATAAAGAAAACTAGTATTAAAAAGTATTGATATAAATTAAAATAATGAAAAAGAAAGAAAATAATTATACTTTCATAAGTTGTAAATCGTTTCATTGAGGATATATCAATTTTCTACTTTTGCACTGAAACTTTTTTACTTTTGAAATAAAATGTTATTAATTTTTAAAAGTCTAAAATTATTCTTTTCACTCAAAAATTACAGTTGTTAACCCAGAATAATTAAATTTTACTGCAAATTAATTTGGAAAAAAGTAATTGCTCCATTGTTCATGCCCCCTAATTATAATGTAGAAATTTTATTACTTTAAAACTGATTTTACCAATTGATGCTACAAATTTACAAAATGCAACACCTTTGTTCTCTATTCTGTAACAAGTGGCACAAAATTATTGTAAATAATTAACAAAACAAAAAGTTAAAAAAAGTGTTTGCAAGTGACAATGAATTCTAAGTTTAAAGGTACACTCTCACCTCACTGCCTGCCTGCCTGCGCAGGCAGGCGCCATAAGAGTGAGAGAGAAAAAACATTTAATTTGAATTTTCTTACTCTCTTACTCCTATGTGTTACCATGTCAACCTGCAGGCAGGCAGGCAGGCAGTAGGAGCTGTGCTAGCGCCTTAAGAGGTTAGAATTGTATCGAAATCAAGTTTGATCAAAATGTTATATTATTTTACCGACTCAATCCTTGAGATCACACGTTTATTTCTATTGTTAATCACATATAAATTAACTTAGTAAAAAATATTTAAACTATTAATAAAATTTATGTGTCAACACGACGAGATTCTCTTCTCGAATGCACCACTCTTCGCTCTTGTCACTGTTTAGTAACAAGCAGTGTTGCCAACTCAAAATATCTACTCAATGTGAAAAAATTAAATTTAATTACTCTTAAAAAATATAGTTTTAAATCAATTAAAATCATAGATAAGAAACAAAAATACTCGTTTTAAAAGTAATTGTATTCGTAATAAAAAATTTTAATTTCAAATATATAAAAAATATTTTATTTTCATTTTTTAATTATTCCAAATTTGAATAAATGCGCCAAATTCCAAAAAGGTGGTCACACTGAATTTAGTTTTTTACCTCAGGCTGGAGTCCCATGACAGCGTTTTGCGTTGCGTTTTGTAACTAGGCAATGAGTGCAAATATAGCAAACATATATTTTCATCTCTCTCACACTCATGGCCTAGTTACAAAACGCAACGCAATACGCTGCCATGGGACTCCACCCTCAGGAATTTTAATAATAATTTTATTTAATTATTAATTTTCCTTTGAAAACTTAATGAATATTAAAAAATTGATTGTTTTACTTTCCTTTTATTCAATATTCACATAACTATCACGTAAATTCTGCTTTTTCTAAAATAAAGAAAACATTTCCACAGCGATTCTAACCTCAAAATTCCCATATATGTCAGGAAAACGATAACTTCATTGACTAATGACTACGTCATCGTCAGCGTCATAGAATACACAAACCGTTTGCGAAAACTCCAATTTCATCAATTGTTCCACAAATTGTTCAAAAATGCCGAGTCAAGAAGTACTCACGACAAAAGTTGTCGTTCACCCCTTAGTTTTACTAAGTGTGGTGGACCATTTTAATCGAATGGGAAAAATTGGCAATCAAAAAAGAGTCGTCGGTGTACTTTTAGGTTGTTGGCGAGCAAAAGGTGTCTTGGATGTCTCCAACAGTTTTGCAGGTTAGAATTTATTTTTGTCTCTTGTCTTTAATTTTTTAATGATTCAGTAATCTATTTTAACTTTTAAGTAAATTAATTCCAAGTTTAGTTTTTATGTAATTTTATTTTAAAAAATTCTGGTTAATCAGAAGAAGGAAGGAGAGGTTGTTATAAATTGATTGTTTTTAGTTCCTTTCGATGAGGATGACAAGGATAAATCTGTATGGTTTTTGGATCATGACTATCTTGAAAACATGTTCGGAATGTTTAAAAAAGTTAATGGTAAGTTTGTTTATTTTAATGTTTGAAATCCATAGATTTCATCTAATTGATTAAAATAATTGACTAAATTTTTTAGGGAGAAGTGGATTTTTTATCTGTTGTACTAATTGTCGTATTTATTTTTCAGCTCGTGAAAAAGTCGTTGGATGGTATCACACTGGTCCTAAATTGCATCAAAATGATGTAGCAATTAATGAACTTATCCGAAGGTATTGTCCAAATTCCGTTTTGGTGATTATTGACGCTAAACCAAAGGATCTTGGTCTTCCGACAGAAGCTTATCAGGCTGTCGAAGAAGTTCACGACGTAAGATTACTTTAACTTTTTAATAAATTTTAAATTTTGCTTGTTTTCTGACTCTAAAATCGAATTAAATTCTGTCGATAAAGTTGAAAACGTTTTAAGTCAAAAATTAATGGAAAAAAAATAGTTTCCACACAAAAGATATTAAAATTTTTTTTTTACAATTTTGCTTTTTAAAATAATTGACAAGTAAAATTTGTAAATAATTTTTGAAGCGAAAAATCTCTATATTAATAATCGTTGTATTCTAATAATCTGTTCGCAGTTTGAAGTTAGTTAAACTTTTTTAATAATTTTTTTTTTAATATTTAAAATTTAATGTATCGAAAATCATCGAATTGTTGCAAAGAATTTTATCAAAAAATTTGACAATAATAGAATTCCTTCGAAGAATTTTATTATTTAGGAAAATAATTGTTTTTTTAAAATTGTTGAAAATTCTAATTCAATTCTTTTTGAAGAATATCTTTAAATTTTTTTTTAAATAATGGAGTTTCTTTAATAATTTTAATTAAAATTTTTGAAATAATTGCATTTTATAAACAATTTTTTTTTAAGTTTTTAAAATAATTTTGTTGCTTAATAATTAAAATTGAACATTTAATTATTGAATTTTATTAAAATTTTAGAAAAGAATTAATTTCTTTTGAAAAATTGAATTTTTGCAATTAATTTTACTTTTTATAAATATAATTGAATTGTTTCGAAGGATTTATTAAAAGTTTAGAAAATAATTGAATTCTTTAGAGAAATTTTTTAAAAATTGTATTAAAAATAATTGAATTTTTTTAAACAATCTATTAAAATTTTAAAAAATAATTGAATTCTATTGAAATTTTTTATACCGAATTAAGAAAAAAATTGAATCCTTCCGTGAAATTGTTTTGAAAATAATTGAATTTTGTCGAAAAATATTATTAAAAACTAAAAAAAATTGAATTTTTTCATTAAATTTTATTAAAATTGTATTAAAAATAATTGAATTTTTGCAAATAATTTTATTATTTATAAATAAAATTCAATTGCTTCGAAGGATTTGTTTAAATTTTAGGAAATGATTGAATTTTTCGAAATATTTTATAACTAATTAAGAAAATTAAATAAATTCTTAGGTGACATTTTTTTGGAAAATAATTGAATTTTTGCAAAGATTTTATAACGAATTAAGAAAAAAATTGAATTCTTTCGTAAATTCTTTTTTAAAATAATTAAATTTTTGCAAACATTTTTACTATTTAAAAAATGAATTGAATTGTTTCGAAGGATTTATTAAAATTTTAGAAAATATTTGCATTCGTTCGTGAAATTTTATTAAAATTTTGTTTAAAAATAATTGAATGTATGCAAAAAATTTACTATTTATAAAAATAATTAAATTTTTTGGAAGAATGTTATCATTTGTTAAAATAATTGAATTCTTGCGATGAATTTTATTAAAATTTTTGAAATTAATAAACAAGAATAATAATTAATTAGAAAAGTAGTTGATATTTGATCTTTTTTAAAGTTAGAATCTGAAAATTAATCAAAAATTCATATTTGAGATTAAATGATTTTGTAATTTGTTCAATTATAAATATAAATGTAAACGTTGTGAACTTCATCATTGTATGAAATTAAATTACTGAAAATAGATTGAAAAGAGAAGAGGAAAATAATTTTTAAAATTTTGTTCAGGATGGATCTCCAACCTCAAAAACTTTTGAGCACATCCCCAGCGAAATTGGAGCCGAAGAAGCAGAGGAAGTTGGAGTAGAACATTTACTCAGAGATATTAAGGACACGACTGTTGGCACTCTTAGTCAAAGGATCACGAATCAACTTCTTGGTTTGAAGGGACTTCATGGTCAAATAAGAGAAATTAGAGATTATCTTATTCAGGTTCGAATACAAAAGTTTCTTTTTAATATTTATACAAAATTTTTCATTCTATTTTCCAAAAGAGAAATTCAAATTCAAAAATTGATTCCAGGTAGGAAATGGTAAATTACCAATTAATCATCAAATAGTATATCAGCTTCAAGATATTTTCAATCTTCTTCCCGACATGACACAAACTTCTTTTGTTGACTCACTCTATGTAAAAACAAACGATCAGATGCTCGTCGTTTATTTAGCTGCCTTAGTAAGATCAATTATTGCTTTGCATAATCTTATAAATAATAAGTTAACAAATCGTGACGCCGAGAAGAAAGAAACCGATAAGAAGGACGTGAAAAAGGACGAGAAAAAGGAAGACGAAAAGAAGGACGAAAAGGAGAAAACAAAAGTGAAGTGAAATTAATTGTTTTTGTATTTAATAAAAAAAAACTCCCCGATTTCTCGTACAATCGGAAATGTCTCTAAAATCATGAACAATTTAAAGTCAATCACTTTTTAAAAAGCAGTATATAATTGGAAAAAAGGTGTTCCTTAAAGAAATTAAAATCAGATAAAACAAGAAGTTTAAATAATTTTGGAAAGTGGAAATTATTTACAGGTAAAGTACATAAAAAACGAAATTAATATTATTTCTTTATTTACAAATTGTGCTTTAAAATGTTTCAATACAAGAGAAAATAATGGAATAGCTCAGAAATGAGCAATTAAATTTTTTTACTCTAACTTTCTACTTCATGAATTATTTTAAATTTTTGTCACTTTTATTTAATATTAGTTAATTAATTCGTAGCTTTGTGTTATTTAACAAGGCTTGTTTTTCATTTATAAGTCACACTGTTAACACGTTGACTCACCCTAAGACTTTGCAAAACTGTTTTTCTATCTAAAAACATCTATTATCGATTTTTAATGCGGTAATGTACAAGATTAAAATGTATTTTATAAAGAGAAAAAAGTTTTCTTGAAAAATAATCCTTCATTAACAAAACTGTATCTTTTTTTTAATAATTTTCCTTACATTTACTTTCAGTTATAACAATCTATAATAATATTTTATATTATTATAATATTATAATTCTTATCGTTAAATTTAATTTTTGAATAATTTCTGATTTAAAATTTTTAAAAATTCACTTATTAAGTACATTATTAATTGTTATTGTAGATATAATACAATTCTTCTCAGGAATTTAATTATTTTTAATACAATTTTAATAAAATTTCTCGATAGGATTCAATTATTTTTAAAAATGTAATAAAAGTTTTCTAAAGAATTCAATTATTCAAAAAAGTTTTTATCAAATTTAATTATTTTCGAAAATTTTAATAAAAATCTTCGAATTCAAATATTTTCGTAAAAAGTAAAATTCTTTGCAGGAATTTAATTATTTAAAAAGAATTTTAATAACATTTTTCGGAAGAATTCACTGATTTTGAAAAACGTTATTAAAATTCTTCGAAAGAATTCAATTATTATTATAATTAATACAATTTTTCTCAGGAATTCTATTATTTTCATTACAGTTTTAATAAAATTTCTTTATAAGTAGTAAAATCGTCGAAAGAATTCAATTATTATTATAAATAATACAATTTTTCTAAGAAATTCTATTATTTTCATTACAATTTTAACAAAAATTTCTTGAAAGGATTCAATTATTTTTAAAAATTATAAGAAAATATTTCTAAAGAATTCAATTATTTTTATAAATAATAAATTTCTTTGCATGAAGTAAATTATTTTCTTTAGCATTTTTTTTTTAATTTCCCGGAAGAATTTAATTATTTACAACAAATTTTAATAAAATTCAAATATTTTCAAAATTATCATTTAAAATTATTACAAAAACCACATTATTTCCAAAAAAAACTGAAAGAACTTTAAAAGAATTTAATTTTCTATTAATAATTTTAAAAAAAATTTAATGATAAAATTGTTAATTATAATTATTAACGAAATCAATTATATTAAAAAAAATTAAAGAAACTCTTCTAAAGAATTCAATTATTTTCAATAGTTTAATAAAATTCAGAGAAGAATTTAATTAATTTCTAAAAATTCTAATAAAATTCAATAATCAAGTATTTAATTACAATTTCTTACAAATGCGATTATTTAAAAAAATTTGAAAGCAATTCTTCATAAAATTCAATTATTTTTCAAATTTTCAATTAAAATTATTAAAAAAAACCATTTTAACAAAATGTCTGGAAAGAATTCAATTATTTTCAAAAATTTTGATTGAATTCTTCAAAAGAATTAAATTATTTTCAAATTTTTTTTATAAAATTCTTCTAAAGAATTAAATAATTTTGAATAGGTAATACAATAACGATTATTAATGTAGATAGATAGATTATAAAAAACGTTTAATCTATAATTATTACCCTAATTAGTAATTATATTATAATTATTACCATAATAATATAATTATTATTATAGTGATGTTATAATTACAAAATAGCTTAAAATTACATCTTTTAAATTATTTATTACATTCTTTAAATTATTTGGTATAAATATTTATAAATCCTAAAAAATAATTATCATCGAATATCTTACAGGTATTACGCAAAACATATTTCCGTAAATTAAAAATTGGTGCTAGAAAAATATTAATAAAAAATAAACTTTTCTTTCAAATTGAAATGCAATCAATTACCAACAGTCTTATATAAACTTTAAAGAATACTTTTATATAAATAAAGAAATGTCGCTGAAGTTAGCGTCGACGCTCATCGTCGAAAACTTTTGTTCTGGACTTTCAGAAGGAAAATGTCACTAATTTCCATTAATTGATTTATTTAAGGAGTTAAAAAAATATTCAGAGAAAAACACTTTGAAATATTTGATTCTTTTCGATTTCTTGAAAAAAAAAATTTTTAGGAACTAACTTCAGGGACAAAAAACAGATAAATTAACATTAACAAATTAATTGAATCGAAAATAAACTCCAAAGTGTAATGATTATTTGCGTTCCAAAAAATGTCCATTGATTAATCAACAAATTATCGACTCCTGAGTACACATCACCTAAATATGGATCTATAGGACTGTCATTGTAATGTTGAAAATACCAATTGAATGCATTATCATCGTTGAATTTATCGCTGTCATTACTGACAGTGTGTGAATCGTTGATTCTCTTTGAATAGCGAGATTCTGATGATAAATTTCTACTCTCATTTCTATTTGATTCAGAAGCATTTACAAATGGTGATGATACTTTGGTTATTGTCGATCGTCCAACTGAACGTAAATTATTGCTCGGTACTGCAATTGGTACTTGACCGCCGGGTACTAAAAGTGCCGAGAGTGCTGAAGCTTCCAAAGTTGGTGACGCTTGAGAAGTTGAATTTAATTTTTCCACTGGACGCGTTGTCACTGATGATAAAAATTGTGGTGTTGGAATGTCCGTTGTGACTGGTTCTTCTGTTTCTGAAAATAGATGAATTATTGGAAATATTAAAAAATTTGATGTTGAAAATATTTCTATATTTACAAAAAAATTTCAATATTTCAAAACAATTAAAATTAAAAGAAATATGAGCCTCGGATAGACTTTAGTAGACGATTATTTTACAGACATTTTAACAAAACTCTTCTAAGTATAAAAATTATTTCAATAAAATTAGACGATATTTTTAAATCTTTGAGATTTTTTTAATTAATTTTTTTCGGAACTTCAATTATTTGCAAAAAATTTCAAATATAAGTTTTCAAAAACCTAAGATTTTTAGAATTTCTAAATCATATTATTCAAACTTCAATAATTTTGTCAAATAAATATTTACATAATTTTTTATATTTATTTTTCCACAGATAGTAAAATTGTCTAAAATTTCAATTTAAAACCTTCAGAATTTCAATTATTTATAAAAATTAAAATGTACTTCATTTAAAATTCAATTACTTTCTATAATTTCTAACTAGAATGTTTTATATTCAATTTTAGTTTTAATAATTTAAAGAAAGTTCCTTAAATATTAAATTGGTTTTAAAAAAAGTACTATTTTTGAAAAATCTAACTTCTTCAGAATTATGAATTAAAATTGTTAAAATTTTCAAAAGTTTAGATAATAAATTTTCTCAAATTAAATTGTATAGGAAATTTTTACTATAACTCTTCCAATATTCAATTATTTTCTAGAATTTTTAACAAAAATTCTTCTCTAATTATTTGCAATAATAGTTTTTAGAAAGTTCTTTGGAAATTAAATTATTCGAAACAAAAATTTATAATTTTTCAAAAAATTAAATTCATTAGATTTTCTATTTTAAATCATAAATAATTCAATTTTTTAAAAATTTCAATTTCCAACTTAGAATTTTTTCAATTAAATATTTTCGGGAATTCAATTATCTAATTAATTTTAATTATTTTGAAAAAGTTCTGTCTGTCAGAATTCAACTATTAAAAAAAGAAAATCTCAATTTTTCTTTTTTTTAAATGAATTTTACGAAATCTCTATTATTCAACAACTTTTTAATTAAAAAATATTCATTAAAAAATTCAACTAATTTTAATAAAATTTGAATTAAAATTGTTCAAAAAACTAAGTTCTTCAGAATTTTTGAAAAAAAGATTTAAAATTAAAAATTTGAATTTCAAAAACCAGAAAATTAATTATTTCTAAAAATTACAACACTTTTTTAAAAATTCTATTATTTTCTACAATTTTTATTTGAAATTCTTCTTGAAATCAATTATTATATTTGTAATCATTTTTAGAAAGTTCTCTAAAAATTGGATTATTCAAAAAAAATTTATATTTTTTTTTAAAACTAAGTTTTTCAGAATTTTTCATTTAAATTATTAAAAATTAAAATTTTCAAACGTTTCTATTCAAAACCTGTGTAAATTTAATAATTTCTAAAAATTGCAACTGTATTTTTTTTTTAAATTCAACTGTTTATCATTTTTAATCAAAATTCTTGTATAAATCAATTATTTGTAAAAATAATTGCAACTGTAACTTTTCATAGTTTTTTTTAAGCTTTTACAATAAAATAGAAAATTCGAAGACAATTTAACATTTTCAATCCTTTGTTTTTAATAAAAACCAGAGTTTTTGCAGCATTTCTAGAAATTTGGTATTTTTTTTATTACTTTATAGATAAAATTTCCTGATATTATTTACCAAATTGTTTTCTTATTGTCGAAATTCATAAAACTGTAAAAAATAGTCTAATTTAAAAATAAATTTTGAAAATTATTTGAAACGAAATTTAAAATCGAAATAACTTCCATTTTATTGCAATAAAAATTGTATTTTGTTTGCAAGATGTAAAAGAAAATTCGAAATAGTTCTCATTTTATTAAAATACGGCGAAAAAAGTCGAAAGATTGATTTCGTCAGAGGACTGCTGCTAATTACCATAAATAAAAATTTTAGAAGCAAATTATTGAAGTTAATTTCAAAAATTGCTGTGCTCACCAAAATTATTTTCGTTTGGTAGTGTCGTTTCAATAGTACCAATTGTGGTTGTCTCCTTCTGTAGAATTTTACTCTCGAATATCCTCTTCTTCTTTAGAGTAACCACCTCGACAGTAGTTGTTTCCTGAGTAACACTTTCAGTCGACTCTAAATTAGGAATTGTCGTCCAAATAATCTTACTAGCGACTTTTTCTCTCGAAACACCTTTTTTTGAATCCTCCTCAACCTCTAGACTTTCGCCAATATAAATTTCAGTAGAAAATGACGTTTCCTCCGCCTCTGGATTTATCTCATCCACCACTGATTTATAAGTCCCGGGTAGATTTTCGAATAAATTTCTCGGCGTTGGCAAGAAAACAGATTCATTCTTAACACTCGCCGATGTTGATAATTCCTCTCTGTCTTTAATTTCCGGCTTTTTACTTGTGATTCTTTCAATTTTTTCCACTGTAAAATTTGAATGTTTCAGTCGTTTTCGTTCGTCGTGAATTTTTGTGACTGTTGTGTTTTCTCGTATTTTCGGTGATTTCACAATGGGAAGGGATTTATTATTATTTTGCGTGAGACGTGGATCAACGATGGGTATAAAACCGCCTTCACCTTGTGGAATTGGTACAAATCCGCCACGATGAATTTCCGGCTCTGTGGGTGGATAATTTTTGTAACGTGTCTTTCCGGATTGATCGTCTTCATCTTCTTTTCTATTCGCCTTTCGTCCGGCATTACCCCAAAGATTGAAATTTAAATTTGGTAGGGGAACGCCGAAAAATGTGAAACCTGAACTACTTGGCGAAGGTGGAACTGATGGTGGTTTTTTCGTTGGATTGGTAATATTCTTTATGTTTAATAATAATGGAGGTAGAGTCGTTTGTATTATTTCCGGTTCTGGAGAAGGAGGAACGATGATTGGCGATAGAGTCGGTGGATAAAGTGTCACTGGCAGATCAGTTGTATTTTCCAAATTGTAATCAACATAGTCGTGGTAATAATAGTCCATATCTTGCGAAATTGACTGACCATTTTGATTCTTTATGTCCATCCAAGGTTTTTGTTGCGTTCCATACACTGAAAAAAGTCGATTTTTTAATAAATTGTAATTTATTTTTAATTATTATTATTTTTATTATTAATTATTTATAATAATCGTCGTATTTTCATTCCATCATGAATTCATTCTGCACATACCACAAATAAATAATTTTTTACGAATGTTATTATTTTTCTAAAAGTTCTGACAGTTAAAGTTAATAATGATATTCAAATAATTCTTTCATATTTTTTCATATTTTTCTTGAAAAAAAACGATTATACTTCAAAACTGGGTTTTTTTTTAATAAATAAATAAAAAAACGAATTATTGATTTGAAGAATTTGACAAAATTGACAAATGTTTGAAAATTTTTCAAATAATTATTTTCAAGAATTCAATTATGTGCAAAGAAATGAAAAAAAAAATTGTTAAAAACCTAAAATTTTTTAAATTTCTAAACTAAATTATTTAAAACTTCAATAATTTAGTTAAAAAAATATTCAAATACTTATTGATATTTATTATTCCACAGAGAACTAAAATTTTTCTAAAGTTCAATTTTAAATCTCCTGAAAATCAATTATTTCTAGAAACTAAAACTAATTCTTAAAAAATTCAATTATTTTCTATAATATTTTAAACCGCAATTATTCAAAACTAAAATAATTTTTTGAAATATTTAAATATTAATTAAAGTTCTACATTAACATAAATTTTCAAAAAAATTTGATTTGAAACCATTTGTAATTGAATTATTTCAAAAATTGCAACTGTAATTCCTCCAAAATTCAATTATTTTCTACAATTTCTAAGTAAAATTCTTCTCTAAATTAATAATTTTTAATAATTGTGAAAAAGTTCTTTCAGAATTTAATAACTCAAAAAATGAAAAGTTCATTTAAAAATTAAAATACGTTAAAAATTTAATTTTTCTCAATTAAATTTGATAAAATTTCGAAAATTTTTCAAGGGTTTTGAAAAAAATTATTAAATATTCAAATTTTCATTAAATTTCAATTTTAAAATGTTCTAAAATTTAATTAAATTCTATAAAAAAATTACAACTGTACCAATTCTGACAAAATTCAATTATTTACTTAGACTTATCAACTAAAATTTCTTTTTAAATCAATTATTTTTAATAAATTTTAGAAAGTATTTTCAGAATTCAATTATTCAAAAAGAACGAAAAGTTCATTTAAAGTTCAATAATTTTCAATTAAAATTTTACGATATTTTGTTTATTCGAAAAATTTTCAACCAAATAATAATTCAAAATATGAACAAATTTTAAATTTCTAAAACATTTGAATTCAAAATTTTCGAAAAAACTGAGTTCTTTAGATTTTTTAATTTAAATTATTCAAAATTAAATTTTGCATAAAAATTTGAATTTGAAACCTTCATAAATTTAATTATTTTTAAAATTGTCAGCTATGATTCCTTCAAAATTTAATTACTTTCTATAATTTTTTTGACTAAAATTATTCAAACGTTTAATAATTGTTTCAATTATTTAAAATTAAATTTTATTGAACTTCTACATCACATAAATTTTTCAAAAACTATTTTTTTTTAATCCTTTTGAAATTTAATTAATATTTCTAATCATTCTTACTGCAACTTCTCTAAAATTAAAATTTTTTTCTAGACATTTTTAACAACAATTCTTCTCTAAAAATCAATTATTAATTTTAATATTTTTGAATTAAAATTTTTCAAAAACTATGTTTTTCAGAGATTTAGAAAAATTAGAAACTTAATTATTTCTGAAAATTACAGCTGCAATTTTTTCAAAATTCAATTATTTTGTACAATTTTTGTCTAAAATTTTTCTTGAAATCAATTATTTGTAACAATTTTTAGAAAGTTCTTTAAAAATTCAATTATTCCAAAAAAAATTATAATTTTTCAAAAATCTAAGATCTTTAGAATTTTTAATTAAAATTTGTTATATTTTCAAACATTTCATTTTTAAACATTTTTTAATTAAACTATTTCTAAAATTTTTTACTATAACTCTGTCAATATTTAATTATTTTCTAGAATTTCCAACTAAAATTCATCTCTAAAATATTTATTAAATTATATTTTCACAAAATTCTTCGAAAATTTAAGAACTGAAAATAAAAATGGTAATTTTTCAAAAACTTAAGTTCTTTAGAATTTTTAATTTAAACAATTCAGTATTCGATTTTATTTAATGGGGTTTTTAATTTAACTAATTTTTGAATGTTTAAGTGGCACTTTTAATTAATTACATAATTAATATTTAGATACTTGGATTTTTTAAATTTTGAATTTGAAATATATTTTCCCATCTATGTATTTAGTATTTTTTAAGCATTTAAAGATATTGTTTTGCTTCGTTTTGAAATTGTTTAAAATTTTGTTTATTTCGTAATAAAAAGTATTTTAAAATTTAAAGGATGGAAGAAGTTTTTATTAGTTTTATAGAATTAATTCTTAATTGCGAACGATCTTAAACTACTCAGACCAATTAAACCACCACTTTCATTGAGCAACTTACAAGAAGAGGAATCAGGTGACGGAGAATCCTTAATCATTTCCGACTCGCAACCAGGATGAACAGTTTCGATGTACCTCTCGCGTTGACAATCCTGACGAGATAATCTGATATCTCTGAATAAAGATCCATCGGCACATCTCGGACCCTCTGCAGAAGCTTGTTGTAACCATCCTCTAAGCCAGATCATTCCACACGAACAAGACAAAGGATTACCTAATTTATTTGAAACGAAAAATTAAATTATTTTATTTATTCAAAAAAAATATCCCAACTACTTATCAGAAAACATTTAAAATTAAAAAACAGTAATTTATTCAAGTCCCTAAAGTTAGAGTCGAAAATTATTATTCGCAGCTTTTAGAGATGAAAATGTCATTAATTTAACTTCTTTTATTCACTTACGGAGTTAAATTATTTTTAAGACACTTTTCTGTCCTCTTTTAGAAAAAATAGTTTGATTCGTTTTGATTTCGTGAAAAAAATATTTTTCGACGTCAGGGACTTATTTATTAAAAATCATTTATTGATTTTAACTAGATTTCTGTATTTCTATTTATTGATTTTCATTTGACATTCAACATTTTCTGTTTCAAGACAAGAAAAAAAAAATGATTTCCTAGTCTCGTTGAAAGTGCTAATGAAGAAATCTCAAGGCTTGTTATTCAACAGATAGAAATCTATTAATTAATCAAATCCGTCTCCTATTACAAACGGAGACTATTAATTATGCAGTAAACAATATTTTTTCAAAATCATAATAGAAAATAAAAATATTACCATCGATATCGAGAACAGCAATATTAGAACGAAGTCTTTTGAATGCGCCCTCGGAAACAGAAGCCATTTTATTATTTCGCAAGCTGAGTACTCGTAATCTTGGCATATCGTCAAAGGGTGAACCTTGAATTGTACAGATACGATTGTTGTCCATCTGTATAAAGTGTATAAAGTGAAAATGTATTGATATGATAAATAAATGCAAATTTTATGCAAAATATATACAGAAGAGAATACTCTCTATCTTCTAGAGTCATCATTTGAAAACATAGTAATTGTAAATATATTCACCGTAACGAACGAGATTTCGTTCATAATAGGATAAATTTCACTCTCGACGAGAAAGTATTAATGACTTGAGGCGAAAAAAAAACTCTCACCTTCAACTCTACGAGCCACTCCATCGCAGCGAGACCATCGTTCGAAACTCTTGATATTCGATTGTTACTTAAATCCAAAACCTCAAGGGATCTCATACTATCCAAACCCATATAGTCCAAACTTGGTAGATAATTATTGCTTAAATTTAGGAAAAGCAGATGGGGCACATTGATGAATGCGTTGGTTGATATTTCGTCAATTTGGTTATCTTGAAGTTCTGCACTTTGTAGGAGAGGCAGTTCCGAAAATGCTCCGCTTGGTATCATCTGAAAAAATTGAAAATTAGAATTAATAAAAGTAATTAATTTCAATTAATTAAAAATGACGTTTTTCATTTAAATTTAAAATTATTTTTGACTGAAAATAATTAATTAAATTTATTTAAACGCATTTTATAAGTTCAGGGTTGTCACAAATAATTAATTCTGTATTTTTCTGACTTTTTCCTGATTTCCAGAGAAAATTTTGTCATTTTCCCTGATTTTTTTTCAAAGAAAAATTCAAGAGGACAATAATTATTAAAGAATTAGAATTTTAAAGTATTAGAAAATTTCAATACACTCAGAAAAATTAAAATTATTATAGAATATTAGGAAAATTCAATTCATTCAGAAAAAATTCAATTATTTTTAATAGAATTTTAGGAAAATTCAAATATTTCAAAAACCTTTAAAATATTTTTAGTTTAGAATTTTATGAAATTTCAATTATTTTTAATAGAATTTTTTAGGAAATTTTAATTATTTTAAATAGAATTTCAGAAAAATTTCAATTACTTTAAATAGAATTTTAGAAAATTTCAATTATTCAGAAAAATTTCAAATACTTTTTTATAGAAATCCAATTATCTTTAAAACATTAAACTGAAATATTCTAGAAAACTGTTTTTTCAAAAGTTTGAACAAAATTTTTCAAAATTTCAATTTTTTAAAAAGATTTAAAATTGAAAGCATTTTAAAAATGAAATTTTATTTTTTTACACATGCCAATGCAATTCTTTAACAAATTTAATTATTTTCAATTAAATTTCACCAAATTTTAATTAGTTGGATAATTTTTTTACAAAGTTTTTTTAATTTCAAATAAAATTATTTAAAACTTAAATCATTTTTCAAATAAAAATATTCAATTGAATTAAATTTTTTGACAGTAATTAAAATTTTTTAAAAATGTCAGATAAAAATATTCTGAAATTAATTTATTTCCTAAAATTGAAATTGATTTTAACTAAAATTTTTATGAAAACTTAAATTTTTCTACTTTAATAATTTTATTTTCATAGAGAATTCTTAAAGTTATTAAAAATAATTGTTTTAGAAAAGAATTGTAGTTAAGAATTTTATAAAATAATTAAATATTGGAAAAGTTAAAGTAGAAATTTTTAAATATAATTTCATTTCGGAAGATTTAAAATAGGAATTTTTGAAAATTTGAATTTTGAATAATTTTACATTAAAAATTCTAAAGAGCCTAAGTTTTTAATAGATAATTTTTTTTAATTGAATTTCGAAAGAATTTTCTCAAAAATTATTAAAAATAATTGAATTCGGGAAAAATTTCAGTTGTAATTTTAGAAATAATTAAATTTCAGAAGAATTGAATTGTTGATAATTTGAAATTCTGTAGAAAAATTAAATGAAAATAATTATTTAAATACTTATTGTTTGAATAAATATTCAATTATTATTCATTTCATCAAAGCAATTGAATTTTTTGAAAAAAAATTAAGAAATTTTCGAAAATTTCAACTGTTTTGTTTTTGAATTTTAAATGTTTAAAAAATTTATGAAAATTTAAAAATTAATAACTCCAAGAAAATTATTCAAGAATTTAATAATTTAAAATAAAATTAATTATTGGCGCTAAAAGAAAAACAAATTTAAGTACCTATTGCTTTAAAATTCATTGCAATTCAAAAGTTTTTAAGTTGAAAAAAAAATTCTAAAAGAATTCAAGTTTTTTAAGTTTTTCAAGAATTCCTTCAGACACTAAAAAGCAGAATTTTTCAAACGAACAAAATTTCTTATTCCTTTTTTGAAAGTTTTAATTTTTAATTGTAAATTTAATTTTAATAGGTACAAAAATAAATGAATAAATAAATAAATGCTATATAATTTTTGGTTAATATTAATTTGAATATGAAGAAATGAATTATTTACAATAATATAGAGAAATATTGAAAGGGAAAAATATTTCCTTCATTTGAAAGTTCGAAAATTTTAAAGACACATTTAGTTTGGGTTTAGTGGTTTGTAGTTTAAAATTTAACTAGGACTTTTTCATTTAATTCTTAAACACGTTTGTAAATTGAAATAATAGTTTAAATCATATTTCATGCTTAGAATAATGGTTCGTTACTTGAGAAAACTACTCAATTGTTGAGTACAGTTATTCAAAGTAAATACTGCGAAGACAATTTATCTATCCAGTTTCTTCATTTTCTTTCCAAATCTATTTAATTTTCTCAGAGATAATTTTTCCAAAATTCAAATATCATTTCGATGACAATTTAAAAAGTAAATTTTTTTTGTCATAAAATTGTAAATTTTCTTCGTTACAAAATTAAAAGTAAATTTTTGTTTGTAATAAAATTAAAATTTACAATTTTGTTTGTAATAAAATTAAAATTTACAATTTTGTTTGTCAATAAAATAAAATTTTGCAACTTTACAATGAAATTGAATTTACAATTTTGTTTGTAAGTGAAATAAAATTTTGCAACTTTGCAATGAAATTGAATTTACAATTTTGATGATTTATCGAATTTGTATTACTTCTTTTCTTCTCTCATTTTACCTGAATACGATTTTTTCCAAGTCGCAGTGCTTGGAGTTCTGGTAATGCTCTAATTGCATTTCTTTCAATCACTCGAAGATCATTATTCTCAAGGTCAATCAAAGTGAGACGTGGCAATCCATCGAATGCACCCTCTCGCAATTCTTTAATACGATTTCGAACTAATTTGAGTTCGAGCAGTGAAGTCAAACTGCTGAGCGTATCCGGCGATAGAATGTTCAGCTTGTTGAAACTTAAGTCGAGGACCTGTAGAGCCGTTAGATCGTGCAACGATCCGGGTAACTCGGTCAGAGTGTTGTGCGACGCATACAATTCTCGAAGATCTCTGCAATTTATCAAATTAGAAATTAGAAAAAAAAATCGTCCTCTTATTTTCAAGAAAGAAAAAAAAAGACGATAAGATATATATATGTCGTAGGCAAATAGAAGAATCCGTCATTTAGCTAAATGCCTAGGCGTTTAGCCTAGCGGCGCCGAATAGACGAATGGACTTGAGAAATGATTAAATTCGTCTATTTGCCTAAAAAGCTTAGGCGTTTAGCGAAATGACTAGGCAATTGTCTATTTGCCTAAAACTGTTCAGGCAATTAGAAGAAAATATCTATTACCAACAAATCGTAGCTAGCGAAATTCTCCATTTATTTTTTATGTAATAAATCATCCTGTCCCTTCCACCGTGTCCAGTTTGAGTGTGAGCCTCCTCTAATTTTTCAAAATAATCCTCAATTGACAAAACATAAATTAACGGATCGTTTTCGTTTTTTCTTTTTAAAATTACATGGTTCTCACCACCAAGTCTTACGAGTTCATATAATTTAAAACAATGATAATATGCACCACTTTTCGTCGATTTCACTCCTTCGAATTCTGACAATACTTGAATAACTTCGAGTAGCCGTTTTTTATTCCATATTGTTCTGTTACATTTTTGCTCGGAGTACAATATTTTTAATTTTTCTTCAAAATCACTTCGATTTACACTCATTTTATATAAGAAAAAAATCTAGATTTCAATTAAATTTCGCGTTTGCACGTTAATTTTAATTTATATTTCGAGTGTACGAGCAGTATGAAGATACTAAATTAAATTATGTTTTCTAACGAATATTCAAGTTACTAAAGTAATTTTGTTTTGATCTTTTGTTTATGGATTATGACGAAATTTATTTACACTTTTAACTTTTATATTTATAAAATATTTTTTATTTTTATTTTTTCAAGTATTCAATTTATTTTTCCATTTTCTTCATTACGATTTGTTGGTAATAGATATTTTCTTCTAATTGCCTGAACAGTTTTAGGCAAATAGACAATTGCCTAGTCATTTCACTAAACGCCTAAGCTTTTTAGGCAAATAGACGAATTTAATCATTTCTCAAGTCCATTCGTCTATTCGGCGCCGCTAGGCTAAACGCCTAGGCATTTAGCTAAATGACGGATTCTTCTATTTGCCTACGACATATATAAGATATATTCCACCGCGATAAGAATTTCAACTTGACACAAAAAAAAAAACAAAACAAAATAATAGGAAATTTTCCTGTACATTAGAAACAGAAAAAAAGCGTAACAAATTATTTTTTCTACTATTATTATTTATTATTTTTTATTTTCATGTGTTTTGATAATTTTTTTTTTTTTTTGTTTGACGTGTAACATAATTAATTAAGCGTGAATTCTAAAGGAGGAAAAAAAATTGTTATTTACTTGTATAACTTTGTTCCTGTGAGTAAATAAAAAGTGTAATTAAATTAGTCATCAAGATGGTGTGTAAAATTACTGGAAATAACGCGACACGCTGGGGTGATGCTATTTGAAGTGAGGGGACATTAACGTGAGCACGAAGAACGCAAAACTTTCTAAGGTCTACCAATTTAGTATCGTGATGCAATCACATAAGTGCAAGTGAAACTGCTTTTCCAACACAATTGTATAGGCGTATAAAATTGAACACCGGAAATTCGTAGATGACAACAATTCCCCAAAAAAAGAAAAAAAATATTTGTCGGTAAAAATTTCAACAAAACTTCTTGCCTTCTTTCAAATTAGACACTTACGTAAATAAAATAAAAACACATAATCTTTTCTTATTTATTAAACATTTTCATAAAGCGAATTTGAAGTCCACGATGTTGGTCAACGAAAAAAATTTGTTTAATATACTCAAATATTAATTTTAAGAAATATTTAAAAATTATTGTTAAAACATAAAAAAATATACAGTTTTATATAATTTTGTGGCAATATTGTTGCGTTATCTTTGAATAATAAACACATTCAAAATATAAAAATCTTTTTTTCAAATTAATTAAATTAAATAATAATTTTTTATTATTTTTAATATCGGAAGAGTTGAAGCGTAAATTTTTATTGAAACAATTTAATTCAAAAATGTTTCAATTGAAATTTTTTTAAATTTGAATTTTGAATAATTTTAATTAAAAATTCTGAAAAAAACAGATTTTTGAAAAATTTTAATTTTATTCTAAATAATTGAATTTTTTTAAATTATTGAAAATGTTTCTTGGAATTAGTTGATTTCAAGAAACATTTTTGATATTTTTGGAAAATAATTCAATTCTCAAAGAAATTTCTGAAAATTATTAAAAATAATTGATTTCAAGAAAAAGTTTTGTTAAAAATTGTAGAAAATAATTGAATTCTCAAAGAACTTTCTAGAAATTGTTAAATGCAATAATAATTTAATAATTGCTTTAGAGAAGAATTTTAGTTCAGAATTCTAGAAAAACATTCAATATCATAAAAGTCATGGCAGAAAATTTTATAAATAATTAAGTTTCAGAAGGTTTCAATTTGAAATTTTAATTTTTAATACCTAGGTAATTATAATTAAAAAATTTTAAACAATTTAGGTTTTTGAGAAACTAAAAATTTTTTTTAAATAATTGGTATTTTCAAAAAACTTTCCTAAAGTTTTTTACAAATAATTAATTTCAAGAGGAATTTTAATTAAACATTACACAAAATAATTGAATTCTGGAAGAATTACAATTGTAATTTTGAAAAATAATTGAATTTTAGTTTAAATATTTTTGAAATTAGTTGAAATTTCGTAAAAATAAATTGAAAAAATGAGAACAATTAAATTTTAAACGTATTTTTAATGAATTTATTTTTTTTAATATAATCGAATTCTGAAAAAATGTTATCGAAATTATTCAAAATGATAATTGATATCAAGAAAAATGCTAGTTCAAAATTATAGAAAATAATTGAATTTCAGAAGAAAAAGTTGTCATTTTTACAAATAATGGAATTTCAGAAGGTTTTTGAACTTAAAATTTTGAAATTGAAGAACTTATTTTCTAGACAAATTTTTATTCAAATTTTCTTGAAATTAATAGAATTTTTTTAATGAATATTTAAATAAAAAATTTTTGAATTCTCGAAATTTTGTAAAATTGAATCGAAAACAACCGAATTTAAAAAATATTTTATGAACTTTCCTTTTTTAAAATACATTCAATTTTGAAAGAACTTTTCAAAAATTATTAAAATTATTTTATTTAGAGAGGAATTTTAGTTAAAAATTTTAGAAAATAACTGAATTTTGAAGAAGTTAAAGTAGAAATTTTCAGAAATAATTAAATTTCTATAGGTTTGAAATAAAAAATTTTTGAAAATTTGAGTTTTTAATAATTTTAATTAGAAATTTTAAAAGACTTAAGTTTTTCAAAAATTTAAATATTTTTTTTTAAATAATGGAATTTTTCAAAAAATTTCTCAAAATTATTAAAAGTTATTGATTGCAAAAAACAAGTTTTGTTATAAATTATAGAAAATAATTGAATTCTGTAAGAATTACGGTAAAATTTTTTTTTCTTTGTGAATAATAGAATTTTTAAAAAACTTTCTCAATGTTAGTAAAGTTAATTGACTTTAAGAAGAATTTTATTTAAAAATCCTAAAAAATAATTGAATTTTGGAAGAATTACAGTTGGAAATTTTTAAATTAATGAAATTTCAAACGGTTTCGAATTAAAATTTTTGAAAGCTTGAATTTTGAATAGTTTTAATTGAAAACTTTAACGAATTTGATTTTTTAAAAAGTTGCAACTTTTTTTTTGTTAATAATTGAATTTTTGAAAAACTTTCTTAATGTTATTAAAGTTTATTAACTTTATAAGAAGAATTTTTTTTAAATTTTAGAAAATAATTGAATTTTGGAAGAATTACATTTGGAAATTTTAAAGTTAACGAAATTTCAAACGGTTTCTAATCGAAATTTTTGAAAATTTGAATTTTGAATAATTTTAATTGAAAACTTTAAAGAATTTAATTTTTTAAAAAGTTGCAACTTTTTTTTGTTAATATTTGAATTTTTGAAAAACTTTCTCAATGTTATTAAAGTTAATTAACTGATATAAGAAGAATTTTTTTTAAATTCTAGAAAATAATTGAATTTTGGAAGAATTACAGTTATAATTTTGAAAAATAATAAAATTTCAGAGAGTTTCCAATAAACTTACTAAAAACTATTTTTCGTTGATCCACATTGTAAATATGAATTTAGTTTCATAGAAATAGGTAATTAAATTTGTTTCTCTACCTCGTATTAGCGAATGTCAAATGTGGAATTTGAGCGAGATTATTCCGACTCAAATCCAATCGTTGTAGTCGTCTATTCTCTTGAAAAACATCGGGACGAATTATTTCAAATCGATTCCCCTTCAAATTTAAATCCATCAACGTCATTAACGGCTTGAAGCTTCTTCCATGAATTGTATCAAGACGATTGTACTTCAAATCCAATAGTTCCAATCGAAATAGTCCATCGAAAGTTCCGTCCTCAAGTACTCGAAGTGAATTATAACCCAGTAGGAGTTTCTTTAAACTGACTAATCCACTGAGAGTGCCCGGCATTATTCTTTCAATTCCATTTGCACTGATGTCCAGAGTTTTTAAAACCGGAAGTGCAAGATCTTTGGAAGCGAGTCCAGGCAGTGATACGAGGCGATTCATTGTTAGATAGAGATGTTCGATGTTTCTCGGCAATCCGGGCGTTAATTCTAGTAGTCGATTCCATCCTACGTCGAGTTCGTAGAGATTTGAGAGATGTCTGAATGTCAGGGGATGAATTACTGACAAGGCATTTCCGGAGATGTTGATGTATTCAAGAGCTGCGGTTTCGATGAATGATTGTGAATCTATCAGACCTATTGCGTTTTGACTCATGTCCAGGCGGCGTAAATTTGGAAGATTTCCCAGCAGACGAGCCTCCACGTGACGGAAATAATTTCCCGATAGGTCCAGACCCTGGAATTTTTTTAATTTTGTTAGAAAAAATTGAATTTGTTATTTATTTATACTACAGGTCTCGGATATTATGAATTTTGGGGACATTTTTCGACTATTTTTAAAAAAATGCCACTTTTTTCGATTTAGGTCAATAAAGTGGGACTTTTTCGACTTTTCCTTTAAATTTTGCAACGAAATACAATTTTTTTGTATAAAATTTATTTTAATACCAATTTTAATATTTCTTACGATTTCCACTTCAGTTAATTTCTAAACACAATCAATTTTTTGAATAATTCAGGAAAAATTCTAAAAATAAATTTTGAAAACTTAGATTTAAATATTACAAAAAATTTATTTTTGACTTAGACTTTTTGTAAACCTTTTTTATAAATTTCGACAATAAGAGGACAACTACGGATCAGAAAAATTTCAGGAAATTTTATCCAAAATAGTGGAAAACTATAAAATTTCAAGAAAAAATTCAGTTTTTGCTGTCCTTTGAATATATTGAAAAGTTATTAAATGTAATTGATTTCAATACGAATTTTTCTTAAAAATTATGGAAAATACTTAAATTCTGAAATAACTTTATAGAAATTAATTATTCGAAATAAAATGTATTATTTTAGAGAAGAATTTTAGTTAAAAATTCTAGAAAATAATTCAATATTGGAAAAGTTATAGTTTTAGTTTTTAGAAATAATTTAATTTCAAAAGGATGCGAATCAAAATTTTTGAAAAATTGAATCTTGAATAATTTTAATTAAAAATTTTGAAGTCAGTAGATTTTTGACAAATTATAATCATTTTCTAATAAATAATTGAATTTTCAAAAAAATTTCTCAAAATTATTGAAAACAATTGACTACAAGACAAATTTTTGTTAAAAATTATAGAAAATAATTTAATTCTGTACGGATTATAGTTCTAATCTTGAATAAAATTAAATTTCAGAAGGTTTTTGAAATTTTTAATATTAAATTATTTTTTTCAAAATCTATTTTCGAAAAATTAAGATACAAATTTTTTTGCAGTTTCTCAAAATTGTTTAAAATAATAATTGATTTCAAGAAAAATATTAGTTCAAAAATTTACAGAAATTAATTGAATTCTGAATGAATTACAGTTATAATTATTAAAAATAATTAAATTTCAGAAAGTTTTTAAATTTAAATTTAAAATTTGTATGAATTTTTTTCAAAAACTCGGAGAAACTTAATTTTTTGAAAAATTTTAATTTATATTTTCTTGAAATTAGTTAAGTTTTTTTTTATCCATATATTTAATGAAAAAATTTTCGAATTGTCGAATTATTCGTTAAATATGAAAACTACTACTATAACTTTCCGAAAATTCAATTATTTTCTAAAAATCTTCACTAAATCAATTGATTTCAATAATTTTGAGAAAGTTCTTTCAGAATTCAATTAATTAAAAAAAAAGAATGTTCATTTAAAGTTCGTCTCAAATCCAATTGTTCTCAAATTAATTTTACAAAATTTTAACTAATTTCAATGAAATTCCAATCTAATTTTTACAAAAACATTTTGAAATTTAATTATTTTACAAAATTACAACCAACCAACTCTTTCAGAATTTAATTATTTTCTATAATTTTTAGCAAAAATTTTCATTGAAATCAATGATTTTTAATAATTTCAGTTTTTGTGAAAGTTTTTTGAAAAGTAAATTTTAAAAAATTTAATCATTCAGAAACTTAAGTTCCTTAGAATTTTCAATTAAAATTATTAAAAAATCAATTTGTTAAAAAATTTAATTCGAAACAGTTTAAAATTTTATTAATTTCTTAAAATTATAATTCTTCCCAAATTCAATTGTTCTCAATTCAATTTTACGAAATTAAGAAAAAAAATAGAATTTTTCAAAAACTTAAATTCTTTAGAATTTTTAAATTAAAATTATTAAAAATTTAAATTTTCAAAAATAACAATGCGCAACCATTTGAAAGATTTTGAACTAAAATTTTTTTCTAAAGCAATATTATTATTATTTCTAGATATAACAATTTTCAGAAATTTCTTTGAGACTTCAATATTATTTTTCTATAAATTATACCAAAATTTTTTCCTGATATCAAATCAAATATTCAATTATTTTTAATAATTGTTAGAAAATTCTTGGAAAATTGAATTATTTTCTATAATTGCTAATAAAAATTTTTCTTCAAATCAATTATTCTTAATAATTAAATAAAAAAAAAAATAAATAAAAAACTTGATAAACTTGATAAACTTTTTTGAAAAATTTAATTATTCAAAAAAAAATTCGAATTTTTCAAAAAGCTAAGTCCTTTGAAATTCTTTGAGAATTCAATTATTCAAAAAAAGTAAAGTTGATTTTAAAGACGTCAAAAATTTTTTTGTTTATTTACTTTTAATAATTATTCTTTTTAAATATTTTCAATTTTAAAAATAATATATTGAAAATCATTGAATTCTTGCAAAGGATTTTATAAAAAAATTTGTAAATAATTAAATTCTTTGGAAGTTTTGAAGAATTAAAATTTTAGAAATTAATTGAAATCTGTTGTGAAATTTTACTAAAATTTTGTTAAAAATAATTGAATTTTTGAAAAAAAATTGTACTAGAATTGAATTGTATTGTACAAGAATTGAATTCTTCCGAAGACTGTTATTATTTATGAAAATAATTGAATTCATGCGAAGAATTATATATATATTAAAATTTTTGAAAATATAAACAATAACAAATTCATTACCTTCAAAGCGGGCAAATTCCAGAAAGGCATATCAATCGAATTCGTCAACGAATTATTCCTGAGCCTCAATTCCCTTAGAGCTGGCATTCCACTCAAAGATTCTCTTTGCAAATATCTCAATCGATTATGATCCATATGCAATCTCTCCAGTGACGGATGTCCCCTAAACGATCCGTACGGTATCTCCTCCAACTGATTGTAACTCACATCGAGAAATTTCAACCTCGGCAAAGCATCCAATATCGAGCGTAATTCATTAATATGACTCAAGTCATTATTTATCAACCAAAGTTCCTCGAGACCACTTCCACTTCTATGGGGAAAAAATTCCGGATGAATTCTATGAATCATATTATGATTCAAATCAATAATTCTCAACAGTGGTACTCTCTGAAAGGCACCGGGAAATATTTCCGCAATTCGATTTCGCGACAGGGAAATTCGAGTCAAAGTGGGAAGATCCGTGAATGATGATTCTCCCAATCGGACAATACGATTGCGATCCAATTGCAGGACCGATAATGACGGTAGATCAATGACTGCGCGACCAATCATTGGCGCTTCGAGAATTGTATTTCCAACGAGGGAGATTTCCTTCAATTCCGGCAAGTCAATCAGTGCTCGTGGATGTATCCAGTGAATGCTGCAGTCGCTAATATTCACCAGCGTTAATCGCGGTAGATTTCGAAAGAGTCCAGCCTCCAGTCGCGCTAACTTCGGACTGCCAAAGACGTGGATTTGCTCGAGATTGGGAATGTCGCGAAAATTTCTTGGCGTCAATTCGAGGAGTGCTGGTGAATTCACCTGGAGGTAGCGTAATTTTGGAAGTCCAGTGAGACTGGGCAGTCGTTTGAGAACTTTACTTTGTAGAGTGATTGCCTCGAGGCCGAGAAGATTTTCGAGACTGTCGTCGGGCAGAGAACGTAGTTCGGGCTCTACTATGAAGAGTTCCAGTAGGGAGTCGTGAAGACCCTCGAGCCATCCGGAGGACACTCTTTCGAGTCGATTGTTCCTCAGCATCAGTCTCATGACTCGTAGACTTGCAAACGCCTGTCCCGGTAGACTCGGTAAATTATTATTCTCGAGAATTAATTCGTCAATTGATCGTGACACGTGGAGACTCACTGCTTTCAGTCCCTCGAGAACCTTTGGCAATTCACTGTGACTGCACCTATTGGAATCGTTCAAAATTTTATCTCTTATTTGAATTTTCAATTCTTAGCTTTTTCAAAACTAACGTAGGTGAAGTTTACAACGTTTATGATCAACGATTGGAAGAAAAAAATATTTTTCATGTAGAAAATTATATTTTCTTTACAAATTTTTATTTTTTAACTCGTTGATCAAGAAATGTTGTAAAAAATTGTTGAAGACAAAAATTTGACTAGAAAAACATTTTTTTTTCTTCTAAAGTGTTGATTATAAACATTGCGAACTTCACCAACGACAAAAGTAAAATCAGAGTTGCCACAAAAATTTGATATTGTTTTTCCCTGACTTTCATACAGATTTTTGATTTCTCCCTGACTCTAAAAAATATTCTAAATTCACTCTAAAAATGATTAAATTTGCAACTGAAATTATTTAAAATTTCAAATTTTCTAGAATTTCAATTTGAAACTTTTTGAAATTCCATTATTTATAAAAATTGTAAACGCAACTCTTCTAAAATTCAATTCTAACGTAGAAAAGAATTAGAAAAATTAGAAATGTAAATTTTCTTTTACCAAATTTGATACTCCATGTCACGTGTAGAGCATCGGCAGGGTAGAATTTTCTCCTGAGGAGGACATCCGTACTCGGGATTGATTTGGGCATTTGAACTGATGGAATAGAGAACGAGAAAGCTCGCTATGAATAAACCTCCACCATCCGGTGGCTTACCCATGATGCATTTGGACAATCACCTTGACAAACTCAGATCCGTGAAACAATCCAATGCCACATTGCCTGCAAAGGAAAACGTCACTCTTATTCTTATTGAATTCAATCCTTAAACGTGTGAAGATCACACTATTTTCATCCTTTTCATTTCAAGGACGAATTCACATGTAATACAATTTAGAAAGTGATTTCAATTTCACATCGCACAGCCCTTTAATAATTATTAATAAATAATAATTTATTATTACAAGTCGAAACTAAAATCACATCTAATTGCAAATAATAATTTAATATTTAATAAATAATTATTAAATTATTATTATATCAAATTATATACAAACAAATAAACAAAGATGAAATATTAATAAATAAAATTATAAATTCATGTCCCTAAGGTTTCGAACGTTTATATAGACGATATTTTTGCCGACTATTTTTTCCATTCATTACTTCTTTAAATTTTATTCCAAACTATTGTTTCTTTTATATTTAAAAAATTAATTTCTAACTAAATAAATGTTTAATTAAAATATTTTTCATTTCAGTTTAGTAATTTTTTTTAATTACTGGAGCGCAGAAAAGTATTTCGAGTATTTGAACGTTCAAAACTTATGTCCCTATAAATTCAAATTCTGTTCTGAAAATTTCTTTTTCGAAAATTCGAGATTTTAGCAGTAGAAACAAAATATAGTGCCGATAAATTATTTTACACTAATAATCCAATAATAATAGCAAAAATAATAAAATTCAAATTTTGTTCTGAAAATTTCTTTTTTGAAAATTCGAGACTTTAAAAACAAGCAACGATAAATTATTTTACAATAAAAAATTCAATATTATCAAAAAGAATAAATTTGAAAATTCAAAAACTTCTGAAAATTTCTTCAATTTTTATTAGCAAAGAAAAAGGATGTTCATTAAACGAAAATTACGATCTTTTTTACTCAAAATAAATTATAAAACATTAAAAAAAAGTGCAAACAATGAAGAATAAAATTTTATCTTTTGATTAAATTGTCAAATAATAAAATATTTTATTTCTTACTTTATTTGTCTTCTAAAAAAGACAATCGATTTTGTAATTCGGCACTACTTAATTACTCATTCTTTTTTTTTTTTTTTTTGATAAAATTTTTTCTCTTACGAAATCACATAAACAGAATAATTTGGGATGTCTGTTTAAAACTATTATTATTTAAGATGAATGAATTGAAGATAAGATTATTTCGCAAGAGATAATAAGAGTTAAAGTTTTTTTTATGAATAAGTTATTATAATTGGATTGTAAGTGTTTTTTCTATATGCGTGTGTTTATTCGGCCCTTGAGGCTCATGGTACCTTCTAGAGTACATAAGAAACATCGGAAGTGTCACGGTCACAGGCGACAAAATTGATGTTCATACCGTAGGATAAAGACCGCTAGGACAATGGTGGTCCGCAATAATTAGTGTGTCACGCGTCCATTACATTAACACCTTCTATGTCTCTTCAAAGTAATTTTGGTTCTACTGCTAAGTAGAAAATGTCTGAAATTAGAATTCAGAAATTTAAATTATTAATATGAATAATAATAATTACCATAAAAATAATAAAATTGAAAGAATTAAATTAAATTAAAAATTAAATTGTCAAATCTAAAAATTAGAATTCATAAATTTAAATTAATAATTAATAATTAATAATAAAAATAATAATAACAATAAAAATAATAAAAATGAAATATTTAAATTTCTTGCTACAAATTAATTAAAAGTAAAAGAATTTTAATGATACAAATTTTTTTTTCTAATTAAAAAAAATAATTAGACGAATTGATTGAAATATTCAATAATAAATATTAAATATTATTAAATGAAAATATTAAGTGACTATAAAGTGTAAATGGTAGAATTCCGTAAATTTCTGAATTTTTCAATTTAATAATCCACAACTTAAAATACACAAAGTCTGCGCAGAAAAATATTTTATATTAATTTAATTTTCCCAATGTCTTTATTTTCAATATAGAAAAATTTCATTTTCATGTGTAGAAAAAATAATTACTTTCTCCCTAATTATTATTTTTTTTCTCTCTATTTTACTAAATATAATCAACAGTGTTAACTTCAGAAATCAACTGATCCATTATTCAGGAGAAAGTGGTACCTAACTTCCTGAATAATTCCCTCAACGTCCGATGATTCTAATCGTCAAAAATTACGTAACTTTCTGGTGCAATTACCGAACATTTTTTGGAGAAGCTGGAGATTTAATTATTTCACTGAATGAAATGAAAAGTGAATGAGATTCAAATAATAATTATTAAAACCCTTAAATTGGAAAATTTTTCCCTCAAAAATAGAAAATGATCAAATAAATTGTAGAAACAGTAGGTAATAAATGAAATTAGAAAAGCAGTATTATGCAATGATAAATAATAATAAAAATAAAAAACAATGAATAAACAAGACACAAATAATAGTGAAAACAATAAATAATCAAAGCGAAAAAGGGAATAAAAACGAATAAACAAAACAAAAATAATAATTAAAAGAAAAAAAACAGAAACAAACAGAAAATAGAAATAAAAACAAATGAACAGAACGAAAATAATAAAATCAATAAATAAACAAACTAAAAACAGAAATAAAAACATGAATAAACAGCAAATAAATAAAACCGTAAAAAATAAACAAATAACAATAAAGTAAGAAACGGAAAATAATAAATTAACTCAATAACAGGCTTTGCACTCGATAATATCAATATTAAAAAAGTATCAAAAAATAGCTTTAGGACTGAAAAAATGTAGTAAAAATTAAAAAAGTGAGTATTGAAAAATTAAATTTGACGATTAAAAAAACTCGTTTTAGAAGATTCACAAAAATCACAAAAATTTGATTTTGTAATTTATTTCTCTGAGATTTTCCCAATTTTCATCAAAAAATACAATTATTTACTTATTTTCTTATCCTGTTAGTAACTTCACTTCCAAATTTTTGCAAAATTCAATTATTTTCTAAACATCAATTTAAAATTCTTCACAAATACGATTATCTTTTTAAAAATAATTTTTACAACTAAAAAATAAAATTCTTCAAAACAAAAAATTATTCAAATTATTCATTACAATTAAATTTATAAAAATTTCCAAAACACTAGAAAATTAAAATTAAATATTATAATTACAATTTTTCAGAAGAGTAATTTTTTTCCATAATTCCTAAATTAAATTACATTCAAAACTTGAATAATTTTTTTTAAATAAATATTTTAATATTTATTTATTTCTCCACAAGAATTAAAATTTTCAAAGATTTAAATTCAAAAAATCTTTTGAAATTCAATTGTTTCTAAAAATTCCTTCTATAACACTTTTAATATTCAATTATTATCTAAGATTTTAACTGAAACTAATTTTTAAATCAATTTCTATTAGAAAGTTCTACGACAATTCAATTATTTAAATCCAATTTATTTTTTTTGTTTAAAACTTATTTTTATTTCTAAATACAATTTCAATACAATAAATAATTTATTAAATAATTGAAATATTTTTAAGAATTTTAATAAAATTTTTAAGAATAATTGCAGTTTTCCAGAAATTTATTTAAAATTGAATTAAAATTAATTGAAATCCTGCGATGAGTTTTATTATTTGTGAAAATAATTGAATTCTTGCTACGAATTTTATTACATTTTTTTAAATAATTGAATTCGCTTGAAAAATTTTACTGTTTGTGAAAATAATGGAATTCTTACAACAAATTTAAAAAAAAATTTTAAATAATTGAATTCGCGGGAAAAATTTCATTGTTTGTGAAAATAATTGAATTATTGCAAAGAATTTTGTAAAAATTGTTGTAAATAATTGACTTTTTTCGAAAAATTTTATTAAAATTGCATTTTCAGTAAATAATTGAATTTCTGTAAAAATTTTATTATTTATAAAAATAATTTAATATTTGCAAAGAATTTTATTAGAATAGTAGATATTAAAATTAATTGAATTTCAAAAATTCTTTGTATTGTTTCTAAGAATTTTATGAAAGTTTTTGAGAATAATTTTTTTATTCCAACTATTAGCGAATGTAAATAAGTGCAAATTCTCAAAAAATTGAAAAATGTATCTCTTAGTGTCACAAATTTTAAAAAAGTATCCAAATAGTAGTAAATCGGAAAAAAAATATTAAATAGTATAGGTTTTAGTAAATGAGCGCGAAGCCTGCAATAAAGAAAAAAAATTAAGAAATTAACTAATTAAATAAATAATCAAATTGAAAAAAACATAGAAAAATATTTCCCAAACTTCTGAAATATTTGCACAACATATTTTTTTCCGTTAATTAAATAACTTGAAAAATTATCTAGAAAGTAAAACCAATCACACTATTGTGATCTGTATTTACAAATCCAATTTTTGCAATTACCTATGTGAATCAACAGGAACAACGCAAGAAAAATCCACGGAAGCGTAAAAATGATCACACGAGGAATTGCAGTAAGAAGAAGAAGAAAAACGATAGTCGTTAATTAAATAATAAATCGATGCACTTTTACACACTTCACATTTTAGGCTTTATCGAAGAATAAAACTCTATGTAAATGATCACCATTATATGATTCATAGTCTAGTTTCGAACATGTACTAAAATCTATTTGAAGATGTTACTTTGAAGAATCATGAGTGCATCAGGTGAGGGAACATTGTGTATATACAAGAAGAAGGTGGGGTGACTGAGATAAGAGCGGGGAAGAATGAGGATTGCGAAGTGCGTATCCAGACACCGTGAAGACACGCTTCCAGGAAATCTTCTCTTTCCCCTTGTGTGTTGTGTATCTCTCTATTCAAATTGACGGATCGTTAAAATTCTTTTCCACCTCAATCCTCAATTGTCATGGATTTCTTAATTTGAAAATTTCAGAAATTTACGGAATTTTGTCATTCACGGAGTTCTTTTTTATACAATACATTGTATATCGTGTACTTTTTTCTGTATAGTATGTAAAAATGAAGGAAGTGTCTAATGTTCTAAGTGTTGAGCGACAATTTATAATTTTTAGAAATTGGGATATTTTTGATGCTTACTTGATCCACTTTTTTAAAATTAGAGTTCTTCTTCTTCCTCTTCCACTTCTTTTGTTTTTTTGTTTTCTCAGGTGACAGATCAATTTTCATTTTCCGGTGATTTCTGAAATCAGAAACGAAAATTTTAGTTTATGACGAAAGTGAAACACTTTTTTCTTTAAAGAAACTAGTTTTTGAATTAATTAAGTAATTATTGAATTAAATTATTAATAATTAAAAATTGAAAATTCTGTTAAAATTAATTAAATTAATTTCATTAATTTAATTAATTATAATTAATTAAAAAATTATTACTTAATTAAATTTAAAGAAATAATTACAATTACAAAAAACAATTACAAATTCTAAGTTTTAATACTTTTGTTACAATTCTGAAAAAATAATGTAGACAGTTTTTAAAATAATTTTGATTAGTTTTCGAAGTACTTTTAAGTTTCAGGATAAACTATTGCTGAAAAGATCGTGGATTCTAAAACGAATTAGTTTTCCATACAGTGAATGTAATTTCTTGTTTCAATCCTCTGAGGTATTGAGTTTTCGTAACCGATTTGCATTTATCAAGCATAATTTAAATAAATACGGTAAGCGAACTTATTTTTTAATCCTCCGGTCAAATTTTCGATGTTATCTGATTTTCAAAAGCTTTCTCTCTATCTTTTTAGCATAAATTATTTTTTTAGGGTTGGCACAAAAATTTGATTTTATTTTTCCCCTGATTTCCAGACAGAATTTTGACTTTCTATCAGAAACCTAAAAAGACTAAAAAATTTCAAATTTAAAACCTTTTGAAAATTGAAATTCAATTATATAAAAATTGAAACGCAATTCTATCAAAATTCAATTATTTCTTGAATTCTTAAATTTATTCCCTAAAAATTTTCAAAATTTTCAAATTAGAACCTTCTAATATTTAATTGCTTATAAAAATTGTAAACGTAACTCTTTCAAAATTCATTTTTTTAATTTTTAAGAGAAATTATTCGCTAAATAATTTTTTAATAATAATTTTATGAAAGTCATCAAGAATTAAGTTATTTAAAATATATTCAATTTCATATTCTGTAATTATTCTGTTTAAAAATTTTAATTTTAATTATTCTGTTCAATTATTGGCAGAAATAGAACAAAATTTATAAGGCAAATAAAAAAATTTCAAAAAAAATTCAATGTTTTTAATATTTTCAAAGACTTTAAAATTTCAAGTAATAACTTCGAAAAAATAATCATTTTCAAAGAATTATTTTTCACCAAAAACCAGAATTTTTTTTATAAATTCTAGAAATTCAATATTTTTTCCAGGATCTTTTATAAAACAATTGTTATTTTCAGAAATAGTTGTGTAAAAAACAGCATTAAAGTGTCCAAATCGCATGTAAAATAAGTTATTTTCGAAAGAGTTACAATTAACATAATTTTATTAATTAATTAGTTAATTTAAAGAAGAAAAAATTTTAAGAATTTTAAATTAAAAATTTTATTTAAAAATTAAAATTTACATAAAATTTATTCAAAAATTCTGAAAAATAAATTTTTTAAACATTTCATTTCTATTTTTAAAAAATAATTCAATTTATATAAACAAGTAATTGAAATTTTTTTTAAGTAATTAAAATTTCCAAACTTCTATTAAAAAAAAAGTTAAGAATTTTATTGAAATTCTCGAAAATAATCGAGGGACGTTCGACACATTAATGTTTAAAATAATTGAAATTTCCTAAAATTCTCTAGAAAATAATTTAATTTATTTAAAAAATTTTCAATTATCTTTGAAAAAATTAAACTAAAATACGTTTAAAAACTAATGTCGTGAAATTTTCTCAATTATTTTTATGTTTTTATAAATTGAAATAAAATTCTTTAAAAAATTTAATTATTTTCTAGAAAATTTTAGGAAATTTTAATTATTTAAAACATTTTCAATTGTCTTAAAGCAAAAAAGAACTGAAATATTTTTAAAAAATTAATGTGTCGAACGTCCCTCGATTATTTTCAAGAATTTCAATAAAATTCTTAATTTTCTTTCTGATTTCCTAAAAAACTAAAACTAAACTAAACTAAAACTAAACCTAAAACTCTATAGAAAATAATTGAATTTTTTAAAAGAATTATATTAAAATTGATAAGAATAATCGAGAAAAATTCGCCACATTAATTATTAAAAATATTTTAGTTCTATTTTTTCCATGAAAATTGAAATTTTCTAAAATTCACTAGAAGATAATTGAAGTTTTTACATAATTGAAATTTTCTAAAATTCTCTACAAAATAATTGAATTTTTTTAATAATTGAAATTTTCTAAAATTCTCTACAAAATAATTGAGTTTTTTTAATAATTTAATTTTTCTAAAATTCTCTAGAAAATAATTCAATTTTTTAAAGAATTTTACTGAAATTCTTGAATCGAGGGACGATCGACGCATTCATTTTTTTTAAATATTTCAGATAGTTAATTGAATTTTTATTTAAACAAGTAATTCAAATTTTTTTAAATGATTCAAATTTTTTAAAATTCAATTTTAATCAATTAATTACGTTGAGATAAAAAATACTTTCTCAAATTCAGATATTAGTAAAAAAAATATAAATAAAATGAAAATAAATTTACAAATAATTTTCCATTTAAGGTAAATTAATTTTTTTTTTAAATTAAAAAAAATTAAATAATTGAAGTAAATTTAAAAAAAAAGAAAAAATAAAACCGCTTTAGACAGACACCTTCCCGTTGGCTTACTTTTTTCAAGGAAAAAATATGAAAACAAAAAAAAAATCACCGTCTGTTCGACTATTTTTATCCAATTCTAAAATCAACTTTCAGTTAAACAAAAAATTGATTCCTGTCCTATGATTATAACTGACCAATAGAATCTCTGGATATCCTGCCAAGCCCTCAACTTGCGTCTAGCGTGATTTTTTCAGGTAACAGAGGCCAATTCAAAAACCGGTCCATCTACTTTTTACGTCAGCATCTTTCGATTCTTGAACTCCTTCTAAAACTAAAAATGAAAAAATCTGTTACAATTTTGAAAAAAAATTTTTATAATAAAGAATAAAACATTAGTTTTGCCTCTCAGTCGATTTTCTTATAAATTACAAATTTTTAGTTTTTATTCAGTCTGAAGAAAACTATTAAGTTCAAAAACTGGAAAAATCGACTGAGACCCAAAATTAATCTATTTTCTACGGGGTGAAGAAAAAAATTAAAATTAAAAATAAAAATTTTAAAAAAATTAAAATTTCTTCATTAAAACAAAAAAAGAAACAACTACTTAGATATTTATCCAATATAAGATAATTTATCAAATTTGCAATTATCCGAAATTTTATCTAATTTCCAGAATGTAAAATGAATTGCGTAATTTAAGTACAATAATCATAATTACCTAATAATATTATTTAATTCACCTGAATAATAAACTATTTGAGACATTTTAAGACCTTGAAAAAAATAGACAAACGATGAGCTGGAATTTTAAAAGCTTACAAGTATAACATGTGCGAAAAACGAGTTTTTCAAGATTTGAAACATAAGCACGTGTTCTGAACCACGTGTGTTTTTGTAAAATCTAACGTCAAATCAGAGAAAGCAAAAATAACGTGCGTCTATTGCATTCATTGAAAAGTATTGGCTGTACAGGAAAGAATGTGATAGTCAATCGAAACCTACAATTCACCTCGAGTTCCTTTACAATGCATACTCTAGCCCACCAATACACATCAATCTCCTAACTGGTTTTCAAAATGATTTATAAAAGTCAACTTCTACAGTATTTCCAGGCTTCTACACATATTTTACTTTAGTACTAAAGCAGAATTCGAACAGAATCTATCTGTTCATCTAGCAACAATTCTCTGAAAAAAAATTAAAATAATAAATAAAAATATTTATTAAAAATATTAATTGTCTACAGAAAGAATTTTTATTAATTTTTTTTCTTTTTTTTTTGGCAAAAACTGAATAGGAAAATTTTTTACTAAATCGATTAAAAAGTACAATTTCGATTTTTTTTTAATTAAGACTAAGGAAAGAAAAAAGTCATCGATATTGTGTTCCGTAAATTATAATCATGTTAATTAGAGGCTTTAGAAAAATTTTAGAAAAAGCTCCTAGGGAATTTAAGAGGAATTTCAGTTCGACTGCGATTGCTTGTAGAGAAAAGGAAAGACTTTACGACAATTCGAACCAAATTATCCGGCCACCGAGAATATTAATTACAGGTCAGTTTATTTTCTATGGCAAATCAAAACGAAATTAATTTAAATTTTGTATTTAAAATTATTAAAATTTGCTTAAAATAGTTACAAAATTATTTGAATCTACAGTTTCTGTTAATTTGACTTGAATTTATAATTCACTTTTACTTTCAATATGTCTCAAAGTTTGAAACATTGTTTCTCCAATTATTCGAAGAATCTTTTATTTTTCTCTCGTATTTAAATATATATTAACAAAGATTTATTAATTTATAATTTTTGATTTCAATTTGTATTCAGTATTAATAAAAATTTATTAATTTATGATTTTTATGTTCAACTCGTTTTTACATTTCAATATTTATTAATTTTAGATTTTTATTTTTTACTCGTCTTTATACAAAAATTTATTAATTTACGATTTCTAAGTACTTTCCAGTCGTTTTTATATATATATATATTAATAAAAATGTGTAAAATTATGATTTTTATTTTCAATTTGTTTTTACATATTTGTTTAATTTGTTAAATTTTTAATTTTTATTTTCTACTCGTTTTTCTATATTAATAAGGATTTATTATTTGTTTTTATTTTTTTTTAATAGAGATTTATTAATTTATGATTTAATCGAACACCTAATAAAGAAAACAAAAAAGAATAATTTGCATGAAAAATTATAAATTCTACAGAATCAATAGAAACGTGTAGGACAAAATATTAAAAAAATAGATTCGCGTGGTAGAATAAATTAATGACTCAAGGAATTAAATTCTTTAAACACGGACAAAACAGACGTGTTTTTCTTTAAGCAAATAAACATATTTTTCTTTCGGTAAACAAATTTTTATTAAGTACATAAACATAATTTTTCTAAGAAAATAAACGCATTTTTTCTATCTACTTAATTTTTTTGAGAAAACAAACATATTTTTTCTATCTATTTAATTATGTTTGAGAAAATAAACATATTTTTTCTATCTACTTAATTTTGTTTGAGAAAATAAACAAATTAAAACAAAATTTGACATTAAAAATATTTACATTGTTTACTAATTAAACAAGAAAGAATATTTGTATTTTAATAAATGAAAATATTTTTCATAAATATATCATTCCGCTATCTATAAAAACGAGTTTTCTTCGTATAGATACATTTTTCTTCTAAAATTAACAGGAAAAAAAATTAAATAAAACTCATTAAAAAATTTTTTAAAAACAATTTAATAATTTCTTTATATTTAAATTGTATTTTTTAATTATATATTCTATTTTCTGTATTAATAATCGTTGTATTCCGGTTATTTGTTCGCAGTTTGAAATTCGTTGTTTGCTTTTTAGTTTCCTCACTTTTTAAATAATTTTCCTTTTCAAATGTTTTCAATTTTAAAAATAATGTATTTAAAATCATTGAATTCTTGGAAAGAATTTTGTTCAAAAATTTGAAATTAATTTAGTTTCTTCGAAAAATTTTATTATTCATAAAAATAATTGAATTCTTGTGAAGAATTTCTTTGACTTTTTTAAAAAAATAATGGAGTTTCTTTAATTATTTTAATTGGAAATTTTGAATATAAAAAAATAGAATTTTATGAACAATTTTTTTCATGGTTTAAAATTAACGGGTTTATTAATAATTGAAAACAAACATTTGATCATTGAATTTACAATTCTTATAAATAATTTAATTCATTCCAGGAATTTTATTAAAATATTGAAAATAATTTAATTCATTCGAAGAATAGTTATTATTAAAGGTTTCAAGAATAATTGAATTATTTCAAAAAATTTCTTAATTTTTTGAATATAAATGCTTTTTTTAATTATTCTAATTAATAATTTTACTATTAAATCTTATTAAAATTGTAAATAGAAAATTTAATTCTTTTAAACAATTTTATTAAAGTTTTTCTTCAAAAAATAATTAAATTCTTTTAAAGAATTTCTTTAAGTTTTTTTTGAAAATAATGTAGTTTTTAAAATAATTTTATTTAGAAATTTTTAAATAATTGAATTAAACAAAGAATTTCTTTCAAATTTGTAAAATAATCGAGTCTGTTAATAATTATAGTAAAAAATTTGATTATTGAATTTTGTTAAAATTGTATTGAAAATAATTCAATTCCTGAGAAAAATTTTATTATTTATAAAAATAATTGAATTGTTTCCAAAAATTTTACTATTTATAAATATAATTGAATTATTTCAAAAAATTTTACTATTTATAAAACTAATGTAATTGTTTTCAAAAATTTATTAAAATTTTAGAAAATAATTGAATTCTATCGAAAAATTTTATTAAAATTGTAAAAAGTAATTGAATTCCTGCAAAAAATTTTATTATTTATAAAAATAATTTAATTGTTTTCAAATCGTTTAAAAACTAATTTTTGAATTATTAATTAAACTACTAAATGAAAATTAACAAACAAATTAATTAAAAACTCTGAATACTAAAAATATTTCTAGGTACTAATTTTTGAATTATTAATTAAACTACTAAATTAAAATTAACAAACAAATTAATTAAAAACTCTGAATACTAAAAATATTTCTAGGTGGACTTGGCCAGTTAGGAACAGAGTGTGCAAAACTTTTGCGCAAAAACTACGGAAACGAAAATGTCATATTGTCCGACATTATTAAACCAACTGAAGAAGGTCTTTCGAATGGACCATTTATTTTCGCCGACATTCTCGATTTTAAAGGACTGCAAAAGATTGTCGTAAATCACAGAATAGATTGGCTCATTCATTTTAGTGCACTTTTAAGTGCAGTCGGTGAACAGAATGTCCCCCTCGCTGTTCGAGTAAATATCGAAGGTGATTATAACAACTAATCCATCAAAACTCGAGAAAAGTAAATTATAAGCGTCAAAAATATGTTAATTACTTTGGTATTTAAATTCTTCAGACACAATAATGCAACCATTGTTTTCTATTGCGAAATTATTAATTAAGTTCAATTAAATCATCATTATTAGCATTAAAAACAGAACTGTCACTTTTGTATAAGAAAAGAATGATTTTTTTCATTTTACTTTCGTGCGTTAATTGTTGAAAAAAAAGAAAAATTGTCGCTTGTAGAAAGCAAAACCAGAGAAAGTAAATTAACTCTGTACATAATGTTTTTAAAATACTAGCTCTGGTCAATTTTTTTCTATCTCAATTATTTTTTGAAACTATATATTTATAAAAAATTTCTCTCATTTCGATTTTATTTATTAATTCTCTCGTTTCGATTTTATTTGTTAATTCTCTCGATTTCGATTTTATTTACTAATTCACTCGATTTCGATTTTAATTATTAGGCATGCATAATGTTATTGAATTGGCAAAGCAGTATAATTTGAGAATTTTCGTACCATCAACTATTGGTGCTTTTGGTCCTGATTCGCCGAGAAATCCAACACCGAATGTCACGATTCAAAGGCCAAGAACAATTTATGGAGTCAGCAAAGTGCACGCCGAACTTCTTGGCGAATATTATCATCATAGATTTGGATTGGATTTCCGTTGTCTTCGATTCCCGGGTGTCATCAGCAGTGATCCGCCAGGAGGTGGAACTACTGGTAAAAAAAATATTTATTATTATCATTTAATTTAAATAAAATATAAAATTTTTATTAAAAATTGAATTATTATTTCATGGTATTTTTTATTAATTTTTATTGCTTGTGTTACTAATTTTCATAGTTTTTTAGATTTATTATTTATTTTGTAAAAGATAAAAATCCAGGAAAGTAATAAATTATTTTCATCAATTTTGATATGATTCTTTATGAAAATTCAATTATTTTCAATACAATTTTTAGTAAATTTCTCGAAAGAAATTTAATTTTCTTCGAAACAACTTAATTATTTTCAAAAATTTGAATGAAATTCTTGGCAAGAATTCAATTATTTTCAATACAATTTTTACTAAATTCCTCGAAAGAATTTTAATTTTCTTCAAACCAATTCATTTATTTCAAAAATTTATATAAAATTCTTGCCAAGAATTCAATTATTTTCAAAAATGTTTATAAAATCCTTAGAGCAAAAACTCAATTATTTTTAAAAACAATAATATTATTTGTAGAAATTCAATTATTTTCAATGCAATTTCAAAAAAGTTTCTCGAAAACATTCAATTATTTGAAAAAATTGTATTAAATTAACATTATAAATAACACAATTCTTTGTGAGAGAAATTCAATTGTTTAAAAATATTTTAATGAAATTCTTGTCAAAACTTAAATTATCCTTGTATCTTTTGATTACATTCTTTCTAAGAATTCATTTTTTTTAAATGAAATTCTTCCAAAGAATTGAATTATCTTCATAAATAATAAAATTTCTATCGCCAGAAATTCAATTATTTTCAATTTTAAATAATTTTAATAAAATTCTTCAATAGAATTCAAATATTTTTATCAATTTAGATTTAAAATTCTCTTTACGAATCCAATTATTTGTTTAAATAAAATTTTTCTATGTAAAATTAAACTATTTTTAAATTTTTTGATAAAATTTGTTATGAATTCAATTAATTTTATAAAAAATAAAATTTCGTGAAAGAATTCAATTCTTTTCAAAATTTGTTTATTAAAATTAAATTATTTTCAATACATTTTTAATTAAATTTCTTAAAAGAATAACATTACTTTCAAAAATTTTAATGAAATTATTTAAAACAAATAAATTTTTTTAAAAATTTTTTAATAAAATTCGTCGTAAAAATTGAACTATTTTCATAAGTTTTGATAAAATTCTCTAAAAAAATTTAATTGAAATTCAGTATTCAATATTAATTAATAATTCAATCAATTGTACTTAAAAAATTTTAAAATAGTTTAATTTTAGAAGAGTTACCTTTACAATTTTTTATAAATAATTAAATTTCAAAAGGTTTCAAATTTGAACGTTCAGAAAATTGGAATTTTAAATAATTTTAATTTAAAATTCTAAAAAATTTAGTTTTTGAAAAATTTTATTAAAATTTTTTTTGAAATTTGTTGATAATTCTTAAATATTAACTGCAAAAAATTTTCGAATAATCGAAATTTCGTAAAATTGCATTGTAAACAAGAGGACTTTAGAATTATTTTAGGTAAACTTTCTCTTTTTTTCTTTGAATAATTGAATTCTCAAAGACGATTCTGAAAAATTATTAAAAAATAGTTTTAAAGAAGAATTAAAATTTTAAAATTATAGAAAATAATAGAATTTAAATTTTGCAAAGTTAAATTTTTGTGTTTAAAAAAAAATTTGTAAAATAATCACAAATTTCTTTTGTAATTTTTCTCAATAAAAAAATTTGAATGAAAAAATGATTTTTTTTTCCATTTAAATTGACGATTTAGTTTTGAACTTCAGCAACATTGTGAATTTTCTCGAAACGAGTTAAAAATTTTATTTTGAATACATTCATGCAAGCACATAACAAATGGAAATCACGCAGCATTTAACTGCGAAATCTCTTTTCTCTGTGAAGTAGAGCACGATATAGAATATCAGCGGTTAACTTAATTGTGTAATAACATCAGACAAAAATCTATATTGAAGGCGCATTCGTAATTGGAGAACAGTAAACTTACTTTGATATTCTCGTGTCGATTTCCTTTTAATAGATCAAGATTTTTAATACATAAAAAATTTAGTTCAAACATATTAAATTTTCAATATTAAATTTCCATGGAAATTAATAAATTTTTCTTTTTAAAAATGTTTAATTACAGATTATGCAGTTGCTGTCTTTCACGAAGGATTATTGAATAAAAAATACGATTGTTATTTGGAGCCACATACCCGATTGCCAATGATGTACATTGATGATTGTCTCTCATCACTTTTCCAGTTCTTGAACACTCCAAACGATAAATTACGAAGAAGAGTTTATAACGTCACGGCAATGAGTTTCTCTCCAGAGGAACTTTTCACTGAGTTGACGAAATATATTCCTGATTTGCAAATTTCTTACAATCCCGATAGCAGGCAACTTATTGGTAAATTTTTTAATCTGTAAAAGAAACTTAAATTCCTTTTTTTATATAATTAATAAAATTTAGAAATTTTTTTGGTAAATTTTTGCCTGAAAAAGAAAAACTCTTTTTAATTTAATTTATAGTAGAATTCTTAAATTGAAATGTAAATTTCAAATTGAATTGATTGTTTTCAGCTGATTCGTGGCCTCAAGTATTCGATGACAGTGAAGCGAGAGAAGACTGGGGATGGCAGCACAATTATGATCTTGAAAAACTCGTTCACTCAATGGTTCGTGATGTTAGTGAAAATTTCCTACCCAAGTTTCATCGACTCCAGGAAGTGAATAGTTATGTTTAAAAAGACGAAAAATTGATAATTGATAATTTTCATTTTTTAATAAAATTTTGATAAACAATTATAGTGGTTTTTTTCGGAGTTTCCTAGTAATCGTTAAATTAGAGTAAAAAACAAATGAAATTTACAAATGAACAATGTTAAATTGAATCTAAATATTTTAAGTTAGTGTGTTAAAATTATATTTACGAATTTAATGTTTAGAACACATCACTAAAGTCCTCATTGGTAAACTCCATGAGTTCGGGGTCAATCTCTTTCTTCTCTTTTTTCACTACAGTTCTTGGTGCTTCTGTTTTTCTCGTAGGAGTTTCCACTTTCGCCCTCACATTTTGTGACAATTTATCTCCGTCTTTTTGGCTCGATTCATTTGATCCTTTAGTGAGTATTTCACGACTCTCTGCATAATAGACATTCGGATGAACAATCGGTCTTCCCGGTGGACGTTTATGCGTCACATCGAAGCACATTTGACAAGCTAAATTGTAATGTCCACCTGTCGCCAGATCTGCGATTTCCGTTACATCTGAAAAGTGTGTGAAATTTCTATTTATTTCGTCAAAAAAATTAATTCGTTTCTGTAAACTGTTTTATTTTTAGTTTATAAAACTGTAAAAAGGGTTAAACTTAATTGTTCTAATACTTACAATCAAGTAATTAAATATTCCAATTTTAAAAAATATTTTTTGGCAAATTTAAATAAAAAAAAGGAACTCAAAGAAAGAGAGAAAATTATTGAAAATTGATTTACTTTCAGAGCGTAGTCCATATGAACATAATTTTGCTTTTAAGATGTCTTTTGGCATTTGTTTATAGGGACATCCGTGAAATTCGCCGGGACCAACCATTTCGGTGATGATTTTTGTGCATCCGTATGGAGTGTAACTTGTTTGCTTTCCCTCCTTACCATACATATGCCTAATATTGTAACGATATTGTTTATTGAATTTATCCTCATCCATTTTTTGACAAAATTCCTGTTTCCAAAAAATTAGGGCATCTTCTAGACTCACTCCGATGCCTTTCATAAACAGCCCGTACTGTTGACGACCTCCGTGTTTCACATGATGATCTCTTCTTACAGTCTCATGAAGTGTTCTCATGCAAAGTGGATACGATATTTTTGATAACTGAAAGTAAAATTATGATAATAATAACAATGATCATTAGAATTGATCATAATTAGTCCGTTTTTTAATCTACTCCCTCTTTATCCTCATTCTGCCTTTTTTATTCCTGAAAATTAACAGAATCCCCAAAAGCAACTAAACTTTTTTCCCTAATTCATTTGTTTTCCTCTTTTCCCCCTTTTTATTACCATAAATTAACAGAATCACCTAAACCAACTAAATTTTTTTCACCTAATTACTATTTTTCCCTTTTTCCCCTTTTTTATTCCTGTAAACTAACAAAATCTCCTAAAACAACTAAAATCATGAATATTCTCCACTTTCGCCTTTTTTCAATATTTTTAACTTACAAAAATTGTTATTTTTTTTTATATAAAAATATTTAGTTACATTGAATAAAGTTAACAGTATGTTTTACTAATTTTTATTTAAATTACTTCGGATATTATAAAATTTATATTATTCTGGAAATAACAATTCTTAATATAGAATTTTACCATTTCCACAGTTAATTTTTGTAAAAAAGTTTTTTAAATTTTCTTTGAACGTAGTAAAACTTTGTTATTAACTATTATTTTCAGAGTAAATTTTTTTAACTTCTGAAGTAAATTTTTCTAATTTTTATAAAAATATTTTCTTCGAAAACAATAAAAGTTATTTTGGAAATAACAATTTTGTAATAGTCAATTTTAATATAATTTATAATTTTTCCTTTTAATTCTATGAATTTTATATTAATAAAATCTTAATTTAATATTTTGAAGATTAAAAAATACCAAAAATTAACTAAACCACTGTTTTCAATTAAAAATAAAATATTTCTTTTATAATTTTGAATCTGAAATAATTGAATTTTTGAGAAAAATTTTATCAAATTTTTAAAAATAATTGATTTTTTCATAAAATTTTATTAAAATTGAAAATAATTAAATTTCTGCAAAGAATTTTACTATTTATAAAAATAATTAAATTCTCACGAAGAACAATTTTTTTAATTGAAATCTTGGTAAAAAGTTTATTAAAATTTGTATTAAAAATAATTGAACTTTTCAGAATAATTGAATTTCTGCGAAGAATTTTATAAATTACATGAAAATAATTAAAATCTTCCTAAGAATTTAATAAAAATTTTCGATAATAATTGAATTTTTGAGAAAAATTTTATCAAATTTTTAAAAATAATTGAATCCTTTCGTAAAATATTATTAAAATTGAAAATAATTGAATTCCTGCGAATAATTTTACTATTTTTAAAAATAATTGAATTGTTCCAAAAAACAATTTTTTAAATTGAAATCTTGGTAAAATTTTTATTAAAATTCGTATTAAAAGTAATTGAACTTTTCAGAATAATTGAATTTCTGCGAAGAATTTTATAAATTATGAAAATAATTATAATCTTGCTAAGAATTTAATTAAAATTTTCGAAAACAATTGAATTTTTTGCAGGAATTTACTTAAAATTGTATTGAAAATATTTCAATTCTCATAAAGAATTTAATAAAAAATTTTTCAAAATAATTGAATTTTTGCGAAAAATTGTATTAAATTTTTTTTTAAATAATTGAATTCTTTTGATAAATTTTATTGAAATTGTATTGAAAATAATTTAATTCATGAGAAGAATTTGATTAAAGTCTTTGAAAAGAATAAATAAATATAATTAATTAGACGTTAAAGATTATTTAACTAATTAATTAATAATTTAATTTTTAATCTGAAATTTTTCCAAAATTGAAATTAATACATATTTAAAGGCGATTTTTTTAAAATTTTGGATAATTATTTTAAATGAAATACCGCATTTCGCGCGCTGTTAACATTTGCTATTAATAGTAATAATACCAATAAAAATAATGATAAATTAATAAAACCATTTCGTGAAATCTGAATCAATATAAAAACTTACCTCGTCCAACATTCCAATAGGCGTAGTTTCCGTCGACCAAACAGCTTTTGTCATTCCGGAAAAGGATTGTGGAAGATGTTTCAAAAAACCAGTGAGTCTTTCATCCGTTGATATATTTTCCAAATAATCCTTTGCGATCTGTAAAAATAATAAAATAAATATGTAATTATTTAAAAAAAAAACTTAGGAATAAAAATTACTATTTTTCACAAATCATTTATTCTACTTACATCCATCATTTTATTTAAATGTTCCTTGTAGATAGATACAATTACGGATATCAAATCATGATGCGGCACATAAGCCATGCCTTTTTTAATAAAAACTCTTCTGTCCTTAACCAAATCGGTAACTTTCTCAAATGGCAATTTATAATAATCTAAAGAACTATCAGCTTCTTTTATCGAATACAACTTGTCTCTTAATTCATTCTTTTCTTCCTCGGGAACCTTAGGAGAAAAATAAATAAATAAATATTGAAACAGAATATTTCATTCATTTATTTAGGTATTTAACATTTTACGAATACGTTATTAATTACTCACCAGGGAAAAATCGAAATTATTTGTGGACAAAATAAATTTAACGCTATCTTGAGCTAGATTAGTGAATCTTAATTTAAAAAATTCCACTTCTTTGGATATAAACCAATTTCGCAAATCGTCCGTTTGACAATAGGCTAGTCTGAGAATAAAATGAGAAATATGATCATGTCTTCTTGCTTCAACTGAACACGTTTTCCCGGTGCTTGTTAATAATTTTTGATACATAATATGATCTTTTCTTAAAGCATTTTCCAGTTGTTTTTTAAAATCATCTTGTGATTTATTTTCCTGAATGGAGACTGAGTCCAGTAACTGTAAAACTAAAAGTGAACAAAGTATAAGTATATTTTATTTAACATAATAAGTATAAGTATATTTTATTTAACAAAATTTCATTCTAGATTCGCGAAAACTAAATTAACAAACCGAATTTAATTTCGTGTCGACTTGGAACTAAAGTTTGGAAAAATTAAATATTTTGCTTGGAATTTTGCCAAAAATAGCCAATTTTACAGTTTTGGCCAGTTTTTTTAGAATGATCTGAAAGTTTTCTTAATTTATTTTGGGGTCGACACGAAACTGAATTAAATTTGTTAATAAATTAGGCATTATATTTAATAATATTCACAGAAATCGAAAGAATAACATAAAAACAAATACCTTTTAATCTTTCTAATCCTAATTCCTGAAATTCGACAAGAGAAATATTTCCACTTGGTGGCTCCTTATAAAACTGTAAATCACAGGGATAATTTTCATCAGATTCGTCTTTTCTTATAATACCGTACTTTCGTCTTTTACTTTGCGGTGTTCGTACTGTTATCTCCATCTTAAATTAAATTTGCACAAGGAAAAAAAATACTGGAACCTGTAAATTAACATGGAATGTTCAATATTATAATTATAAAACAAATAGTTACAGAGCAAATGTTTAAGAATTTTATTTCCCGAAATAATCACCCCAAAAATTAATACAAAAAGAATTCTATGTAATTTTCCCTTTTAATATAATTTTAATTCTATCTAGTTGAATCTTGCAAAGAATTATATTAAAAATTTTTAAAATACTTAATTGAATTCCTTCGAAGAATTTTATTAGAATTTTTTAAAAATCCTAATTCTTTTAAAGAATTTTTTTGAATTTTTTAAAAAATAATGGAGTTTTATTAATAATTTTCTCGATTTTAATTTAAAATTTTGAAACTAATTGAATTTTATGAAGAATCGCTTTCAAGTTTTTTAAATAATCGCATTTGCAAGAAATTGTAATTAAACATTTGATTATTGAATTTTATTAAAATTTTTAGAAAAATCATTAATTCATTTAAAGAATTTCTTTACGTTTTTTTTTTGAAATTATGTATTTTTTTAAATAATTTCAATTGGAAATTTTTAAATAATTGAATTAAACAAAGAATTTTTTCAAGTTTATAAAATAATCGCCTCTGTCAATAATTGTAATTAAAATTTTGATTACCTATTGAATTTTATTAAAATTGTATTGAAAATAATTTAATTCATGAGAAAAATTTTATTATTTTTTAAAAATAATTGAATTATTTCCAAGAATTTTGTTATTTAGAAAAATAATTAAATTATTTCCAAGAATTTATTAAAATTTTAGAAAATAATTGAATTCTATCGAAAAATGTTATTATAATTCTAAAAAATAATTGAATTCTTCCAAAAAATATTATTATTTATGAAAATGAAAATAATTGAATTCTGTCGATTTGTAAGAATTAATTAAATTTTTCTCAGAATTTTATTAAACTATTGAAAATAATTTAATTCTTTAGAAGAATTTCTTTGATATTTTTGAATATAATTGATTTCGTTAATAATTATTATAAACAATTTTATTAAATTACATTTTTTTTAAATTATTAATGAAAAATTAAATTCTTTTGAAGAATTTCTTTGAGTTTTTTTTTAAATAATGTAAATTTTAAAATATTTTTAATGGAAAATTTTGAAACTAATTTTATTAAAATAAAAACTATTAATTACTAATTGAATTTGTTTTAACTGTTTAAAATAATTGGGTTTTTTAATAATTATAATTAAAAATTTGATTATTCAATTTTATTAAAATAAGATCAAATTAATTATATTATTTTCTGTTTATAATTTTATTGATCATTAACTAATCATTAAAAAATATAAAATATTATTACGAACAAATTATTAATTACTTTCAATTCAAGTAGAATATAAATTTGTTTTGAGTGTTTTGAGAGTATAAATTTAGAGGAAATTAGAAGAGGATTTTTTCTCTAAACACGAGATTACTTTTTCTGTGCGAAGAATTTTTCTCGAAATAAAAAATTTAGACTCCAGATACTTTTGGTATCTAATTTTTTTGTTTCCAGAAAAATTCTCGAGAAATTAACAATAGGGGGATTTAAATAGAAAGTGCATTACAACTTACCAAGTTAATAAAATAATCCTCTGAAGTAATTACACAACTTTTGCTTAAAGTTCCAACTTGAAGTTCCAACAAAAAATGATTAAAAACATCATCAAACTGTCAACTATCCATAAATAATTCCAAACAGCTTTCAATTGTTGATATATTACTTATTTCGTTTAATTGTGACGAAATATTATTGCAACAAACAGACTAATTCTGACACGTGTAAACAAAGTTTCGGCCATTCTTGTTCATTCCCGCGATTCCCGCCAAACTGGTAAACAACCTGGAGAAATCTTCCAAAGTGGGAGAATTGTCAATTTGTGAGACGAGTTTTAATTTTTAAACTCACCACCAAATTGGAGCGCTACCATTAAAAGGTGTTTTCCTAACAAAATAAACAATTTGTCAACACTGTAAAAAATAAATGCTTCTTTTGTCAATATGGCAACACTGTGAGACGCCATTGTGTGAATGGATTTGATAATCGCGTATTGTTAATCCTGTCAGTTTAATTGTTAGAAATTGGTTTAATTATATTTAGTGTTTGTTTTCAAGAGCGATCGATAGCGATTCAGTTACAACGTGAATTTAACAATTAACCTTTGAGTAGAAAGGTTATTTTTTTTACAAAATGGGCGAAGATAACGCATCTAAAGAAAATGCATCACAACCTCAACAACAGAATAATGCGAAAGATAAGAGCAATAATGATAATGCACACTCGGGTCCAGGAGGTGGTGGTGGTGGAGGACCTGGAAATCTAGGATTTGGTGGTGGACGTGGTGGTGGCCGCGGAGGAGGTCCAGGAGGGCATCCTGGAGGACATCGCAGAGGTGGTTCGCGATTCTCTGGTGGTCGCGGTGGTATGCAAGGGGGTGGAAGGAACGATGGAATGGTAAGTTTTTCGATGGTTTTTCATCAATGTTTTATTGATGTCAATGTGAATATTTATTGATATTTAAAATAATAATGATAGAGTTAATAAAACCTTGGTGGGTATAAATAATAGTGATGGTACCATTAATACCTTGGCGAATAATATTTAAAGTTCGATTTTTTATTGAGGCATTTACATTGTATTTCGTTCGTTTTCGTTTAGTCAAATGGTTCAAAATTTGCAATTTAGTTGTTGTTTGCTTTTTTTGTTTCTTAACTTTTTTATTATTTTTCTTTGCAAATATTTTTAGTTTTAAAATTCATACATTGAAAATCATAGAATTGTTGCAAAGAATTTTATTATTCAGAAAAATAACTGAATTCTCACTAAGAATTTTACTAAAACTTTTAAAAATCCTAATAAAATGCTTTTGAAGAATTTCATTGGATTTTTTTTTAAACTAATGGAGATTAATAATTTTAATTGAAAATCTTTAAAGAAATTGAATTTCATGAAGAAGAATTTTATTAAAATAGTATTGAAAATAATTGAATTCTAGCGAAGAATTTTGCTACTTATAAAAATAATTGAATTGTTCCGAAGAATTTATTAAAATTTTAGAAAATAAATGAATTTTATATTAATATTTGAAAATTTAAATTCTTTCAAGGAATTCTATTAAAATTGTTTTGAAAAGAATTGAATTTCTGCAAAGGATTTTACTATTTATAAAAATAATTGAATTATTGCGAAGAATTTTCCTATTTATAAAAATAATTGAATTGTTTCGAAGAATTTATTAGAATTTTAAGAAATAATTAAATTGTTATGAAGAGTTTTATAGAAATATTTGAAAATAATGAAATTTTTTCGAAAAATTCAATTAAAGTTGTTTCGAAAATAATTGAATTTCTTTAAAGAATTTCATTAAAATTAAGTATATTCAAAATAATTGAATTCATCACAAGAATTTTATTATTTTTTAAAAATAATTGAATTCTTTCAATTTTTTTGACGAATATATTTAAAAATTGCATTGAAAGTAATTTAATTTTTATATAGAATTTTTTAAAAATATTTTGAGAATAATTGAATTATTTTTAGAGAATTTTAAATTCTTGTTGAAATTGAATTTTATGGAAATTTTTGAAATTAATTAAATTCTTTCGTGTAATTTTATTTAAATTGTATTAAAAATTATTTAATTCTTGCAAAGAATTTTAGTATTTATAAAAATAGTTGAATTGTTTCGATGAATTTATTAAAATTTTAGGAAATAATCGAAATTTATGGAAATATTTTAAAATATTTGAATTCATCAGAGGAATTCAATTAAATTTTTTTTGAAAATAATCGAATTCTTGCAAAGAATTTTACTATTTATATATAATTCAATTTTTTCGAAGGAATTATTAAAATTTTAGAAAAAAATTGAATTTTTTTGAAATGTGTTAAAGAGTTTTTTAAAACTTGAATTCTTCCGAGGAATTCAATTAATATTGTTTTGATAATAATTGAATTTTTGTAAAGATTTTACTATTTAAAAATTTTAGAAGATAATTGAATTTTTTCGTGAAATTTTATTAAAATTTTTGAAAATATAAAGAGTAATAATTAGTTTTGTACTTAATAAGTGAATTTTTTAAATTTTGATTATGAAATTATTTAAAAAATGTATTTTTGAATATAAAAAATTTTGTAATTTGCATATCACTAATAAATTTAATATCTCGTTCCGCGCGTTACATTTGCTAGTGAATTAAATAATTGATAATTATTAATTTTATTGCAGAAAATGAATGATGGAATAGATGGTGGAAATTCTGAAGGAATGGGAGGTGGTAACAACATGGGGGGTGGTAATAATATGGGGGGTGGAAATAATATGGGTGGAAACAATATGGGTGGTCGTGGTGGAATGCGAGGTAGGGGACGAGGAGGAGGTCAAGGTGGCTCTGGAGGAGATCGAGGAAACATGATGAATCGCTCACAAGACGTAAGATTTATGTTTTCAAAAATATTGTAATTAAGTTTCTTTTTAATTTTTACAGTGTTACTACAAATCAGAAAATTTAGGGAATTTTATCAAAAGTGCTGGAAAAAGTATCAAATTTCTAAAATTACTAAAAAAAAAAAAACATTCTGCTTTTTGGTGTCAAAAAACATTTTCGAAAAACTTAAAAATTTAAAAATTCTTCTTGAATCTTAAAAACTTTAAAATTACAGTGAATTGTTAAAAAATATCTTAATTTCTTCTTATTTTTAGCAAAATATAATTAATTTTATATTAAATAGAGGTAATTAAATTCTAGAATAATTTTCTTAAAGTTCTTAAAGTCATTAGTTTCAATTACCTTAAAAAAAATTTAGTCAAATAATTTAAAATGCAAATTGCAATTTAAATTGTTGCAATTTTCATAGAAATAATTGAATTTCAGAATATTTTAAACTAAAATATACGAAAATTCCAATTTCTGTGTAGAAATTAATAATTGAATATTTATTTAAAAAGTATAAGTATTTAAATACTTATTTTCATTTATTTACCTACAGAAATTAAAATTTTTTTAAATTTTAATTTTAAATGTTCTGAAATTAGAGCTGAAGTTCTTCTAAAAGTTAATTAGTTTACATAATTTTTTATTCGAAAATTTCTCTGGAAGATTTTTAGAATTTTTAATAAAATTGTACAAAATTCAAATTTTTATTTAATTTAATACAAATTAAAATATTCAAGTTCAGAATTAATTGATGTTCAGAAGATTTAGAACTAAAATTCTGAAAATTCCAAATACAGTCAATAAATTGAATTCAAATAAAATTTATTTTTATCCCACATGCACAAAAACGGCGCTTTCTGATAGCAGCCGACAGGGAGGAAAGTCATTCATTTCTTCGACCGTATGAAAATGGCGGCCGTGTTCTCCCAAGGGCAAGAAAATTAGCTGTTCACATGCATTTTTCTTGCCCAAGGGAGAAATCGGCCGCCATTTTCATACAAATCGAACAAGTGAATGACTTTTACTCCCTGTCGTCTGCTATCTGAAATCGCCGCTTTTGTGCATTAGGAATAAAAAATATCGTAAGTAACACGAGAATAAAGGCAGCCAATTTCTTTACGATGATTTTTGTGACACTCGTTCCGGTCTCGGGGCGCCTACGGCGCCCTCGACCTCCACTCGTGTCACAAAAATCACCGTAAAGAAATGGCTGCCTTTCTCCTCTTGTTGCTTAATATACTATTAAAAAATTGTTCATGAATTCATGTTTTAAATAATTTTTATTAAAATTCTGAAAAAATTTCAATTTTAAATTTTCTGAAATTTAATTATTTATAGAATTAGAGCTGAAATTCTTCCAAAATTTAATTATTTAACATATTTTGTAATTCAAATTTTTCTGGAAATCAGTCATTTTTTATAATTTAGAGAAAATTTAATTATTCATAAATTTTGTTTTTAAACTTAAGGTTTTTAGGATTTTTAATAAAATTGTACAAAATTTAAATTTGCATTCATTTTAATTAAAATTAAAATATTCAAGTTCAGAAATAATTAATGTTCAGGAGGTTTTGAACTAAAATTTCTGAAAAATCCAATTTCAGTCAATTAAATTCAATTGAATAATTTAAAAATTTATTTGGGTTTAAATTAATTTTATTTAAAATTATGAAAAAATTAGTTTACTAAATTTTTCTGCTTATTAATTTTCTTTATTTATTTAAACTTTTTGAGCTAGAGACTAAAAGTCACTGGAATATTTTCTTTTTATTTATTTTTCTAATTATTTTTCCACTTGCTACTTTTCTTTATTCATAAACTTGTTGGTCTAGAGAGAAAAAATTCTCTAAAATTTTTTCTTTTCATTTAGGATCGATTATTGGATCGTATCATGAGTTTAAGTGGACCAACACACGAATTACCGCCGCAAGACACAACTGAGAAGAAATTCTCAGGAAGAAATCGTCTCTATTTGGGAAATTTGACTAATGATGTGAATGATGAGGAAATTCAACAATTATTTTCGCCGTATGGTGAAGTTTCTGAAATCTTCATCAACAAAGAAAAGAATTTTGCGTTTTTAAAAATGGTCAGTTTTTTCAGCAATACTCTTTGAATAGACTTTAATTAAATTTAATTATTTAATTTAATACTTTTTTTTATTAGTAGAGGAAATAAATAAATGTTATATAACATTGCTTTTTCACTTTAAAGGACTATCGTTTGAATGCTGAAAAAGCAAAGAGGGAATTAGATGCGACGCCTCGGAAAGGACGTGCTCTAAAAGTGCGATTCGCTCCAAGCTCGGTGACTGTAAAAGTTAAGAATCTCACTCCTTGGGTTTCCAATGAACTTCTTGAACGAGCATTCAGTGTGTTCGGCGATATTGAACGCGCTATTGTAATAGTCGACGAAAGAGGCAAATCATCGGGCGAGGGTCTCGTTGAATTTGCCCGAAAACCATGCGCACAACAAGCAATCAGAAAATGCACGGATGGTTGTTATTTCCTCACTGCGTAAGTTTATTTTCTCTTATTCTTCCAATCAAATGAATTTGATGATAATAATAATAACAATAGCTTAATAATTGATTAATTAATTATTAAAAGATTCATTCTTCTCATTAATACAAACTTAAACTTTTGTAAATAACAGAATTCTTTTTTTCTAAAAACTTTTTTTTACCGTAAATATTTTAGATCTTTGCGGCCAGTAGTGGCGGAAATATACGAACCACAAGATGATCTTGACGGTTATCCGGACAAGAATCTACCAAAAAAGCATCCGGACTTTTATTCAGCTCGCGAAGCTGGACCTCGTTTTGCTCAGATTGGCAGTTTCGAGCATGAATATGGCACCAGATGGAAACAATTGCATGAATTGTATAAACAAAAGGAGGAGGCATTAAAGAGGGAGATGGTGATGGAGGAGGAGAAATTGGAAGCTCAAATGGAATTCGCTAGATACGAGCACGAAACTGAAGTTCTACGTGAACGTAAGATTTTATTTTCTCTATAATAATAGATTATTTCTCTTTTAATAATAGTTATTGTTAAATACAAAATAGTAAATAATTTGAAAGTGAAATAAAGAAAAAGAAAATTTTATTTTATAATTATTGTTTCTTTGAATTTATTTTAGAATTACGCATGAGAGAAGCTGACAGAGATAGACAGAAGAGAGAATGGGAAATGAAGGAGAGACAAGCTGAGGAACAAAGGACACGCGAAGAAGAAATGAGAAGAAGACAGCAAGATGAAATGTCCATGCGAATTAGAAAGCAGGAAGAAGAATTACACAGAAGACAACAAGAGAATAACTTATTCATGCAGGTGAAGAATTTTTATTAATTATGACTTGAAATATTATTTTCTTGTTAAATCAAGTGCCAATTAATTAACAATTTTTCGTTTTTTATTTATTTCAGGAACAAGCAATGCGAGGTGGGAAAAATTACGATTCAGTTGGTAACAATGATGATGGTGAGTTGATAATAATTTCATAACGAAAATTAAAAAAAAAATTAAACATCCGGAGTAAATTATTTTCAAAATCAAGTGAATAGTTCAGAAATTGATTTTTAAGATAAAATGTTTCTTTAATTCAGAAATTATTTTTTGATAATAAACTTTTATTGTTTAATTCATGAACTGATTCTTTGAGAATAAACTTTTATTTAATTCGTAAACCGATTTTTAAAAATAAATTTTTATTTAATTCATAAACTGATTCTTTGAGAATAAACTTTTATTGTTTAATTCGTAAATCGATTTTTAAAAATAAATTTTTGTTTCATTCATTAAAAAGAATTTTATGATTCTTATTCTATAATTTTCTATCTGTTAATTAACAAAAAATTTTTTTTCTTTCAGCTGCAGGCAACTTACCAGTGGTAACGTACTCTTTTTTCTTATTTTCTTACTCAACCTTGCATTTTTTTACTAATACCGTAAACATATCATTTAAAAATTTGTGTTACCTCGTGTAACATTTTCGCATAATACTCATATTCATAAATTCAAGGAACTTAAATATTTCTTGAAACAAAAAAAAATTTTCCAATGCATTCTGATTAATTGGGTTTTGATTTTCTGAATTAAACCGTTTTGAATTTTTATTCTTACGTAATCGGATCAGAATTGATCTAATTTGAATTCGCAAATGCATAGGTGCATTTTAAGTTACTGTTTAAAAACAGGGTTTAAAATAATTTAGGATAAATTGGGAATGAAAAATTTTCATCCTGATAATATTCGTAAATTAACCATAATATTGAAAATTTAATTTAAGGATAAGAACAATATTTCTTAATTTATATTTTGATTTATTATCTATGCGAGTTTACTTATCTAAACTGTTTAAAATTTAAAGAAAAACTGGAAGAAAACAGAATAATTCGCTATAAAAGCGAAAGCTTTTTACATTATTTCTTAATATTTTCTCGTAAATTATAATTATTAGATTTCAATTAATTTTCAACGAAAACAAGTTTCGAAAATTTTTTAACTCACTTTATATTTTAACTCGAATTAGGTAATTAAAACAATTTAAATTATTAATTTCAGCTGTAAATTAAATCGAAATTATGTGTTTTATAAAATTTTTATCGATGCAAATTGACAGAGATCGAGACTTCTCTTTAAAAACTAAAAAGATTTTGAAAAAATCTTGAAGTAATTATTAACTATTTATTTAAAGTTTATTAAATTATATCGGATATTTTTCTCCCAAAAGATATTATATATTTGGGAAATAAGTTATTATAATATAATATTACACTATAAGAATATGATTCTTATAGATTCTCTTTGAGATTTTCAACACTAGATGTTAAAAATCAGTCTTTCTAAAAAATTAATCTTTAATCTGTAAATAATTTAAATTAATACCAAAGAAATTTAATCAATATTTAACAAATAATATTGATATTTAGATCGTAAAATTTTTAAGAAATCTTTAAAATCTGATCAAGTAATGCCCAACTTTAAAAATTAATCAAAATTATTCGCTGTTAGTTGCATTTGGCAGAAAATTGGCAAAAATTCATATTAAAAAAAAGCAAAAGAAAATTGAAAGATGAAAAAATGATTGTATTTTTCATGATAAAGTAAACTCTTATGATATTTATTATCTTAATTCATAATTAAGCAACTAGCAGCGAATCACAAATTAATTATTTCTAATTAAATCGTTGTCTTACATATAAGAGAGAATCTTAAAATTCTTTTTTTTTTGCCATAAATATTCTCCGAGAAATGGAGAATTTATACCACTGCTGGATGATTTCCCTGAATTAATTTTTATTTCTACTGGAAATTATTATAATTCGTAATCATAACAGTTACTAACTGATAAGAAACGATTCTTTCAATCTGGTTGTTACCAGAATTTTACCTTGATTTTTTTTTTGTAAATAGGAGAAGGTTAATTTAAGTTGGAACAAAAACAAACAGTGTTTTGTAATTTCTTTTTTTAAATTCTCAATTAGTAATTTTATTCACCCTCTGTAAACTCCCTCTAGTAAATGCGTTATCACTTTTTGTAAGGAGACTTTAAATCTTTAAAAAATGAATATTAACCTTGGGAAATTTGGGGAAAGTGAAATATTTTAAAATGCAGTATCACAGAAAACAGGGAAAAAATTTGTGAGTTGTTTTTTATCTTTATTTATCAATACAAGATAAATATTATTAAATTATGTGAAATTGTTTAATTATTAAATTATATACCTAAGTTTATTTAATTTAAATGTTAAATTAATTAAATTATTATTATATAGAAATTTAAACAAATTTCCATCGAATTACTGATTTAATTTTGAAAATTTTTTCCTTGTTTTTCTTCCTTTATTCCCAATTGGGATTACTAATTGAATTTGTAAACAATTTCTTTATGAAAACTTGAATTAATTAATAGTCAGGCTACATGTTCAGAGCAGATATTTATTTTATTTTGAGAATAATTTAATTAATTGAAATTAGTAATATAATTAAATAGTATATAGCATTAATTATTAATTATTTAGTTAATAATTAATAATTTATTATAATTTTCAAAAGAGAAAAAATGTGGTCTCTTTTTTAACTAATTTCTCTTTTTCTTTTAATAATAATTTGCCTGATGAGGGTCTTATATATTATAATAATTTATTAATTATATTAATTTCATAAATCTTTTCTGTATTTTTTCATTTTTTAGACCTAAAAAAGTGGAACATTGAATAAGTCGCCTGGTTATTTACTAGCTATTAATTAGACAATTTCGAAATATTTTTGTTACATAAATTTTACGTTCGAGTGTAACAATAATATTTAACGCGTCTGTAATATAATAATTATCATATTTCTAAAATTATATTTTAGAATTATTTTTATACGCTTTTAAAATAATAGACCTCACTTTTTTTGTAGAGTTAATTAAATTTTTAATATTTATATTCTAATTTTCTCATAGTTCTAGTTCTCATTTAAAGGCCACGATTTTGACTTTTTTCCTTAATTTTTAAAACTTGCTACTTTTTCCAAATTTGAATTTTTAGAAATTATTTAATTTCAGGAGGTTTTAAATTGAAATTTTCAAATTTTTTTTTCCCGGGGAAAAACAAATTAACAAATAAGAAGTATTTAAATATTTAACAAAATTATTCGAGTTTTGAATAATTGAATTTAGAAATCAAGGAAATAGAAAATAAAATTCATGTGACATTACTGAATTAAATAAACGACTTTTTCGACTTTTTTTATATTTTAAATCGACTAAAGGGACTTTTTTCTTAAAGTCGTTCCGAGGTCTGGATTTAGTAGTTCGAATTTTCTATTAATATTCCAAATATTCTAATTTAATTAAATTCAATAAAAAAAATACTCATTCTATTTTTATATTTTGATAAACATTGCATTATGTAGAAAAAGAAAAAAATCAATTTTATTTATTCCTCAAAAAGAAAATGCCAAAAATAGAAAAGAAAATGCAAGAATAGAAATTAATTTGACATCTTTTCATTATAAGTAGAAAAAATTAAATGTTTAAATATTCATTGGGCTTACTTGGTCTGATTATTTATAGTATCTCAAATACCGAAATGCTTCTCTTTTTTTTAAATTATCGAATTTTATCCAATTGACGAATTATTAATGAATTTTTTGCAATATTGAAATATCTAACAGTTTTTCCCCTTTCTTTTCTATGTTATTTGATGAAAATTGATGATGACCTGTGTGCTGCTGTCAAACATGGACGATCACCCTGAACCGTAAAAAACACACAAATTGCGGTATTGGCATTCTGAAATTTTATTGATAAAAAAAAACAAAAATATATCAATAAAAAATGCGTCTAGGACCCAAAAAGCTTTATGGAAGCTTACGATCGTAACAATCGTGGGGGTTACAGAGATGATCACAACCAAATAATGGATTTGATGGATATGCGGGTAGAAATGGGCGGCAATATGGGGGGTAATATGGGTGGCAATATGGGAGGAAATATGGGAGGTGGTGGTGGAGGAGGTGGCGGCGGCGGTGGTGGTGGACGTGGTGGTAATTCCGGTGGTAGTGGAGGCGGCCGTTGGCAAGGGGGTAATGATCGTAATCGTAATGACGATTTTCCGAATAAACGTCGACGGTATTAAAATATTTTATATAAAAAAAACTCTTCTCTGGATAATTTTAATTTTTAATCGCTAATACAAATTACATACCTGAAAAATATATTGATATCGATATTTGAATATTATTAATATTCATATATAAATAGTTGAAATCTTCGCTGTTATAATGATATTCTTTTGTGTTCGCCACAAAAAATATATACCTTTTTTCGTAATTGAAATAATTTTTTGAGTAGTTGAAATTTAAAAAATTTTTTGGATATAAAATACTAATTTCAATATTTCCGACGAGATACCAATAATGATTTTTCTGAAATTGTTAAGTAGAACCTGTAGACCCATAAAATTCATAGACATTGGGTCATTTGAGAATTTTTTTTTTTGTTGAAAATTTTCTCAAAAGACAATTTGCAAATTATTCCAGTAATTATTAAAATTTGTAGCAATTTTTTAAGTAAAGGAAAAGTAATAATAAATTAGTTAATTTTAACTAAAATCGGTAGTTTTTAATAATTCAGTTTGAATTGTCTTGAAAAGAGAAAATAGGCAGAGGATCTTTAAAAGAAAAATAATTTTAATTCAAAAATAATTCAAAAATACTATTTTAATAATTACAGATGGAATAATTTTGTGATTAATAACAAATAATTTTGTAATTCCAAGAGTAAAAAAAATCAATTTTTTGATAAATGATAATTTGACTTTATTTTTGAATTCATTATTTTGAACTATTGAAAGTTTAAAAATAATTTTTGAATTTAATTGAGAATTTAAGTTTCGTGAAAGAAATTAAGAATAAAAACTTCGTTATTTGTGTAAACTCGATTGACTGCGTCTCGTAATTAGTTGCTACTTTTATCGCGCACTTATTAAAATGAGCATATTTTTTCAGTATTTCTGACGAATAGAGATTTTAAATATTTTTCACATCCTTCATAATTCATAAAGTAGAGAAAGAGAGTGAGTGAAAGAGAGACACCTTTTCAAGCTCATAAAACAAAAGTCTTGCAACAATTAATCATTTATCATTTTCTTTTGTTTTCATCTTTTCATTATAATTCACTTCATTATTTTTTGTTTTTTCGTTTTTGACAATTGTGATAAAAAATATTCATCAATACAATTTCATGTGCATATTTATACTAGTCTTGATAAAAAAAATTTTCGTTTTCTCGTGTCGATATTTTTTCTTCTATTATAAATTAGTTTGGAAAAAAAATCTCTTTTTTATAATTTTTTAAAATTGTAAAAAATTTTATTCCTATTAGAAAATAATTATTATTGTTTTTTTTTCTCGAGCGAAAAATATTTATTTCCTTTTTTCAATTAATTTCTTCATTAAATTAATTAATATAAATATAAATAAATAAAAATTAGTAAATAAAATTTTTGTCAAATTGAAAATTGACGTTGAGCTTGAAACGGTTTTTTTTTATTAAATCTCAAAATACAATGAACGGCAGTGCCGGAATGAAGAAAAATAATTTGAATTGTAAAAATTTCTCCTTTTTTCCATAGTATATGAGATAAAAAAAAGGTTTTAGCTTCAAGCTAAAGTGTTTGAACCAATTAATTGATAATTGATACATATGAATTGAGGAGTCCAAACTATATTTGTAAGAAATAATTAATAATTGTTTCATGAGGCTGAAAGTGGCACCCAGTTACCAACACTCACTTAATTTTGGAAATTAAACTTGAACTTCAAATTTTTTTTTAAAATCAATATAAAATATTGTGAAAAATTAAATGAGTGCTGATAATTGAGTGCCAGTTTCAATTTCATAATTATTTCGACGAAGTGGTTTTTATCTTTTGGTAAATTTGTAACTTATTTTTTCTGTGACATGGTCGAGAGGGAATAATTACAAATTTATCAAAAATTAGTTGTCAAAAGAGTAACAAATTTATTTTGTCCAATATTTAAATAAAAACACATTTTTCAAGCAATCACTTAAGAAAACAATAAAAAGAAAACAAATACCTATTGATAAACATAACCTTTATAGAGAATTATACTCAAAGTTAAAATTATAGTTTCGATTATTTGTGAATTTTCGCATTTTTGAAACCTACTTTTAAAAAGAATGCGATTATTATTCAATTTTTTTTAATAATTACAACTATTATTTTGCCATTCGCAATGGAGTTAGAAACAAAAGAATAGAAATTACGAAAAAAAAATCTAAAATTAGATTTTTTCAAATTAATTGAAACTATAATTTTAATATTCGGCGATAAATTTAGATTAAGACATTTAAGATTAGAAAATTAATAATTATAACATTACAAGTTTGTGTATAAGAGAACGAAAAAATCCATTTAATCAATAAAGATTTAGAGGCACAATAATTAAATTTAACTTTTTCAATTATTATAATTTTTTATATCCTACTAAATTATTAATATAGAGAATTATTTAATTAATTAATTAATTAATTTTTTAACCATTTTTTTTATATTTAATTGAATTATTGTTTTAAAAATCTAATAATAATTGAAATGTTCATTATGTATTTTTTTAGTCAATTGTTAATATTACTTTACGAATTAGCAGAAATGAAATTAAAATTTTTTTTAGGAGATTTTATTGTTAAAATATTAAATATTATTTCTTGAATTGAAACTAATTTTGGAATTTTTTTTAACTATTTTTTTAATATAATTTTTTTATAGATTTATAATAATTAACTTCTAATGATTGTCTCTCGCATATTTTAATCGTAATAGTTTGTTTCCAGGTTCAATTTGCAAAGGGTCAGCCTTTTGGCAAAATAAGTGAATTAAAATTGATTTATTTAAAAATGAAATTAAATAAATCTTGCTTTTTTTATTTAAACTGCAAAAGTGAAATTGTCTAATAGTCATTGACATTGAAGACAAGTTCATTTATAGATAATTTATGTGAAAGGGTAAAAGGGAAATTAATTATCGAATCGAATTTACTTCGAAATAAAGAAATGTTACTTGACATTTAATATTTTTTATGTGCAAATGCAATTTAATTACATTTAATACATTTCATATAAAATATTTTAACAAATGAAATTTAGTTAAATTTAATATTTAGAAAAAAATTGTTAATATAATATTATTAATAATTAATATAATATAAATCATATTCATAAAATAATATAAAGTAAGATAAAAATTTAGAAATATTATGAATATATTATTTTTTTTTATAAATTTATTTATTTTTCCATTCACATTTACAATTCAATAGAAGATAATTTTTTTTATTTTAAATCCGAATAATTTAGTTTTTAATGTAATTAATTAATTAATACCTTTTTTATTTATAATATTAATATTAATTTTATTTGTTTGTTTGTTTTTATCATAATATTAATATATTTTTAAATAGAAATATTTTTAGAAGCATGGATTTTATTGCAATGTTTCTGAAAGAAATTGAAAATTTTTTGAAATTGCATGTAATGTGTATTTTCAAAAATATTTAAATGATACCTATTTAAATATCGGAATATTTTAATATAGATTAGAATATAATTATTATGTAATAAATATCAACTTTGTACTGAATTATCAATATTGATATTTATCGTATGCCTACTTAATTAATAATTATAAATTATTAAGTATTAACATTTACCTACTTGATATTTAATTCATGAAAATTAAATTTATTTCTTGTTAGCAAAAATTTGAGATGTTACACTTTTCAAAATAATTGTTAAAAATTTTGACAGTTAAATTCTTTTATTAAAGTGTTGTAATATAGACCGTGAAAGTTTTTTTTACTAATTTTTGTTATTTTGTTATTTGTTTATTTTTTTTATTATTTTATTTTTGTTATTTGTTTATTTCTTTTTTTTATTATTATATTTTTGTTATTTTCCATTTTTGTTTACCATTTTTCTAAATTTATTTTTCGTATGTAGATTTTACTTGTAGTTAATTATTTTTTTCTACTTTTTTTATTTATTTGTATATTCAATTCGTATTTAGTTGCTTTATACAATTTTCGTATTTAATTTTGCATTTATTTTGTTTTTATTCAAGTACTTAAATTTGAATTTTTTCCTCTTTAGAATATTGTTCTATTAATATTTTCTTCTATTATTTTTTTCTATTAAAATTCTTTCCATCAAGATTTTTTTGCTATGAATATTTTTTCTTTTAATATTTTTTGCTGTGAATATCTTTATCTATGAATATTTTTTGCTTTGAATATTTTTTCTAACAATATTTTTTTCGACGGATATTTATTTCTGTCAATATTCTTTGCTATGAATATTTTTCTATTATTAATATTTTTTTGAATTAATATTTTTGTCCATCAATATTTTTTTCTATTAATATTTTTGTCTATCAATATTTTTTTCTATTAATATTTTTTCCATCAATATTTTTTTCTATTAATATTTTTTCCATCAATATTTTTTGCTATGAATATTTCTTTCTACCTATCAATAATTTTTTCTATCTATATTTTTTTCTATCAATATTCTTTGCTATGAATATTTTTTTATATTAATATTTTTTCCAATCAATATTTTTTTGTATTAATATTTTTCCCTTCATATTTTTTCTTTTATTTTTTCTATATTTTTTCCAATTTTTTCTATAATTAATTTTACATATTTTTTTCAACTCAGTATGTTAATTTTTCTCTAATTAAATTAACATTTCATTAAAATAACAGAAAACGTTCCAAAAGTTTATCTGTGTGTGCAAAGAAAAAACAATTTATTAAAATCTCTGTGACCAACAATAATTATAATAAGACAAAAAAAAAAGAGAGAGAGAGAATATTATTTTTTAACATTTTTCACTCTATACAATGCTTTTGATCGACATTGAAACTTAAAATGGAGAAGAAATCAGCAATCACATAGGCTAACTTTCTTGAAACCAGTAGAAAATGAAATGCTGCACTGAGGTGAGTAAACTTTGTGAAAACGTTATTAAACCATAATAATAATAATCTTATATATTAATTTTGGGTGGGCTGTGAGAAATCTTTATGATGGGAAATTTAAATATACTTTTAACTCTTTATTCTGTTATACCAAAGGTATATTAATTATTTAATTAATTAATTTTAAAAAATAAACATTTAAATAAATTACACATTAATAACAAATACAAATTAATGAAAATAAAATAAATGTTACTTTAGAAAAAATACACACATACACGAATAATTAAACCGTAAAGAAGACGAAATACGACACGAATACATTTTCTACAATTAAAATTGTAAATTTCATATTTATAATTAAAAATTTCATCTGTATGAAATTTTAAAAAATAGAAAAATTGAAAAATTTGGGATTTTGTGGGGATTTAATGATATTATTCCAACACTAAGTATATGCTTGAAAAATACCAAAGGATTGAAAAATCCAATAATTTTTTTTTAAATGTCTAGAAGTTTATCTGAAATTCAACAGTTTTTTGATTCTAAGCCAGCCCAGAGCTTCTTTAACAAAACCCAGGACAACCAAATTTTCTGATATTAATTATTATATAAAAAAAGGTTGTCAGGGATTAATTTATTTTTCTGGGCTGCTTGATTGATATTTTCTCTCTTTAAGAAAAAAACAACTCCACATCTTTGTGTGAAGAAAAAATTAAGCTCTAAAAAAAAAAATTTCGGTTCTCAATACTTATAGGAAAAATAATTAAACTTCTAAATGGAATTTTTTTTTGAAAAGTACTTTTAAGTGTGAAATTTGAAAAAGTTGACAAATTTCATCCCGTTTCTTGGTTTTGGTCGAAGTTTTCTCATTTGTTCTATGAAACACTGGAATGTGAATACTTCAATAATAATTAAAGAATTTCGACTCTCACTGCGTAATTTAGAATCGATATTTTCAAAATATCAATTTTTTTAAAATCTATCGAAAACACATCACTTGTAAATTTTGTTCATCATTCAAATTTTTTTCATTTATCTTCAGTTGTAAAAACTCGAAAAATTTTTTTTTTAATTTTCTTTTGCGATTTAGAAAAAATTAAATTGAGCGCGGAATTTATCTTTTTAAACATTTTTTTAATACGTGAAGCAGTAGAAATTAAATCTTTAATGGGATAAATGGTGAAAAATGCACGATTTTTCAATAATAATAATAAACAATTAAATATGCTTTTCTAAACGAAATCTGAAAATCTCTACGATGATGATTTCTCCTTTTTTTTATGTAAACAAAATCGAACGTCTTCAAAAATACACATTTTATCAGTTGGTTCTTTTTCTTTTGTAGTAATTAAATATTTTTGCTTTCTAGGATATATTCATCAAACACAAGGAGTCTGGGGAAAATGAAGATGATGGTGATACTGGCTATGAAGAAGAAGAAGATGAAGACGATGGAGATGATGGAGCCGGAGGGAAAAGAAGAGAAAAAGAAGTTGATGAAGACGAAGATGCTGTGGCAAAGCAACAGGAAGCGACTGTCAAGCTTAATCTTATGATTAAAGATGTTTTTCTTCTTAAACTTCAAGTATTTCATTGAACAAGAAAAAAGGAAAAAAGAGGAAAATTAAATCATGAAGAAATCACTTGAATTATTAAGATTGCAGCAATTTTCAAATTCGTGTCGAAGATTCTGTATAGAGGAGAATCATGAAAATTGCTCGAATTTTTGGAGGTAATGTTCTTATTTTATTACTAAGTTATTTTAATTATTGATAAATAATCAATAATCAATTAGTGATTATTTATTATTATTAATAACATGGATCACAGTTTGTCACCTATTCACTGTTTTTTAACTATTTAAAATTTTTTTCACCTATTTTGATAATTTTTTACTATTGTGTCCTTTTTCATGATTCAATTAATTTTTAGATGCAATATTTACAATGTTAAATATAAAGTAGTTGAGAATTGCTGAAGAAAATTCATTTGCCTTAAAAGAAATTTGTTTAACATTCCCGAGCTTGAATTAACTTAACTATCACAAAATTATAGATTTTCACCTTTTTTGTTATAAATTCTTCAATTTGATCCAAGTTTCAATTTATATCAAAATTGAAATCCATGTTCATTGATTTAAAATTTATAAAGTTCAAATTTCAATGGATGTTAATTCAAATTAAGCATTTCTTGATTAAAATTGTAATCGATAAAAATTTAAATTCCTAATTCCAATTTAATTTTCACTTTAATTAAACCTAAATTCAATTTATTCAAAATTATCATTTATCCAGATTTCGATATAATAAAATTTTATTTCATTCAAATTTAATTCGATAAAAAGTTTGAATTTTATTCAAATTTTATCACAATTGCAATTGGATTTTAATTTAATTCAAATTTTAATTATGTTATAGAATTTAATAATATTCTTATTTGTCAGATTTAATTCTAATTTTTATTGTGCAAAACAAATTTAGTAATACAATTTTTAATTAATTTTGAATTTAATTCATCAAAATCCTAAATTATCTGAATTTTAATTTATTTCAATTTTAATCAAACGGAAATTGAATCCATTGAAACTTAAAATTAGAGAAATTTCTATCTATCTAAAGTTTAATCGATTCAAATGTTAAATTATTAAAATTTTAAACTATTTAAGCTATAATAAAATGATTGATAGAAAATTTCAATTATAAGTACAAAAATAGCTATTTTTAATGATAATTTAATAATTCATTTTCTCAATTAATTTCACGTTAATTTTCTTTTATATAATATTTCTGTTACCTTATTGTTGCCTATTTTCGGAAAATAATTCACCTTTTCATCTATTTTAAAGAAAAAAGGCACTTTGAGCCCTGTTAATAATTTAATTCACGGAAAAAACGAATAAAGAGACTTTTACTACTTTCATAGTAGAACCTAAACTATTTTCGTAGTAAATTTTGTTACATTCGATGTAAATTTGATAAAAATTAGTTAAATGTACTCTGAATGTTCTACCAAAATTTACAGTCAAGACAGTTTAGTTTTTAAAGAATTAATTACAGTAAAACTAAAAAAATTTAGTAAAATTAAAATATTAATTTTGTAATTATTATATTTTTCAGATAAAAAAATTCAACATGAGAAGATTATCGAGGAAGATCGTATACTGAACATTTTTTACTGAATTATTTTGCATGTCAAGAGAGGAAATCTCAAAAGATTATTGAAAATAAATTGAATATATTTTTCTATCAAATAATCAGTTTGATTTTTTTCTTTACTATAAAAAACGCTTTATTTAGTTAAAATTTTACACTAACTATACAAACAAATTGAAGAAGAAACTAATTAAAATTAAACTAATACTGTAGACTTCAAGTAAAGTAGAAAAGAATTAAATTTAAACTAGTACTGTAGATTCAGTTGTGGATGTTGTTTCATTCGTTGAACTTTGTATTTGAATGGAAGAAGCTGTTGATTCAACGGTCGATAGTGTTTCAAATGTTGACGTCTCCTTTTTGTCTTCTTCTGATTGGATTCTCGTGTACTTTTCAACAGCCTCCTGAACAAGAATCGTTGCCGCGTTCAGAGATTCTGGCGTTATGTAATTTTTCGCTAATTCTGCAACCTGTTCTTTTATCTGAAAATCGAATGTTTCAATTTTAGTGTTCGCCTTAATTTTTTTTCTATTTTCGACAATGATTGAACTTTACAGAAAAATGAATTTATTTTTAAAAATTTATGTTCCTAAAGTTTTAAACGTTTAATTAAACGACGTTATTTTTTAACTTCTTTTAATTTCTAGATATTTTATAAAAAAAAATTGATTACTAACTAAGTAAATGTATAATTTTAGTTATTTTTCTTCTTTGTCTAGTAAATTTGGAAAATATTTAAATAGGAGAAAACTTTTGTTCATTTAAACGAAATTTTTAGATTTGAATTGAATTTTAGATTTGAATTTGAACGAAAACTTTAGGAAAATAAAATTTAATTCTAGAAGAACTTTTATAAAATTGTTCTAAAATATTTAACGAATTACCTAAAAATTGAATAAAATAATTCAATTTTGGAAGAATTACAATTGGAATTTTTGGAAATAATTAAATTTCAAATGGTTTTAAATTCGAAATTTTTGAGAATCTTAATTTTTACTTACTAAAAATTTCAATTATTATTTTTAGTCCTTTGTGATTTCCGAAAAAATAGTAGGTAATTTTTACAATAATTGAAGCACAATTAGGTAATTTCCTTTTTTTGCCATTTAAATTATTTTTTAATAATTATGTTTGTTTTTTTATATTATGTTTCTATTCAGAATATTATTTAGTGTTATCTATTATTATTTCGGATAATTTCAAGAAAAAATTGTAATTACAAACTATAAATTTATTTTTCAGATTTTCGAAAAGAATAAATATTGTTACTTACTTGATTTCTGGTGAGTGCGAGAGCAGGAAAGGAAATTGTACAAAGTGGTGTGAATGTACAAATTGTCGTTGTGAAAACAAGGCCCAATATTAAAATTAACAATACACTGGAGAGGAGAATTCCCGCTTTTGCACTATACAATAATGCAAAACTCGAAATTGGAATTAATTTTGCCAAAGCAGTTGTCCAACTTGAAATTGGTTGTTCCGTTGGGATTGGTAATTTTATCACAGCTCCATTATATCCACTGGGAGCATATCTATACTCTGAATATTCAGGATATGTTGGATAGAAATATCGAGCCGGAAACGTTAGATCCTCTTGACTAAATATCCTCGCATTATTTTCCGATGGAATTCCATTATTTGGAAATTGTTCATAATTCTGTGCAATTTGTGTATTGTCATTTGCTATTTGACGCGTTATTTTGCCACCAAGAACACTACTAACGAGAATCAAACTCACAAAAAGGTGGCACTTCATTGTGAAAATGTTTTTTCTGGAATGGAAAATTTTCTTTCTTTAATTGCTTTAAAAATGACTAGTGTAAAAATAATCTTCGTTTTCTGTATTTGATGAAAATGAAGAAACTTTTTATTAAAAACAAAGTAAAAGTAAAAGAAAGTAAATATCAAAATTTATTTATATTAATAAATATTAACTCTTGAAGGAAATCTTCCTTTTTTTGTAGTTGAAGAAACGTTTTTATTGGTGAAAAGTAAATGTAAAGAAAATAAATATCAAAATTAATTAATATTAATAAATATTAACTCCTAAAGGAAATTTACTTTTTTGTCGTTGAAGAAACGTTTTTATTGAAGAAAAGTAAATGTAAAAGATAAAGAAAATTTCAAAATTGAATTAAAAAACATTAATTCTTAAAGGAATGCAGAAATATGTAAATTAATAAATAAATATTCGCTACTAGAGTATAAATGAAAATTGATGAAAATCGAAATGATGTAATTAATTAAATTGTAACTGAGAGAAATATAATTTACCTGTTGAGGATAGTCTCAGATTTTCCAAATTGACTTGATCAGGTCGACGGCGAAACTAGAACTGAAGCTTCAGAATTTTTTTTAACTACCTGAGAAAAATTTGAGAAAAATATTTTCTTCATTTTTTTGCATGACAATAATTTTCCGCAGGAATTTCTCTCCTAATCTCTTAAGCTTTAGACCCTTTTCATTTTAAGACAAGTTTCTGATGATCGTTTCAATATTTTTTACCTGAATCCTCAAAAAGTTTCAAGCTGAGCAAAAAAAAAAAAAGAATTTTGTCTATTCACTGTGCATAATTTAAAAAACAGTTCAATCATCTACAACAATAGAAAATAAGATAAAATAAAAGAAAAAAAATTTAATAAGAAAATAAAATAATTAATAAATAATAAATTTTTCAATATAAAAAAAACGGGATATTTTTGTATTTTTTTCAAGACTCAAAAATTATAAACAATTTAATTTCAATGGAAATTTTTTTTATTTAATTTAAGAAAACAATTTAGTTTGTTTTTTTAGTTTTATTAATACTTTAACATTTTTTTTTATTATTATTTTTATTATTTAATTTATAAAATTCTAATTGACTGTAAATTGTAAATTTAAACTACTAATTTTATATTATTTTATTAATAATTAAATTTAAGTTAATATATTAATTTGTAGTAAAAAAGAAATGTAAATACCAGAAATTCTTATAAAAAGAAAAAGACAAAGATTTCATGTAAGTATATTTTTATTATAAATTTTATTTATTTTTATAGAGCAAGTAAATTTTATTTTTTTTAAGTAGGTAGTAGTAAATTAATTAATTTAGTAATTAATTCTGTAAATTATTAATTTATACAGGTTAACCGTCCATTTTATTATTTTATTTAAAAGTTTATTTTGTTTTTTATTTATTTACTGTTTATTTTGAATTTAAATATATAAATTTCCAAAAGTTTCATTAGAACTTTCAATTTGTTGAAATTCAGCATTGAAACTTTCGGGAAAGTTTGGAAAAGTTCGTAAGAAATTTACGAAACAGTCTTTTCTGTCGAATTAAACTCTTTAGTTTTTTACAATTTTACTATTGTTTTTGTACAATTATTTTGATATATTCAAAGAAATACACTTTAATAACCTTAGAGTTTGAGATTGGAGTAAAATATTAATTAATCCTATCGAATTCGTGTGTGTCATTTCAATTACAATGCTCACAATGAGTAACATAACCTACAAATAATTTGTTTCTAATAAAATTATAAGGATTATAAACATTATAAATAAGGTAAAATTGTTTATTTGTTCATTTCTTTTTTAATATTTGCTTTCAAATTCGTATAACTCAACTTTTATTTCGCTTCTTCTTGTTAATTACATATTTTTTAATCCTATAGGTTAGGTAAAAATTTTAAATATTTTACATTAATTGTTAGCAAATATTTATAAAACTAAACTACGTGGATATATTAATTAATTTATACGACAATAAATTATTCATGCCTTTTTGTTCTAAAATATTATTGAGATTATTGACAATAAATTATGTTTAAAACGTTTAAAATTGTTTTAAAATTTAAATATTTTTTTGACGAAATTGATTACAATTTTTGTTCCTTAATTAAATAATTATCGACTTACAGATGTTTTATTTAACTTCTATTGTTATTTACATTGGTGAAGATTACAACCTTTATAATCGACGATTTAGAGCAAAAGACAATTTTCTGTTCAAATTTTTACAATATTTCTTGATTAACAAGTTAAAAAAATTTCTAAACGTAAAATATTGTAAAAAATTAATTTTGTTGTTTAATTAATTAATTTTTTATAATACTTTACGTTTAGAAATTTTTTTAACTTGTTAATCAAGAAATATTGTAAAAAAATTTGAATAGAAAAAGAAAATTGTTTTTTGCTCTAAATCGTCGATTATAAAGGTTGTAATCTAAAAAAAATTTCCATTCAAATTAAATTGTTTATAATTTATTTGAGTCTTGAAAAAATACAAAAATATCCCGTTTATTTTCAGAAATTCAATTTTGATTTTTTATTTTTCAGAAATAATTTCTCAGAGTTACAATTTTCCTAATTAACAATGGCTCAACCATGGATGAAACGATTTTACAAACTCACTGTCCATAGTACTTGGAAGCGAAAACCTTTCTGGCTTCCAATGGCTAAATCTAAAATGTTCAAAATCCCTCCAAGACCAGTTATACCCCAGGAAGAAAGCGAAGAAATCCATCTTCTTTTCAATCACTACAGAACAGCTGTTAATTCTTTAAGGTAATAATAATATATTATTTTTTTTTAATAATAACACTTTATTTTTTTCTCTTGAAATATATTTTAAACAAAAATCATATTAAACAATACAACAATAATGTAATAATAATCATTTTGTTATTAAATATTTTGTTTGAATTTAAATTTTACTAAAAAAATATACATATTTAACAATTTTATTTTTTAAAATTGCAGAAGACACTTCATAAAAGTAACCGAAGAATCTAATGTGCAATTGGATCCAGAATTAATAGAAAAGGCAAAGGAAGACGATTTTTTGGCATGCTCAGCAATTAACGATGAGTGGAATAAACAGATATCAATTGAGAGAGATGTACGTTTAGAAGAAGAACGTGAACTAAAGAAGGAATTCATTTCGAATGCCATCGAAAAGCATAAAAAGAGAAAAGAGGAAAAATTGGAAATTGCCAAAGAAGAATTAAGAAAAGCCCAGGAATTAATTCCAACTTTGATAACAAGTAGTAATATTGATGAAGCCATAGATACACTTTTAAAGAATGTTGTGAACCATAATTATGCAATTGACATCGATGGAGAAAAATTCACTGGGACCGATTATTATTCAATTGAAAAAAAGCAAAAATCAGAAGATGAACTTTTATTTAAAAAACAACAACAGTCAAATTGAAAATTTTATTCAAAAGTTTCAGAATAAATTACTTTAATCGGTATGTATATATATTTAATAAAGAAAAAATGTTTCACAATCAAATAGTAAGGATTAATATCCAATAAGTTCTTTTTCTTTATACAAATTTTATTGTGAAAAATTAATTAATAACTATTTTAATTTTTTTTAATATTATAATAGTAAATGTTAAGCGCATAAACCGCGTTATTTAATTCGCAAGGATTCAATTATTATCATAAATGAAATTCTTCGCAAGAATTCAATTATTTTCATAAATATACGAAAATTCAATTTTTTCAATTTTAATAAAATTCTATTAATAAATTCAATTGTTTTCAAAAATTTTGATAAAATTCTTTAGAATTCAATTATTTTCAATTCAATTTTAATTAAATTCCTCAAAAGAATTTAAGTTTTCTTCGAAATAGTATTGAATTTGTATCTTTAAAAAATATTTTTTATTTCATTATTTTCGTAAATAATAAAATTCGTCACTGAAATTGAACTATTTTCAATATAATTTTAATAAAATATCTCGAAAGGTTTCAATTATTTTCAAAATATTTGATAAAATTTGTTTAATCCAATTTAATTATTTTCATTATATTTTTAATTAAATTTCTTGAAAGAATTAAAATATTTTTAAAAAAGTTTTAGTGAAATTTTTCGAAACAATTAAAATATTTTTAAAAAATTAATAAAATTCATTGTAAGAATTGAATTAGTCTTAAAAATTTTAATCAAAAACCTTTGAAATAATTCAATTATTTTCAAAACTTATGATACAATTCTTTTGAAGAATTGATTTTCTAAAAATATTTCATAAAAAATAGTCAAATAGTCAAATTAAATAGAATTTGATTTGCAAATTTTTGAAAATAATTATATACGCAAAAATTTTCATGAAAAATGTTTAAATCAAAATTAAGGAAAATTAGCTTCAAATAATTATTTATCATTAAAATATTTTTTTAAAAAAGTAATTTTTGAAACTTTGTTCACTGTAATTTTTTATAATTTAATTATTTTTAATACTTTCAATTCCATATTTTCGAAAACTCAAATATCTACAAAAAAGTAATTAAATTAAAAATTTAAGTTTTTAGAATTATTATTGAAATTTTGAAGAAATCAATTTAAAATTTTTGATTTAAAATTCTCCAAAAGAATAATTTAGTTTTTTATATCATCCAAACATTATTTTAGAAATTCTATTATTTTCGTATAAAAATACAATAAAATATTTTTAAAAAACTAATTCATTAGGATGTTTTAACATCAATTTTTAAAATTCAATTATCTTTAAAAAAATTTAAATTTTTTAAAATCCAATTATTTTCAAATTTTTTACTAAATTTCAATTTTTTGTGCATTTTTTAATTAAATATTAATTGAAAATTCTATCAAAAATGATTTAAAAACAATTTTAAAAAACTAATTTTAAGAATCTTTTTCTTATGTTTAATAATAAAATAAATAATAAATATTATTAAATAATAATAAATAAATAATAAAATTTAATAATTTTATAATCAATTTATTAAAAATATTTTCAGTTATTTTTTCAATAATTTACATTATTAATTTTTTTAAAGAAACATTAAGGAGAATCACTGTTGCAATTATTATAATAAAAATTAAATTTTTATATTTTAAGAAATGAATTCTAGAAGATTTTTCGAAAAATGATTATAAATAATTGACTTAGTGAAGAAATTTAGTTAAAAATTCTAGAAAATATTTGAATTTTGAAAGAATTACAGTTGCAATTTTTGAAAATAATTGAATTTCAAAGATTTGACAATTTCAATTTAACAATTTTCGATCCGAGGCCCGTTAATTCTTAACGTATTGAAAAATAAATTCGAAAATCTCTATATTTTTAATTTACAATTTTCTTGCATCCAGTAATTGTTAAAAATATTTGCATCAACAAAAAAAAAATTCCATTCCATTGAACGTTCAGAACTTATAGGAAGACAATATATAATAATTAATAAAAGACACACTCCTTCAGTATCAGAATCCACAATTTATTTTTTTTTTTTTTGGGTTGTGACACTATTTATTATTGAGAATAGTTGTATACAGCTTTGAGTAAATATACATTTTCCAGTTAATCGTAATGCAACAATATAAATATATCATCCGAACATCTTTGGCTTAGACACACACGATTTTATTCGGTAAAAAACCCTGGATTGTACAAAAAAACCAAAAAAACGCATTTTAATGTAAGAAGAAAAAATTATCTAATCTGTCATTGATTAGTAGCAGACTCTATATTATAAGAAATAAATTTTCAAATATTAAAAACATTTAATTTTCGACTTCTTTTTTTCCTTTTAACGATATAATACTTAACGCTGTAACTCAACTCAAGAGATCCTGTCTGTTTGTTACTTAATTACAAGTAGTTAAAAAGTCACGTTTCTAAAATATTTTCCTTTTATATCTAAATAATCTAGATGATAAGTTTTTTTTCTATTTTGTTACATGGAGATAACAATAAACAATGTCAATAAAAAGGGTCGAAAGAATTTTAGAATGACGTCGAGAATTGATTATTAAAAAATATTATTTTGAAAATTTTGAATTTTAATTAAATCAAATTAAATTGAATTGAATTGAAAATCCAATTCAAAATTTAAAATTTTCTTAAATAAAATTTATAATTTTGTTGACGAAAAACGTTAATTTTTTTTCCATTTTTGGTCAAGAAACTAAGTGAAAATATTTCTTTTACACAATTTCTTGATTACGTTATAAACTTTAACGTTATTTTTAATGTTATAAATTTTTGAAAATAAAAAAATGTATTTACTATCGACGTCAGTCTAATGAGATTACTTCAAACGATGAAATTTCTTTTTACACAAATAAAAGTTTATCAAACAATTTTTTTTTTTTGTTTTTTGAGTATCGTGTAGTCTCACGTGACATTTAAATATATAATCAATGAAAAAGGGAACCTAACGGTGTTCCATAAAGTTGGAAATTAAAAATTAAAAACAAGAAAAAAAAACAGAATTAAGAACATCGTTCCAACAGTCGGTGAATTTGAAAAACTTCTAAAAACTATCGCTGCATTATCACAGAGGCTGCCTTTTTTTCGAAATTGAACATTCATAATTTCTTTTATTCAGCCAAACATTTTTTTTGTATTCATGATTTAATTAATTATTTTCAATCGATCAAAAATCAATCGTCATTTCAATCTCGAATTATTCAAGTTTTAAACGGAAAAATAAAAATAAAAATAAAACAAAAACTGAAATAAAAATTAAAATAAAATAAATCTAAAATAAAATAAAAACAAAATAAATAAAAAATAAAATGAAAACTAAAATAAATTAAAATAAAAATTAAAATGTTTTAAAAGAGAAATTCTTAGCCGTAAATATTACGATGAAATAATAAATATAACGATGAAAAATATCAAAATGTTTAGCTTAAAATAAAGAAAAAAGATTACAAATAGATTCAATACATTTTCATTTTAATATCCTCTAAATTCACAAGAAATTCTACGCTTTCCATCTGTGGTAAAAATACGCCTTTTACGATTATATATTTTTTTTTCATTTAAAAAACACATTGGCACGATAAAAAGTAATTTTTTTCGCAAGTCGATCGAATGTGTACAAGGCAGAAATTAAAAAATAAATTCTATATACTTTAAAAAAAAAATCGCTGGAGAAGGTACAATATTAGTTTGTATTTTTTTTTCGTTTTTATGGCATAGCAAATCATTTTTTTTTTATCTTAAACATCGTTAACATAATTTATTTACTTAATGTACCTTATGATGCTAGTTCTATTAAAATGTATTTACCGGTTTTGGAGTTTTTAGTTTCTATTGCACTTTTATTAACTGTTGATATAAAAAAAACGAAAAATATAGGAAAAAAAACAAGAGAGAGACTCTAGTTTTAACAATGATCAACGGAATAATGTAGTTTATGAAGGTACATTAGGTGATTTGTTTTTTCTTTAATATACCGACTAACAGATGCTTAAGTGTTGTACTGTTTTCGTCGTTACTTAATCATAATTATTTATATTATATTGTTATAATTATCATTATTACTAAACACAATAGGGTCACGCATGTATACGATTTATGGAAAAATGAAAAGTTATATACATTTTTATGTTATAAAATAATTAATCATTTAATTCATTTCATCAAGTTTTTGTTAAACTTTTATCAATTTTTAAATTTATTTTTAAATTTATTTTTAAATTTATTTTTAAATTTATTTATAAATTCTAATTTTTAAAAAAAGAGATTAAAAAAAATCTCATCGAGACTAAAAGTCAATTAATTAAAAAAATTGCAATATTGAAAACAATATTACATTTCGTTGGTGAATAAAAATTTATATTGTAAAAAATCTTGTAGAATTTATGAAATGGATTTAACGATTAAATGAACTCTTTAAAGTAGAATTCAATAAGAGCTTACAAAAAGAAAAGAAAAATGTAAGCCGCTTTTATTCGCTTTCAAAAAATTGCAGAAAGAAAAATTTAATTCTACACCTTTCAATAATTTCTAAAGTTTAAGGCTGTCAGATTAATCGATACGAGAATCAATCAAATTGAAAAGAAAATTTTTCAAGAAAATCAAACGAGAGAATTCTTTAACGTTAACAAACGTTAATAAATTAGGATTGTGCGCTTCGTTCAAATATAGAAATATACTTCGAAAAATTGTCACCTATACTTTCAAATTTCAAAGTTGACAAATTTTCCATTCCTTCCATATTATTTTCTGTTATAAAATTCCGTCTTTCAAATTTTTTTTCCGAAATATCTATAATTATGGAATTTTAAATATTTTAATCACATACTAAAATTATGTAACACTAATGTTAAACTTTGCAATTAATGTTATTTTACTAAATAGAAAACAACTAATTACTAAACTAAAAATACAACCTATATAATATAATATATACAAAATAAAACAATTATTAGTTTTTTTTCTTTAATATTATAGATAATTTTAACTTTGCATAAAACTTCGAAAATATGAAATTTAACGTAATTTGTTTAAATTCTCGAGTAAAAAAATTACTAACTTTTCAAAAATAAAAAAATTTTCATTAAGAAAGAATCTGACAGACTGTGTTAATAAAAATTAGTCCAATTTTCCAATTTCGCATTTTGGGAGAAAAAGAAAAATTTATTTCTTTTTGGTTGAAAAGTAAAAAAGTTTTCAACATTTTTGACAATTAAACGTTGCATTCGAATAAAAATTAATTGTTTACCAACAGTAAGAAATATTTGTTAAATTTAACGTTTAATTTTAACAAAATCGTTTCCTATTGATTGAAAATTTGTAATTTTTATTCAATTGCAATCTTAAATTATTCAAAATGTTGAAAATTAAATTATTTTACACTTTTAAAAATTAATTGAAAATTCTTTTTTTTTTTAAATACGAAATTGTGAAATTGAATTAACTTTTCGTGCGATTGTCTGTCAGATTATTCCTTAAAAATAACAAGAAATTTACAAGAAAAAAATCACGTCGTAATATAAATGAATATAAAAAATTACTTTCCCGATTTTCACAATTTTCATAGCCGTTGATTTTTTTCGAATATCAATCACTTCGCGGGTGTTCTATATTTATTTATTTATAAAAATCAATTTTAATAAATAAATAAACAAAAATTTTGCTTATTAACTCTTGGGGGAAAAAAATTCTTCGAATGTGAAGATTTTTTTATATCCGTTTTTCTCAAAATTGCCTTTTTTTCGACATTTGAAAAAATTTTGAGAAAATTTTCCTTCACTAAAATTAAAAAAAAAAACTATTTGAAAATCGAAGCGTACATTCCTAAATAATATTTTTTTAATGCATTGTGCGCGTAACGTGATTTGGTGTGCAAAAACGCATAATTTTTCATTTCGCAAAGAAAATATCGCTTTTTTATACCTATATGTAGATTATTCTTTTTTTTGTTTGTTTGTGAATATATAAAATTCGATTTCATTTATGAATCAATCTTTCATACAATATTCTACTTGTTAATTCGTCATAGTTTGAGCACCATGATCGAAATTCTGTGCTATAAAATACAAGATTCGTACAAAATTCTTAAAATCTTACTCTCCGCGAACAATATTAAAAAGATGGCACATGCTTTGTTGGTGTGAAGATTTCCTTAAATATCTCCATTTGTTTTTTTTATTTTGTTTCTCTATTTGTTAGTTTCATAGAATTTCTTATTATTCTTCTCGTACAGGCAGTGTGACATTCATTTTGAAGGCATAACACTTTTTTTTTGTTTCACTTACATTAATTTGTTTTCCATTTTACTTATTTAATGTCTCTTTCATTTATATCGTATTATATCGATTTTACGAAAAAAATGTTTTTGGTCTCGGTATGACGAAAAACTCGGTATCTAATCAATTGAATTAATTGAATTAATCGAATAAATTTGAATATTTTCAAAAAAAAAATTTAATTTGTAGATTTCTTTCTATCAAACTGCTAACGAGTGAAGTTCTAACAAATAAAAATCTCAAGATCGAATATATTATATAAATACACACGATTGGTTGTTTCTTTTTCTACAGCTTGAGCAAGTGGTTTAAAAAGTCAAAAAATAAAAAAAGTAATGTCAGTACTAATGTTGTTTTTTTGTCAATATTGCCGTTTGAACAATAATATTTGGTTAACTCTTTAAACCTCTTGACAATATTGTCAAACATATACAGATTTAAATATATATATATATATATATATATATATATATATATATATATATATATATATATATATATATATATATATATATATATATATATATATATATATATATATATATTTTATGAATATTCGCACAAATAAGTAATAATAATAAAATGTTTCTTAAATATTAGATATATAAGTATTCAACAAGTTCTACGTCATAATAGCAACACTGACGAATAATTGGAGAAGAAGTAATAATTTTCTTATTTTTCTTTTCTATTTGTTTCTTTTTTTTCTCTAAAGAACTTTGTACCTTTGCAAAGAAATATTTTTATCCTCTTCTCCAACAACAATGATAATAAAAATGATTAAAATTATAATAAAAATAATAATTATTATAATAATAATAATATAATTATCATTCTAAAAATATTGAATATAAAAACACTGTTTTTTTTCTTTTGCAATCATAAAACAATATCGATAATACGAAGACTTTAAAATAAAAGAAACCACTAAATAACTGGAAAAAGGAACAAACTTTTTTGTTTTCGTCAACCTTTCGCTTGTTTTTTCGAAAATGTTCGTTTCTCTTTCTCTCTCTCTTTTCTCACTTTAAAAACATTCATTTGCATCACCGCCTATTATTCATAGATTATAAAAATTCTCGACCATTTTTAAAAAAGAACAAAATTCGTAGCAAATAACAATATTTTGTTATAATAATTAATCGCTGGATTAATATATATATATATAATACAAAACTATCGCTTACCATTTTCCATTATTTTTTCTCCTTCTTCTTTCATCTAATGCTGTGCACGAAATATGATTTGCTATATTGAGTGATTTCCGATTAATTATTTGGAGTGTCTTGAGTGATAATATCACTGTTATATGCATAGAAATGGATTTCTATTTTTCTTTTCTTTGAACATGGAGTTTTTTTCCATTCGGTATTTTTTTTTGATAATATTATCAATAAATATTACTCGAATTATTCGATGCCTCGAGGTCCATCGATTGGCATCGTGTGAAGTACTTCGTCAAGGAGTTGAAGTGCTCGATGAAGATGCACCTTTAATATAAATTAAATTTTGTTTAGTTAATGACTTGATTAAAATTTAGATATTATTTTATATTTTGAAAGTGTAAAATCAAATTTTTAAAACTTGATAATTGAAAAACAAACCTCAATCCAACATGGTGTTTCCTTTATACTTTGTCTTGGATAATCTGGTCCCCATCCTTTAACAAAACTTAACCGTAAGATGCAAAGTCGTCGAAGATCGTCGACTCCGATGCCAGCAGCCGCACTCAGGCCTGGAATTAAAATAAATATTAATTTCCTCATATTATAATAAATATAATTAATTTTTTTTAACGAAAGAAAATGAGATGTACTTTTAGTAATAGGAGCCCCGTGAGTGAGATGTCCAGCGACTGCTGCAGCTTGAGCCGCTGCCGCTGCTTGGGCAGTGGCCGCTTGTCCTCTCATTTGCTTGTGACACTGCCTCAAATCGAACACTTTAATATACGCGGTTGGATAGATTTTGTGAACAGCATCTCCAGGAGCACGTCCAGCTTCTCTATCCAAATAGTAGGACTGAACGAAGACACTATGTTCGCTCTGACATTTCAGCCAAACATCTCCCTCGCCTCTTAAATCCAAAACGACTCCCTTTCCTGCAAATTAAAAATATTTTAATCATGAATTTTTATTTTTAAAATATTTTCTTATCAAAAAAATTAATATTTCAAAGAAGAATCTACGAAGAAAGCTAAAAATAAAATTACTGATAATAGTAAATAATAATTAAAGACTAAATAAAATTAAACACTAAATAATACCAAATTAAATACTAAAAAAAAATATAAATAAAACTCGAAAATAAATAAATTCAAGAAATAGAAGAAGCAAAATTTCTATAAAGAAATGTAAATAAAATGCAAAATTAGAAAAAAATTTAAATTAAAACGAAAAATAAGAATAAAATAAAAAAAATAGAAGAAGCAAAATTTGTATAAAGCAAAATCAAGAAGAAAAAAAATAAAAAAACAAATTGGAAAGAATAAAATAAAAAATGGAGGGAGGAAATAAATATAGTAATGTAAATAAAATGCATAATTAGAAAGAAAATGAAATTACCTATATGAAGGCGAGCTTTTTCGCTCTGCTCTGTACGATGTACATTGCTGAGAGCACCAAGGCAAAATCTATTACCACCACTGGGATCGACGTAACCGTCAACAGTAACAGTAGGACAACTACTGCTTACTTTAAAAGTTTCTCCTACTTGAGTGTCTAATTCAAAATAGCCAACAGAGCACCAATATTCCGGAGCTGGTTGACTCGAGAGTAAATTTCCTCCCACTTCGCCACCGTGTGCACCCCCTAAAAATTCAATTTTTACACTATTCTCATTCTATTAAAAATAATTTTTTCAATAAAATTCAAATCGTTATTTACAATTTAAATACTATAAAAGACAAAAGTAAACAAGGTCGTCACAAGTTTCAGTTTATAAATTTCCCTGACAATTTACATTAAAATGTAAATTTTAACATTAAAATTATTTTCCTTGACAAAATTTTCTTTACAGGAAAATATGAAAGTTTACTTAAAATGAGTAAAATTAATGAATTTTAATAATTTCTAAAACTTACAACTTCCCTTCCTGAATTCAATTATTTTCTTCAATTTTCAACTAAATTTCATCTCTACATCAAATATTTTAAATAATTTTCCGAAAGTTCTTTTAAAATTCAATTATTTAAATACAAAAATTCAATTTTTTATAATAATTCAAACTGTAACTTACTGTCCATGTTTTTTACTTAAATTATTAAGGTATAATATCTTCTAAATATTATAATAAAGAAATTCTTACAATTAATTTTTTAAAAATATTTTAAAATAATTTTTTAAAGATAATAGTTTTTAATTATACACAATTAAAAAATTCCCAAACAATTGAAGGTAACATCTTTTAAAAATAGTTGATTTTTTTTAAATATATAAATAAAAATAATTAAACTTTTGAAGAATTTTAATAATAAATATTAATTTTTAAAAATATTTTAGTGTAATTTTTCGAAAATAATTGAATTTCTTAAAAGAATTTTTGTATAATTTTTTGGTGAATTTTAATTAAAAAATTTTGAACATGATTTTTTTTCTAAAATGTTATTTTTTTTTTGTATTTGAATTTTCAGAAATATATAATTGAAAAATACTGAAAATATTGAATTTTAAGAAATCAGAAGTTAATTTTCATTAATTTTCATTTTTACATTTAAATTTAAAGTTTTTTCATTAAAATTTTTGATAATTCAATTATTTTCAAAATTTTAAATTAAAACTCTTCAAAAGTTGTTTTCAAAAATTGTAACAAAATACATGAAAAAAATTGATTATTTTTAATTAAATTGTACAAAATTTCAATTATTTAAAAAATTAAAACGATTTTTATTATAGATATATTTGAAAAATTTAATTATCTTAAAAATGATTCAAAAATAATTTTTGTAAGATTTGTTTAGTTATTTTTCGCATTATAAAAATAGAAATAATTTGTATTTTATACTAAAAAATGTAATATTTTGTTGCAATATGTGGAAAATAAGTCGAAAAATTCGCAATTTTTGAAAATAAATCGAAAAAAGTTTCAATTTTTTTAATTTCCCTGACAAAAAATTTTTTTCTGTTATTTCTCTGACTTTACTGTTAAAAATTTTGTTTTCCTGGCGTTTTCCTGACTTTACTGACACGTGGCCACCCTAATTAAATAAATTGTTATATAGAAAATTAAAATAATTAATTTTATTTTTTAAATCTAAATTTTTAATTAACTTCAGTGAACGAATCGTACTCTTCACAAAGAATCATTCAAACTGTAAGACGTGGTTCAAGTTCACAACGTTTATTATCAGCGATGCAAAGAATAAAACATTTTTAACTCAGAAAATAATATTTTACGTTTACAAATTTTTTTTAACTCGTTGATGAAGAAACGTAAAGAATTTTTTGAATAGAAAATTATTTTTTCTTCTACACCGTTGATTATGAACGTTGTAAACTTTACCAAATGACTTTAATAAAATAAGAAACTTACAATATGATGTGGTGTGCAGGTGTCGATGATCGGGAGGTTGCATACTTTGCGTGTAAGTTAAAGTATTTGCACCAGTCCATTGTGGTGCACCGGTATTATAAGGATTCGTCACTGCGGCCACGGCAAAACCATTTTGATGATGTAAATGCACCGGTGACACTGGAGAACCTTGGCTTCCACCTGTTACAACAAGAAAAAAAATTAAAACTTTCCCATTTTCACCAATACATTCCATATGATAATTTATCTAATTAAGTATTAAAATACTTAATCCATCTAATTAAGCATTGTTATACTTAATCAATTTTTCACAATTTAAAAAATTGATTAAACGTACTTAAAGTTGCTGCCAATGGATCAACAGCAGGTTGAGGTTGATTAAGATCCTGAGGTGGTGTCGTAGTTCCATAGAAAGGTTCAGCAGTCTGTCCCGGATTGGAATTCAAAATTTGTCCACTGGTATTAGCACTCGGAGTATTTATCGGCTGCTGTTGATTAGCAACCGGATGTCCCATCGTATGTACTACAGCTAAAAAACCAAAATAAATTTTCAAAAAAAAAACAAACAAACCAAAAAAATGTCTCCATTGGAAAATCTTCAACAAATTTGTTTCGTTAAATTTAAAACATCAAGTTTTCCAGAAACTTGGTTAAATGAAAAAAACTGTGTATAGTAGATAATAATAATAATTTTTGAAAATAAAACGATAAAAATAAAAAATAACCCGTGTACGTACAATGGTGTATGTTTCGCGTCGAAGAATGATGAGGCGTGGGAATCCATGTCTGTCGGGGGCAATTATTCTCTTCCAATTTGTTGTGTGGATTATTACCATTAACTCCCCCGCCTCCACTAAACATTCCCTCCCCATTGGCTGTGCAAAACAAAATCAAAAAAATAAAACAAATAATAAAAAAGAAGCGGAAACAAAAAAAAAGAGAGAGGAATTTGCGAAAATAAAAATAAAATATGTAGACAAAACGAAAATTGTGTATTGGGGTAGAAAAAAGAAGAAACCAATTGTGCGAAAATACCTGGATTTTGAGTTGAATGACCGGGCATAAATGGTTGTTGTGGTTGTTGTGGATTATTTGCCGCAGGTGGTTGTGTTGGTGGATGATGTTGAATTGTTTGATTCATTTCCCCATCAACTTCCATTCCTGAACTGGCACCAACACCGGTCACGGCGGCTGCCGTTCCTCCACCTACCGTATACTCGTCCTTCACCAAACGTCCCGCAGGTCCAACTCCAACGCCCGATTGAAGTGTCAATCCTGACAGGTCTGTAAAGAACGGGTCTGTTTGGGGGAAACCAACCCAGTCCGTCATACACCAAAGCGACAATAGTAAATTAATAATTGCTAACGACTCTTTAAAATGCCAAAACTCAAGAAAACCATAGAAAATCAAAAAAAAAATTGATAATTAATCCAAAAAATAAATTTTCTTTGCTTCAAAGAGAAAAAAAACTGTAGCTTCAGCCCCGATTCACTGACTTTACATTCAACTGAAAATCTCCCTCTTTTCTTCTCATACAAAATCAGTTCGAATTGCAAAACAAAAACAAACAAACTAAGAATTAAGCACAAAGCAGGACTCGAACCAGTGAAATTACCAATTGATTTCTTCATGTTTTATATAATAATTAAAGATCACAGAGTGATAAAATCATCATTTTATATTATAAGAATATTGTGATTGTAACTTTTTCAAAATTATTCTCATCTTTTCAATTCAATTATTATTTTCTAGAATTTTTAACTAAAATTCTTTTTTAAATCAAATATTTTTAATAATTTTTGAAAAAGTTCTTTGAGAATTTTCAAATTCATTTGTTTACAATTCGATTTTACGAAATTTCGTCGATAATAAGGAAATTATTTTTTAATTGTATATTAGAAAATAAAAACTTCAAATAATTTCAAAAAAATTCAATGAAAGTATTTAAAAAAAATTAATTCTACAAAATTGTTAGTTAAACGTACGAAAAATTCAAATTTTAAAAAATTTTAATTTGAAACCTTTTCAAAATTCAATTATTTCTGAAAATTAACACTCTCATGCTTTTAATATTCCATTATAGTATAAAATTTTAACTAAAATTCATTTTTAAGTCAATTTTTATTTGACGATTCTATGAGAATTCAATATTATTTAAATACGAAAGTAATTAATTTATTGAATAATTGAATATTTCTCAAATTTAAATTCTCACAAAGAATTTTATGAACAAATTTTTTAATTTTTCTTTTGGAAAACTTTATTAAAATTGTAGATATTAAAAAACATTGAATTTAGGAAAGTTTTTGAAAAAAAATTTGTAAATAATTAAAATTTTTAGGAAAATTTTTAAAAATTTATCAGGGTGTCTAGTAATTTAGAAATATAAAATTCCCGGGGTTTTCCCGGTTTTTTCCCGGTATGTAAATAATTTTCCCGGATAATTGAAAACTAAAATTTTACAGTAAATTTAATCGTAATATTTGTAAAACTTATAATAAGAATTGTATTGTGATTTACTTGACGGTAATTTCATGTTTAAAATCAAAAACAGGTGTCGCATCACTGTAAAAATTTGGCACAAGCTTCCCAGTGGGCAAAAAACCATCATTGTTTTAAAAACGTTCCAAAAATGTTTTTAGAACGTTTCATGTCTGCCAAATAACGTCCCAATAACGTTATATGTTTCTAAAACGTTTTAAAAGCAATGGAACGTTTTTGGAACATTATTTGGCAGACATGAAACGTTCTAAAAACATTTTTGGAACGTTTTTAAAACAATGATGGTTTTTTGCCCACTGGATTGTCACATCGAAAATCATTTCCCATATAAGTTAGGTCTTAATTGGACAATAATAAAACATTGTCTAATATACGAAGAGAATCAATATACAATTCGAAATTGAAAAAAAATTAAGTTAAGCGTTGAAAAAATGTAACTATTTTTTCCAACAACATAATAAAGTACTTCATAAAAATATTCCCGGATTTAAAAGAAAATTCCCGGGGGTTTCCCGGTTTTTCCCGGGAAAAAAAAATTCCCGGGGTTTTCCCGGTTTTTCCCGGATTCCCGGTTCGCTAGACACCCTGTTTATAAACATGTAATTGAATTTCTGCGATGAGTTCTATTATTTATGAAAATAATTGAATTTTTGAAATCATTTGTAACTTTTCTCTAAAATTCAATTTTTTTTTAGTATTTTTAACTGAAATTCATTTTTAAAACAATTTTTTATTTGAAAATTCTACGAAAATTCAATTATTTAAATGAAAATAAATAATTTATTTAATAATTAAATGTTTTTAAAAGAATTTTATTATTTACAAAAATAATTTAATTTCTGAAAGAAATCTTATTATTTATAAAAATAATTGAATTATGGCGAAGAAGTTTATAAAAAATTTAGTAATTGAATTCCTGTGGAATTTTTATTATTTACGAAAATATTTAAATATTTATTTTTCAAACAAATTATGGACTTTATAGACGTTTTAAAAAAAAACTGACTTTTACAGAATTCAAGCAAATTTACGGACATAGTTCGAGCCCTGACAAAGACTAAATTAAAAACTAAAAAGAAAATTTTAAAAAAATGATAAGGTAAACTAATGATAACGATGAAAATAATATTAAGAAAAATAAATATAAAAGGTAAAATAATAATAATAATAAAAAAATAGCAAATAAAAATACAAAAGCTAGAAAAAAGTCCGCCTTTTTTGTAACAATAAAAAACATTCGCAAAGCGAGAAATTATTGAATTAAAGTCAATAGATTCGCACATAAATTAAGCATTTTGCATAAAAAAAATTTACAATTACATAATACAATTTCTTTTTAACATTTAAGCAACATTGAGAACTTTAGCAGGCCATGTGAGTCAATTTTTTTACTTTAAGCGTTTGAATTAGTTTTGTTATATATTTTGTAACTTCATCTGTTGACATTACCTTCTTATCAACAAAAGAAGTTAATTACGAACCATGATAAAACTTATCATAAAATTTGAGCTTTAAAATTACTTTTTAAAATACTTTCAAACGAAATTCACAATCAAAAACTTTTCCATTTCAATCCCTTCTGGAATTTATCAGATTTCAAACTTTATAAGTTCATATTTTAACATACTGTTCAAATTTTGATAATTAAATTAAAAATTTGAATTTTGATAAATCAATTTGAAATTTTAATTCAATAATTTTTTTAAATTTGTACTTGAAGATTAAATTTTGAATTTGAATTTAATTTATTAGAGAAGATAACAGCGGGAGAATATTATTAGCAAATAATATTAATATCGAAAGTAATATTATTTTCAATGTTAATAAAACGAACAGAAAGGACAAACACAAACGAAACACAGTTTCCTTTTTGATCGTTTTATTAATATGGAAAATATTTATTGTGAGGCAAACAATTTATTGTATTATTATTAATGGTAATATTGAAAACAGAAAGAGAATGTTATAGTTTTCTCTCGAGAGTAATAATTTATTTTTAATTTCCATTTTTGAAAAGCATTTCGCGCAATTAAATTTAGAATCAAGATGAAAACATGCCTGTTAAATGATAATCATGTTTTGAAAACATGAATATTGAAAGCCACAGCAATTTTTAAAAGTGAAGCCGAATATTAAAGAAGTTTTGAGAGTCACAAAAAGAAGAGACTTTTTGTTGTTGTTCTTGTTCATAAAAGTCAACATGCATAAAACATACCTATCCCTGGTGAGACGACTCTTTCATAATGATAGGGATTCACACAAACAGAATCACATTTGAGATCAAAAGCAAATTGGCAGTATTTCACGTGTTTCAGTTCATTTTTATGGAGATCGGGCCATCGCCAAATTCTCGCATAAATCACATGGGGAAATCCTTTACGTCCAGCCACCTGTAATCTTCCGTCAAGTGTTCTCTGAATTGTAACGCACTTACTTGGATGTGCTCCATTTGTTGTTATTGCTGTTATCAAACTATCGAGTTCTTCTCTTTTCTCCTGTGAAACGAAACAAAATTAGTAATTATTTATTAGACATGAGAAAATTTTTTCCTATTGGATTGTAATTTGTTATTATTTTTTACTATTTAGATTACTATTTAGATACTTTTTTTTACATTTGTGACACTGAAAGCTACTTTTTTCTGTTTTTTTTTGAGAAAATTCGATAATATAGTTAAAATAAAACAATTATTCTAAAAAATTTTCATAAAATTCGTAGAAACAATTCAAGAGATTTTAAGAAAACTCTTTGAGACGATTTAATTATTTATAAAATTTTTCGAAATTCAAATTATTTCAATATCAACTATTTTAATAAAAAATTTACAAAAAAATCTAAGTCCGTAAATTTTTGTATTTAAATAATTGAATTCTCAAATAAAAAATTGTTTTATAAATGAATTTTAGTTAAAAATACTAAAAAAAAATTGAATTTTAGAGAAAAGTTACAAATGATTTCAGAAATTCAATTATTTTCATAAATAATAAAACTCAATGCTGAATTTCAATTATTTTTAATACAATTTTAATGGAATTCCTCGAAAAAAGTTATTATTCTTAAAAATATTATTAAAATTTATCGAAGAAATTTAATTATTTTAATAATCTTTACTACAATTTATTTATTACAATTTAAGTATTATTTTCAATAAATTTTTAATTAAATTTCTTTAAAGAATAAAATTATTTTCAAACATTTTAATGAAATTTTTTGCGTAACAATTCAATTTTTTGCGTAACAATTCAATTTTTTTCAAAATAATTTAAATAAAATTCTTCGCAGAAATCCAATTATATTTAAAAATTTACAAAAATTCTCGTCAAAATTTCAATTATCTTCAAAAGTAATAATTGAATTTTGGAAAATTTTTTTATTAAATAAATTCTTCTCCGAAATTCAATTCTTTTCAAAAATTTGATTAAAATCTTTGGCAAAGTTTCAATTATTTTAAAAAATTTGTGAAATGTCTACTATTTTAATAAAATTTTCCAAAAGAATTTAATTACTTAAAAAAAATTGATACATAAAATTCAACGCGAATATTTTCGTAAATAATAAAAATTCCACAGGAATTCAAATATTCACAAAGTTTTTTTAAATTTCTTGGCCACAATTCAATTATTTTTACAAATAACAAAATTTTTTCCAGGGATTCAATTTATTATTTTCATAAATAATTAAATTCTTTTTAGAAATTCAATTATTTTCATAAATAATAAAACTTATCGCAGAATTTCAATTATTTTTAATACAATTTTAGATGAATTTCTCGAAAAATGCAATTATACTTCAAAATTTTATTAAAATTCTTCACAAGAATTCAATTATTTAAAAAAATTTGGATACAATTTGTTTATTAGAATTTAATAATTATTTTAAATTTTTTTTAAATTAAACTTCTTGAAAGACTTTAATTATTTTCAAAAGTTTTAATGAAAATCTTCGTTACAATTCAATTATTTCCTAATAATTTTAATAAAATTCTTATTCGTAAAAATTAAATTATTTTATAAAATTGAAATTCGAAATGCAATTATTTTCAATATCTACTATTTCAGTAAAATTTTCAAAAAGAATTCAATTATTTTAAAAAAAATGAATAAAATTCGTCACAATAATTTAATTATTTTCATAAGTTATAAAATTCTTCGAAAAATTCTTTTAAAAAATTGTTGGTAGAATTTGTTAATTAGAATTTAATAATTATTTTCAATACAAATGTTTTTAATTTAATTTCTGAAAGAATTTGATTATTTTCAAAAATTTTAATAAAATTCTTCGTAACAATTCAATTATTTTCAAATAATTATTTTAATAAAATTCTTGCTAGAAATTAAATTAATTTCAAAAATTAAAATTCTTCGAAATAATTCAATTATTTCAAAAACTTTTATTAAAGTTCTTTATAAGACTTCAATTTTGTGAAGTATTTAATTATTCAATTCAATTTAATTCTTCGAAAGAATTCAATTATTTCAAACATTTTTATTAAAGTTCTTTATAAGAAATCAATTTGGTGAAATATTTAATTATTCAATAAATAATTTACTTTTGTGTTGAAATAATAGTTACTTTTTTAATACTTTTTTTCAGTCTTAAAGCTACTTTTTGTTACTTTTTAAAATTTAATTATGTATCGAGTAAAAAGCCTGTTTTTTGTTATTTCATAAATATTGAGAGAAATAAAAAAAAATTCGAAAACGAAAGAAAACGTTTAGTTTTACCTTTAATTTTTTCACCAGTGACTCGATAGCTCTCTTGCTAAATGTTTCACTCTCGCCTCCTTGACGATGGCACATGAGCGAATGCACAATACTCAGACATGCATCCGCACTCGTTGGTGCACTTGGTGCCATTCCCGTCATTTCTCTTACTGAAAAATATTAATTTAAATTTTAAATATTAATTTCCCAAGAGATGACGAGAAAAAACAAAAAATGTAAAACATAACTTAATTAGGTATAACATTTTGTCAAGAGGAAATAAAATTTTTAATAAAATGATTCAAATTAAAAAAACTGAAAAATCAAAAAGAAACAAAAATAAACAGAAAATTAATAATAAAAAAAACCTTACTTTCGGGATTTGATTGCATCGGGGGCGAGGGGTAAAGGTGACTACCCCCGCCCGCGAGTCCAACCATCTCTGTGAAAGCCGTGGCGGCAATTGTTGACGTCCTCTTCCTTCAAATTTCTGACCTTACCCTTACGTCGAACCCCAAAACATTCAATCCCTTTATGCTCCAGCATCTAGTGAAATACTTTAGCCATTTGTTGTTTTTTTTTCTTTTTTTTTGCGGCGTCAATCTAAATATTCACACAGTCTCAATTTGACACTAGAAGAAAAAAACAAGTAAACACGGCACGAAAAAAATAATATATACATATACAACAAAAGTTTATTTCATTTCAATATATATAGGAAAATCACAGTCAAACGACACTGACATCGGCTACACGAGTAAAGTAACACCAGGCACCACTAAACCTCACTCCAACATTAAAAACACTTGAGTTTACATCTCAGGAGCACTTGTATCGTTTATACAACATTATTGCGATCTTGTTTTTTTAAAACACTTTGAAGAAAAATGCGTGAGTTAGGTAGTCGAGGAGACAATTGTCGAAACTTTGTTTCACTTTGTTTTCAATGTTCACCAGGTGAAAATGAAAAATAAATTCAATAGAGTTGATTTTTTGCTTTTCTTGAATGTGATACTACCTTTCACTCATGCTCTGTCACTCATAGCTTGTTCTGCGATTGTTGCAATTTACAATTTTCATCCTTGGAAAAAACAAAGCCGTGTAGCTAACGCAAAATTCTGCGAATGCCATCAACATTACGATATGGCGGCGCTACTTGTACTTCTTTTTTAGCGGGACCATTGAACTTTTATTGGAAAAATTCATGTGTCGAAAATTTAATATTCTACTATTTTTTCGACAATATTTTACCATTTTTCTTGTAAGTGACAATAAATATTTGAGGTCCTAAAAAAATTTTTATAAAAATATCAACTATTTGTATAAATTTACACTTATTTAAATTAATCCGTATTTTTGACATTTCAAATTCTTCTGAACTTAAAAATGGCGTTATTTAAAAATCATTGAACCAATTGATGAGGTCTATTAGAAAATCCTAATTTCTTATTGGCTGTGTACTATTTCTTGTTCAATTGTTACCAATTGTAAAGTGCTACCAACTGCAGGGAGAAAAACGTGGTAGTGGTTAAAGTTTTGAGGTTATGTATCGAACAATACATAAAAGGCATAAAAGCAAGTGAAAAATATTTTTGTTTATTAATTTATAATATAAACAATAAATAAAATATTACCATAAATATATTATTTACGGAAAGAAGTGAAGTAGATTAAGGTAAGAAAATATTGTGACTCTGTAAATTTATTTATAACAAGACAATAATTTGACATTTCCACGTTTTTCTTTATTATATACTTCTCACGTGGAACTGAAAATTACTATGACAATATTAACAAAACAATTAAGTGAAATTGCATTTTCTTTAAATTTCCTTTTTATAGATTGTTGAAAAATTAATAATTGAAGAAAATGAAGATCAGCAAAGTTAAAAGAAGTAATCAGAAACGAACAAAATTGGCAAAACAAGGGAAACTAAAGGCACGAAGACATCGGGATAAGCCGAAAAAACAATTTCAAAAAGCTCCACAAACTCAAATTAATAATGTTCAGGAAGAGGAGGAAGGAAGTGATGACGATAGGAATATGTTGGAAATGGTCGAAAAAGATGATTTGACTTTTCTGAAGGAGGCAATTTCCAATAAATCTTACGAACTTTTGAAAAAAATTCGTTGTACAGACAATTCAAAGTAAATATTCATTTTTTATTAATTATTTTAAAATTTCATTTTTAGGGAATGAAAATGTGTAAATGATAATTTAATTGTTAAATTTTAGACAAAGTAAAAAGGCTAAGAAAACGGAAGAAAACTTAGAATACAGATATGAGAAATCAGCTTTCAAAGGAGTTGAAGAAGATATGGGGAAAGAATTCAAGTTTCTTTTGCCAATTAAGACTAAAGATGGTTTTGTCAAAACTAGAGCAATTGAAAAGGATAATGTTGAAGATGAAGAGACGGCAGAAGGAGACGAAGAAGATATGGAAATTAATGAAGATGAAAAAAGTGATAATGAGTCCTTGGATTTAGAACTGAAAGAAGTAATATTTATTTTCAATTTTAATTTTTGATCTTGAATTTAATTTTTAATTTTAATTTTTAATTTTCAATTTCATTTTTAATTTTAATTTTGAATTACATTTTTAATTTTAATTTTTTATTTTCACTTTTTGTTTTTATTTAAATTATTAATGTTTTTATTTCAATCTTTTCACTATTATTTTATTTGCAATTTTAAATTGATTTTACTGTCGTTAAGTGACGTTTAGAAAAAATACAACTTTAAATTTAAAAAAAATTTTTATTTAAAGGACACCAAGGAATTTGATGAAACTGAACTCGTTTCTACCGCAAAATTGTTGGCATGTCGTGAGGAAGTTTTAAAATCTCGACGTTACACAATTGGCATTTTATCGAGCAGCATTTTGGAAGATCCACAATTAAGAGCAAAGAATTTCACACTCTTGCTCGATTTCATGGAGGAAAGAAATCCGGAAGTTTACATTACTGTTAGAAAATTAGCAACAGCTTCGTTACTCGAAATTTTCAAAGATATTCTACCGTCTTATCATATTACACAAGTTAATCAAGAAGGAGTTAAATGTGAGTTCTCTTTTTTTAAATTCTAATCTTTTAAAATCTTTTATTTTCGTTTGAAACATACATTTTGCCACTGTCTTTTATTTTAATTGAAAATATTCAATTTCCAGTGAAAAAGGATACGTTTCAATTGCAAAATTTTGAAGCGGACTTGCTGAAGAATTACAAGAACTATTTGCAAAAATTGGAAAAAATGGCTAAATTATTGTACAGAAAGGGAAATTCGATGCGAAAATTGAACGATCGGGAAATTCAATTGGCAACATTGGCCGTGAATTGCATGTGCGATTTATTAATCACGCATCCATATTTCAATTTTTCAAATAATATCGCAAAATTCCTTATTCCATTATTAGATAACAAACTCTCGTCGACAAGGGAAATTGTCATGAAATGTTTTACACAAATTTTCAAGGAGGACAAACGTGGAGAAATAACTTTAATGGTAAAATATTAATTCGACATTACAAAAATTTTTTAAATAACTTTCTTTCACTTTGAAAAAAGTACTAATTTTTTTTTTTAATTCCAAAAACTAGATCGTGCAACAATTAAATAAATACATAAAACCACGAGGACACACTGTTCATCATGAGGTAATATCCGTTCTATTGGGATTGCGAATAAAGGATATAAATTTGGATAAAGAAAAGGAGGAGGAATTGAAGAAACAAAAATTAATGTCCCATAAGCAGAGGATTTTGTCGCTCAGCAAACGTGAACGAAAGAAGAGTAAAAAACTCGAACAAGTTGAGCAGGAATTATTGGAAACGAAAGCCGAGGAAAATAAAAAGGCGGCGGAAAAAGTTTTTACTGATATCACATCTTTAGTGTTTACAATTTATTTCCGAATTTTAAAGGAAGCGCCAAGTAGTAAAATTTTGTCCGCCTGCTTAGAAGGATTGGCCAAGTAATAATTTACTTACTTTCTTACTTAACAAATTAAATTAAATTCGTTAATTTAATAAACGCAAAAGTTCGTTAATATTATTAACGAAATACCTAAAAATCGAAATTTTATGATTAATAATTAATTTTCTTTTCAAGATTTGCCCATTGTATCAATTTGGAATTCTATCAGGATATCGTCAATGTTTTGAGTGCTTTATTGGACGAAGGAAATTTAGCTTTGAGAGAAAGACTCAATTGTATTCGAACCGTTTTCATCATTTTATCCGGCCAGGGTTCGGCTTTGAATATTGATCCCCACAGGTTTGTGGAATTTATTTATTTGCAAGAATTTAAATTCTTCTTTTTATTTTTTAATTCATTAATTATTATTATTAGAAAAAATGTATTCTAATTTATTTGTTTACCTTCGCAGATTTTATTCTCATCTTTATAAAAATCTATTAAGCATAAATGCGGGGAAAACTTGCACGGAAATTGACGTTGCTTTGAAGGTATTAGTTATAGCATTGGTTCATCGACAGAAGAATATTTCTCAAAATCGTTTGATAGCGTTTGTAAAAAGAATTGCTACAATGGCATTAGGTTTGCAGCATAATGGAGCACTTGGCGTTCTTGGCGTTATTAAAATGATAATGCAACTTGGAAAAGCAGCTTATATTTTATTAGACACTGACAGTGGTTGCGGTGATGGTCTTTATTTGCCGGAATTAGACGATCCTGAATATTGTAATGCAAAATCTACATCTTTATGGGAAATTGTCGCATTGCAGGTAAATTTATTTTTTCATCACCATTTAATTTCAATATCGGTAAAATTAATATTTCAAATTCTTTGCGAAATAATTCTTTGGAACCAATTTTTTATGGTTGAAATAAATTTTCCAAATTACGTAAGAAAAGTAAATTCTAATTTTTTTTTTAATTATTTTTTTGAATCTACATTTTTATAGTTTAAATTTTCCGAATTTCATAAGTTAATTCTAATTTAAGTTTAATTTTTAAAGTGAAATTAATTGTGAAATTTGAGAAATTTTAATATTGTTTTTTATTTAAAAATTGTTTTCCCATCGTTGAAATCTGTTTATAATGCAATTAATTAAATTTATTGAATCGTATTTTATTACTTTTAGCGACATTATCACAACACTGTTCATCAAGTTGCAAAAAATATTGCTTGGGAAGTTCCAGCCAGCGGTGAAGGAAGTTTATCTCCTGAAATTGCAAAATTGTAAGTAAAAAATTTTTTCACGATTTTTTTTAAGTATTTATTTTAATTTCAATAAATTTGTTTTAATTTCAATCTTTCTGTTATTAATTTTTTTTCGAATGTAGAAATAAAAATAAACTGTGAAATACAAATTACAGTTTTTAAATAAATTTTCAGTTAATAAATAAGAAGTTCCAGTAAATAAATTCGTAGTTTCAATAAATAAATTCGCAGCTTCAATAAATAAATTTGTAGTTTTAAAAAAAATTCGTAGTTTCAATAAAAAGTGTATTTATATTAATAAATATAATTTATATGAATAAAAATATAAATTTAGATTAAAAAAATAATAGGCGCATTTTTTATTTTTGCAGAAATCCCGAAGAACTTTGCCAAGAATACGATCCTACGACAGTTGCTTTTAAGCCAGCAGTAGCAATTCCGAAAAAAGTGTCTCCGAAAGCTTCGATAAAACACGAATACGCTAGTATTAAATTTGAAACGTACGTTAATGAATGTTTCGACAAGACTTCAATTACTGACAATGAAAGCTTCGATATTTGCTCCGCACTTCGAAAAAGAAAAATTGCCAAATCAGAAAAACCGTCTAAATTCTCAAAGAAGAAACGTAAATAACGTTTATTGTACATAGAAATTAATACATTTTCGTGTTTTCAAATTAGAATGTAAAAAAATGTTTTTTATTTTTTAAATAATGTGTATAAATACAGAATAAATGAAAATAATTTTCAGATTATTAAATTTAATTTATATTTTTTTTCTATTTATTTTCAGAATAAATCGAATACATCAAAATAATTTTCATAAATTATTAAATTTAATTTCTATTTTCTTTTTCTTTTCAATTAATAATTATTATAAATTATAATAAATAAAGATTTGTGACGCGCTCCGAAGAAAAGCTAAAATCAAAGAATTTTAAGGTTATGTTTGTGCTATTTTTACCTGAATTAAAAGTTTCTGCGCTTAATTTTAAAACTAAAATCAGGTTTTATTCATTGTTTGAGTTGTAATTAAAACTTAAATATCAGTGTTTTATATTTAAAGTTGATTCTTTTTGTGTAATTTTCACTCAAAAAATGGTAAACATAACCTTAATTTCTTTTGCTCTTTTTCTTCTTTTTTCGGTGCAAGTCACATTTATTTATTTATAAATAGTTTATTATTTAATTTTAATTATCAAAAATTTAGTAATAAATAATATCATAATATTATATATATTTTATTTAATTTTGTTTTTAGAATTTTTATTTTTTTCTTTTGCTATATAGGCTATATAGCAAAAGAAAAAAACAAAATTCAAATTTTCGCGCTTAAAATTTTGACAGTTATAACTCCAACCCCATTTTGATTGGCCGTACAACTTGTAAATCCAATTTGTCATTGGTCAATTCCAATCAACTCATCATTTAATTGTGTAATTGTGTTTGTTTGTATATGGAATTGTTTTCCATGCGCGCATGTGTGCGCATGCGAATGGCAAATGTAACTTGTGCCTTTGCAAGAGTGCAGTGAAAAAAAAAAAATAAAATATTGCATTGAACAAGCTTAAAAATGGCCGTGTGAAATGGCAGCACGACGATCAGTGTTGACGAACCCTGAATCCCTAGCAGGGACAGTAAATACCGATCCATTAAGAGAACTTTTTGAAGCCTGTAAAACTGGTGATTTAGCAAGGGTGAAAAAATTAGTGACTCCGAAAACGGTCAATGCTCGTGATACTGCAGGTCGGAAATCAACTCCACTTCACTTTGCAGCTGGTGAGTAATATATATACACACATAGATTTTTTTTTCTCTCACACCCATTTAGTTTTCTCGTTTATATATTTTTTGTTTTTTTGTTTGAAATTAATATTAATTGACAATTTCTTTTTTTTAAAAAAGATATGGGAAGAAATAATAAAAATATTTTAGTTGAGTCACTCACCTTAACGGTTCATCGAACATCAAGGTGATTCTTTTCCTTTCCAACTAGATTATGTTGTCATTCGCTATGGTTTTAATTATGTCTGCATAGTAACAGTGAAAATTTCTATCTAAATTGATTATTTATTTCATTTATTTGTTTGAAATTGACAATAAATGTTTATAATATGTAATTTTTGTGATACTATTTACTTTTCTTTATAATCGTGTAATTGTTTAGATGTTTATTGTAAAATTTTAAACTATTCTCAGTCTTTATATTCTCTCTTGAATATTTATTTCTTGATATTGTTTGAATAAGGAAATGTAATTTGAAATTTAATAACTCGGTTTTTTTTAAAGACTGAAATGTAATTTAATATGAATGTTTTTTTCCCTGAAATTATTAGTTTCGAAAGAAGAGATTTAATTTAGAAATATGTTTTTTTAGTTGATTTTTATTTGAGATGTTGACATGATTGCTTTTTTACAGGTTACGGTAGACGAGACGTGGTTGAATTTTTACTTCTAGCTGGTGCATCGATACAGGCTCGTGACGATGGAGGACTTCATCCTTTACATAATGCCTGTTCCTTTGGTCACTATGACGTTGTAAGACTTTTATTAGAAGCAGGAGCCAATCCAAATACACGTGACAATTGGAATTATACACCATTACACGAGGCAGCTATTAAGGTAAAAGATAATCATTTTCCTATGCTCGTAAAAGTTATTATAACGGTAAACATTGATTGTAAACAAAAATATATAATTAATCTCAACGTGAAAATAATCTATTCGACATTGGATTAAATTATTCGCAACTAAAGATCAATTTTATTAACAGGGTTGCGACAGATTAGGGAATTCTGGGAAAAGTCAGGAAATGTAGAATCGGTCAGGGAAATCAGGGTAAAGTCAGGGATTTTTATTAAAAGTAATTGAAAAAATTAAATTTTTAGAATTCATAAGAAAATTCTGAATTTTTGTGTCTTTTTTGTCTGCCACATAAACTATGAAATTAGCACGAATTTTAATACAAAACCTCCAATTTTTTCTATTACTGACAAGAATTTTATTTTAAATAACTTAATTCTTGAAGAACAATCAGAAAATTATTATTTATAAATTATTTAATGAATAATTTAATTTTCCTTAAATATTTCAAAATTAATTGAATTCTAAAAGAGTTGCGTTTACAATTTACATAAATAGATGAAATTCAAAAGTTTTTAGTTTTAAATTTTATAAAATTACAATTTTGAATCAATTTAATTAAAAATTTTAAAGAACTTAGTTTTTTGGAAAATTTTAAATAATAATTCAAATTCTTCGTGAATTAGTAAAATTTTTAAATATGTATTTAATTAGTTATTAAAAATAATAGATTTATAGAAGAATTTTAGTTGAAAACACTAAAAAAAATTTCATTTTTAAATTTCATTTTGATTGCAGAAATTCAATTATTTTCAAAAGTAATAAAATTCTTCGCAAAAATTCAATTATGTTCAAAAATTATTTAAAAATTCTAGTCAAAATTTCAATTATCTTTATAAAGAATAAAATTCTTCTCCGAAATTCAATTATTTTTAAAAGTTTTATTAAAATTCTTGTCAAAATTTCAATTATTTTCAAAAATTGTCCTCAATTCAATGATTTTCAATATCTACTATTTTAATAAAATTTTCCAACAGAATTCAATTACCTTTAAAAATGCCAATAAAATTCTTCACAAGAATTCAATTATTTTACGAAATAATAAAATTTTTCACGAAAATTCAATTATTTACATAAATAATAAAACTCATCACAGAATTTCAATTATTTTAAATACAATTTAAATCAAATTTCTCGAAAAATGGGATTATTCTGAAGATTTTTATTAAAATTTGACGAAACAATTCAATTATTTAAAATTTTGTTGATAAAATTCTTTAAAAAAATTCAATTTTAAGAAACATTTAATTATTCAATACATTATTTATTTTGTATTTAAATAATTGAATTTTCGTAGAATTTTCTAATAAAAATTGATTAAAAAATGAATTTTAATTAAAATTTTAGATAATAATTGAATATTAAAAGTATTATAGTCTGAATTTTTAGCAATAATTGAATTTTGAAAAGATTTTAAATTAAAATCTTTGAAAATGTAATTATTCTTAAAAAATTTACTAAAATTTGTCAAAAGAATTTAATTATTTAATAATTTGTTGATAAAATTCTTTATGAGAATTTATTCTTGTATTCAAATAATTCTAGTAGAATTTTTTAATAAAAATTTACTTGGAAATTTATTTCAGTTAAAATTTAAAATAATAATTGAATATTAAAATTTAATTGAATATTAAAATTATTAGCATCAATTCTGCAAAGTAATTGAATTTTGAAAAAGTTTCATATTATAGGTCAAATCTTTGGAAATTTGAATTTTCGTACTTTTAACTGTCAATTGTGTAGAATTACTTTTTTTGAAAAAGTTTAATTGAACTTTTTTGTGAAATTATTTGAAGTTTTTGTTTCCTAATATATATTTAATTGAAGAATTTCGGAATAGTCGAAATTTTTGGTAAATTTAAATTATAAGCAAATAAAATTTTAAATTCTCAAAGAACTTTTTCAAAAATTATTAAAAATAATTGATTTCAAGAAGAATTTTAGTTAAAAATTCTAGAAAATAATAATAATTGAATTGAAATGATGAAAATAATTCTGAAGAAGTTGCAGTAAAAATATTCTTATAATATGAAATAATGATTTAACACTCGGTCATCTTTAATTATTCTAAAACATGAAGAAATCGATTACTTCGAGTCGAAGACTCGGACTGATCGATATCTTCATGTTTGATAACAAAATATTTTTATAAATTATTAAATTTTAAAAGGTTTGAATTTTAATTTTTTGAAAATCTTAATTCCTATGGAAAAATAATAATTAAATATTAAATATTTATTGATAAAAAAGTTATTCTTGTTTTCGAATAATTTTACAATTAAAGAAATTCGTAAATAAATGTAAATAGAAATTCTTTTGAGTATCTAATTATTTTTAGAGTTAATCAGAATATTCTTTATGGCCAGGGAAAAATAAAAATTTTTATCTGAAAATTAGGGAAAAGTCAGGGAAAAACAAAATTAAATTTTTGTGGTAACCCTAATTAATTACCGAACAGAAGAATAATTATTTGTAATTTTTCCATTCTATAAATTTAGTTTATATTATTATTTAATTATTATTTTTTATTATTATGAAGATAAAATTGTCTTTGTATTTTTAAAATATTTTTTAGGATATAATTTATGTTTATTGTTTTATTTGTAATCTTTCCATTCTATGAATTTATTTTTTATTATTATGAAGATAAAATTGATATTGTATTTTTTTAACATTATTTTTTAGTTTAAAATTGACGTTTATTTTTTTTTTAAATATTTTAAATATTTTTTTAAATATTATTTTCAGGATAAAATATTGACGTTTGTCTAATTTATTCTTTTAACATTGTTTTCAGGGTAAAATTGACGTTTGTATTGCACTACTGCAACACGGAGCGGATTCGAATATTAGAAATACGGAAGGAAAAACAGCTCTGGATTTAGCGGATATAGCGACGAAGCCAGTATTGACGGGAGAATACAAAAAAGATGAACTATTAGAAGCAGCTAGATCGGGTAATGAAGAACGTCTCTTACAACTTTTAAATCCTTTGAATGTTAATTGTCACGCGAGTGACGGACGTCGATCAACTCCTCTACATTTAGCCGCAGGTTACAATCGGTCCAGGGTCGTTCAAATTTTACTGCAAAACGGAGCTGACGTTCACGCAAAAGATAAAGGGTACACTTTGATTTTTTCTTTTTTCGATCTAAATTTACTAATATTCCAATATTCCATTTCTTTTTTTACATTCTTTTTTACATTTTACATTTACATTTGGAATAATAATAATAAACTTCGCACTCATCTACTATTCGTCTTTTTGAAGAATTTTAAATTAAAATTTTGATAATAATTGAGATTTGCGAATCGTTTAAATTAAAACGAGTTTTTTTTTTGAGTCGTCAAAATTAATTTTCGTTAGCTACTTTTTTTTTTACTTTTTTTTGTCAGTTTTAAAGCTACTTTTTGCTTCTTTTTTTTAAAATAATTGTCGAGTGCGAAGCCTGTGATAATTATTATTTTAGAATAATTTTTGATTTTCTTATTGACAGAGGACTAGTGCCACTTCACAACGCTTGTTCGTATGGTCATTTCGACGTGACCGAGGCGTTGTTGAAGCACGGAGCAGCAGTTAACGCCAGTGATTTGTGGGCCTTTACTCCATTACACGAAGCAGCAAGTAAATCAAGAGCGGAGGTTTGTTCTCTTCTCTTGAGTGAAGGCGCCGATCCGACGCAATTAAATTGTCACAGTAAAAGTGCTATCGACGTTGCTCCAACCCTGGAGCTGCAAGAGAGATTAGCTTGTGAGTCTTGAGATCTTTTCAATTTTTGCTATTTTGTTTTTGTATTTTTTCTCTTTGTTATTGATACCTACGTTTCTTTTTTTTTTGTATTGCAGACGAATATAAAGGCCATTGCCTTTTAGATGCTTGTCGACAAGCAGATTCAACGAAATTGAAAAAATATTTATCACCAGAAGTGGTGAATTTTAAGCACCCTTATACTGGTGATACGCCTTTGCATTGTGCTGTCGCCTCGCCTTTTCCAAAAAGAAAGCAAATTATCGAAATTTTAATTAGAAAAAGTCCGACATTGAATGAGAAGAATAAGGACTTTCTTACGCCACTTCACGTCGCTGCCGATCATTCGCATTACGATGCTATGGATATTCTTTTAAGACACAACGCCAAAGTGAATGCACTGGATGGATTGGGACAAACCTCCTTGCACAGGTTTTTCAATTTTTACTATTTTACCAGAGAGGGAAAATCTATCTTTTATTTTATTTTACTTTACTTTTACTCTTAATTACTTTTAACCTTTATTTACTAACTTTTTCTCCGTTTGGCACTTGGAGAACTTAATTTAAATACAATTAAAAATGTTCCATTTGAAAGAAAAATGGATACATCAATTTTTCTATCAATAAATTGTACATAATTTGAAATTCAAATTCAAATTTTAGCATATTTTCAAATTGCACGCAATAATGATTAATTGATTCTTAATTGTCTGCAGATGTGCAAGAGAGGATAATGTACAGGCATGTAGAATTCTTTTATCGTACAATGTAGATCAATCAATAGTATCTCTTCAAGGATATACTGCAGCTCAAGTAGCCACCGAGAACGTTTTGAAAATTTTACAAGGTAATAAGCTGAAAATAACATTTTACTATTTTGCATGCTTCACCTTTTTGTTTCATTTTTTGCAATTATAATATTTTTATTATAAATTATTATTCATAATTTTTTTAGTAATAAGTATATTTTTTAAAAATATTTTTTATAATTTATAATATATTTTATTCAATTATTTTTTTAAATAATTTTTTATAATAAGTTTTCCACAAGTCAGGGAAAAATAAGAAAAAATGAATTTGAACAGAAAAATTAGGGAAATGTCAGGGAATTTTATCAAAAGTACTGGAAAAATATCAAATTTCTAGAATTATAACAAAAATTCTGGTTACTGGTGTTCAAAAATATTTTTGATAAACTTGAAAACCTTGAATTTTTTTTCACCTTCAAAACTTTTGAATCACAATGAATTTTAAAACAATACCATGACTTTTTCTTATTTATTGTAAATGGGTAATTAAATTTTAGAATAACTTTCATAAAGTTATTAATTATAATTAACTTAGAAAAGAATTTATTTAAACAAAATGGCAATTTTCATAAATAATTGAATTTTAGAAAGTTTTAATCTGCTTTTCAAAATTTTAAATGCCGTGTAAAAATAAGTACCTAATAATTAAATTTTTGTTTTAAAAATGATTTAAAACTTAAATAAAAACTGAAAATAATAATAATAAAATTTCTATTAATTCTTAAATCATTTTATTTAAATTGTTGGAAAAACTGACTTTCAGAGAAATTTTAATTAAATTGTTCTTGACTTTTTAAAAAAATGTAATTCAAAGAATTATTAGATGAATTAAGTATAATTATTAAATTCTTGAATTATTAATATTTTATCAATTAACATTTTATATTTCACAATTAAATTCTCTATCAACTTTAATTATTTTTAATTCAATTTCACAAAATTTCAATTAAAATTCCTTGGAAATTTGATTTTTTAAAAAATCTGTAATCAAATTCTCTAACAAACTTAATTATTTTCAATTCAATTTCTCAAAATTTTCATCAATTTGATAATTATTCTTAAAAAAAACTTTGCGAAATTAAATTTGAAATAATTAAATCTATTAGAGAATTTAATTGCATATTTAAAAAAATTGAATTTTCAAGATATTTTAATCTAATAATTGAAAGAATAATTAAAAATAATTAGATGAATTTAATTATTAATATTTTATGAATTAATATTTTATATTTCAAAAATAAATTGTCTATCAACTTGAACTATTTTCTATTCAATTTCACAAAATTTCAATTAAAATTCCTTGGAAATTTGATTTTTTTAAAAATCTGTAATCAAATTCTCTAACAAATTTCATTATTTTCCATTTAATTTCTCAAAATTTTCATCAATTTGATAATTATTCTTAAGAAAATTAAATAATTGAATTTTATAAAGAGTCACCAAATTCTTTTTAAAATTGAAATTTCGCAAAGTTTTATTTGCATTTCTGAAAAAGTAGGTTATTAAAATAATTCAATTTTACTTTTTAAAAATAATTGAATGTTTATAAACAAGTAATTGCAGATTTTCGAAATAATTGAATTTTTCTAGAATTCCATTAAAAATAATTGAATTTTTTAAAAGAATTTTATTGTAATTTTTTGAAATATTGAAATTTTTTGAAAATAATCTAGGGACAGTAATTAATTTTATTTTTAAAATTAGTAGACAACCTTAAAACTCTTGTAGCCTTCTCTGAACAAATGTTTTAAAGATATTTTATTAGAATTTTAATTTTTACTTGTAACAATAATAGGAATAAAAATTGCAACTTATTACAAAAATGTCAGCATATTTTTCAAATTAATTTTTATTAAATTATTTTTAGATCCACCAAATGGAACCGAAGACGTGGAGGCTCAACTTCTAGAGGCGAGTAAATCGGGCGATTTAACGGCAGTTGAGAGAATTCTTCAATCGAATCCTCATGCAGTGAATTGCCGCGATTTAGACGGACGACATTCAACCCCATTGCATTTTGCGGCGGGTTACAATCGTGTTCCGGTTGTGGAATATCTTCTAGCACATGGCGCTGACGTTCACGCTAAGGATAAAGGGTAACATCGTCTTAACTTGCCAGGAAAATTATTAATTAGACATTTAAAAAAGAATAATTCAACGGAGTTTATAAAATACTCTTTTTTTCTTTCTTCTTTTTAAATTCAACAATTAATTTCTAATGAGAATTGAATTTTTTTTTAATTAGCGGTTTGGTGCCACTTCACAATGCATGTTCCTACGGTCACTATGAAGTGACGGAACTTCTGGTGAAACATGGAGCGTCTGTTAATGTGGCGGACCTCTGGAAATTCACACCTTTACATGAAGCCGCAGCGAAGGGAAAGTGCGAAATTGTACGTCTTCTGCTGAGGCACGGGGCGGACGCGACAAAAAAGAATCGAGACGGTGCAACGCCTTTGGATCTCGTGAGAGAGGGAGATCAGGATGTTGCAGACCTTCTTAGAGGAAATAGCGCGTTATTGGACGCAGCGAAGAAAGGAAATCTCGCGAGAGTTCAAAGACTTGTTACTCCTGACAATATTAATTGTAGAGACGCACAGGGACGAAATAGTACGCCTCTACATTTAGCAGGTATGATGATTAACAAAAAAGAAAATATTTATCTATTTCGTCTAAAAACTATTTTCTCTTTTAGATCATTTTTATTACTTTTTCTTTCTTCCTTTATTTTTTTTCTTCTTTTCTCTCTTTCTTCAAATTCTTCTTTTCCCTCTTTCTTCAAATTCTTTTTTTTCTCTCTTTCTTCAAATTCTTCTTTTTTTCTATCTTTTTTCTTTCCTCTCTGAGGGTTGCCACAGGCTAGGGAATTCAGGGGAAAGTCAGAGAATTTTATGAAAAGAACAGGAAAAAATTAAATTTGTTTAAAATTCATAAGAAGATTCAGAATTTTTGTGCCTTTTTGTTTGCCTCATAAACTATGAAATTACCACGAATTCTAATACAAAACTTTCAATTTTTTCTATTTCTCACAATAATTTCTTTTTAAATAACTTAATTCTTTAAGAACTAAAAATTCTGAAGTTAGTTTTTATTTTTAATACACATTTAATGAATTATTAAAAATGATGGATTTATAGGAGAATTTTAGTTAAAAACACTAAAATAATTGAATTTTGGAGAAGTTACAAATGATTGCAAGAATTCAATTGTTTTCAAAAGTATCTAATAAAATTCTTCTCCAAAATTCAATTATTTTTAAAAAATTTAATAAAATTCTTGACAAAATTTCGATTATTTTCAAAAAATTCAATAAAATTTTTGGCAAAATTTCAATTATTTTCAAAAATTTTCCTTATTTCAATGATTTTGAATATCTGATATTTTAAAAAAATTCTCTAAAAGAATTCAATTATTATTTATTTATTTATTCAAATATATTATTAAAAAAAATTTAAGAAAATTTTACGCAAACATTTAATTATTTTCATATTCTTCTTAGAAATTCAATTATTTTCATAAATTTTATTACAATTTTTTTCCAAATGCAATTAGTTTAATAAATATCAATATTCAATACAAGAATTCAATTAGTTTCAAAAATATCAAAATTCTTCGCAGAATTTCAATTATTTTCAAAAATAATAAAATTCTTCGCAGAAATTCAATTATTTTCAATATTTTTTTCGAAACGCAATTTTTTTAATAACTAACAATATTTATCACAAGAATTCAATTATTTTCAGAAGAAATAAAATTCTTCGCAGAAATTCAATTATTTTCAAAATTTTTTTTTAAATTCTCGTCAAAATTTGAATTATTGTCATAAATAAGAAAAATTTTAACAGGAATTCAATTATTTAAAATAGAATTTGCATAATTTTATCGAAAAAATCAATTATTTAATATTTGTTTATAAAATTCTTCGCAATAATTTAATTACTTTCCATAATATTAAAATTCTTTTTAGGGATTCAATTATTTTCATTAATAATATTAAAACTCATTGCAGAATTGAATTTTTTGTAACAATTTCATCTGTATTCTTCGACGATTTTTCTTTTAAAAGTTTTATTAAAATTTGTCGAAAAAATACAATTATTCAAAATTTGTGTATCAAAATTCTTTATAAGAATTTAATTTTAAGAAACATTTAATTATTCAATAAATTATTTATTTTTGTATTTAAATAATTTAATTCTCATAGAATTTTCTAATAAAAATTGATTTAAAAATGAATTTCAGTTAAAGTTTTAAATCAATTTTGAGAAATATTTGAATTTTTAACAGTTTTCAGATTAAAATCTTTGATAAACTGAATTTTTTTATCTTTTAAGTAACAATTCTATAGAAGTAATTTTTTTGTGAAATTATTTGAAGTTTTTATTTTCTAATATACATATATTTAAATTGAAGAATTGCCGAATAATCGAAATTTTTGTAAAATTGAATTGTTAACAAATGGATTTGATAATTCTTAAAGAACTTTTTCAAAAATTATTGAAAATAATTGATTTAGGAACGAATTTTAGTTGAAAGTTCTAGAAAATAATAATTAAATGGAAATGATGAAAATAATTTTCAAGAAGTTTTAGTAACAATATTCTTATAATATAAAATATTAATTCATTACTCGGTCATCTTTAATTATTATAAAACAGGAAGAAATCGATCACTCCGAGTCGAAGACTCGGAGTTATCGATTTGTTCATGTTTTATATTTCTTATAAGTTGTTGAATTTCAAAGAGGTTTGAATTTGAATCTTTTGAAGAATTTTAATTCCTATGAAACAATATTAATGATTAAATTTATATTTGAAAGAAATAAATCTCTTGATGTTTTCGAATAATTTTACAATTAAAGAAATTTTTAAGTAAATATAATAGAACATTTTTTTATTATCTAATAATTCTTAGACTGAATCAATATATTCTTTAGGGTCTCAGAAAAAAAGTCAAAATTTTGTCTGGAAATCAGGGAAAAACAAAAATTAAAATTTGTGGCAACTCTGAGTCTCTTTTTTCCCTTATTCCTTCTTTCAATTTTGATTTTCATTGAGCGAAAAATTACTATAATAATTGAAATATTTTTCAGCTGGGTACAATAATTTAGATGTAGCGGAATTTTTATTAGAGCGAGGAGCTGATGTGAATGCACAAGACAAAGGTGGTTTGATTCCTTTGCACAATGCCTCGAGCTATGGCCATTTGGACATAGCTGCATTATTAATAAAATATAATACGGTGGTAAATGCAACTGATAAATGGGGCTTTACACCATTGCATGAGGCTGCACAAAAGGGTCGAACACAGTTGTGTGCTCTACTTCTCGCTCATGGAGCTGATACATTTTTGAAAAATCAAGAAGGACAAACGCCCGTTGATTTGGCGAGTGCCGATGATGTTAGATGTTTATTGCAAGACGCAATGGCATCGCAACAGGTCGTACCATCGATGCCTTCGACGAATGTCAATAATGTTGTTGGTACCAGTAGATCTCCGAGTATTGTAGCAGGTATTTTTTTCATTCACCAAATTTATTTACAGACGAAAAACATTTTATTATTGTAATGTTTACAGGGCTCGAACTGGGTTCGTAAATTTGCTTTAAGTCCGTAAAAGTCAGTTTTTTGAACATGAAGAAAAATTTAATTTATAGTTTTAAGTAAAATTTTCTCTAATTTGGCTCGGGATGGTTATATTTTTTATTTTTTTTGTTTGTTATAATTTTGTATTTTTTCATTTTTGGTCCGTAAAGTATCCGTATTTTGAAATACTTTCACTGGTTCGAGCCCTGTATTTATTATCATTCAATTATAATTTTATTATAATTCAATTTAATCATTATGTTTCATTATGAATCAGCTGTAAAATTTTCTATTTTCTAAAACGTTTTCTCAGTTCCAGTTTCACCTCCACCATCATTAACGCAAGAGACTGTAATATTACCGTCCGGCGCAGCAATAACATTGTGCGTACCAATTGCTCGCCCATCATCATGCATAAGTCCCATGACGTCTTCGGAACAAAATTCAGATCGTGACGGAAAAGACGATGAACGTAGTGCCAGTAATGCGATTACGAATATTTCGGGTTTTTTGCAAAGTCTCGGTTTAGATCATCTTCTCGAGCTGTTTGAACACGAGCAGATAACACTCGACATTCTCGCCGAAATGGGTCACGAGGATTTGAAGGATGTTGGAGTCAATGCTTATGGTTATCGACATAAATTGATCAAGGGAATGGATAAATTATTGAGTTCAGCTGCCGGCTCGATATGGCCGCCTTCGGCTAATCCAGGAACACTTTTGGTTGATCTCTTGACGGACGACAAGGAATTTTTGGCTGTTGAGGAGGAGATGCAAAATACTATTCGCGAGCATCGGGATAATGGTATTTCGGGTGGTATTTTCTCGAGATACAATATTGTCAGAGTGAGTAGAAAAATTATAATGTAATTTTAAAAAGTAATGGAAATTTAATTTTTTGTTTCCGATAATTAGTAATTTTTTATTTTTTTTCTGATATGGATTCAAATTTTTTGATTTTGGTAAATATTAATTTCAAATTTATAAAATATTTTGTTTGGGAATTTTTCCTAGCGACTGGAAAAAATAATTCATGACCGAAGAATAGCAGGGAATTTATTTTTGGAAAAGAAGTGGTCGCCCTGTAATTATTTATATTCTATTATAACAAATGAGAAAGTACTAAATTTCTTTTTACTATTTTTGGGAATAGATTCAAAAAGTGCAAAACCGAAAATTGTGGGAGCGTTACGCACATAGGCGACAGGAGGTGGCGGAGGAAGTTGGAGCCGCTGCACCTACTTCACCGAGTTCGTTGACGAGGATCACGTCAAATTTGTCGTTACCACAGGCGAATGAAAGAATGCTCTTTCACGGTAGTCCTTTTATCAACGCAATTGTTCAAAAAGGATTCGACGAACGACACGCCTACATCGGCGGAATGTTCGGAGCTGGAATTTATTTCGCCGAGCATAGCAGCAAAAGTAATCAATATGTTTATGGAATTTGCGGCGGTACCGGTTGTCCTGCTCACAAGGATCGAAGTTGCTACATCTGTCACAGGTAACAAAAATAATAATAATTGTGTTTTTCAAATCAAAATATGAAAAAATACAAAACAAAATTTATTTGAAAATTACAATTTTAAATTTTACAAAAAATTAGAATTAAAGTTTTTATCGATATGAGTCCAGGCTTCGCTCTCATCTACTAAAATCTACTATTTACTACTTTTTTACATTATGCTACTATTTAGGTACATTTTTTTAGATTTCAGCCACTAAAAGCTACTATTTCGGTCTTTTTTCGAAGAATTTCAATTATCATTAATACTATTTTAAAGTAATTAATCAAAAAAATTCAATTATTTGCACAAATAAAATTTTCCACAAGAATTGAACTATTTAAAATAAAATTTTCATAATATTTATTGTATTTTGAAAAAATTAATTATTTAAAACAATGTTTATAAAATTCTTATAAAGAAATTCAATTGTTTTCAAAAATACCATAATTTTTCACACAAATTCAATTCTTTTTAAACATTTTATTAAAATTTTTCGCAATAATTCAATTATTTTCATAAATAATAAAATTCTTCTCAGGAATTCAATTATTTTTGAAAATTTTAATAAAATTCTTAGCAACTATTCAATAATTTTTATAAAAAATAAAATTCATCGCAGGATTTCAATTATTTTTAACAAAATTTTACAGGAATTTACTTAAAAATTTAATTATAATTCCTCGAAAAAATCAATTATATAAAAAAATGTTTTTTTGAAATTCTTTGGAAGAATTCGATTATTTACAAAAATATTAGAATTGTTCACAGGAATTCAATTATTTTCAAATATTTTAATAAAATTTTTCAACAGAAATCAATTATTATAACAAAATTATTCTCGAAAATTCAATTATTTTGAGGCATTTTAATAAAATTCTTTGCAAAATTCAATTATTTTCATGAATAACAATATTCATCACATGAATTCAATTATTTTTAAAAGTAATAAATTTCTTCTTGAAAATTCAATTATTTTAAAAAATTCTAATAAAATTTTCCGCAATATTCAATTATTTTGGAAAATATTAAGATTCTTCTCAGGAATATCATTATTTTTGAAAATTTTAGTCAAATTCTTAGCTATTCCATAATTTTCATAAAAAATAAAATTCATCGCAGGATTTCAATTATTTTTAACAAAATTTTACAGGAATTTACTTAAAAATTTAATTTCAATTCCTTGAAAAAATCAATTATATGAAAAAATGTTTTTTTTCAAATTCTTTGGAAGAATTCAATTATTTTCAAAAAATATTAGAATTTTTCACAGGAATTCAATTATTTTCAAATATTTTAATAAAATTTTTCGAAAGAAATCAATTATTTTAAATACAATTGTAATTAAATTTTTTTGAAATAATTCAATTATTCTTTTAGATTTTAGTAAAATTTTTCCCCGAGAATTCAATTATTTTCATAAATAATTCTTCGAACGAATTCAATTAGATCGATAAATGACAAAATTATTCTCGAAAATTCAACTATTTTGAGTTATTTTAATAAAATTGTTTGAAAAATTTAATTATTTTCGTAAATAACAATATTCATCACAAGAATTCAATTTTTTTTGAAGTAATAAATTTTTTCTTTGAAATTCAATTTATTAAAAAAATTCTAATAAAATCATTCGCAAGAATTCAATTATTTTCATAAATAATACAATGCTTTTTAGGAATTAAATTACTTTTTAAAAAATTTAATAAAATACAACACAGACATTCAATTATTGTCAAAAATTTTAATAGAATTATTTATAAAATTTAATTATTTTTAAAATCTTTTCGCAATTAAATGATTTTCAATATCTACTATCTTTATAAAATTTTCAAATAGAATTCAATTATTTTAGAAATTTTTTGTAAAGATCTGCTTAAGAATTCAATTATTTTCATGAAAATAGGTAATAAAAATTTCTCAGGAATTCAATTATGTATTTAAATTAGAATTTGCACAAAATTAGTCGAAAGAAATCAATTATTTAAAAATTTTAATAAAATTCTTCCCAAGAATTAAATTATTTATATAAATATTTAAATTTTTTCATGAATAATAAAATTTGTTGCAGGAATTCAATTTATTAGCAGGTTAAGAGAGAAGTAAATATTTTTGATGAAAATTAGGAAAAAGTCAGGAAAAATAAAATATAGAATGGAATTTTTGTCAGCTTTATAAAGTGTCTAAAATTATTTTTTTGGTTGTCAAGTTTAATTTTTCGATAGCTATTTTTTTACTACTTTTTGCTTTCTCATAAAGGAAGCCTTATAGTGATGTCGATTTCCGAATTTTTTAGAATCAATTATTTTTACAAATTTTCAAGTGTAGTATATATAATTCGTCGAGAGGAACAAATGTCCGGATGTATGTGTGTATGTGTGTGTGTGTGTGTGTGTGTGTGTGTGTGTGTGTGTGTGTATGTCACCGATTCTTGTGGACAAATTTTCTCTTACACGTCTTGATGGATTTTGATAAAATTTTGTAGGTGTATTACGATCATGAATACTAAAAATCAGACAGAAGGATTTTCAAAAATATCTAAAAAAAAAAATTTTTTCAACAATTTTTTAATTTTTGAAAAAATTAATTTTTGGATTTTTTGAAATAACTTTTTTTTATATTAAAATTTTTATTAATTCTTGTCAAAATTGCATTCCTGACATAAAAACGAATCAATTCATGTATATAAAGTATATATTTTATCAAAATTTATAGAATTAATAAATATTTTAATTTTTCACAAAAAATTGAAATTTTGTATTTTTTGACATTTTATCATAACACTTTAAAATAATTATTCTAAAATAAAAAATTAAACAATTGGTATATATTATATTGAGGAAGCTTAATGATCATGAAATGAACAACTTGTTTATTACTTTTTTTAGACTGAAAACTACTTTTTGATACTTTATTAAAATTAATTATTGAGTGCGAAATCTGTATGAGGGAGAAAGTTAAATATTCTTTTTGTAAATCAGGGTAAATTCAGAGAAATTGACTATTGCTCCTTAAATTCGATCCGAGATCTGACTTTATTGATAATCCAATTTTATTTATTTTGTAAATATTTATTTAATTTATTAACATTTTTTCTTTCTTACAGGCATTTATTACTCTGCCGTGTAACACTCGGCAAATCATTCCTGCAATTTTCGGCAATGAAAATGGCGCACGCACCACCAGGACATCACAGTGTAATGGGCCGGCCATCGCAAGGTGGCCTCGTGTTCCCCGAATATGTCGTCTATAGAGGTGAGCAGGCATATCCTGAATATTTGATAACCTATCAAATCGTTCGACCCGAGCAAGAAACTGGAGGATCAGGCGAGGGAAGCGAGGAACGGTGATCGCAAGAGACTGGCCCAGCGGCACAATTGCGTCGTCTCTGCTGTTGTCAGAGATCAAGGGCATGCGATTCATTGTCCTAGATCTCTTCTATAAATAATATACATAAATATTTGATCTCGAAGCTTTTTCATCGCCTCCGCCTCATTAAAGGATGAACTTCTCCTTTTCGCTTGAGATATTGAACTGCATTTCTGTGATCCCCTCTAATTATTCGCGTCTTCGAACAGTTTTTTCGTTACCAAAATTAACAAAAAAAAAAAAAAAAAGTTTCCTCCACGAGGAAGCAAAAAGCGAAAAAAGGAATGACGCGATCTTCTAATTGTGTGATTTAAAAAAAAAACGAAAAGAGAATGTAAAAGAGATGTAAAAAATTCTGGAAAAATTGAGGATATCAGTAAAATTGAAATTTTCATTTTATTGATAAATACAATTTTTATTTAATACGTAGTTTTTTTTTACTAAACTACATTTCGTTTGAATTTTTAAATACATCTCACTAGAGAAATAGATAATTTTTCTTTTAATTCCAGTTTATAGATAAAATTTAATGTAAAATATTTAAAGAAAATTAAAATTTTTAATTAAATTTAAAATTTAAAGAAATTTAAACATAATTTAAAGGTAATTTAAAGAAAATTTATTATTGTGAAAAATAATGCAATGAAATACAATTTCTTTTAGCTTTATTTATTTATTAATTAATTAATTAATTGGTGCTGTGTAAAGGATATTATGATTTGGGAAAAAACGAAAAATTAGTAGATTTAAGGAAATGATGACTTCTCTTTTTTTATTGTGTGCACTTTCAAAAAGTTCTTTTTTTAAAAAAGAGAGAATGTTATCTATTTTTAATTGATATTTTTAAACTTAGAAGTAGATTTAAAAAAAAAGAGAGAACAAAAAGATGTAAGAATTTTTTGTGAAAAATGTAATTTTTCAAACACTGCCTGGCTGTGACCTTGGAAAGTTTGAAAGTCAAATAAATATTCTAAGCAATAGAAAATTTTATTTTAAATATTTTAAAGAAAAAAATTATTAAATATGTAGAGAATTCATCTAGATAAAAAAGAATAATAATAATTAATAATTTAAAAAATAATATTGTAGGGCAATAATCGGGGAAAATAAAATCTCAATTTTTCCAAAGTTTCCATTCTAAAACTGAGTGCTGCATCTCTAGTCACGTTTATTTTATGTATCTCGTTTAATGGGGTACATCAAGTTTAAAAAAAAATTCAACTCTTTCTGTAATATAATTTAGAAAAAGAGAAATTTTGTAATATAATTGAATTTACCAAATTTTTTTTTTTTTTTTTTGAATTTGTATAATATAATTTTTCTAAAAAGAATTTGCAAAAATTTAGTAAAAATGTTTTTCATGAATTTTTCCGTATTGTCCTCGAAGAAAAAAAAACGCTTAAAAAAGATCTCATTCGAAACGAAAATAAAATGCTTATTATTATCGGTTTTGAGAAATAATTTTTTGGGCATTCCATTTTTAATTCTATAATTGTTTTTTTCATTCTTTTTTCATCTAAAAATATATTTGCATTTCTGCCGATTATACTAAATATTGTATACATTATAGTAATGGAGTAAAGACTAAAAATAGAATAATTTTTCCTTTGACATCGAATTAAGCGCCATAGAGTTAAAGATTTAAAAAAGAATTGACGGAATGCATTTTTTTTCTGAAGGGTCGTATATTGTTTATACGTGTGTGTTACCCTGTATTGTTCTGTAATATAGACAAGTTTACTTGAAAAAAAAATTGTAAAATTATATTCCTAAAAAAGAAAGAAATTTCTTCGTCTAAAATTAAAAATTACGAAAATTATTGTAAACAATTGTAAAAGAGAGTAAAAATTGTTTTATATGCGAGAGGAATTCGTGAATGCTTTTGAAAATTAATTATAAATGTGGAATTCAATTCAGTTTCGTGTGTATAATGATTTAGTGTAAACTTCTCTATTAAATATATTATCAAATATTAATAATTAGAATTTTATTTATTGCAAAGAAAAAAAAATTCTACGAAATGGAATGTAATGAAATCTTTCCCCGAAAAATCTCATTTCCTTATTATTAATTTTTTATTTTAAAAAAAAAGTACGAAATCGCATTTGAAATGTTGAGCGGAAAAATTTGTCCTTGCAGAAAACAAAACAGGATGAAATATAAATTGCAAAGAAAGAGGAAAATTTTCATGTTTTGTAAATTGTTGTATAGTCTCGGGGAATTTATTTGTAAATGTTTTTATGTAGAATGAAAGGCGCCAGAGCGATGTTTTATCTTTGATGAAATTGAAAATTTTTTCTTTTTCGCGTGAAGTGAAATATTTTTTTTCTCAAAGATATAGGGTCAGGGAAAATTCACCGAGAGAGAGAGAGCGAATTCTTTTAATGATTTTGCAGGATAAAATTTTATCATTATCAATACCAAGCAATAGGAAGTAAACTTTAGCACAAAACAGTCAATTAAATAAATATAAACATGCAATTTCATTATTCACGCAGTAAGACAAATAAAAAAAATAATCAATAAAAAATACCATCCAGGAAAAATTGTAAAATCTATTCCTACAAATTTTCATTGTGATATGAATAATTAATAATAATTAATCAAAAATTTGTTGAATGATGATTAATAAAGAGACACTAAGATTTTAATAGATTCTTCAATATTACATCAATTTTATCAATTTCTCTGGAAATTTATTTATAGATTCATTGGACAGAAATAAAATGATTAATAAAAAAGCCTGATCAATATATACCTATATTTTCTAAATGAGCAAAAAAAAAAAAAAAAAAAGAATAAAAGCAGATCGTTAGCATTTTGATAACCCCGAATGGAGGTGAGGACAAAACATCGATAACTAATAAAATGAGAAAATGAGAATCTTCTTGGTCGCATGTTTTTGTTATTCTATGCTCTGATTGAAATAAGCCACTGATCTCACCCTAATCTATGATTATAATTGCGAAGAAGAAAGAAATTTTAACGTAATCGATTACGATCCTTTTATAAGCAAACAATTCAAGGTCAATTTGCATATATCAATATTGGAAAATTTTATTTATTTATTTTCATGTTAATTTAAAGAAAGAAAAAAAATTCTCACAGACAATTATTTATATATGTAATTGTACATTATTTTAATTGTCTAAAACATTTTCATGAAATACATATGTAAACATTTTTTTCTAAAATTATCAATATTATATTTTCAAAACAATTATTTTTTCTCTAAGGAAAGTGCATAATCCAAGAAAAATGATTTTTTCCACTGTTAATTAATAAATATTTATTGCAATATAGAGTTCAAGCTATTAAAATATTGATAATAAATAATAATTATTTTCTTCCTATAATTAATTAATAAATAAATCTAATTACAATTTACAAGATATTAAAATATCAATATTAATAATCATTGTATTCCGGTAATTTTAGTTTGAAGTTGGTTAGGGTTTGATTTTTGTTTCCTAACTTTTTAAATAATTTTTCTTTTTAAAATGTTTTAAATTTTAAAACTAATGTACTGAAAATCATTGAATTCTTGCAAAGTATTTATCAACAAATTTGAAAACAATTGAATTCATTTCAAGAACATTATCAACATTTTTTTCAATAATTGAATTCTTTCGAGAAAATGTAATTAAAATTTTATTGAAAATAATTTAATTCTTGGCAAGATTTTTATTAAAATTCTTTAAAACAATTGAATTGTTTTGAAAAATTTATTTCAATCTTTAGTTCCATTATTTAAAAAACTTTTAATAAAATTCAATTATTTTAATTGAATTCCAGGGAAAATTAAATTATTTTTAAATTCTTCGTAATAATTCAATTAAATCAATAAATAGTAAAAGTTTCCCAGGCATTCAATTATTTTAAATACAAATTTCATAAAATTCTTCTAAAAAAAACAATTATTTGTTTAAATTTTGCAAAAATTCAATTATTTGCAGAAATAATAAATTTTTTCGCAGGAATTCAATTATTTAAAAAACTTTTAATAAAATTGTATTCAAGAATTCAATTATTTTCATAAATAATCAAATTTTCGATGCACTGAAAATCATTGACTTCTTGCAAAGTATTTTTGAAAAAATTTGAATATACATAATTGAATTCATTTCAAGAATTTTATCAACATTTTTACAAATAATTGAATTATTTCGAGAAAATTTACTTAAAATTGTATTGAAAATAATTTAATTCTTGGAAAAATTTTTATTAAAATCTTTAAAATAATTGAATTATTTTCAAGAATTAATAAATAATTAATAATAACAAATAATCGTGTTTAATATAAATTGTAATAATAAAATAAAAAATAAAAATTATTAATTGCAATTAACAAATTTTCCTATTAAATTATATTCAAATTATTCATATAAAATTAAATTCTTTTAAACAATTTTATTAGAGTTTTTGTAAATAATTCTTTTTTTTTTAAGAATTTAATTAAATTTTCTAAAAATAATGTAATTTTTTAAAATAATTTTAATTGAAAATTTTGAAGATAATTGAAATTTACAAAAAATTTAATTAAAAACTTTTTAGAACAATTGAATTGTTTAGAAAAATTTTATTACAATTTTTAAAAATAAGTGAACCTGTTAGACATATTTTATTGTAATTTTCTTGAATATAATATTGATTTTTTTTCTAGAAATTGAATTAAAATTGTATTGAAAATAATTAAATTTCTCAGAAGAATTTTATTATCTACAAAAATAATTGAATTCCTGTTAATAATTCTACAATATATACAAATAATTTAATTGTTTCAAAAAATTTTATTTAAATTTTTGAAAATATAATTGAATTTTTTGAAGGAATTTTATTAAAAATTTTGAAAATAATGATTTTTTAAAACAATTTTATCATAATTGATGAAAATAATTGAATTTATTTAAAAATTATTTAAAATAATCGATTTTAATTAATATTTTTAAAAATAATTATATATTTTTTCGAGAAATTTTATTACAATTTTTGAATAGTAATAAACAAGAGTGTTTAATATTATGTTAATTATATTAATTTTATTAAAGTTTTTGAAAATTGAATTTTTCGAAAAATATTAATAATTTCTAAAAAAAAAATTAATTCTTCCATGAAATTTTATCAAAATTGTATTAATATACACAATTTTCAATCATTTTCAAGATAGTAAATTAAATTGACAATAAAAAATTTTGAAGGCATTTTTTTTTTTTTTTAATTAAAATTTCTATTATTGTAAATTTTTTTTATTAATAAATATTACCATTAAAAACGAATATAAACGAAAAAGGCCAATATACCTGTTGGGTGGCGATGGAAATTTTTTGAATTTTCCCGGCAAAATGGGTGCAACTTTCGAAATCGACCGCTAGGATCGCACGACTATGTTTTTTCATCTTTCTCGCAATCGTTTTACTCTTTGTAGAGTATATAAGCTGACGAAAAACGTTGTTCAATATCGCTTCTCGGCCCTATGGCTAAGATCAAAGTGTAGTATCTGTTCTTATCAGCTTGATATCTGATACGCTCTTCATTGAAGAGCCAGAATATCGAACTGATTTTTGGAAATCGGCGGAGTGTCTGGGGCTTGCTCCGACTCTGCCATGGGTTGTCTCTGCATTGCAGTACCGCAGTGAACGGCCCGCTTAATAGAATTTAAACAAAATTTTCCCCCTTAAAAATTGAGAAACAAGAAAAATTGTTCTCTTAATTTTAATACCTTATGTATACTTGTAAATTTAAGACTCTAAAAGTGTCTTAATTTTTCTAAGTACCTTGTCCCTTGTAATTGAATCCTTAAAAGATTCAATTTTTTTGTTCGTCGAAAATTCTCTTTTTTTTAATGTTATTTTTTGTTATAAACTAAAAGAATAAAAATAAAAAAATGTATTTACTTAAACTTGGCAACTTGATTTAAATTAATACATAGAATTCAAACTTCATTTGGACAAGTTGACCTAATTTGAGAAGAAATTTTTATTAAGTTTGAATAATTTAGCTTAATTTAAACAACAAGTTAACTTAATTTAAAAAAAAGTTTATCTTAATTTTAGAAAATTGATTTAAGTAACAATTGGGATTAAATTAAGGTTAAATTATAATATATTTTACTAAACAAAAAGTTTACTTAAGAATAAAAAATAATTTAGCTTAACTTTAGCAGTAGATTTTCTCATTTTTAGTATTAATTCATATTAACTTAAGGGATAATAGTTATTTATTCTATTGTAAATAATTTTCGAGTAATATTAAGAAAATTTCATATTTGTTTGGTATATTTGTTGTTAACTCTGCGACGGCTAAATTCAAACTGAACCGCTCTTGGCAAAAAAAAAATTCTCCTGTGGAGAAAGAGTGGGGGGAGTGAGCGAATCTCATTGGTCGAATTTTGCGCCCTTATTTAAAGTGCATTTAATATAATACACAGTAATTTTCATCTATATTATTAATTGAAATTACTATTAATCGCACTTATTTTTTTTCTACAATGTTTTATTATTAAACATATATTGTTTATATAATATTTTACAATAAAATTTGTATTAATCGTATTGATAAAACAAAGAGAATCTTATTTCTATTCACATTTTATAGATTTCATTATTCGAAGTGATCGTTCACTCACTTATATATAGTTTTCGATTTATTATTTAAGACGAGTGAGTAATAAAATTATTTTATATGAACAAAATCATAATTTACTTATTTAACAAAAAATATTTTGATTAACATAATTTTACATTTGATTAACAACATTATATTACAGTTATAATTGTCACATTTTTCTAAATATCACCCATCGAATTAAGCAAAGAATAATTTTACAAATAATGGCTTTTTTCAATACTACTACTTTTAGTTGGGTCAATTAAATAATTAATTGACTCTAATAAATTAATTAATTCAATACAAATTATGAGTTACTTAAAACAATTTATTTATTTCAAAAATTTATATTCTTTCAATGGGCATAAATTTTGATTTTCGCGTATTTTTCAAAGTTGTAGAATAACTCGAAGAGCTCAAAAAAACTTTGCCCAAGTCAATTAGCTAACGCTTACAACTTTTTTTTTTAGATACCTCTCAAGATACAGCCGGACAAACGCAACATCTTTGGAAAACATTGGTACTAGCACTGCTCGTCAATTCACTGATTGGATAGTAATGAATTTTCTGGAGCATGCTCCAAAAGACTTATATGCGTTCGTCAACCTTGTCACACGGAGAGAAAAATCAAGCGTTTGTAGTAAGACATGGTCTATACTTAAAAAGCACGGCGCTGTTTATACTCGATTTGTAGAAATCTATGCTAAAAGAGTAGGGACCTATACTCTTTTAGCATAGATTTCTACAAATCGAGTATAAAGTATAAACAGCAAGAAGGAGAAAATATTAATTCTAATGTTAAAAGCGTCACCACCCCTACAGAGGTCACAAATAGTATAAATGAGAAAATATTGACACCCCCTCCGATTGATACTATAGCATCGAGGGTTGTTACCAGACGTCGTAGGAGGGAGAGAGAGAAAACAATTGATGTGACCAGGCGTACATTGGGGGACATCCCCTCCACACCTACGAGTAGGATAATCAACGAATCCCCTGTTTCATCTTCGTCACATTTATCGAGACGTCAAATGAGGGCCAGGAGGAGAACCCTCATTAGTGACAATGCCGTGGTGGGGACCATTGATATTGAGAACGGACTTGCCTCCCTCTCAGAGTATCATGAGGGCTCTTACGACCTACCGTTGCAGCCTCCGGTAGTAATACCACTGGTCAACCTCCACCAGCGAGGGCAGTCCGCCTCTCCCGATCTGGTCCCCACTGTTGGTACTCCTGATAGGGTCTTAGGCGAATCTCCTTGTCAACTGACCTGGCCCTCCCAAACACAAGAGACATCTATGAACAGGGAGGACCTCATCGCAACATCATCAGGGGATGTCCGCCCCTCAACGAGCGTTGATGTAGCACATATTGTGCTTGTAAATGATTCTCTCCCTCCCTTAGAGCGTAATGAGAATGTGAGAGTGCATGTAAGAATGAACGAGGTTCGGGACGAAGGAGCGCGCATCCTAGAAAATTCAAAACAGATTAATAGTAGTAATGCCCTTCAGGCAATCGCAAATGATTTTATTGAATTTGCGCGGCGATTCCAACCTCCAGCTCAAGAGGAAAGGGGCACGAATATAAACAAAGGCCCAAAAAATCTCGGTGCCCTTTCCAAAACTAAATTAGCAACAAGGTTGCAAAAAATGTACCGTAAAAATAAAAAAAGGGCGGTACAAGAGATACTTAAGGGCAATAGGAGTGAGTGCAAAATCGGAATCTCAGACATTCAGAAGCACTTTACTAACATCTTTAAAGCCCCTACGCTGAATGTCGATAGTCTCCCTAGAGATTTCGATTTTGGTCTAACGGATGTTGCCAGTAATGATAAACTCTCAGTGGTACTTTTGCCCACTGAGGTGATCAAAAAATTAAAATTCATTAAAAATACGGCTCCTGGCCCAGATGGAATAACATATCCTACGCTGCTTAAGGCAGACCCATCTGGGACCATACTGTCGAACATCTATTCTGCTTGTATTGCTCTCTGTGCGATTCCTGATTCCTGAAAGGATTCAAAAACTATTCTATTACAAAAAAAGGGGGACCTTTCCAGGATCAACAATTGGAGATGGCGGAAGCACCAAGAAAAGGAGAATCGTCAAATGCTTACGATAAGGAAAACTATGTAAGTCCTAAAAATGATAACTAATTATAGTTGCGTCTTTTGCATTTTAAATAATAACTAGCGACGTATACGTACCTCACAAAAGTGATGCACACTTTCTTACACTTTAACTCCTAACCTGCACGGCCTCCGGCAGATAAAAGTCTAAATTAGGTATTCATCAGTGGCAGTAGTGCGAAGAGAGGGCGGGAGTTGTCCCTCGCTTGTAGTAAGGGTTGGGGGGGGGGGGGTAAAATTATTATTCCTCCAGGTGCTAGGGCGCAAATAACATTTAGATTGCGAAATGCCCTCCAAAATTTCTAATTAAAATCCCTTTTGAATAAAAAAAACCAGGACAAAGTCTTCTTGATGTAGCCATCCCTTTTGAGAATGGTCCGGAAGCCTTCAAGACTGTAAAGGAGCACAATAAACAGCATATATGCGAGATTCATGAAGAAGTTTGTGGTCTATGACGTCCTTTATGCCAGCGTGAATATTCTGGACCACACTTTTCTAAAGTTTATGGAACTAGATATGAATTTTTTAAGTAAAAAATTCAGAAATAACATTTGTGAAGCCGAAAATCATCACTTGACATTGGTTAATAATGAAATTGAGAATATCTTCTCGGAGATGAAATTATTATTATTATAATAAATGAATTATGTATGAAAGATCAACCTAACAAATATACTACGTTGTTAAAGAAAAAACCATATATTTTTTCCTTGCAATAGAAAAAAATACTTTTTCTTCTATTTTAAGACCTCGTCTAGAACTAATAACAAAAGATTTAACGAAGCGTATGACTGCGGTGTATATAATGATGAGATATCCTATTTCCATGAGCGGGTGAAACTATTTTGTTTCTTATATAGATATATTTCTCTAACAAGTTTTATAGTGGACAAAGTGTATTTATTTTAAAACATCTTTTTAAAACTGTGCATGCATGGATCCTGCTTCTACTTCCTCACACATTAAGAATTGTATTTATATTGTTTCTAAAAATGGAATTCTCTTTTAATAAATATACGCGCATTCAAATATGCCTATAATGAGCTTATAAAAACTCATTAAAATGCATTAAGGAAAAAATTTATTCTCACTTTACATTCCATGAAAGTGAGCCATGCAGATTAATTAAAATTGCAATTGCAAATAAAATTGTAAATTGGATAAAGAAAAACGTTTTCTTTTTGAAACATTTTCCTTTAGCGAATTACTAGATAAGAAACCCTTACGGAAAAAAATGACACTCATGAGTGTCGTATTTTGAGTGTGGTTATTGCAATTTACTGTTTCTGTATTCATGGATACAGAATTTTTAATTTTTGTGTGTTATAAAATTCTGTTCTTCAAAGTGTAGTTAGTAAATTTTCTCTCTGTTGATTCTGTCAAAATGAACAATTAACTGCAACTAAATTTCGTACTACTCTAAATCTGAATTAGTAAAAATTTAACCATTTTAAATTATATTTAAATAAAAGTTTGCCTCAAGTTCTCTTTTCATAAATTTAGTGACATGTCCGATGCAATGAACATTTAAGTAAACAAGCCATTGGATGTAAAATATTATATATGATAAATGTCGGGTGCTACATTGTATTAGAAATGTGAAAGCACAAAATATATATACAACTGATCCAACAAACAATTTCAATAAAGAATTACAATATTTCGAAAAATCTACAAGTTTTGTACTTTCAAATGAACGAAATATTTTTTTAAAACATATTTTTATAAATTACCGATTAAAATTCAATTTAAATTAAAAATTAAATCAGGGTCGCCACAAATATTTAATTTTATTTTTTCATGATTTCCAGACAAAATTTTCACTTTTTCCCTGGCAGTGAAGAATATTCTGATTCACTCTAAAAATTATTAGATAATCAAAAAAAATGTTCTATTACATTTATTTATAAATTTCTTCAAAGGAAAATTATTCCAAAACATCAATAGCTTCTTTTTTAAATAAATATTTAATCATTATTATTTTTCTGTAGGAATTAAAATTCTTCAAAACATTCAAATTCAATCATTTTTGAAATTCAACAACTTATAAGAATATTATTACAAAACATGAAGAAGGCGATCACTTCGAGTTGAAGACTCGGAGTGATCGCCTTCTTCGTGTTTTATAATAATTTAAATTACCATAAAATTTTTCAAAAAACAGTTAATTATTTACAAAAATCCTAATAAAATTCAATAATTTTTACAAGTAGTAAAATTTCTAAAAAAATTCAATTATTTAAAAAAAATGTATATGAAATTCATTGCAATAATTCAATTATTTTCATTAATAATAAATCGATTATTCGATAATTCATTTTTAAATCAATTTTTATTAGAAAATTGGAGAAGAATTCAATTATTTAAATTAAAAAATAAATAATTTATTGATTAATTGAATGTTTGTTAAAATTGAATTCTCATAAAGAATTTTATCGACAAATTTTTAAATAATTGAATTCTTTTGACAAATTTTAATAAAATCCTTAAGAATAATTACATTTTTGGAGGAATCCGATTTAAATATTGTATAAAAAATAATTAAAATCCTGCGATGAGTTTTATTATTTATGAAAATAATTAAAATTTTCCTAAGAATTTTATTAAAATTTTTCTAAAATACATAATTGAATTTCGATGAAGAATTTTATTATTTATAAAGATATTTGAAATTTTTACAAGAATTTTTTTTTTAATTTTTGAACATAATTGAATTTTTGCGAAAAATTTTATTACTTTTGAAAATAATTTAATTCTTCCAACAAATGTTATTCAAATTTAGAAAAATAACTGAATTTCTGTTAAGAATTTTATTATTTATATAAATAATTTAATTCTTGTAACGAAATTTTATTCAAGTTTATAAAAATAATTGAATTTTGGTCAAGAATTTTATTATTTATAAAAATAGTTGAATACTTGAAAAAAACCTTGTTAAATTTTTTTAAATAATTGAATTCTTGCGAAGAATTTTATAAAAAATTTTTTAAATAATTGATAGTTTTCGAAAAATTTTATGAAATTTTGTATTTTAAATAATTGAATTCCTGTAAACATTTTATTACTTACAAAAATAATTGAATTCCTGTGAAAATTTTGCCAAGAATTTTATTAAAATTTTTTTAAACAATTGAATTTCGATGAAGAATTTTATTGTTTTTTAAGATAATTGAAATTTTGACGAGAATTTTAAAAAAAATTTTGAACATACTTGAATTTCTGCGAAGAATTTTTATAACTTTTGAAAATAATTGAATTTCTGGAATCATTTGTAACTTTTCCAAAATTCAATTTCTTTTAGTATTTTTAACTAAAATTCTTCTATCAATCTTGTATTTATGAAAATTGTAAAAATTAGTCATTCATTAAATAATTTATAAGTCATAATATTTTATGATAGTTTTTGAAAAATTAAGTTATTTAAAAAGAAATTATTGTCAGAAATAGAAAAAATTGAAGATTACGAAGCAAACAAAAAAAAACATCAAAATTCAGAGTTTTCTCATGAATTTTAAAAACTCAATTTTTCCAGTACTTTTAATAAAAATCCAAAACTTTTCCCTGAATTCCCTGACTTTCCTGATTTCTGGCAACCCTGTAAATTTCAAATTTAAGAATTTTATATTTTTTTGTGATGACGCAAAATTATGGTAATAAAAATTCAATTAGAAAGAAGAAATAAATAAATTTCGTGCACTTGAACATTCGAAACTTTACAATTACAATTTTACTCGTTTTCTAGAAAATTTTTCTAATCTTTCTTTTCTTAAATTTTTGTTGTTTTTAAAACTACTAGGAAAAGTATTTCCAATCTTCTTTTACGTAGTCACGAATAATCTGCATTTATCTTACTATCCAAAGGTACTTTGATGGCGCGATTTCTTATCCCATATAGATGATTTACTAGAATATTTGCGAGATATTATTTTATTTCTCAAAACATCACTTTAGTATAATTTTAGCTCTAAAAAATAATTGTAAGACAGAATGCTTATAGGTAAATAATGTCTTATTAAGTAATGAATCATTAATCAAATTTTAAGTAAAAATACTTTTTAAACAACATAAGTCTTAATTGAAAGAATTTTTTAGAATAAGAATAATAATTAAACAAAAATATCTTTAAAACTAAAATAGATTTGAACGATATTTTATAGAAAAAGATTACAATTTGTAAAAAAATTTGTTAAGCAAATATTTAAAGTCTCAAATTCTTTGTTTAATAGAATATTTATGTGCCAATCTTTCAATTTTCAAAAAATCTTATTTATTGGAATATATGTTTAAATAAACTATTATTAATACAATGTATTATTTAGAAAAAATGATATATGAAAAAATGTATAATTTAATTAACTCTTGTATGACAAAAATTTTTCTTAGGCAAATGGTAATTTTATAGAATGTTAATTAAAAAGAATATTAATTTACAAGAAATGAAAGTGAAACGAATTCTAATTTAATAGAATACTTAAATGTCTGAATTATAATTTGGCAGAATGTCAATTCGATCGATTTTATATTTGTAAGAAATTCAATTTGACATAATATCAATTTATAAGAAACACTTTTTCGTAGAATTTTAATTTATCAGAATTGTAATTTTGTAGAATATTAATATTGACAAATCTAATTTTAGTAGAAATCTGCTTTATCAGAATGATCAAATGTTCGAATCTTCAAAATTTCTAATTTCATTTTTACCTACAATCAATGTGACATAAATATTTGGCGCAAATTTAAAAATTCACCAATCAGAAATTAAATTTTTAAAATTTGCGCCAAATATTTATGTCACATTGATTTTGGGTAGAAATGAAATTAGAAATTTTGGGGATTCGAACATTTGATCATTCTGATAAAGCAGATTTCTACTAAAATTAGATTTGGCAATATTAATATTCTACAAAATTACAATTCTGATAAATTAAAATTCTACGAAAAAGTGTTTCTTATAAATTGATATTATGTCAAATTGAATTTCTTACAAATATAAAATCGATCGAATTGACATGCTGCCAAATTATAATTCAGACATTTAAGTATTCTATTAAATTAGAATTCGTTTCACTTTCATTTCTTGTAAATTAATATTCTTTTTAATTAACATTCTATAAAATTACCATTTGCCTAAGAAAAATTTTTGTCATACAAGAGTTAATTAAATTATACATTTTTTCATATATCATTTTTTCTAAATAATACATTGTATTAATAAAAGTTTATTTAAACATATATTCCAATAAATAAGATTTTTTGAAAATTGAAAGATTGGCACATAAATATTCTATTAAACAAAGAATTTGAGACTTTAAATATTTGCTTAACAAATTTTTTTACAAATTGTAATCTTTTTCTATAAAATATCGTTCAAATCTATTTTAGTTTTAAAGATATTTTTGTTTAATTATTATTCTTATTCTAAAAAATTCTTTCAATTAAGACTCATGTTGTTTAAAAAGTATTTTTACTTAAAATTTGATTAATGATTCATTACTTAATAAGACATTATTTACCTATAAGCATTCTGTCTTACAATTATTTTTTAGAGCTAAAATTATACTAAAGTGATGTTTTGAGAAATAAAATAATATCTCGCAAATATTCTAGTAAATCATCTATATGGGATAAGAAGTCGCGCCACTTTGATACAAATACAAAGTACAAACTTTGTAAAGTAAACTAAGTTATAATTTCAACATCTTTTAGAAAATTGCAATCAAATAGAAAATTTCTATTCGATTTAATATTTAGTATATATATTAAAAATGTCTTGAAGTGTTTCAAATTTTAGAAGAGTTGATAATAAAATTTTTAGTATACTAAATCCCCATTTATAGATAAGAACGTTTTGAGAGGATTTTACCAACAAACAAAAAAATACAGAAATCAGTATAGTTGTATAAAATTTAAAGAAAACTTGCCGATTCCCACTTTCTTTTGTCACACGAAGGCGAAGTGGAAATACCGTTTTACAAAAATTTCCATACTACCAGAAAAACGTGTTGGAAATATTGCCTTCGCTTCCAAAAAGAAAAAGGACCCATAAATCTGCATAAACCAAGGTGGACTGAGACGTTGGCCTGAAACCGGCGCGGCTGCCCTCCACGTGGTTTTACAAGTTGTGCAATTGGCCCAAAGAAGACATTCACGTGAATAGCACGAGGGCGCTTGAACGCATGCGTCTTGCAACTCCAGCTAAGAAAATATCAAATTGAAATCCGTCAGGAGAGTTGTGTCTTTAGATTCGATCAGTTTGACGGGGTCTCACTGAAGTTGACGAGGCTCCAATGCCTCATCACTTCAATCGACAATAATTTTAAATAATTTTTTTTTCAATAATTAACAGTTCTTGTTTTTAAGTTTTTAATAACTAAGTGCGGCTGTTACTCTAATTGTTAAATGTCCATATTTTATAATAAAAAAAATAGTTTTGCGGTGTAAGAAAAACCGGTGCAAATTTTACTCTGCTTTTTGCAATTAATTTTGACAAAAGTACAAAAAAGCAACTATAATACTTACTTGTAATTAGAACAGGAAGTATTTAAGACAAGAATACTAGAGGCTTGCTTCGGCATTTAACGGCAAAAAAAGTAAGTAAATCCATTTTAAAAGGAATATAATGTCGCCTTCGTGCATGGTTGCAAACCGGTTTAACCTCCTCTTCAATAAAATAGATTTCTGAAGCGTCTGCAAAAATGTTCCATTTCTTCATTTTTCGACACGAATCTGAAAAAGAATTTTATTTTAATAAAGTGTAATTTCCAGGGGAGAATTTTTGCAAAATTTACATTTTTTACAACAATATTGTCAATCGCTTATGTGCCATTTTTGATTACGTGAATTGAAATAAGAGAAATTGTAGAAAGTTGGTTTTTATCCTCCAGACATCGTAATTTATAATTAGAAATTTCAAACTTACGAAAAAAAAATTTATCTAATTGATCGAAAAGTTACGGATTTTTTTTTCAAATTCTGGTTACATCCGAAAAAATAAATAAACGTGAAAAATTTAACAGACGTTACACTGATAATTAGACAAATAGTATACATTGAATTAGTCAATACTGATAACAAAAAAAGTCAAATTTGATAAGAAACGAAATAATAACGAGAAAATAACAAAATAGAAAAATTAAAAATACAAAAAAGTAAAAACAATAAAAAAAATACAAATCCAAAACAATAAAAATACTAAGCAATACAAAAAATGTGGAACAAAAATAAAAAATAAAAATAAAAATACGAAACAAAAGTTAAAATAAAAATACAAAAGAATAAAAGTAGAAAAGTAGGAAAAATAAAAATATGAGAGAACAAAACTACAAAAGAATAAAATTTACAAAAAAGATAAAATTAAAAATTAACTCCCGATGACAAAAGACTATAATTTCCAATTTCTACTGTTTTTTCGTCTCTTTCTCAATGTTTATTTATGTTTATATTAAGAATACATTGACCCGTTTAAATTCTGTAATCAATTAGAATGTGTATCACGATTATATAATTAGTTCGAATTTTTTTTTCAAAGTATGTAATTTATTTCTACACTTTTTTTATGTCTGGGGCATTTCCATATACTTTTTTTTCATTATCTCAAGTTTCATTAAGTATAGCGAGTGAACGATATCAAAAACTCGAAGACGGATATAATATTAATTTCCAGATAATAAAGCATCATGGAAAAAAGTGTAGAAATTATTATTTTTCTGAAACAATATAATATAGTCTCAGGGTGGCCGCAAGATTGACTTTATCAATTTCCCTGACATTTTACTGACATAACAACGAATTTCCCTGACAAAAATTTTTTTGTTTAGAGCAAAAAATGTATTGCATGACCGTCTTAATTTCTTTAATTGCCCTGACAAAAAAATTTTTCCTGACATTTCCCTGACTTTACTGACAAAATATTTTTTTCCCTGACATTTCCCTGACTTTACTGACATGTGGCCACCCTGAGTATTGAAAAAGTTATAAAATTAAAAAAAATATAATTTTTTTATTAGAAAATGTAATTTATTGTAAATAATTTTTTACGAAATAAAAATAAAAATATCAGTAAAATACTTTTCATAATACACACAGGATTATCTCCTTTTCATGTTTAAAAATTAAAATATTCTCGCACAGAAATATTTGAAAATTGCTTCTATAGAATTTAAAATCCTCAGGATAGTTTGGAGCTCCTTTAGTTGCACTGAATATTTTTGAAAGAATCGTGAGATATTCTATTTTTAGACTACGTGCTCTTTATCAGAGATAATCTTCCCTATAAATAACATTAAGGTACACAATTTTACTGTTATTTCCTCTTTTCCGAAAATATTTACAGTTTATTATAATTTATCACCAAAAATTAGTTGATTGTCAAAAAAGTATTTTTAGTTAATTTAATTCAAACAAACTCGTTCTAATTGAAATTATTTAAATTTAATTAAATCAATTTTTTCTTATTTCTAATTTTATTTAAATTATTAACTTATTTTAATTTTACTCATCTCATTAATTTATAAAAATAATTAGTGACATATGCAAATTTAATTTTAAATAGCTACATTTCGGAAAATTTAATTATTAACTAATTAAATTTTTTTAAAATAATTTTAATTTTTATATTATATTTCTGTATAGTTATTTTAAAATAGACAATAATAAATAAATACAATATTGAATAATTATTCAATAGATAAATAAAAAATAAAAAATGTGATTCAATTGCAAAAATTTTATCTCCATATCTGCTCTCTGAGAATTTTTCTATTAATTTGACACGTGAATATTTTTCGAATCGTTTGCAATATTATTGTTTATTATACAATAATTTTAATCTCGATAAATTATTACATTTTCAATTTTGGAAAACAGATTTATTGATTTTTATGCAAATTAGGAGAAATTTATTAGCATTTGGTAATTGGTCACTCTCTAAATTTAAATTAAAGAAACATTTCACTAAGAATAATTTGGAAAATAAAATTTAATAATCAACCAAAAACAAATTTATTATTTGGCTAATTTGAAAAATAATCAATTTCAAAATAAAATTTTATTTAAAAAAAGATAATTATCCTAATTGTTAAAAGTAAATAAATTAAACAGAAATAGTAATTATAATTAAATTAATTAAATAGTAATATTAATTAAAAGTAAATTAATTAAATAGCAATAGTAGTTAAAATTATATTAATTTAATGGTAATATTATTTAAAATTAAATTAATTAAATAGTAATATTAATTAAATAGCAATAGTAGTTTAAATTAAATTAATTTAATGGTAATATTAACTAAATTTTAATTAATTAAGTAGCAAAATTAATTAAAATTGAATTAATTACATAGTAATTGAATAATTAATTTAATTAATTAATTAATTTAATTAATTAATTAATTAAATTAATTGAATTAATTAATTAGAAAAATGAATTAATTAAATAGTATAGCAATAAAAATAAAATTAATAAATAATAAACAATCAGTATGCAAAGGTTAATTATCATAATTTTCCATTTCGCTTCCTCATAGAGCAAGTATTTTTTTTTATTACCATTACACCATTAAAGGAAATTTAAACCACAAGACTATAATGAAAACACGGGGACATATTAAATACAATTAATTATAGAAAACAGCTTAGGAATTAAGAAGTGGAATTATATGCCAAGGATAAATATAAATAATATATAGTTTGATACAAATATATATATATATATATATATATATATATATATATATATATATATATATATATATATTGATTGCCTAATAGTTAAAATAAGATGAGAAATATTTGATAAAAACACGTGCAGATTCTTGCATATTCTTAATGATATATAGAAAAAAATTGGAGCAAAGACGCCACGTTGATGCCTTTCTCCTTCTATGTTAATTTTAGCTCGCACAGAGAAAAGACACTCAAAATATGTGTGGGCTTACTAGTCTAATTTCATTTAAAACCATTTCGTCGATTGAAAATCTACGAGACTAGTTAAATTTAAATGGCATGAGAATGAAACACAAATCTCTCGCTAAGTAGATAAAAACAACAATAAATTCTCGCGCGTTTGTCATGTTATTTTTAGCGCTCAACAATGCAGAAAAAAAGGCAATAATAAATACTTGAATTCTTTTTATAGAAGGTTAAAAAACTCTTACCTCTTTTTAATATAGAATACTAATCTTCAATTAAATTTTAATTAATTAATATTACAATTATTATGGAAAATTTTAACTGATTATTTAATTAATTAATTGCGCGATAAAAACACGTGTTATCTCTATTAGGACTCAATTGAAGGTTATGTTTGATTTGATTTCATAATCGAATTAATCGAATTATTATCGATGTTGAAAAACCACCTGATTGGTCAATTTGAAAATTTGACATTTTTCCGAAAAAGCACATTTCTAATTTAAATTACAGAAAACTGTTTTGATTTATAAAAGAATATTCTTTTGAAAGTGAAATTGCCACATGTGATAAATTAATTTTTCTTTTTATTTACTGTTTATTTTTTATATTTTTTACACACTTAGGGGAAATTGCAAAAAAAATGTAATTAACCAATCAGATGCTGCAAACAATCAATATGATAATCGATATACAGTTCGTAAACAAAACAACATAACCTGTAATTCTTTTTCGTTTGAGTTATTTATTTTCGTTTTTCTGTGATCTGATAAAAAACGTAAAAAACTAATAAATCTGACAGAAATAATTAAAAATATTGTCTTTAATGGATTCAGAAAGAAATTATACACAATGTTCTTGTTCCGAGGAGAAATTGTCAGAGAGAAAGAAAGAGAGGAATTTTCCTCAAATAATTTGTAAGATTATTGATGAATTTAATTATGAAGATTGATTGTGCGAATATTAATTATGAAGCTGATTAATTTTGGTAAGATTAAATTACTGTGTCAAATTAATAAAATTATTATTATTTCTTATAATTTTAATTATTATCGAAAAATGTTGACTATGTTTTGTTTTTGTTTTTGTTTTTTTTTTGATAAAGTAATAATAATGAAAAGTAAAAAAAAATCATTTGTAGATTATTGTAATTTGCAACATGTGACTCTAGCGGAAGTGTTGGAGTTATTAGCCTGATATCATTTTCACATTGATGAAAGACTAATAAGTTGAAGCTTTAATGTCAGTTGTGTTATAAAGGGAAACATTAGTTGATAGCTACTTGTATTCTTTTTTTTTATTTTTCATACATTTCGCTGCGATGTCGTTTATTAATATCCGTTATAATTAACATTCATTCGATATCTATATAAATAATAATACTATTCTATAATTGCCTTGAAAATAATATCTGTTATAAAATGCGAGTAAAAATTAAACTAAAATAAATGTTTCTTTTTTTCATGCACGTTTAAATGACATATATGCAGGTAATACTCAATTTTCTCGTTTCAAATGATGGATACACACCTTGTAAAAAGAAACAAAAAAAAGAGGAAAATAATTTATGATTTGCTGTCTATCAACTTTTACTGCCTCGTCGCCATTGAATTGTGCGGTACAATATGTCTTGTTTGCAAAATAAAAAAATTGTGACAGGAAGACGATTAGCATTTGTAACCAAAGATTTTCTTTACATTTTTTAAATTACCATCTTGACAGTTACTGTATATCACTTGTTGTGCCGGTCAGTGAATTATGCTCATTGTCAAAAATTTAAAATGACAATAATTCTCTATAGGAAATGGTACATTTAGTGCTTTTAATTATCAGTGGACTTTTTAATGAATATTTCAGAGGAATCTAGTAAAGCGTTCATAGAAACAACTTCAATTATTTTCAATACAATTATTAACAAATTCGATTGTATTCAATAAATTAAAGAAATTTTTCAAAAGAACTCAATTATTTTCTAAAAATTTTAATAAAATTCAAGAATTGAAAGAGGATTATTGTAAAAACTTGAAAGAAATTTTTCATATAAAATTCAATTACTTTGAAAACTTTTAATTAAAATTATTAAAGAAACTCCATTATTTTGAAAAAACTCAAAGAAATTCTTCAAAAGAATTTAATTAAGATTATGAAAAATTTTAATAAAATTCTTGACAAATTCACTTATTTTCATAAATAATAAAATTCTTCGAAGAAATTCAATTATTATCAAATTTTTTGATAAAATTCTTTGCAAGAATTCAATGATTTGCAAATTTTTTATAAATTTTTTCGCAATAATTCAATTAATTTCATAAATAATATAAAATTTTTACAGGAGATTCAATTATTTTCGTAAATAATAAAATTCTTTTTATGAATTCAATTATTTTCAAAAATAATAAAATTATCGCTGGAATTTAATTATTTGCAAACACAATTTTTATAAAAAATTTTTACAAAAAAATCAATTGTTTAAAATGATTTTTATAAAATTCTTCGCTAGAATTCAATTATTTAAAAAAAATTAATAAAAAGTTCATCGTAAGAATACAATTATTTTTGAAAATTTTAATAAAATTCGTTGCAAAGATTCAATTATTTTTTCAAATTTTTATAAAATTCTCGACAAAAATTTCAATTATTTTCAAAAATTTTCAAAAATTCAATGATTTTCAGTATATCTACTATTTTAATAAAATTTTCCAAAAAAATTCCATTATTTAAAAAAATATTAATAAATTTCTTCGTAAGAATTCAATTATTTTTGAAAATTTTAATAAAATTCGTTGCAAGAATTGAATTATTTTACAAAATTTTTATAAAATTCTTCGAATCAATTTAATTATTTCTCAAAATTTTGATAAAATTCTCGGCAAAAAATTCAATTATTTTCAAAAATTGTCCTCAATTCAATGATTTTCAATATCTACTATTTTTAATAAAATTTCCCAAAGAATTCAATTATTTAAAAAAAATTTTATTAAAATTCTGCACAAACATTTAATTATATTCATAAAATAATTAAAATTTTACAAGGAATTCAATTATTTACAAATTTTTATAAATTTCTTCCCAATAATATCATTATTTTCATAAATAATAAAACTCATCACAGAATTTCGATTATTTAAAATAATTCAATCTCGAAATATGTAGGTATAATTATTCTTAAAAAATTTATTCCATTTTGTCAAAAGAATGGAGTTATTTACAAATTTATTGATAAAATTCTTTATGAGAATTCAATTTAATGAAACATTCAATTATTCAATAAGTTATTAATTTTTGTATTTAAAGAATTGAATTCTAGTTGAATTTTCTAATAAAAATTGATTAAAAAATGAATTTCAGTTAAAATTTTAGATAATAATTGAATATTAAAAGTATTATAGCATGAATTTTTAGAAATAATTGAATTCTGAAATGGTTTCAAATTAAAATTTTAATTAACAATTCTGTGAAATTAATATTTTTCAAAAGGTTTAATTGAATTTTTTTATGTTATTATTTTCTAATATATATTTAATTGAAGAATTTTCGGATAATTGAAATTTCGTAAAATTGAATTGTAAACAAATGGATTTGAAAATTGTCAAAGAACTTTTTCAAAAATTATTAAAAATAATTCTTTAAAGGAGAATTTTAGTTAAAAATTCTAGAAAATAATAATTGAATTGAAATCTTCAAAAATAATTTTGAAGAAGTTGCAATAACAAAATTCTTATATAATATGAAATAATGATTTTATCAATTTGTCATCTTTAATTAATAAAAAAACATGAAGAAAGCGATTACTCCGAGTCGAAGACTTGGAGTGATCGATATCTTCATGTTTTATAGTTATGAAAAATTTAATGTTTTATTTCTTTTTTCCTAATTTGTATTCTTTTTTGTAATTTATATATTTTATTTTAAAAATATAATTGTAATTTAGATTTTTTTTTGTAATTTTTATTCTTTTTTGTAATTTTTATCTTATTTTCAAAATATTATTATCAGGGAAATTTTGACTGACAGTAAAATCTGTATACAAAAAGGAAGTAGAATTAGAAGTGATTTTGTAAAATGATTGAATAATTTACATTTGATATGTTAAATTAACGACTATTAGAGAATTTGAAGAATTGTAAACATCTATTATAGGAGAAAAAAAATAAATTCTTACTTGTATAGATAATTATATGAAGGAAGAAAATTTATCACTTACATTAAAATAATAACCGCATTGGATTGACTCCAATAGTTTAAAAGTTATTTAAGATTTTCGACCCATAATTGCTAAAGACCCCTCTTTTACCACTTTGCTCTCTAAATTTAGAATGAGGACGTTGAAAATAATTTATTGACGCGCATTTTATTATCAAGGTGTCCTTCCTTTTATTTCTCAATATATCCAACTATTTCTTCTATTGTCTATTGTTTACTGATTACAAAAAGAAATATATTTCGTGAATTTTTCGAATAAATTTTGTCTCATTGGACATTTTCAATTTTTATTTTCCTACTTTTTTCTATTTGATTTTTTTTTCTTTGCGTATATTTTCCCGTTTCGTATTTTTTCGGTTCGTCTTTTTTTTCGCGAATTTTTTTTCTTCGCGTATTTTTTCTATTTGTATTTTTTCTCGTTTTGTACTTTTTTCGGTTTCGTATTTTTTTCTTCGCGTATTTTTTCTCGTTTCGTATTTTTTTCCATCTATATTTTTTTCGTTTCTTATTTTTTTACTCGTATTTTTTTTCGTTTCGTATTTTTTCTATATTTTTTTCTTTTCGTACTTTTTTCTTCGCTGTGTATTATTTATTTGAATAAATACTCAAAATTGAAAGTTACTTCTTTGAATAGATACTGAAAATTGAAAAATTAAGTTAAAAAAAATTGTTGAAAGTATTTTATTTTAATGAAATGAATTTTTGTGAATTTCAGATCTAAATGTGCTCCGTAGCAACGATGCCAACGGAGCTGATTTTGGGACATAGTCCCCCTGTATACAGTCCACTGTTATACAGTTCCCTGATGGTTACGACGTCTAACAGATCCGTCCCACCTCGAATACGTCCATGTCTTTCTGTGGGATCACTCAACTTGGACGGTTTATTAAAAAACACCGACGATGTTATTAATAAACGAAAAAAGCGAGTGGTGTTTGCCGACGATCGCGGACGGCCTCTCACTGAGGTAATAACAATTTTTTTTCACACGAATTATTATTATTATTATTATTCAATCAAAATTATTTTCTATAATTTCTATTTTTTTTTTGCTATTTTTCAGGTAAATTTAAGTCAAATAAATTTTTAAAAAAATAAATCAAATAACTCAAATAAATAAAATTAAATAAATAGTTCTAAAAATATACACAAAAAAACGATAAGAATAATAAATGAATAAATAAAACAAATAATTAAATTAGAAAATAATAAGACTATGAGAGATGTAAAGCGAAATTTGCAGCACCAGAAAATAAAAATTCTATTCCATTCTCTAAAATATTCTATTATAATTCAAAAACGCAAAATAAGTTTAAAACTTAAAATGAAAATAATTAAACGAATTAGAAAATATTCAAATAGTTACACAGTCGACCATATAATCAAAACAATCAAATTTCGAAATGAAATTTCTTTCTCGTTATTAATTTATTAATTCATTGAATCGCAGATGTTTATCGTTTTGTAATTTCTTTCTTTAAATAATCTCTCTCCCTTCTCAAAAAAAAAAACTTTCCACTATATTGAGTGACACTCGACACAGATTTATTATTAAATCAATATATAAAAAAAAAGTAAAAGTGCATTTTTCGAAAATAAGGATTAAATATTTACTTAAAATACCAAAAAAGAAAAGAAATTTATTTTTGGGATTTAAGCTCTCCTCTCTCTCTCTCTCTCTCTCTCTCGGACAGTATAAGGTCGTTGAACATATAAATCTGAGCTTGATGAAATTAATATTCAGTCAGTCTGTGGGGATATTAGATTTGAATAAATTTAAATAAATTTGAATATTAAGAAAGTATTTCTTTTCTAATATCTTAAGCAAGAGAAGGTCAATTTAATGTTACTTGCGAGATAACACTCGAGATTTCGCACTTTTTTTTCTCTTTTAGCATTTGTGACCTTCGTTACTTCGAGAAAAAAAATTTTTTACATTCTCATTTTTTTCGGGAGTTTTCCCTTTTGACTTATTGCGAAAAAAAAAATCGAACGTACGCAAATTGGTTTAAAAATATTTACATTTCTAGTACGATAAGTTTTTTTTATCTAAGTGTTATTATTTTTTAATTGCTTCTATAATATTAGTAATAATAATATTAACAATTTGTATTTGAATTTTATTTATTATTTACTAATTAATAGGGTTAATTTTGTTAAATTAATTAAAAATGCTAAAAACTAAAATATATTAAAATTACTATTTTGAATTCAAATTAGAATTGAGAACTTTCAAATTGGAATTTATTAATTGTAATAATCAATTATAATAATTGTAATTAATTATATTCTGTGTTTTAAAGGGGAAATCAAAATAATTGTAGATAATTTTATGAATTTACCTTTTTTCATTTGGTTTTTGGCTTGGCACTTGGCATTTTCACACAGTGTAGTATGAAGTATTAAATATTAAGTTTCTAATACGAAATCTCGATTATAACTGAGCTCCGAACTACAATCAAAACACTGCGAAGCTCATTAATACATAATAAAAGAAAAATAGTACTATTATAGGATTAAAAAGTAAACACTTTGACAATCGAAATTCAATGAATTAATAATTAATTAGTGGAAATAGAATTTAGTCATTATTTTCATTTCTAAACTTTCTTGTGTTATTAATAATACAAAAATATCAATGATTTCAAATAAAATCATTCAATTATAATTGATTTCTATAAAATGTGTATAATAAATAATATCAGAAAAATGGAAAATGTAAATTAAAGGAAAATAAAAAGGAAATAATTACTAAAAAATAAAAAAGTAGAAAAAATAAATAAAATTAAAAAAAAATTAAACCGAATAAAAAACCGAAAATAATAATAAAAATAATAAAAAAATAAAAATAAAATAGAATAGAATAGAAAATAATAGAAATAGAATTAATAAAATCAAAATACCAAAAATTATTAAACTAAATAAAAAATAATACAAATTTGGAAGCAAATAAAATAAAATAAAATAATAAAAATTCATCATCAAATAAAAATAAAGAAACCAAAAAAAATTTGAAATAAAAGAAAAAAAATAATAAAATAGAATCGAAATAGAATAAATAAAAAAAGAATAAATAGAAGATAATAAAAATAGAATTGAATCAAAACTCTAAATAAAATAATAAAAATTCGGAAGTAAATAAAAAGCTAATAAATAAAGGAAACCAAACAAAATACCGAAAATAATTTAGTAAAAATAAAAGAAAAATAATAATAAAATAAAAAGCAGAAAATAACAGAAATAAAATTAATTAAATTAATAAACAAAATAAAATAATAAAAATAATAAAATAAAATTTTTAAAAAAATAATACAGAGCTCGGATCGTCTTTAAGACTCAAAAAAGTCACATTTCTCGACAACACATACTTTAATTTCGAAACAATCCAAAATACAATTTTAATAAAATTCTTTGCAAAATTTTAATTATTTTTAACATTTTTTTAAAAATTCTCTTTAAAATGTCAATTATTTTTATAAATAAATAAAATTCTTCTCGGAAATTCAATTATTGAAAAAAATGTTAATTAAATTCTTATCAAAATTGAAATTATCTTTATAAATAATGAAATTTTTTCGCAGAAATTCAATTATTTTCAAAAATTTTTTTTTAATTTTTCGTCAAAATTTTAATTATCTTCATAAATAATAAATTTCATCCTGGAAATTTAATTATTTTCAAAATTTCTTATAAAATTTTCTGCAAAATTCAATTATCTTCAAAAGTAATAAAATTCTTCGCAGAAATTCAATTATGTATTTTCAAAACATTTTTTTAAATTCTCGTCAAAATTTCAATTATTTTTATAAATATCAAAATTCTTCTGCAAAATTTAGTTACTTTTAAAAATTTTTTTTAAAAATCTGTTCAAAATTTCAATTATCTTTATAAATAATAAAATTCTTTTCTGAAATTCAGTTATTTGCTAAAATTTTAATAAAATTGTACGCAAACATTTAATTATTTTTATATAAATAATGAAAATTTCACAGGAATTCAATTAATAACTAATTTTTTATACATTTCTTCGCAATAATTAAATTATTTTCATAAAAAATAGTTAAAAAATTTTCCTATGGAAAAATAATTATAATTAAATATTTAATTAAAAAAGTAGTTATTGATGTTTTCGAAAAATTTGAAAGAAATTTGTAAATAAATGTAACAGAACATTTTTTTTTTATCTAAAATTTTTTCCTTTATTTTCTAAAAATGTTAAAAGTTTCAATTTCATTCTCAATTAAAATTTCTAATTGACAAATAGACTTTAAAAACATTTTTTTTCATTTATTTTTAAAAAACTTTAAATTTTATTAAAGCAATTGTAATTAAGAGATAGAAATGATGCAAATTATTTCCTTATAAAAATTGAGAATTTCCTAGAAAAATATTAAGAAGAAACGGGAATATGTTATGTTTTTTCCCCCAAAGAGAAGAATGATTTTGTGAATAATATTGTTTACAAAAAAAGATTTTTACTATTTAAAATTTAAGTCGAAAAGTAATTGAAAAATGTGGAAAAAAGTCGATTAGTCGCATTTTTTTTTATAAAAAAGTCGAAAAAAGTCACATTTCTTTAGAAAAGTCGAAAAAAGTCGAAAAAGTCACTCAGTCCGAGCTCTGATATTAGAAAAAGATTAATAGAATAGAATAAAAATTGAATAAAAAATTAAAATTACAATAAGTAGAAATAAATAAACAGAAAATAATAGAAATAAAATAAATTAAATAAAATAACAAAAATTGAAAATCAAAATACTAATTTTTAAAAATTTGAATTTTCAGGTACGAGTTATGAAGGAACCAAGTAACGTACCACCCCTTTGGACAAATACATTTGTCGAGAAAGTCCTTCAATGTAAATTGCAATTCAGCAAAAAAGTATTGTCAACGAATGATCAATATCCATGGGAATTGTGTTTTTCACAACCGGCAAGCGATTATTTAATGTATCGAAGGAAATTGGATCAAGATGCAGTCAGTCTTGAGAATGTAATTATCCGTGAGGCTGATCAGTGTCTCATGGGCACAGTGAAGGTCAAAAATCTCTCGTACGACAAGGAAGTGGTCATCAGAGTCAGTACCGATTCATGGACCACTCACGAAGACGTTCAATGCAATTACGTTGATCAGCCAGCACATCAGCAAATGTTAACCAATCTCTACGACACCTTTCGCTTCAGTCTGACCTTACCTGCCAAATCAAATGTCATTGAATTTTGTGTTCGCTATCGCGCAAATGGCTCTGAATTTTGGGACAATAATGCCACCAAAAATTACATTGTCAAGAAAAAACAGGTTTGTACATCTCTTTTTCTAAATTTAGAAATTCTTTTTTCACTCACGCAATAATCCAAAGACAAATTTTTAATATTTTTAATACTAATTCCAAAACTAAACTTTTTTTTCAAACAGTAAAGTCGTATTTCTTGAGAAAAAAAGAATCAATACAAATATTGGTTCCTTTTTATTTCTTTAGAGAAAATATATCAGAATTATGTCGTATCATGATAAAAGGTTAAAAGGTTTCAAAACTTTTACTCAGTATTTTATTTTTAATTTCATCGTGACAGAAAGTTGTAATCTTAATTTAAACGCACTAATCGGAATGAAGTGTAAAACAAAACCCAATTAATCTGGAAATATTTTACGTTCCAAAAAAGAAGATGTTAATTCTTTGTCTTTGAGAAAACTATTTTCATTAAAATCGAAACATATTGAACTATAATCGTCCAGTTTATTATACAGATAAGAATGAATGTGAAAATGAAAAAAAAAAGAATTTTCAATTACGACAATTATTCAGATATAATTGCATATTGATAAGAAATTAAATTGGCGCCACAAAATGATTAGAATGTTTTATTATATTTTTCTAGATTATTTAATTTACATATATACATCTTTTCCAATTGATAAGAAAATTCATTTCATGTTTATATTAACTATTACATGAATAATAATTGTCACTTTAAATAAATATTATATTTTTGCATCAATATATATGTGAATGAGAGAAAGTCGCGAATGAGAATCGTGACTGAAAAAAAAATTATTAATAATTCATAGAAGAGTTTAAAATAGCTTTTTTCAGAATAACGGGGAATTTATAATTTGCATATGTATATTTTTGTGCAAATATAAAACTATATTCTTTTTCTTATTTTTATTTTACGGAAAGAAAAATAAACATTAAAATTGCAAAGGTCAGTGTAAGACCTTTGCATTTTAATTCTCAAATGTTATAGTTTCAAATATGCAAAAGAATATGTCATAACTGATTACAAAATATGAAAAATAAAAATGTAAATAATTATTTCTCGTTACATAATTTAGGTATTTTTTTTTAAATTATTGAAACAAATTTCTTTTCTTCTCTTATTTTACTTGTAGTTTTTATACATTAATTGCTGAATAATTAATAATAAATATGAAGATTAATTTAATAATAAATTAATTCTACGCAAGATTTAAATTATTATTAATAATAATAAAATTCTTCTCAGGAATTTAATTATTTTCAATGCAATTTTAATAAAATTTCTCGAAAGAATTATCAATTATTTCTAAGAATACTAAAATTTTTCTCAGGAAATCAATTATTTTCAATTCAATTTTAATTGGATTCTTCGAAAGAATTGAACTATTTTTAAAGACTTGCACAAAATTCTGAGCAGAAATTCATTTATTTTCTTAAATAATAAAATTCTTCACAGGAATTCAATTATTTTCAATGTAATTTTAATAAAATTTTTCGAAAGAATTCACTTATTTCTAAGAATAATAAAATTCTTCTCAGGAATTTTAATTCAATTTTAATTGAATTCCTCGAAAGAATTTAACTTTTTTCAAAGACTTGCACAAAATTCTTAGCAGAAATTAAATTATTTTCATAAATAATAAAATTCTTCGCAGGAATTCAATTATTTTCAATGTAATTTTATTAAAATTTCTTGATGGAATTCAATTATTTTTAAAAATTTTAATAAAATTCTTCACAAAAATTCCATTATTTTTATAAATAATAAAATTCATCAGCGGAATTCAATTATTTTCAATTCAATTTCAATAAATTTTTAAAAAAAAATTAATTATTATTAAAAATGTTACTTAAGAAAATTCTTTCAGACAATTCGCAATTATTTTCAAAAATTCAATTATTTTTATAAATAATAAATTTCTTTTCATGAATTCAATTAGTTTCAAAAATCGTAATAAAATTCTGGGAAGAATTTAATTATTTCCAAAAAATTTTAATAAAATTTCTCGAAAGAATTTAAATTTTCTTTGAAAAAATTCAATTATGTTCAAAAATTTTAATCAAATTTTCAATTATGTACAATTTATAACAAACACGATTATTTGAAAAACTTAAAAATAATTCTTCGTAAAATGCAATTACTTTTGGAATTTTCAAAGAAAATTATTAAGAAACTATATTATTTTTAAAAAATTCAAAGATATTCTTTAAAATAATTCAATTATTTTCAGGAATAATACAATTCATTGGAAAAAAACCAATTAGTTTCAATCAAATTTTATAATAAAATTTCTGGATGCAATTTAATTATTTTGAATAAAATTTTAACAAAATTCCTCGAAAGAATTTAAATTTTCTTAGAAAAAATTCAATTTATTTAAATTTAATTCAATTTATTTAAAAAACTATATTATTCTCAAAAAATTGAAAGAATTTTTTTTAAATAATTCAATTATTTTCAAATTGAAAAAAATAAATTGAATTCAAAATAATTCAATTAATTTCGAATACCGGAATTTATTCGTTATTAAATTTATTATTCTACTTAAGTAAAATATTTAATAGGTAAACAACATTTTTTTGAATCAATTAAAAACTGTTATACAAAGATTTTTATCCGGGATTACAGATTAAGTCAAGGCTAAAATGGCCTTAAAAGTATTTTACATGAGAGAGCACAAGGGACAGGGATTACAGAAGAAAACAGAAAAATCAGTTCCACCAATTTATCCAAAAGTGATTATTAATTTTTGCCTCCAATCAATTTTACATATTTTATCATTACATAAATTACACTCTCAAAAAAACTGCTTTCTCATTAAAAAAAAGAAAAACAAATTTATCTTCTCAAGAACGACATTTTTTTTAAATATATTTTCTCCATTTTTTTTTCAAATTCAAATTCATATGGGCTAAAGCAAAATGATAATTTAATAATTTTCATAATTCAATGGTTTAATATAGAAAGATTATTAATCATAATAATATTAATAAATGGTATTCATTTATTATTATAAAATATTAATTTATTATTTTTATTCAGCATTAAATAAATATAATAAATTTAACAAATTTATATTTCATTATTTAGGGAAAATAATAAAAAATTATTGTTTTGTTCAAAGGATCAACAAAAAACTGACGTTTCGGTAGAAGTTGAATTAATAATTTTTTATTTTCTCTAAATTATTACTACGATCAAAGAAATCACTTATGGATTTTTTCCACTAATTTCTATTTTATTATTATTGATGGTATTAATAAAAACTTTCATCTTTTTGTAATAAATTAGCATTTTCGTCAATTATTATAATTAGTCAATTAAAGCAATATGGTCTGAAATTATTTTTTATCACATGGTAAAAAATTAACAGTCCTCTCATTAATAATAAATTATAATAATAATAAAAATAACGGATTTTTCACAACCAATAACAAAAATTCGAATGTATCACTATGGGTAATCGGGATAGAATAAAATTTTCTTTTCAAAATTTTAATTAATTTTACTTCCTTTAATTTTTCAGGTTGTGCTACAAAATCGTGATGAATTGAATAAAAGCGATGAAACGCTGATGAAGGCAATACACAATCATACAAATGTGATCGAGGATGCATTGAGGGTGAATATTCCCACGTGGAGTGAATTTGCATCGTGGCAACATCTCTCAAATGATGCACCATATTGGTGACATTATTTTCCAATAATTAAAAAGTGCACACTATTATTCAAGATCTTTGACGTTTATCTACCATCAGCGTGCAATTTTTTTTTTTTTTAATTTGGAGATTGAAAATCAACTACAATGCCGAAATTCTAATTTACGACCATAAAGAAAAAAGACTCAAGAAAATAGGATTCGATTCAAGAAAATAGAAACAAACGAAAATATATACAAACTGAGAGAAATTTGGAAATTTTTTTATATAAACGGAAATTTCGATTTTCCAATTTGAATAAAAAAGAAATTTGAATACCTGTGATAGGGAAAAATGATGTAGATCGGCAATTAAGGAAATAAACGGGGAAGAGATGAAATTCTTTATGATACGAATGAGGAGAAAATTCTTGAGAAAGTATCAGAAGGAGTTCTATTGGATTAATGTGATACTTCGAAAATTGAGACTTCCAATAAATTTTGTGAGTATTTGAAATTTATTTTTAAATCATACTATATTTGTACAAGAGAAATTTTATGATCCTGAAGGTCTCTACGTTCAAATGAAGGAAAATTATTTGTTTTTTTTCAAATTAAATTTGTATTGACAAATTTTGAGTCATTATCAACAAAATTAATTATATGACTTGATAAATGTTAAATTTTAGTTTTTAATTTTACAATTAATTATTGCAATCGGTAATTTATGAAAATTATTATTAACTATTATTAATTATTATCATTGACTATAATTTTTTGATCACCAAATTTTTAGTTTCTTTTGGAAAAAAAATTTGTGTATAATTAATTAACAAATTCTCTTTTTTAATCACAATTTTTAACGAAATTATAATTTCTTTTTTCAGAAATTAATGAAAAAAATTTCCATAATTTCTATTTCAGAATTAAAATTTTTATACCAAAATTTGTTTTTCTCTCTTTTTTGAAAAAGAAGAAAATAGAAATAAATTTGGACCATTTATTTAAAATCACGATTTTTTAACAAATCTTCCAGTTTTTTAATAATAAATAAAAAAAATTGAATAATTTCTATTTTTCGCTACGATTTTTTAGTAGAATCTCGATATTTTTTAGAAATAAAGAGAAAATTTTTTTTGTATAAATTAAATCACAATTTTTAATTAAAAATAAAATAGAAGTTTCAAAAGATTTTTAAAAAAAATGAAGGAAGAAAATTTTCATAATTTTGATTTGTCAAACATTTGATTATAAATAATTTTCAGTTTCTTTTAGAAAAAAATTTGTGTAGTTTCTGTTTTTTAATCACAATATTTAACGAAATTTTAATTTTTTTTTTAGGAATTAATGAAAAAAAATTCCAGAATTTCTATTTGATAATTTCTTTCTCTTTTTTCGAAAAAGAGGGAAAAATAAATAAATTTGTTTCTTCATCACAATTTTTAAACAAGACTTCAATATTTTTAGTCGTAAATAGAAAATATTTGCAAATTATCATTTTTTATCACTATTTTTTTTAGCAAAATCGCAAGTACATTTTTTTAAAAAGAGTTAAAAAATTTGTGTTATTTCTATTTTTTAATTGAAAATAAAGTTATGAATTTTAAGTTTTATAACTAATGGTAAAAAATTCTCATAATTTTGATTTGTCAATCATATATTCTTTGGTTACAAAATTTTCATTATTTTTTCCCTTAATTTCTATTTCCATTTTGATGATTTAAAAATTCAACAAACTTTTTTCTTAATTTTTAAAAAATGCAAATTTCTTTACTTTTCTTTAAAAAAATATAATCTTGAAATAATGTAAAAATAATATTTGACAAATAAAGATTATGCAAATTTTTTCATATTTTTTTATAAAAAAAAAGTTTTGTTAAAAAAGTTTGTCTCGTAAATGAAAATTTTTAAGTATATTATTAAAAAAAAGGAACAACAAAATTTGCATAATTTCTTGTTTTTTAATAACAATTTTTAAGAAAATTCTGATTTTTTTGAAATAGATAAACAAAATTTGTCTTTATTTTTTTTCAATTTAATAACGAAAATGAATGAGAAAAAATAGTATTATAGTTATACTGCTAGTATTTTTAGTAAAAAATGTTTCGTTTATTTGAACGTTAAAAATTTGTGGATCATATAAAATTTAGAGAATATTTTACTTTCCAGTAGTTAGAGAAGAATTTATAAAACCGAAAAAAATTGAAATTTTTTTTTCTTTATTCACAAAGTTTTTCTAAGGATATCAAATTGAGACAAAAAACGAATTAAAAGTGTTCCTTAGAAAAACTATTTACAAACTTTATATTTTCTTTTTTTTAATTTCTATCTAATAATTAAATTTTCTTCAAAAATGCAAATATTGAAATATTAGATTTTTTTCCAGAAAAATAAGAAATTTAAAGTAGTTTTTCATCTTCAATTGATAAATTGCAGAACAATTAAAAAAAAAAATTCGAAATTCTTTTCCTCAAACTTTTTAATTTGTTTTTTTTTCTAATTTCTCTATCTAATAATTAACTTATTTTGTTAAAAATGCAAGTGTATATGGAAGAGTTCAGTTTTTTTCCTATGTCAATCAATTGACACTTGTTTTGAATTATTTGTCAATATATTCTTATCAAGAAATTGATTTCTTTTTATTCTCATCGACTAATTCTCTCACGAGAATGCTCATTGATTATCTTCCGCATTAATCATCTATATAAATGCGTATAAACGACCTTCCTTGAAACAAATAATCGAATTTTATAATTATTTATTTACAGTTTGGAGAACTGAAACTAAAAGTGATCGCATTCAATCCAATAGTGAAAATTTCTTCCCAATGGATCATCATCATTTTTTTTACTAGATTTAAAATCGTTATTCGTAAAAATATATTACAAATTTTAAAATGAATTTTTTCAGTTTGAAAACTTTTTTGAATGTTAAATTTTAATAAATTTTATCACTGTTAAAAAATGAAAGTGCCTTTAAAAGAAAAATGAACAAATGAATGTTCTTTTGATTCAATAGTAAAAAAATGTGAAAAGTTTATAAAGGAAAAAAAATCTCCAAGTATGTGAAAGATGTGAGAAAAGACAAATTATTTGAGTGTATGCGTGAGAAAGATAGACGAAATTGTAAGACTGGTGAATTTGTGTACATATTTTTTATAAAAATATAGTTGTCAGGGAGGGAAGGTGAATTCAGAGCGGAACTTCTGGTAACACTTTAACAACAGAGTTTTAAGACTGATAATTTAATTATTTTAATTATTTCATTTTCTGAAATCTCGCCATAAAAGAAATGATGCTCGTCAAAGAATATTATTATTATTATTATTATTATTATTATTATTATTATTATTATTATTATTATTATTATTATTATTATTATTATATCACTTTTAAAATATTTATTAATTTTTTTTGGGGAGAAAAAGTACCTGCGTTTTCTTCTTCCTTCCTTTTTTCTCTACTACTGTTAAAATTTATAGTTAAGAAAGAAAAATGTTTTATAATCAACGAACTATCATATCTCCATTATTTTACTATTTTATTGTAAATATTTTCTTTTATAGATATAGTTCAATTTCTATTGTACATAATTATTATTAAACACTCGGTATTTTTAGAGACTTTTAGAAGAATATTATTTTTAAGAATTTGTGTATATTTTCACTTATTGAGTTCTATAATGAACTTGTTCTGAAGAAAATATCTGATAATTGTAAATTATTTCTATGAAAAAATTTATGCACGTATACAATTTACTATTAGTTATAAGTTTTATATTGTACAAAGTTTTTGCGAATGTGCTCGTTAAATAGATGTTATTATTTTAAATATTGTAATACTTTTAATAAAATGGGACAATGAGGCAGATTTTACAAATCTGCTTTAAAATCTTAATGTTAAATTTCTGGTTTTTTATTTGGAATCTATAATTTAATATAGAATTATATATTTTTCTTCATTTCTCTTCGTTTTTATTTTCCTATTTTTTATTATTTTTAATTTCAGTTGATTTCGATTATTGAAAATTACTTTATATTCATACTCTTAATAATATTATTAAGATTTATTAAAAAACTTAACTTTATAAATTAATTAAAAGAAAACTATTTTTTAATTCTTCAAATTTTCGTTATATTAAATTATTTCGATTATTTTCAATTTTAATCGAAATAGAATTAAAATGAATAAATATTTTCAAAATTATTTGTAAATAGAACATACCTTTTAAACATTTTCACGGTCAAATGATATTTTCGACGTAATTGAGATAAGAACTAATTCTTGTATAAACAGCTGGGGAATTTTTGAAGGCACGGAATTTTTCAAAACTCGTAATTCCATCGGTGATTGGACTTTTAGGATTCTGCTAACGACCAGAACCATCATCCTAGAATTATAAAAAAAATAATATTTACAGAATTTTTTGTTTATTTATATAGAAAATTTTAATCAAATTTGTTCGCAAGAATTCAATTATATTTTAATAAATAATAAAATTTGCTCGCAAGAATTTAATTATTAACAATGCAATTAAAAAATTCAAAACAAATGCTTCGTAAAATTCAATTACCTTCGAAATTTTTAATTAAAATTATTAAAAAACTAAATTAGTTTCAAAAAATTCAAAGATATTCTTTAGAATAATTCAATTATTTTCAAGAATAATAAAATTCTTCGTAGGTATTTAATTACAATGAATAATATTTCAATAAAATTTCTAATTCCCAGTCATTTTTCCGAAAATTGTAGGAAAAATTCAATTATTTTCAAAAAATTTTAATAACATTTTTTCGCAAGAATTCAATTTCTCTCAGAAATAACAAAATTATTCTGAAGAATTCAATTATTTGTACGAATAGTAAATTTTTAAAATTATTTATTAAAATTCTTCGAAACAATTCAATTATTTTTATAAATTGAAAAATCCTTCTCAAGAATTAAATTATTTTTATAAATAATAGAATTTTGGGAAGAAATCAATTTTTCGAAAAAATTTTAATCACGTTTAATAATAAAATTTTTACTTATACATAATTATTAATAGACACAATTGTTTTAAGAAGCAGAAAAAAATTCTAATTCAAATATTTTTGATATTTTCATTTTAAATTATTATAAAAACTACATTAATTTAAAAAAATTTAAAGATATCCTTAAAACGAATTTAATCAACGAAATTGAAATTTTCTACATATTAATAATTTTAATAAAATTTAATAGTAAAATTATTAATTACAATTATTAATAATATCGATTTTACATTCAAGAACTTAAAGAAATTTTTTGAAACAATTCAATTATTGTCAACACCTTTAATAATTATTTTTAAAAATTGTAATAAAATTCTGAGAAGAATTTAATTATTTTCTAAAAATTTTAATAAAATTTTGTAAACAAATGTTTAATTTCAATTATTAACAAAAACGATTATTTTAAAAACTTGAAAGAAATTCTTCAAAAAATTCTATTACTTTCAAAATCTTCTATATCTTCAATTAAAATTATTAAAGAAACTCCATTATTTAAAAGAATTCAAAGATTTAGGATTTTCAAAAGTTTTAATAAAATTCTGCGAAGGAATTAAATTATTTTCAAAATTTTTGATAAAATTTATTGCAAGAATTCAATGATTTTCAATACATTAATGTTAAAATTGAAAACATTTAAAAAGAAAAATTATTAAATAAATTAGGAACAAAAAAGCAAACCACAACAATATGTGTAAATTTATAAAAATAATTTGTACAATTTTGGTTTGTAAATTACTAGACAAAATTCAGTAATGTTTAATTAATTGTAATTCAATAGTAAATTTGAGAAAAAAAATCATAAATTCTGTATAACGAAAGTGAACAAAATTCAACAATTAAAAAAAAAATAAATAAAATAATAAATATATTGTAAAAAATATATTATACTTTTTCAAGTAGTATAATATTTTTTTTCTCATTTTTTTCTGAGTTTACCGTATGTGGTTTTGCCAAAGCCAGTGGCAATTGTGAATTTTCCAGGGGGTACCGGTTCTATTCCCAAGGAAGCAGGTCCATAACGTCCCCCTTCAAGTCCAAAGGTTTATCAAGTTTCAGTAATGCAATATCATCGTATCACGCCGTGGCAGTTTATAATTAGGATGTTTTATTTTAATCACATATCTCTCTTGCATCTCACTTTCTGGATTTTTTTAAATATTTGTCGCAACGCCAATTAATATCCTTCAAGCTGGACCTTTTCATTTTCTACAAAAATAATCAAATATTTATTACAAAATTCTAAAATACTAACTAAATACTTAATACTTAATACTTATACTTAAATAAATTCTTACTATACTAAAATATAATATAAATATTTATTTAAATTTACTAAAAACTACTATAATGTTCAACTATAAAAATTAAAATTAAAAACTATAAATATAATTTTTATTTATAAACTTATTTCAAATTATTCACTATAAAAACATTGAAGTTCACAACTATAATCAATGTTGATATGGAAAAATTTATTTTCTTGAAATCTTTGTCTAAAAAAAGCTTAACATTTTTTACAAATATTTCTTGATAAAAAAATTTTAATTTGAAAAAAATACTTTTTAAACCAAGAATAATTTTTTTTGTTAACGAATTTTATAAAATTCGTTAACAAAAAAAAATTATTCTTGGTTTAAAAAGTATTTTTCTCTCCCAATTATTGATCATTTGTGTGAAATTCACCAACTTTATGAAAATTACTCCAAATACTAATATTTTTAATATTTTTCATTAATCTGCTTTCATATATTTCGCCTGAAGTACAAAAATAGAAACTAAATTTATCAACAATAAATTAGAATAAATTTCAAATTATAAAATTGAAATAAATTATTTTTTCCTAAAAACTAGAAAGAAAATAAAAGCGCAAGCTAGAATATTAAATATTACAAATATAGCAATATAGATTTGTGTGAGCGTGTGCGAAATTCAAATGTTTTTAGAGGAAAGTTATGTGTTTATTAAATGATTTGTTAAAATAATTAATGAAACATTATTTTAATGATATAATACTGTCATTAGATGGAGATAATGAAATTATCGTGTAATTTTTTTCTACGAAAATAACACTACTTTGCTTTGTTAAATTAAAAAAATTACATATATAGAATCGAGTATAGACGCAATATGTAATAAAGATTTTTACGTGACATTGCTGGGAGATTACTGTGTCACAGGTTCATTTTATATGTATAAATGCATTTATATTTGTAATTTACAATACAATAATAAACACATATGCACAAAGTGTAGTAGATAAAATAATAATTAAAAAGAAAATAAACTCTAATGAGTTCTATATTATTGTTGAATGTAATTTTCCACTTTTTTTCTTAAAAAAAAGCAAATTTCCAAAACAAGTTTTACAAAACACTGCGAGTGAAAATAAATTTGTTATTTACAGTAATTTTTTTCGAATTAAAGTCTTCACCTTGAACTTGAAAAAATACGGATTTATTTTTCGTAAATTAATTTTTTAATTTTTGATTTATACTAAAAAAATTGGTGATTAAATAATTAAAAAATATTTATCTTTAAATAAATTGATAATTTCCTTTTTTATAAGTTTTTATTTTTACTCAAACTTTTGTTTATTTTAATAAATTTGTTACGAATCTTAAATTATTTATTTATTATTAATTTATTATTTATTCATTAATTATTTAAATCGTAAATAAACTATACAGTTTTTTTTTATTAATCAAAATATGAATTAAAAAATTTGTTGAAATCTCTAATTGTGTAGATAATTGCAATTGTTAATTAAAATTAATTATCATGATAATTAGTTCTAATAATTTATTCGCAAAACGAAATAACTAAAAATTTAGAATATTTTCAGATTGATTGATTATTAATTAATTAATTAATCATTAAAAAATAAGCATTAAGTACGAAAAAAATGTTTTGCAGATAATTATTTGTTCCCTAGGTATATAAACATATCCAGTGACAGTTTTGAATCGACTGAAGAATTTTCAAAGGCTTTTTAAAAAATAAAATTGTTAATTTTAAATTTACAAAATTTACAAAGAAAATAAATATTAAGAACAAAAGTTAAAATAGTACTAAACCTGTAACTTTCGATTGTTAAACTTTTTAACTTTCGCTGTACGCTATTGTACAATTGCTTTCAAAATTGTTAAATTGTAATAAAAAGTAAAGAAAATACTCTTGTATTAATTAATTTACTTTTCTAATGGTGCATATGTTTAATAATTTTTACGAGGCCGCACTTAATTTTTTTTTCACATCACATCACACAAGTCACAGATTATTTTTGAGGTTATAAACATTGTTTTGACGTTTTTGCCGTTTTTGACGTAAAATTAGTGCAGATTTACAAGACGCATTCTGATTGGTTACTGGTGGTCATTGAATGGAAACGTTCTAGATTCTAATTGGATATATTCAAATTTTGATTATAAATATTTGTCCAATATAATGGAAAACATTATAGAAGCGTATTCAACGGTATAAATACAAAATAAATCTATTTTCTGAGTCTTAATTTATTAGAATCATTAATAATTCTTTAATTAAAATTAATCAAGTAAATAGTAACTTAAAAATAAAGGAGAATTCTTTTCACAAATCAGGTTTGTTTGTTATAAATAATTAATAAATACTCGCAAAATTGTTTTCCACCAATAAGAAGTTGATTTATGTAAAATAATAATAATAGCAAAATAATAAATAGCAAAAATAATAAATAACAAAATATATCCTAGAAAATAAAAATATATTTTTCTTTACAAAAGGAAAACATTCCAAACAGTTATTTCAATAATTAACGTTTTATAAATTTGAAATTTTGAATAAATAGCGCGAAACTCAAATACGATTGGATACAATCATTTCCCGCTCCTGTATTGAAAAATTATTCTTATAAAACATTTTAGAATTATAATAAAAAAAGTTATATATTTCTATATATTTAAAAACAAAGTTTAATTTTTTTTTTCAAATAATAAATTCGATAAAAGAATCGATTACAATCGATGAGGGAGAAAACAATCGAGACCTAGAATCGATTGATCTCACACCGTTTTGCACACAACCAGGGATGGGTAAAAGTGTTTTTTTCGGAGTTTTCTACGTATAATACATAAATGACGTATAATACGTAGAAAATTGTAGAAAACCTGGTATTATACATGTCCAGTTCTGCGCATGCGTACAAACCTCACAATAATAATAAAAATCATATGTTTGATTATTTTTTATTTGTTTCCTGGTTTTCATTACTAAATTGTTGCTAAAAATACCAAGAAAAAACCAAAAAAGGTTACATATAAGGTAAGTTTACAAAAAAATGCGTATAATATATATTTATTGATTTTTCATATGGTTTTTTACACACATTTTTTCATAACTTGTATTATATATTTATATAGAACAATTTTAAAAAGACACGTTAATTTATTATTTATTTGAAAATAAACGGGTTTCAAATAAACTTTTTCATACAAAAGTACTAAATTATTATTATAGCTGTATTTTGCAATGTTTTGTTGCAAATAGGACACAGGCAGGGCAACATTTTTCCCTTTATTATTTTTGGGAATAAAACACAATTCCTCCCAGGAATTGTGTTTCGGCCTTCCACCTCTTTTGTTAATTTTTTTTTATTTTAAAAAAAGCAATATTGTACAACAATCACTGACACATGGCCTGGCACATGGAGATGTATAACCTATAAATGGGTCTGGCGGCAGCAGACAACCTGACCTGACCACGAACAGTTAGAACTTTGTTTGTGTGCTATTTCTTTAAAACATAAATTTTAAAAAAACTTTTCAATGTTAATTAATAAATTTTTAAATTGAAATTATGTTTAAAATTTATTTAATATACTATTAAAATCACATGTTTCTTGTCTAAAATTTAAAAATCCCGCGCGTCACGCAATGTATGTAAAATACATGACATACGTAGAAAACTAAAGATGTATAATACCACGTATTATACGTGTAGAAAACCAGGTATAATACATCATGTATAATACGTACCCATCCCTGCACACAACACACGGGGCACGTGTGTAATTTCGAAGATAAAAACAATCTCCAATTTTTTTTAATTTTTCATTAAATAAATTGTGATAAATATCTTGAAAGTGGCAAAAAAATAGTAATTTAAAAAATGGCCACTAACATTGATTATGAAAGATTGAGCAAAGAGTTTGTTCAACATTATTACAATCAATTTGATGATCCAGCTCAAAGACGGAATTTAACGAACATGTATGATGTAAGTGAATTTTTAATAATTAAATATTAAATTAAAAAGAAGAACTATAACTAAAACATTATATCATTTACAGCCAACTAACTCTCTCATGACATTCGAAGGTGCACAGATTCAGGGTTCGGCGAAAATAATGGAAAAACTGAATGTAAGTGAGGTTATTTGAATGTTGTTGGAGGAAAATTTGTTTGTCACATTTTGCTTTTGCGAATATTTAAAATTTGTCAAGTTATCATATTAATTTGCGAAAAATTATTTTACGGGAAAAAAAATGCACTAAATTTATAAAATAACAAATGAGTATTCTTATGAAGTTGATTATCTTTAAAAAATGATCGTTTTTTTCTTTCCGTAAAATAATTTTTCGGATTTTTCGTAATTTGACAATCTGGCTTTATCAATTAGCATGAAATTAATGTGTGATTGTCAAGGTTGTTTGGAATTTTGTTCTTACATAAAGACATATTTTTTCGTTAATTTCTTATTTTTTATTTGTTCATTTGTTTATTACTATTTATTTATTTTATTTATTTCGTATATTCTATCTTCTTCTATATCTTTATATTCCCGTAATCAGTTTAAATTTCGTTTGCTTTTTGTTTTCTAATTTTTTTGGTAATTTTTCTATTTAATGTTTTGAATTTTAAAATTAATGAAATTCTAACTTAATGCTTTGAAGATTAAAAATTACAAAAATTAATTAAACAAAACTGTTTTTAATTAAAAATATTCCTTTTGTATATTTTATATTAAATCTTGGTAAGAATTTCATTGAAATTCTATTAAAAATGGAAATTTTTATAAAGAATTTTACCAAAATTTTTCAAAATAATTGATATTTTGACAAGAATTTTATTATTTTTAAAAAAATTAATTTTTTTTTAAAGTATTTGATTAAATTTTTTTCTTATAAAGAGTTTTATGGAAATTTTTGAAAATAATCAAATTTTTGAAAAGAATTTCATTACAATTCTTTAAAATAATAAAATTCCTGTAAAGAATTTGATTAATTATTCTCATAAAGAATTGAATCAAAATTTTTGAAAATAATTGAATTTTTGTGAAGAATTTTATCAAATTTTTATAAATAATTTAATTCTTTTGAGAAATTTTAGTGAAATTATGTTGAAAATAACTAAATTCCTGCGTAAAATTTTATAAATTATAAAAATAATTAAAATCTTGATAAGAATTTTTTAAAATTATCGAAAAGAATTAAATTTTTTCAAGGAATTTAATTTAAATTGTATTGAAAATATTGCAATTTTCATAAAGAATTGAATCAAAATTTTTCAATAATTGCATTTTTGCGAAGAATTTTGTCAACTTTTAAAATGTTAAGTGAAAAAATTAAGAAATTTGATTGAAAATAATTGAATTCCTGCGAATAATTTAATTAAAGTTTTTGTTAACAGTAAATAATTAAACATAATGAACTAGTAAATTAGTTAATAATTGAATATTTTTAAATTTTGAATCTGAAATAATTCCAAAATTGTAATTAATTTTTTCTAGAGTTTGTCATTTAACACCATCAATCGAATTGTAACTACTGTTGATTCTCAACCAATGCCAGATGGGGGAATTTTGATCAACGTTGTTGGAAGATTAAAGGTATATTTTATATTCTCTAAATTATCTTTTATTTTTATTTGCCAAAATTAATATAAATTAAAAAAAATTAACAAAATTTATTAAAAATTAGAAAATTTAAATTATAGAATACTCTAATTAATTTTAATCTAATTTAAATCTATACTCTATTAATTTAAATTTAAAAAAATTCTTTCATTATAATTAAATGAAATGTAACTATTCCAGGCCGATGACGATCCACCGCATTCTTTCTCTCAAGTCTTTGTCCTAAAATCAAATGGAAATAACTTTTTCTGTCAACATGACATCTTCCGTCTTGACATTCACGATTCAGCTTAATGAAAAATGAAGCACTTTCATTCATTGATGCCGAAACGGAATATTCATATCGAATTAATTTTAAAAAACAAATAAGTGAGCTTCTCAGGTCAATTTTTTTTATTGCACACAGTATTCACGAAAGATTCCATAATTTTTTTTTTTTAATGCAATCACACATCATGAACATTGTTTTTTTATAAACAATTTTAAATATAAATAATTTACTGCTTGATTATTCACAATAATAGATTAAAAACAAGTTATATACAAAATGCGAATATTAATATAGAATCCACTTGAATTGTCATAAGAAACTATTTTTTTAATTAAACCACATTTTTCTAACCATTAAAAATCACTCTCATAATTTATTTCAAATATCCCTTTGTAATTTTCATTCATTACGAATCCTAAAATTTTTATTTTTTACCTCAATCAAAATATGGTGAAATTTGTTTTTTCTTTTCGAAGTCGATAAAAATAATTTTTTCTCTTTGACTTTAACTTATTAGTCGAAAACGATTAATTAGTGAATTTTTTTGTTTGTTTAAATAAAAATTTCCACTTTATGCAAAAAGGAGGAAAAAAAATGGAGAAACCGGCAACATGCAATATGAAAAAAAAAAAATAATCGAGGAGTGGGAGATCAGGAATGAAAGTTAACTTCATTCCTATTAGTTTATTCAGTTTACATTGCAAAGCGTGAGACAAAAGCAAAATTTTGTCGCGTCATAAAAGACAATGTATTTTTCAACTAGTGTTGTCATTTTTTTAGAACTACTATTGTTTAGAAATATTTTTTCACAATTCGATTTATACGAAGGTGAGTAATTATTTTTTTAATATCAAAAAGTGTTTCAGAAAATATTTTCTTCTCAAAAAAAGAAACTCTATTCTAATATTTTCAATTTCATTCATAGAAACAAATTCGTTTTACGCTTATGAAAATTTAGTAATTTAAATAAATAAATAACTAAATGTATTAAATAAATTCAATGAAGAAACTTAATAAACAAATTCAATCAGTAAATTTGGAAAAATATAGAAAATTAGCTAATTATTAAAAAGATGATTGAAAAATTGCTAATTTACATAATAGACGTTTAATAATGATTCATAGGGGGAATCAAATACTCATAAATTTCCAAGGAAACAAAATATTATTCTCCTTAATATTTATTATCCTTTTAATAATAATTAATAAACGATTCTTTCCTCTAAGGGAATCCTCGATTGTCATAGGTACTTTTTGTTAATGACAGTTCGAAAATAAATCGATTCTTGAAATTTATTAATTAGGAATAATTTTTTAATTTAAGAAAGAAATTATTCTTAACTCAAAAAATTTTTTTCAATTTATTTTAAATTTAACAAAGAGATTATTTTTAACTCAAACAATTTTTTTCAATTTATTTTAAATTTAAAAAATAATTTTTTTTTTAAATTTTGCTTCCTTATAGAGGAATTTTAAATTTAAAACAGAAATTTTTTTTTCAATTTATTAAAAATTATTATTAAAAGAATTTTTTTTTTAAATTTTACTGAACAAAATTCAATTAGTAAATTGTGAGTTAATTATTTTTATTATAATTTCAGGTGACGATTGTACTACAAAATCATTTACAGGAAAATGTTTGCTATTGAGAAATTGTCCGTCAGTTTATCAAGATCTTGTAAAAGGAAAGAGGCCGGAAAAAATATGCAGTTTTCTTAATAGTGATGATGTCGTTGTATGTTGTCCGAGTAATAGAAATATTATAACTACAACATCGACGACGACTACGACACCAAGAACGACAAGGAGAACGGTAACTGGAGGATTACCTCTCAATAATGGAAATCAAAAGCGAATTGCTGCCACAAGTGAGTATTTTTCAATTTCATGAAAAAAAGGTTTGACACAAAAATTTTATTTTGTTTTTCCCTGGTGTCAAGAAAAAGAATTTTGATTTTCTCCCTGGCCATAAAAAATATTTTGACTCACTCTAAAAATTAAAAATAAAATAAAATAATTAGATACACGAGAAAAGGTTTCGAATTTATTTATTTGTAAATATTTTCAATTGCAAAATTATTCGAAATATAGATAATTTTTTTCTTAAATGAATATTTAATTATTTTTCTATAAAAATGAAAACTTTCTAATTCAAATTTGAATTTTATTTATTATTATTATTTTTTTCTCCATAGAAATTAAGAATTTAAAATTTTAATTTCAAATTCAAAAACGTTTTCAAAATCAATTATTTATAAGAATTCACAAGAATTTTATTATTGAGGAAAAGATAAATTTTTTTAAAAGTATTTAATTAAATTTTTTTAATCTAAACAATATTATGGAAATTTTTCAAAATACTAAAATTTTTGCTAAGAAATTTTATTAAAATTCTTTAAAATAATAAAATTCTTGCTAAGAATTTTATTAATTATGAAAATAATTCAATTCTCATAAATAATTTTCTCAAAATTCTTCAAAGTAATTGAATTTTTGCGAAGAATTTTCTTAAAGTTCTTTAAAATAATTGAATTCCTGAGTAAAATTTTATAAATTCTGAAAATAATTAAAATCTTAATGAGAATTTAATTAAAATTTTATTGAAAATATTTCAATTCTCATAAATAATTTAATCAAAATTCTATAAAAAATGTGCATTTTTATAAAGAATCATACCAAAATTTTTCAAAATAATTGATTTTTTGACAAGAATTTTATTATTTAGAAAAAGATTAAATTCTTTTAAAGTATTTAATTAAATTATTTACTTCTAAAAAATTTTTTGGAAATTTTTTGAAATAATAAAATTTATACGAAGAATTTTATTAAAATTCTTTAAAATAATAAAATTCTTGCAAAGAATTTGATTATTAATTATGAAAATAATTCAATTCTAATAAATAATTTTATTAATATTTTTCAAAGTAATTGAATTTTTGCGAAGAACTTTATCAAATTTTCAAAAATAATTGAATTCTTTTGAGAAACTTTATTGAAATTCTATTGTAAATAATTGAATTCCTGTAAAAAATGTTACAAATTATGAAAATAATTGAAGTCTGGCTAAGAATTTTATTAAAATTTTCGAAAATAATTGACTTTTTTCGAGGAATTTAATTAAAATTGTATTGAAAATATTTCAATTCTCACAAAGAACTGAATAAAAATTTCGAAAATAATTGAATTTCTGCGAAAAATGTTATAGTTAAAACATTTTTTTAAATAATTAAATTCTTTAAGGAAATTTTATTACAATTTTTTTAAATAATTGAATTCTTTCCAGAGAATTTATTATAATTTTTTTAAATAATTGAATTCTTTTCAGAAAATTTATTATAATTTTTTTAAATAATTAGAATCTTGGTAAGAATCTTATTGAAATTCTATTACAATAAATAAGTGGATTTTTATAAAGAAATTTACCAAAATTTTAAAAAATAACTGAATTTCTGCAAAGAATTTTTTATTTTGGAAAAGAATTAAATTTTTTCAAAATAATTAAGTTTCGCGAAGAATTATAATTAAAATTCTTTAAAATATGTAGTTAAATTCCTGCAAGAAATTTTATAAATTATGAAAATAATTGAAATCTTGCTAAGAATTTTACTAAAATTTTTAAAAATAATTGAATTCTTTCCATGAATTTAATTAAAATTTGCATTGAAAATACTTCAATTTTCATAAAGAATTTAATCAAAATTCTTCAAAATAATTGAATTTTTGAGAAGAATTTTGACGAATTTAAAGAAATTAAGTGAATTCTTTTAACAAGTGTTATTTATTATGAAAATAATTGAAATCTTGGTAAGAATTTTAATGAAATTATATTACAAGAAATAAGTCAATTTTTATAAAGAATGTTACCAAAATTAAAAAAACCTTTTCAAATTCAATTATTTATAAAAATTGTAATCGAAATTGAAAAAATTTAATTTATAAATAATAATTATATGAAAGTTCTTGAAGAATTGAATTATTTAATATAAATTCAATTTTATTTTCTGTAAAGTTTAATTATCGTAAATAGAAAAAAAAGTTAGTTTTTGTATTAAAATTCGTTGTGATTTCTAAGTTATAAAGTGGAAAAAAATGTTGTTCGAAAATTAAAAAATTTAAAAAATTTAAAAATTTATACTAAAAACAAACAAAAAAGAATTCAAAGAGAATTAAATTTTTTAATATTTTCAAATGTTGCTAAACACCAATAATTCTTATAAAGTTACACCAAACGTCTTCTTTTTTTAAATCAATTCTAGAAATTTAATATTTTCCCTAGTACTTTTGATAAAATTCTTTGTCCTTTTCCTAATTTCTCTACCTAATTTTAATTTTCCTGACTTTTTCTTCCTAAATTCCCTGATTTTCTTTGACTTGTTAAAATCCTGCTCCAAAAAGCAGAGTTTAAATTTTTTTTAGAATCTAAAATTTTTTTTTTCTGCAATCAAATTGTCTAATTTTTCTAATTTATTTTCTTTTGAGAATGCGAGGAGTATGCAAGAAGTGTCTACGCCTTGGTGATACCTCCAACTTTGGCTATTGATCCAAAACCTGTGAATATTTCTCTCTGTGGTATAAAATCGAAGAAATTAATTGTCGGAGGTGTTAAAGCAGATCCTAAGGAATTCCCACACATGGCAGTCGTTGGATATGATGACGACGATGGTGGAATTAGATGGTTATGCGGTGGAACTTTGGTTTCGGAAATATTCGTCTTAACAGCAGCGCATTGCACTTACAGTGTTAATTGGTAATTTTTCAATTCCTGAAGTTAATTTATTTTAATTAATATATTCATTTAATCTCAATAAATTCATTTAATTTCAATTCATAAATTTATTTAATTTCAATTAATAAATTTTGATTTGCTTTTTTCGAAATTTAATTTTCTTTAACAAAAATGATTAAATTCCGCTTCTTTTTTTCTTTTTTTAAGGGGTGAACCAAAATGGGTGAGAGTTGGAGATTTGAATATATTAAAAACGAATGAAGACGCTAAACCACAGGAGAGACGAATTGAAAGGATTATTAAGTATCCTCATTATAAACAGCCATCGCAGTATCACGATATCGCTCTTATTCGTATGAATAGAAAAATAATATTTGACGCTTATGTCAGACCCGCTTGTTTGCCATTAAATTTAGAAATTCCCCAACAAAAAGTTATAGCCACTGGATGGGGTCTCAAAGATTCTGGTACGTAATTAAAATAAATTTAACAAAATATTAATAATCCACAATCTATTATTTAAAATTAATTTCTATAATAATTGAAATTAATTTTCATTTTGATTTCCATTTTTATATTAATTTCAATTTTTGTATTAATTAAAATTAATATTCATATAAATTTCAATTTTTGTATTAATTTCAATTCATTTGCTAAAAAATTTCAATTTTGATATTAATTTCAATTAATTTTCATTATTATTTGAAATTAATTCTATAATAAAAGCATCAGCAGAATTTATTGAAATATTCGGATAACTTAATAAAAAACGAAAAATTTAAGGAAATGAAAGTGGAGGACATCTAGTACTTTAAACTCGCTTCCATTTATAAATCTGGAGGTCTTCCACTTTCGTTCTTTTTTTTTGAAAACTTTTTTGATGATAATTTTTTTCTGTAACTATATATGAGAGAAATATTTTTCCGATATTCCAAATTTTTTCTGGTGTATAAATAATTCTTCTTTTATTCCAACAGATGATGAAACTGGTTCTGATGATTTGCTGAAAGTAACACTCTCTGTGGTTGCAACTGAAACTTGTAATATCAGTTATCGCAACGATCGATCTGTATTTAGTCGAGGAATTTTAGACAATTTGCAACTTTGCGCTGGAGAAGTAAATAAGGATACCTGTCAAGTAATTGAATTTTATTTATATTTACACTTTATTTCATTATTTAGCATTTTTATGAATTTCGGCAATAACAAAATTGCCACAGGTCAGACAAATTAGGAAATTTTATTCAAAGTAGTGGAAAAATATTAAATTTCTAGAAATGCTTCAAAACATGAAAAACTACAGTTTCAATTTTTATAAAAAAAAAATGAATGAATTTATAAAAAAGAAAAATGAATATTGTATTTAAATAATTGAATTCACCAAGAACTTTCTAAAAAAATATTGAAAATAATTGATTTAGAGAAAAAGTTGAATTAAAAATTTTGAAAATTAATTAAATTTTGGAAGAGTTGTTAGTAAAAATTTTTATAAACAATAAAATTTCAAAATTCTAAACAAATCAGTTGTTTGAAAAGTTATAATTGAAATTTTTTTGAAATTAGGTTGAATTTTAAAAAATTTATAATTAATTGAAAATTTTTGAATAATCGAAATTTTGTAAAATTTAATTGAAAACAATTGAATTTTAAATTGTATTTTAAAATAACTTTTTTTTTACTTTTTTCAATAATTCAATTTTCAAAGAATCTAAAATAAAAATTATAAAAAATAATTGAATTAGAGAAGAATAAGTTGAAAATTTTAGAAAATAATTGAAACTTCGTAAAATTGAATTGAAAACAATTGAATTTAATCAAATTATATATAGGATTTTATTTAAATATCTATTAGTTTAAAAGAAATTAAAGTTTTGATCACTTTTAGTAAAAAACTTCTAGAAAATAATTGAATTTTAAGTGAACTTCCTTTCATTTTTTTAAATACATAATTAAATTTTCAAAGAATCTAATAAAAGAAGGGAAAGAATAAGAGTTGAAAATTTTAGAAAATAATTTAATATTAGAAGAGTTGTGGCAAATAATTAAATTTCAAAATGTTTCCAAATGAAATTTTTGAAGATTTGAATTTTGAATAATTTTATTTAAAAATGCTAAACAACTTAGTTCTTTGAAAAATTTCATTTAAAATTTGTTTGAAATTAGTTATTTTTTAGTAATTTTTTGGAAATATCTAATTGAAAAACTTTCAAATAATTGAAATTTCGTAAAATTAAATTAAAAACAATTGAATTCAATTATATAGGATTTTATTTAAATATCTATTCGTTTAAAAAAAATTAAAGTTTTGATCAATTTTAGTAAAAACTTCTAGAAAATACATAATTGAATTTTACAAGAATTACAGCTAGGTATACCTATTTTTTAAAGTAATAAAATTTCCAAAAGTTTCAAATTGAAATTTAAAAAATTTTTAACTCCTGTAAAAAAATATATTAACTATAAGTATTTAAATATTTATTTAACAAGATTAGATATTGAATCTTTTATTAATTAAATTTAGAAATTCTGAAAAATGAGGTTTCTAAAAAATTTTAATTTATATTTTTTGAAAATAGTATTCTAACGAAATTTCTTTAAACTAAAACTTGATACAAGAATAATTTTAATTTTCAGGGAGACAGTGGAGGACCGCTTTCAATTTACAACAGAGAACACGATTGCATGTACAGTGTTATTGGAATAACGAGTATTGGAAAATTGTGTGGAATTAATATTCCAGGAGTCTATACAAAAGTCTATGGATATCTCTCTTGGCTTGAACAAAATATTTGGGGATAATAAGAATCGTAAAAGTTAAAATTAAAACTAAAATTAAATTTAGAATTAAAATAAAAATTAGAGTTACATAATTAATAATGACAATATTGTCATTGTAAAGTTTTTTTTCAGCAAAAACTGAATGAAACTAAATTTTTTCAGTCCACTGAAAGAAAACATTGTCTGACTACACTGTGTACAAAATATTCTAATTTATTTTATTCCGCATTGACGAATTTTTCCACACTCTTGTCAATTAATTAGTACTTTCATAAAAAAAAATTTTTTTCATAAATTTCAATCACAAAAAAAAGTGTTCATCAATTTTTCAATTTAAAAACTACTTTTTATAACTGAAAAATTAATCAATATGGAAATTTATTTTTAATGACGTATTTTTTCCTTCAGTTCTCATGAAAATAATAATTCAAAAGAATTTTTTTTTATCGCAGACAAAAAGAAGGAAAAAAAATTCTTTATAGTGTGGGAAATAAATTGTAATTATTTATTTTACATTAATGAATGAAACTAATTGATGTTACGTTCCCTATAAGACTTTAAATTTATTATTATTCTTTACTAATTTTCTTATTCATTTTTTTAAAAAGTAAATAGATAATACTGAAATATTTTTTACATTTAGTTATTTTAATTTAAATTATTAAAAAAACGAAAAGGAAGAAATTAATAAACAGTGGTATAAATAAAAATTTTGTAAAAATACCATAAAGAAAAAAATTAATAAACATTCGTGGTTTAAAAATGAAAATGTGTAAAAGTAACGAAAAGCAAAAAATTAATAAATATTAGTGGATTTTTATTAACATAATATTTATGTTTCATCTTTTTTTATCGAAATGCCTTAACAACGGAATAATTAACATAGAAGGTAATTGTTTTTTTTCCTACTAAACTCTTATAATTATAATAATTTACTAAAATTAAAATGAATTTCCCCAGACAATTGGTTCGATCCAGTCTAAATAATTGTAAACTGCCGTGTAAACACCAGGAACAGGACCACCGCAAAAATCTCCAAATGAAGTAACACCAATGAGTTTCGCTGAATTTTTGGCTTCATTAATCATTGTCAATGGACCACCACTGTCACCTTGACAAGAGTCGGAGCGACTCATCTTATTAGGATCAATATAACACAGCATACTGTCATCAATTCCACGTGGTAATTTTCTCACTCCCTTATACTTGACATTACACTGGGAATTTTTTACCAAACTGAAAATTTTGCAGAAAAAAATGTAATTATAATTACATTAATTATTATATTTAATTAATTGTAATTGTCAATTAGATAAGTACTTTGAATACTAATTAATTTGTTTAGCCACAATTTTTCGCACCTTAAATTTGCAGTTTTCATTAAAGCATCAGAGCCCTCATTTTCGAAACTCGTCGCTCCAAAACCGGAAGCAACTATTGAAGAATCTCTTGTATCCAAATTGAAAATAGAATTCGACTGAAGACACGCTGGTTTCGAGAAATCAGTGACACGGACCGAATTTTTCAATTTCAACAAAGCAATATCATTATAGTGAGTTCCAATATTGAAATTAGGATGCGGATAAATTTTTTCCACTGGTATTCTTTGCACCATGTTAAAATCGTCTTTTAAATTATCCGAACCCATTCGAATCTACTCGATTTTTTTTCGAAAATAAAAATTGTTTTTAATATTTACAAAAAATTTCCAAAATCAAATTGTTTAATTTTAATTACTATTTTTGCAAATCGAACCTGTTTGGTTTTTTTTAGATTAAAACAGGACAAAAAATCCAGACCGAAAAATTCAAAAAAGAAAGTTCAAAGTACAAAAAATTCAAAATAAAATTGTCCAAAGTAAAAAAATCCAAAATAAATAATGAAACATGTGAAAAAGCCACCTTTTTACGCTATAAAATTGGAATTTCGAATATTAATGTTAAAATTGCAGGATTTTAATTATTTACATAAATAATAAAATTTTTTACAAAAATTCAATTATTTTTTTCAAATTAATTAATTTAATTTAAAAATAAATTAAACATATTAAGAATTAATATTTTAAATTAATTAAAAATAAATGTTAGTTAAATATACAAAAAAGAAACATTTACCTCGACTGGTTTGTCATTAGCGATATTTACAACACAGTGACCAGCAGTTAGAACAAAATTTATCGAAATCAAACTACCGCCGCATCTATAATTTATAGATTTATCTCTGCTTTCGTATCCTAAAGCCACCATAAAGGGAAATTGATCTACACTTGCTATGAAACCATTGACAATATGCACATTAGGTTTAATTTTTTGAGCAAATTCAAATTCTTCGCAAGCTGAAACGAAATTGAACTAATTAATTTTTAAATTACATAGTTGAAAATTAATTATTCAACGAAATTAAAATTTTTATTTCCAATTCCAAACAGAATTTTCATGAAGTATAAATATATTTTTTTGTCATTTTTTACCTCTGTCAGCGATTCTTGGTTTAATTTCATTATGATGAATTACAGGACAACAAACAATTTCGTTTTGATTATTAAAACTGCAATGATCATTCGACAAATGATTTCTTCTACCTTTTACAGTCTCACTCAATTTCTCCGGACAATCTTTTAAATCTTTACAGACACCTCGTCTTCCGTCTTCCAAATTGCAATTATTTCCTTCTAAGTAAATTTATTTGTTATAATAATCATGGTAACTTAATATCAAAAATGAATTTTAATTAGTATCGAAAATTATCCGAAATATTTTTCAAAACAAAATTATTTTTATAAAGATTTTTTTTAGACTAAAATATTAGGTCAGTTTTTTTAAATTTTGTTTTAAAAAATCATCAAATTCTAAATAAAAAAGTTTTTCTAAATTCGTAGTTTATGGATTTTTCTAAAAAAAAAATAACTAAAAAAAAACTCGCTAAAAATTTATTTTTGTTATAATTTTTCTATTGGCGAAAAATTCAAAATTGTTAACGTTAGAAAATTACCGTAAAGTTCCTTTGGATAAGTGAAACAATCAGAGCCAGTGATTAATAACAATAAGAAAAAATACTGAAGAGTTTCTAATAGCTGCAAATTCATTTTAGAGAATTAATTACATGAAAGAATTAATCTAGAGATGAATCTCTAGATTAATTTTTCTTAATTTTCCAAGTATTTAATTGACACCTGGAAATATAATTATAAAAATTTTACTGACTCTACAAACAATAAATTAGATTAACAGATAAAAAACCAAAAAAAGCAAATAGAAAACAAAAAAATAAAAGGCGAATAAAAAATAAGGAAACAAATAAAAAGTAAATAAATAAAAACAAAAGACAAATAAAAACAGAAGAACAAAAAGCAGTTAAAAAATAAAGAAACAAATAAAAAGCAAACAAAAATAAAAGACAAATAAAAACAGAAAAATAAATAAACAATTTAAAAATAGTAATTAACTAATTTAGAAGCATTTTCAATTTACATATTATGAAATTAAAAATAAAATAACATCCTCTACAGTAAATTTTATCTAATTCATTCAAAATATTTGAAAATTTATTTTTTATAGAAGAAAATTTTTACTTACTGCTGGAGTTGTTTGAATATTACAAATATTGTTTAAATATTAAAACTGCACTTTTTTCTCAAAACTTAATTTTCCTACTAATTATTTTCTTCCAGTGATAAAAAAAAATTTTTTTTTTTTTGAACCAAATATGTTTCCGTCTTTTCTTTCGATGGCAATGTTGTTCACATGAAAGTCAAGTCTAAACTACACTTTGGAAATCCGCTAAATACATTCAAAATTTCATGCATATACGGTCACCATACATACATATTCATTAATTATTCACAAAACAGCCTAAAGCAATTCACTTTCGTATGTAAAGTCCCATTGATTGAGATAAATTTCGAGGAACTACTTGTTTGACTAGATTTAAATTAGTCAAATTTGAAGTGGGAAAAAAAGAATCTTCAAACGTTGTGTAATACTTTTAGGACTTTACATACATTACTTTACGTACATTTCCATAGTAATATATTTTCGTAAAGAATAATTTTTCAAGTTCCGGAAGAAATTCTTAATATATTAAAAAACTTTGTCTTTTACGAAGTTGTAATTTTAATTTTTGAATTTAATTCAAATTTAAATATTTTTGTTTTTTTTTCTATTTTCCTTAGAATTTATTTTTATTTTTTGTTTTTATTAGATTTTCTCACATCAATATTTTTAATTTATTAGAAAAAAGTTTTTTTTTAATTAAATAAAAAATTACTTTCAATTCGAGAAAGTTTAGTAATTTTATTTAAATTTTCTTATTGGTTTTCAAAAGAAATATTTTTTATTTATTAGAGAAAAAAGAAAAGTTTTCGTAAATTAAATCAAAAATTAATTACTTTCAACTCAATAAGTTTTAGTAGATTTATTTTTATTTTAATGTTTTATACGATTTTTCCTCAAAAATGTTTTTAACTCCAAAAGTTTCTCCAAAAGTTTTAGTAAATTTAGTAAAAGAAAAAACCTCATTTTAGATACTTTTGAAAAAAGTTTAATATCCAATTGATATAAAAAAAATTAAGTAGAAATATTTCCAATTTATATATACTTATATTTATATTTTTAAAACCGTTTATTAAAATTTTATTATTATTATTATTATTATCATTATTAATTATCACTGTAAAATAAAACGTACTTAATTCGCTATGAAAAGTGGATTTAAATGAAAAAGTAATTTACTTGAAGTTTCATTTTAATGTAAAAGAAGAGAAAATATTGACAAAAAGATTAAAAATTATGGGATATTGGCTAAATAATCCTTAACATTTGATGGATCTAATCTTCGGAAACCATTAGCGTCACAGATACCAACTTCAATATTGTCGGCAGTCATTTGACCTTCGAAACCTTCTTTCAAAGTTAGAATGGCAGTGTGAACAGCGTCATCCAATTCTAAATCTTCACTGTATCGCTTCTCAAGGAACGTCTTACCATTGATAAAATTTTTTCCCATTGCCGTTGCTTTCCATGCGAAATACGCACCCGATGGATCGCATTGAAAGAGACTCGCTCTACCATTATCCCATCCGCAAATTAATAAAGACACTCCAAATGGTCTCACTCCTCTGCAAAAAAAAAAAAAATGTTTCCTTTCTTTATCTTATACAATATTAATCATTATTTTTCCAATGGGAATTAAAATTCTTCAAAAGATTCAAATTATTCAAACCCTTTTAAAATTCAATAAATTGTAAGAATATTTTTTTTATTATAAAACATGAAGATATCAATTACCCCGAGTCTTCGACTCGGAGTAATCGAGTTTTTCATTTTTTATAATAATTAATTTAATTAATTAATAAAGATGACCGAGTGATAAAATCATTTTTTACATTATCAAAATAATGTTACTGTAACTTCTTCGAAATTATTTTCAGCATTTTAATTCAATTATTATTTTCTACAATTTTTAACTAAAATTCTTCTTTAAATCAATTATTTTTAATAATTTTTTGAAAAAGCTCTGTAAGAATTTTCAAATCCATTTGTTTACAATTCAATTTACCAAAATTTCGATTATTCGCAAATTCTGCAATTAAATATTTATTAGAAAATAAAAACTTCAAATAATTTCAAAAAAATTCAATTAAACTTTTTCAAAAAAATAAATTCTTCAGAATTGTTAGTTAAAAGTATAAAAAATTCAAATGTTTAAAGATTTTAATTTGAAACCTTTTAGAAATTCAATTATTTCTAAAAGTTCACGCTATAACGCTTTTAATATTCAATAATTATTATCTAAAATTTTAACTGAAATTCATTTTAAAATCAATTTTTATCAGAAAATTCTACCAGAATTCAATTGAATTCCTGTGAAGAATTTTATTAAATTTTTAAAAATAATTGAATTTCTGCGAAGAATTTTAATAAATTTTGAAAATAATTGAATATGAATTCTTGCGAAGAAAATTAAAATTCTTTCCAGGAAATCAGTTATAATTGTATTCAAAGTAATTGATTTCTTATTAAAAAATATTATTATTATTATTATTATTATTATTATTATTATTATTATTATTAACATTTTTTATAAAAATTGAATTAAAAATAATTGAATTCCTGCAAAGATTTTGATTAATTTTTCAAAATAATTGAATTATATTGAAATAATTTGAGAAATTATTAAAGTTTTGAGTATAAAATTAAATTTAGTTAAAAATTATAAAAAATTAAAGAAGAATTTTTCTAAAAATACGGAAAAAATTCGAATTTTAATAAAATTTTTATAATTACATTTTTCTTCTCCAAAATTCAATTATTATCAAGAACTGTAACTGAAATTAATTTTTAAATCAATTTTTATTAGGAAATTCTACGAGAATTCAATTTATTAAACACAAAAATAAATAATTTATTGAATAATTGAATATTTCTCAAAATTGAATTCTCATGAAGAATTTTATCAACAAATTTTTAAATAATTGAATTCTTTTGACGAACTTTAATACAATTTTTCAGAATAATTATATTTTTCGAAGAATTTGATTAAAATTATATAAAAAATTATTGAAATCCTGCAATTCTTGCAACAAATTTTATTAATTTTTATTTTAAATAATTGAATTCTTTTTACAAGTTTTATTATTTGTAAAAATAATTGAATTCTTGAAAAGAATTGTATTAAAATTTTTAAAAAATAATTAAATTCTTTTGAGGAATTCAATTAAAATTGTATTAAAAATAATTGAATTCCTTTGAAGAATTCAATTATGAAAATAATAAAATTTCTGAAATTTTCTTAGACGAATTTAATTAAAATTGATTTCAAAATTTAATATTTCGAAAAATTGATACCGTAATGATTTTAATATTCAATTATAATTCAAAATTTTAACTAAAATTTATTTTTAAATCAATTTGTATTAAAAAATGTTACGAGAATTCAATTATTTAAATACAAAAATTCCTTATAATTGAATTCACATAATGAATTGTATAAACAAATTTTTAAATAATTGAATTCTCTCGACGAATTTTAATAAAATTTTTAAGAATATTTAATTTATAACTTTTCAAAAATTCAATTGTTTTTAGTGTTTTTAAATATAATTCTTCTACAAATCATCCATTATTTTTAATAATTAATTAAACACATATTAAAAAATTTAATTTATTTCAGAAGAATTTGAATTTTTAAAATTTTTCAAAAATCTATCTTCTTTAAAATTTCTAATTAAATTCATTCAAAATTCTAATTGAATTGAATTCTTTGAAATTAAATTAATTTGAAATATTTAAGTAAAATTATTTATTAAATGATTTATAAGTAATAATTTTATTCAAGAATTAAGTTATTTAAAAAGAAATTATTGTCAAAAATAGAAGAAATTGATGGTTTTGTATCAAAATTCGTGGTAATTTCATAGTTTTAAAGTAAAATACTAAATACTTAACTAAAAGATCGAATTATTATTATTATTATTATTATTATTATTAGTTGAAATAAAATCGTAGTTAGATAAATAGAACTATAAGAATAATTAGGGGAGAGTCTCCAGTTGTGAGACACCTCCAGTTGTGAGACAGTCAATTTTTTTTAACATGCAATATTAAAAAGACAATTGGTTTATATAAAAACATTTCTTTTTATATGAGCCAACTTTTTCGTGTACGCTGAAGCGGATATATAAACTGTTTTTGTTAAATAACCAACACTGTGTGTGATAATCGACTAAAAAGCGTTTTTTCAATAAATGCAAAGTACTTTTTTTCCAAGTTAATTAATTGGAAAAGGTAAATGTAATGCATTTTCTTTTAGTGTTTTCCTTATATTTTGTGATGCAATTTTGCATTGTTCCAATCTACGGTTGAAGATAATTTAATTTTCCTTTTTCAAAATAGCGCCAATTTCTGGGTGTGAGACACAGCATATCACCAGTTGTGAGACGGTGTCAACGCCCATCTGGGCAGCATAAAAAATACGACTTTGCAGGCATACTATTTAAATGTTGTTTTGATTTTTTTTCTAGTATTTTTGGGCATGTCAAGTGGAAAAAAGTCAATTGATTCAGAAGAAATCAATTTTAATGATCTTGTTGAAGCTATTAAATTGTGTTTATTTGATAGTCATATTTTGGCGAATAAATATTATTATTCAGTATATAATAATATATATTATTAATATATTTAATTATTTCTACTAAACATAACGTTTTATGTCAAACTTATTAAATTTTAGCAATTTTTAATGAGTGTCTCACAACTGGAGACATTTTTTTTTGTTGACAAAAGCGATGTGCTCGGAAAATGTATCGTAAAATTTTTTGAGTTCATCGAAACACTATACTTTCTTTTAATAAAAGTTGCGTATTTCTGTTACCTTTCGAACGGTGTATTTTATTTACAATTTCGTTTACCCGTTTACAATTTACAGGTCAAAAATGAAACCCGTCTCACAACTGGAGACTCTCCCCTATAATAAATTGATCAAATAGAAGTATTTACTTAAAAAAAAAATAAAGATTAAATTTTGATTTATTTTACTATTTAAAGTGTAAAATTAATTACCCTGATTGAGTGTATTCTTGCATGACCATAGCGACACGTTGAACAAGTTGTGCAGTAGGAATTTCTTCCTGATAGACCAAATAATATTTTTGTGCCATTTTCCGTGCTTGTTTAACAAGTAAACGATAATCGGGACCCATTCCACTGTAAACCATTCCAATGTGCTTTGTTATCATTTCAACTTTATTCACGCTATGCTCGTCGTAAAGAATGGATTTATGTTTATTTTCTGTCGCAAGAACAATTCCATTTGAGGCCTTGATGCCAACGCTGGGTGCACCAGCTGCCACTGCTGCGAGTGCATATTCAATTTGCACCAATTTTCCCGATGGGCTGCAATAATTATTTTCCAAGCATTAGTATTTTCTATTTAAGAAGAAAACTTGAAGTCACTTTCAAGATTTTAAAAAAAATTTTCCCAAAGAAAAACAATAGAAAAAACGGAGTGAAATTTAAAATTCTATCAATTTTTTACATTAGAAAAATAAGGATTAAACATTTTTGAATACAATAAAGAATACCGGAATTACATTATTGAAAAAAAGTAAGTGTTAAATAATTCTCTGTTTAAAAGAATTGCAAGTTTTATTTACAAATAAAATTTCTTAATTAATAAATTTCATTAATTTCATAAATTTAAATTATTCTAGATAATTATATTATATTATTATTTATATTAAAATTTACTTATACTATAATTTATATTAAAATTTATTTACGTCAAAATTTACCGAAAAGATTGAAATTCTTTACTGGAAAATGACAAGTCATGACATAAAGAACTATAATTATTATTTAACTGTTTACTACTTAAATAAATATTCTCTAGAAACATTTAACTAGATTAAAAGAACAAAACATTCTTTAAACAATTAGGAGCTAGTTAACTACCGATTTTTCAAAAATTACAATCAAATTTAATGTTTTTGTTAAGTTGACTTTTTAGGTTAGGTCGAAAGAACTTTTTCAGTTTGTTGTTAAATAGTAAATATTATAAGTGGTATTTAAAGTTAATAGTGACAACAAAATAGAAATTTGGTTTTTATCTCAATTATAAATTATTTACTTACCTGAATGTTGTTAAAGAAAAACTGTAACGTTCCGAAGCCATGACAATTACTTTTTCACTTTTTTCCCGAATGCAATTCTTTTCGCGTCACTAAAGAACTAAAGTCGAATTCACAGTGACTGGATAAATTCATCACGAACTATTGTGATTGGTTCGGTTAAAAGTGACAAAATTGCTTAACTAATTACAAACTGTATATTCCTCTAAAACCAGTCTTTGATTCGTCGATAAATTTGGATGTAATAAATAAAATTACTATCAGTGTGTTAGTGTTTCCTACACGGCTACACGTGGATATTCCGGGTTTTTAATTGTTTATGGCTTTTTTCAATAAACTTGGTTAATTTCGCAAAAAAGTAAATAAACTGAATGAAAGTTCGTAACTTCTAAATGCTTCGTATTTTCCAACAATCGGCACTATTTACAAATTACTGTAGTTTATGTAAGTTTGACATGTATTTTGTTTTTGTAGTTTATTGAGGTTATGTTTTGTACTCTAAAAGTGTGAAATAAAAACAAAAAATTAAGACCATGTCTATACGGCCAGTTAACTGGCAGAATAAGGTGGTTTAATTATTTGGCCAGTGACTAGAAATAAAGGAAAAGCTGGCAGAATAAGATGATTAAATAATTCTGCCAGTGCACTGTCAGAATAAGGAGGTTTAATTATTTGGCCAGTGACTAGAAATAAGGGAAAAGCTGGCAGAATAAGATGACTAAATAATTCTGCCAGTGCACTGGCAAAATAAGATGGTTTTACTATTTGGCCATTGTATTAATAAAGCGCCCATCAGGTATAAATATATGTTGGATGGTTGTTTGTTTATTTAAAATTTTAACCAATCTTGTACAAATTTTTAAAAAAATTCCAAAACGGGTAAATTGATTCTGCTTTAAGTGTGACATGAACTAAACTTATTAAGAAATTTTTGTTAAAATTTATATTATAATTAATATTATAAAAATAATAAATATATAGGGAAAAGAGCCCCAAGATAGACATTTCGTTTAAAATTTTTGTATAAAGTAGGAGCACCTTATGCTTTTTGTTATTTTTGTTGTTAGTATAGAAGAAGTTCTTGATGCACATTTGAAGGAAAAAAAGCAATTTGTTTTTATTCTGCACACATTTCTTAAAATTTGTGTCTCACGAAGTTTTCTTATAAGTTCTTCCTAAATCGGTAAATTTATTTAAATTATAGCTTTTCAATAGGCCAAAAAATACCTAATATATTGTCAGGGTGGTCACAAGTTTCAGATTATCAATTTTCCTGACAATTTACTGACATTAAAATTATATTCCCTGACAAATTTTTTTTTACAGGAAAATATGAAAGTTTACGGAAAGTGATTAAAATTTATGAATTTTAATAATTTCCAAAAATAACAATTATAATCCTTTTTAAATTCAATTATTTTCTATAATTTACTACCAAACTTCATCTCTACATCAATTATTTTAAATAATTTTTCGAAAGTTCTATTAGAATTTAATTATTCAAATACAAAAAGTAAATTTTTTATAATAATTGTAATTGTCCATGTTTTTTTCTTAAGTTATTAAGGTATAATATTTTCTAAAAATTATAACAAATTTTTAATTCTTTTAATTCTTTTAATTCTTACAATTAATTTTTTAAAAATATTTTAAAATAATTTTTGAAAGATAATAGTTTTTTAATTATGTATATACAATTGAAAATCTTCTAAAAATAATTGAAGTTTTGAAAAAAGTATCTAAATAAAAATAATCGAAATTTTGAAGAATTTTATTTATAAATATGACCATTATTTCTCAGAAATTTAAACAAAATCTAAAACAGTAAATTTTTATCAATTTTTATTTATTTTGTTCGAAAATAATTTAATCTTAAAAAATTATGATAAAACAATTCGAAGAATTAGTTTTTAATAATATTTTAATGTAATTTTTCGAAAATAATTGAATTTCTTAAAAGAATTTTTGTATAATTTAAAAAAAAAACTAATTAATTTCTTATGGAATTTTAATTAAAAATTTTGAACACGTTTTTTTTCTCCAAAATGTTAAAAATAATTCTAAAATGTTATTAGGGGAGAGGTACGCACGTTGAGACGGGTTCTGTTTTTCAGTTATAATTTTTAAAAAACAAAATTTAGCGAAAAATTCGAAATGCTTTCTTAAAAGTATTGTCCAGGGCTACAACATTACCAAAGAAAGTTATTTTTTTGGACAAAATTGAAAAATTTATAGCTGATTTTTTAAACATGTTATTTTTGACAAAAAAAAAATTGGTACGCACGTTGAGACACCCATAATAATTTATTTTAAATTGAAACAAAATGAATAATTACGTCAGATTCTAATTGTTTGTTGTTTATTTACTTATTTTGATGGTCTTAACTCAAAGAAAAAAAATTAAAACATTAAAAATTAACTTAAAAAAATAATTAAAAAATAAAATTTTATTTTGCACAAAAATAATTAATCGAAATTTTTATATTCGCAATTTTTACAGGTGAAGAACATGTAAAACGCTTAAAAATTGTGGATTCAAAATCAATTTTAATGACAGTACTATTTTCAAACCGTGAGCGTTTTAACCTGCGTACCACAGTGTGTCTCAACGTGCAGACCTTGCCGTTATTTTTTTAAAGCTTTGAAATTATTTGTAGATGTTAACGTATGTCTAAATTTTCGTCGGAACTTTAAAGTAGAACCAAAATTGATATGTAAATGTTATCCGCAATTTTTTCTGCCACTAAAAAATACATGGTAAATACACTAAACAGAAATTCTGAAAAACACTTTTTTTAACTAAAAAATTGGTTCGCTCTAGTTCTACCAAAAAAAACACGAGTTATTGCGCTTTTTTTTAATAAAAAGTTTGGTATTAATGATACGACAAAATGCCAATAAAATTTTTGGTATTATCAGTTGCACAGGTTATAATATCTTAGTGTCTCAACGTGCACTATAAAATGAAAATAATTTGCATTTTATACTAAAAGATGAGGTATTTTGTTGCAATTTTTGAAAATAAATCGAAAAATGGCTCAATTTTCTTAGTTTATACCTACCAAAAAAATTTGTTTTCTGTCATTTCCCTGATTTTACTTTTTCACCTTTTGCACCCTTTTTGTTAAATTGTCTCTACTTCATATATTTGGTTGTTTTTTTAATTTATCAAAATGTCAGCTTGCCCGTATATTGAAATATTAAAAACTGTTTATTTTGACTGGCCAAATAGAGTCCCTTTTTTATTTGGCCTGATTTAGATATTAATTGTATATTTTTTTAGATACACTGGCCAAATAAGAAAACTAACTTATTCTGCCAGTTCACTGGCAGAATATTTAAACCACCTTATTTTGACAGTTAACTGGCCGAATAGACACTCCGAAAAATTAATTATTTAGTCAAGTTTTATCACTGCAAATAATGGAAATTAAATGTAACGAATAGATAAATACTGTCTATTCAATAAGATCTAATTTGTTTTTAATCAAGGTTGCCACAGGTCAGGGAAATCAGGGAAAAGTCAAGGAAAGTAAAAGTGGTCAGGGAAAAGTCAGGAATTTTTATTAAAGTACTGGAAAAAATTGAATTTTGGAGAAGTTACAAATGATTGCAGAAATTCAATTATTTTCGAAAGTAATAAAATTCTTCGCAGAAATTCAATTATTTTCAAAAATTTTTAAAAATTCAATTATCTTTAAAAATAATAAAAATCTTCTCCGAATTTCAATTATGTATTTTCAAAAATTGTAATAAAATTCTTTGCAAAATTTCAATTATTTAAAAAAAATTGTCCTCAATTCAATTATTTTCAATATCTACTATTTTAATAAAATTTTCAAAAGAATTCGATTATTTAAAAAAAAAATGTTGATAAAATTTTAAGCAAATATTAAATTATTTTCATAAATAATAAAAATTTCACAGGAATTCAACTATTTACAAATTTTTTATAAATTTCTTCGCAATAATTAAGTTATTTTCATAAATAATAACATTTTTTACAAAAATTCAATTATTTTCATGAATAATAAAACTCATCATTGAATTTAAATTATTTTTAATATCTACAATTTTAATCGAATTCATTGAAAAATTTAATCATTCTTAAAAATTTTATTAAAATTCCTCCAAAAAAATTCAATTATGTTGATAAAATTCTTAATTCAATTTAGAAAATAATTACATTTTTCCAAGAATTTACTTACAATTGTATTAAAAATAATTGAAATCCTGTGAAAATTTTTATTAATTTATGAGAGTAATTAAATTCTTGCAACAAATTTTATCATTTTTTTTTTTAAATAATTGAAATAATGTAAAGAATCTTATTATTTATGAAAATAATTAAATTCCTGCAACGAATTTTATTACATTTTTTTAAAATAATTTAATTCTTTTGAGAACTTTTATGAAAATAGTAATTTTTAAAAATATTTGAATTTCAACGAAGAATTTAATTATATTCGTGAAATGTAATTAAATTCTTGCAAAAAATTTAAGAAAATAATTCCATTTTTCTAGGATTTTATTTTAAATTGTATTAAAAATAATTGTAATCCTCAGAAAAATTTTATAATTTATGAAAATAATTGCATTTTTGCAACGAATTTTATTATAATTTTTGTAAATAATTTAATTTTTTTGAAAAATTTCATAGAAATCTAAATTTTTATAAAACATGAAGATATGAATTACTCCGAGTCTTCGACTCGGAGTGATTCATATCTTCATGTTTTATAATAATATTCTTATAAGTTGTTGAATTTTAAAAATGTTTCAATTTGAATGTTTTGAAGAATTTTAATTCCTATTTGGAAAAATAATAATTAAATACTTATTTAAAAATGAAGTTATTGATGTTTGCGAATAATTTTACAATTAAAGAAATTCTCAAGTAAATGTAATAGAAATTTTTTTTTCGAGTATCTAATAATTTTTAGAGTGAATTAGAATATTCTTTAGGGTAAGGGAAAAAGTTATAATTTTCTCTGGAAATCAGGGAAAATCAAAATTAATTTTTTGTGGCAACCCTGTTAATGACAAGAAAAATCATTGTTATTTTGCTAAAATAATATCTAAAAATCGAACTTAATAATTGTAAATTTTTATTTTTCAGACAGAACTGTTGCTTATCGAAAAATGTCAGCACAAGTAGAAAATGTAATTGTCGAGAATCAAGAGTCAGTAATGGAAAGTAAGAAACGTTTGCAAAGTGAAGAAAATGAATTGCCGTCTATTGATGAAAATGCAGCGAAAAAGCAAAAGGTAGAGCAGGATGTGAGAATAAAGAAACGAAATTTCGCAATGATGTTGGGTTACATGGGTAAAAATTATTTTGGAATGCAAAGAAATCCCGGAATGGCGACAGTCGAGGAATCTTTAATTGAAGCTCTACTAAAAGCAGAACTCATAAACTCAGAAGCATTTGAGACAATTCAGTCTATTAATTTTCAAAGAGCAGCCAGGACGGATAAGGGAGTTTCAGCAGCAAGACAAGTTGTCTCTCTAAAATTACGTGAGAATCTATTATTTTCTAAACAAAATATATATTAAAATTTTTTTCAATATATATTCAATTAATTATTAAAAATAATGGATTTATAGAAGAATACAAGTTAAAAAAAAACTAAAAAAAATTAAATTTCGAAAAAGTTACAAATTATTGCAGAAATTCAATTATTTTCAAAATCTTGAAGAAAAGATCCGTTTTTTTAAAAATAATTCTCTTTTGTTTTCTCAGCGGAACATGCAAAGATGGAAGATATTAATAAATTTTTACCAGACGATATTCGCGTATTTGGATTGAGACGAGTGACAAAAGGTTTTAACAGTAAATCGCAATGTGACGCAAGAACGTATTCATATACACTTCCAACTTATGCATTTCATGAGGAGAGTCCAGAAATTTTGTCTACAAGTTTTACCGACGAAGATGTGGTAAAAAGAATAGAAGAATTAACAACAATAAATGGTAAACCATACACTGAGTTTCGAATAACGACCGAGGCAATAGAGAAACTCAGAAAAGTTCTCAAACTCTTTGAAGGAACACATAATTATTACAATTTCACATCAAAAGTGTAAGTTTGAATATTAAATAAATTTTAAATTGAATTAAAACCTAATAAATAATAATTAAAAAATTAATTTTTAGAAATTTCGTAGAACTTTTGTTTTAATCAGTTCAAATTTTTACTAATTCAAATTTAGAGAATAAGTTTTGTGATAATATTATTGCAGAAAACTTAGAAAATTCATTTATTTTGCGTTAATATGTGAATTTTTTTCTATTTTAAATGATAACATTTTTAATAAATTTTTATACTAATTTTTATAATTTTTGTATCTTTTTAAAATTTTGAATCCAAAATAATTTAATTCTTTCAGAAAATTTTGTTAAAATGATTCAAAATGAATTCTTTTAAAAAAAAAACAATTAAAATTGTATTGAAAACAATTAAGTTCTTATAATGAATTTAAAAAAAAATATTTTATAAATAATTGAATACCTTTGAACAATTTTCTTATTTATGAAAATAATTGATATCATTCGAACAATTTTATTATTTATATTAATAACAATATTTCTACGAAGAATTCATTGAAAATTTATTAAAAATAATTTTATTTTAGCAAAGAATTTTACTATTTAAAATTCCATTCAATAACAATAACAATTTTATTGAAAATAATTAAATTCATTTAAAGACTTTTATGAAAATTTTCTAAAATAGTTTTATTTTTCTAAAGAATTTTATTATTTATCAAAATAATTTAATTCCTGAGAAAAATTTTATTCAAAATATTTGAATTCAGCCGAAGAATTTTATTTATAAAAATAATTTAATTCATGCAATTTTTTCAACCAGTTTTATTAAGATTGTACCGAAAATAATTCACTTCCCGTGAAGAATTTTATTATTTATAAAAATAATTGAATTTCTGCGAAAAATTTTATTAAAATTTTTTTTAAATAATTGATTACTTTCGAGAAATTTTATTAAAATTATATTGAAAATAATTGAATTTTTGACAACAATTTTATTATTTATGAAAATAATCGAATTTCTGAGAAGAATTTTGTTAAAATCATATTTAAAATAATTGTGCAAGTTTTTGAAAATAGTTCAATTTTTTCGAGCAATTCAATTATAATTTTATTAAAAATAATTGAATTCTTTTAAAGAATTTCATTAAAATTTTTTTAAATAATTTAATTTTTCTGAAGAATTTTATTACCTATTTATCAAAATAATTTAATTCTTGAGAAAAATTTTATTCAAAATATTTGAATTAATCCGAAGAATTTTATTATTTAAAAACATAATATTAAATCGATTCAATTTTTTCGAATAATTTAATTAAAATTGAATTGAAATAATTCCAATTCTGCGAAGAATTTTATTATTTATAAAAATCATTGAATATCAGCGAAGAATTTCATGAGAATTTATTAAAAGTAATTTGAATTCTTTCGAGAAATTTGATTAAGATTGTATTAAAAATAATTGAATTCCTGCGAAGAATTTTATTATATTTATAAAAATAATTGAATTCTTGCAATTTTTTTCCACGAATTTAATTAAAATTGTATTGCAATTAAATAATTGAATTTTTGATAAGAATTTAAATGATAATTTAATAAAAACAATTGAATTCCTGCGAAGAATTTTATTATTTATCGAAATAATCGAATTCATGCAAAGAGTTTTATTAAAATTTTCGAAAATAATTTGAAATCATTCAAAAATTGAAGTTCATATTTAAGAAAAAATTTTTTGTAATTTCTTTAAAATAGAAAATAAATGAAATATTTTTCGTTTAAATTAATTAAATTTTTTTGTCCATAATTAAAATACAAAATAATTACTAATAAATATTAAAGAAAGCAATTTATTTTACAGAAAACCAATGGATCCACGTGCAAGAAGATTTATCATGAACTTTGACTGCACTGATCCATTTGTAGCGGAAGGCACTGAATTTATCACATTAAAAGTGAAAGGACAAAGTTTTATGATGCACCAAATTAGAAAAATGATTGGTATAACTGTCGGAATTGCAAGAAGTGTCGTTACAGACGAGGTTCTCGATCTTGCATTTAATGGTGATAAAATGGATATTCCAATGGTTCCTGGCCTAGGACTTGTGCTTAACATTGTAATTTTTTATTAATTTAATTCAAAAACAAATTTTTTTGTCAATCTTGAAAAATTTAATTTTTAAAATTCTTGAAATTATTTCTAAATATTATGATTGATTTGAAATATTTTACTATTTATTCATTTTAATTAATATTATTATTTGCAGGTCCATTATGACTATTACAATAACAAATTTGGAAAGGATGGAATTCACGAAAAATTGGATTGGGTTGAATGCGAAGAAGAAGTTCAGAAATTCTTCAATGACAATATTATCAAGCATATTGTACAAACGGAAATTTCTGAAAAATCGTATCCTTTTCAATTTTAAAACAAATTCAATTGTTTTAAAAATTTCAATTTTTCAAACAAATTCTTTTTTCCTCCCAAAAGTACAAAAAATTAAACTCTATTTTTTCTAACAAAATAAAATAAAATTTTTTGAATTGCAATAATTTAAAATTTATACTTTTCGAATTTATTAAAATTTGCTTCAAAAGGAATATTCCTTAAGTTTTGAACGTTCAATGAAACAAAATTTATTGTCTATTTCAGTATTTTAAAAAATTGTGAGGATAAATAGAAAACTACTAAAATGAAAAATAATCTAAATTTTAATATTTATTTACTTGTAACAATTTTTTTAATACACGAAATATTATTTTTGTAATAAATTACAAATTAAAAGAAATGACGAAAATTAATGTAAATTAAATAGGTATTTATTTACTTATAACAATTTTAATATGTAAAACACAAAATTAAAAGAAATAACGAAAAATATCGTTGTTTACTTGAACGTTCAAAATCCATTTTTCTATATTTGGACTCTGCTAAGGATTTATTTTCTCTATCTCCAAAAAATTGTTTTCCATAATTTTAATATTAATCATCTCTGACGTAGAATTATTTTAAACCAAACTAAAGACTAAAATTATCCTTAACGAATGAATTTTAGATTTTTAACTTGGTTGGGAAGTTTACCTCATCACACTTTTTCAAAACGGGAACAACATTCAAATGGCACCACCAATGAGAGCAGTGAAAATAATCAAACAAACGAAACAAATGGAAATAATGACAGTGATGAAAGTAAAATGACGAGCGAAATTAACGAAAGTAACGAAAATAATGAAATTAATGAAATTAATAAGAATAACGAAAATATGGAAAAAAGTGAAAGTATTATTGAAAAAAGTGAAAAGGCAACGGTATAAAATTTCAACTTTCTCAATGAGGAAGTAAAAAATGACAAATTGTATAAAAAAAAATGCAAATATATTTGCACTAAAAATTATAGATTTTGAAAATTTCTTTTCTACGAGATTCCAAACATGAATGAGTACATTTTGTTTAATTGAATTTATTTTAATTTATTTTAAAACACTTTGTTTTTAATTAATGAAAATTTATTTATTTTCGTTAATAATAAGCAATGCTAAGGTATCAAATTATTTATTTACAGTTTATTTAAATACTATTTATTGTACTATTATTTACTATTTACTTTTTATATTTAACTATTTATTTTTTTATTATTTACTATTTATTTTTTATTATTATTCACTATTTATTTTCTATTATTATTACTACTACTACTAATATTATTATTATTGTTATTTACTATTTATTTTCTATTACTATTATTATTATTTACCATTTTTTTTGCAATTATTATTATCGCTTCTATTATTTACTGTCATTACTATTATTAATTTTATTATGATTTGTAATTTATCATTTTATATTTAGATTTCTTGTGCGAAATTCCCTTTTTTCCTGGTAGAGCTGAGGAGGCAGAAGCTTAGTGTGAAAATCGCTTAGAAGAAGCGCGCGTGACGAAGGAATAATTCCCAGCTGCATTCTCGAGACGAGTTTTGATGTTTGTATCCGCGTATATATCTCCACTGATTCAGAACCAGTAAGAGCTTAAGAATCAAAGTAGTAGCAGTAGTCAATGTTAATCACAAAAACCATCTATTAATTTCTTCAATGGACAGTAGATCAACAATATTCTTTTGCGGTGAGTTGCAAAAAAATTTTCCTCCAAGATTTTATTTACTTTTAATTTTCTACTAAAAAAATTTTATTTCAAAAGACTTGAGTCCTTAAAGTATGAAATGGATTTCATTTAATTATCGACTTCAATTAAATATTACCTCATGAATATTGAATCAATTTCTAATTATTTAAAACGAAATATTTGAATACTTTTTATTAATTTTTTCGTAATTCATTCTCATTTAAATTAATAGACAAAATTTGATTTTACGGATTTTTGTTTTCAATATTTATTATGAATGAAGAATGTTTTTGCTAGTGGGAAATTCCGAAATGATGCCGAGGAAGAAAAGAGAATTGATTTAAGGAAAACGCAGTAAATTATTATAAATACTTGAGAAAAGCGGAGTAAAGTACCTACTATCGCTGGAGTTCAGAGGTCAAGGATGCAAAAAATAATTTTCAAAACATATATATTAATGAATTGCGAAAAATATTATATTAAAGAAGAACTGGTTTGCATTTATTTTGCAATGGAATATTTACAGTAATTGTAAATAATAATCTCTCAAGTTTGTTTCAATTAATATAAAACATAAAGGAAACTGAATAATTTTGTAAATTCAAGAAAACCGGTTATAATGTCAAGTTCATTGAATGAATGGCGTGTATGCGATTTTCAACCTTGAACTCTTACTCACTTAGAAAAGAAAATTTAATTGATAAAATCAAACATTATAAAATGGAAAAAAATTCAAAGAAAAGACGAATTTTCAAAAAAGAAAAAATCTATAAATTGAAAATCAATAAAATTCTAAATCGTTGAATTACTAGCAAATTTTACGTACGGAACGCGATACTCCGTTTATTATTGTTTTGTAAATTAAAAAATTTTTATTTTCAAATATTCAATTTATGAATAATTTCAGATTAAAAAATTGAAAAAATTTACTTATTGTTTATATGATTAATTATTATTGTTTATTATTTTCAAAAATTTTAATAAAATTCAATAATCAAATATTTAATTCTGATCATTAAGAGAATCGATTATTTTAAAAAGTTGAAAGAAATTCTTTGTTTAATTCAATTATTTTCAAAATTTTCAATTAAAACTATTAAATAAACTCCATTATTTTAAAAGTATTCAAAGAAATTCATTAGAACAATTTAATTAGGATTTTCAAAAATGTTAATAAAATTCTTCGTCAGAATTAAATTACTTTTTTATAAATAATAAAATTCTTCGAAGGAATTCAATTATTTTTAATTTTTTGATAAAATTCTTTTTAAGAATTCAATGATTTTTAATACATTAATTTCCAAATTGAAAACATTTAAAAATAAAAATTATTTAAAAACTTAAACTGCGAACAGATTAACGGAATACAACGATTATTAATATAGATTACAATAACTTTTAGTTCAGCATTAAGTAAAAATTTTTCGTAAACAACGATAGTATTCAAAGTAAAAACATTAATTCGACCAAATTAATTATTAGAAATTGATTTTAATAAATTAATTTACAAAAATAAAACTCAATAAATTAATTATTAGAAATTCATTTCAATGAATTAACTATTAGAAATCAATTTCAATTCAATTATTATTAGAAATTAATTTAATCATAAACTAATTTCTCCAAATTTTGCAGTATTACTTCTGGCCGTCAATGGTAAAGCATCACCAGCCGGGGAGGATAGAAAAACTTGCGGGTAAGTTTTTTGAATTAAATTCAAAAATGAAATTAAAAAACAATTAAATTCATTTCAAGTATGTACTTAATCAAATTTCACGACTTTCAATAAAATATTTATATTAATAATTAATAAATAATATTAATTAATAAAATTCTTGATTAATTTTCCTTCAAACTGTTCACTGACAGGAATTTTCAATACAAATGCAAGAATGGAGATTGCATTCCACAAGATCGTCTCTGCGATGGACACACAGATTGTTCTGACGAGTCAGACGAAACAAGAGAGGCATGCAAAACAATGAGATGCAGTCCTTATGTTTTTAAATGTGAATACGGCGCTTGTGTCGATGGCGATTCAATTTGCAATGGAATTAAAGATTGCGCCGACAATAGTGACGAGACATTGCCGTCATGCTCGAGGAATAATAGCACAATTGTCGGCGAATGTCGTTCCAATCAATTTAAATGTAAAAATGGTCAATGCATCGAGAGTACATCGCTTTGCGATGGAACTGTTGACTGTCGAGATGAATCGGACGAAACTGCTCAAACCTGCAGTTCATTTCCGTAAGTTCGACGAATTTATTGCAAAATTATTGCGGATATTTTTTTAGTTCCATTTTTTCTTCATTTATTTATTTTCAGCTTCTTTTCATTTTTTTTCAATTTTTATTAGTTTTAGTTTATTTTCATTTTATTTCAATTATTTTATTGAAAATTAAATTCACTTTATTAATTTTATTTCAAGTAGATATTATTAGTTTTAGTTTCTTTTCATATTATTTTAATTTTGACTTCAATTCTTGTCAGTTTTAGTTTCTTTCAATATTGTTTTATTTTTTATTTCAAATTCATTAGTTTTAGTTTCTTTTCATATTTTATAAAATTTTTATTTCAATTCTTATTACTTCCACTATATGATCCACAAGTTTTGAACGTTTAAATGAATAAAATATTTTTCACTAAAAATATTTTCTGAATTATTCAAATAAATATTTTCATAAGTATCTAAATAAATATTTTCATGAGAATTTAAATAAATACTTTCATAAACATTTCAATATTTCAGTAAATAAATAAATTACTAATTGTAATAAAAATAAAAAACAGAAATTAAAAATTCCGAAATTCATAAATAATTTTTTTGATATGCGAGGAAAAATTATTTTTCTAATAAATAATTTGAAAAAACATTTCGTTCAATTGAACGTTTGGTACTTTGGGAACATTTCACGGTCAATTAATATAGTAATTAATTATTATCAAAACCACTAATTCAATTAATTCGAATTATATTATTAAAAACAATTCTTCTATAAATTATTGTTCGATAATTTCCTTTTATTTTCTTTTAATTTTTTTTATTTCCTTTTTAAATTTCCACTTAGAATTTAAGTCATAACATTTTGTGATTATTGTTGTCAAATAAAATGAAATTTATTTTAAAAAATGTATTTTTTAATCTATTTTTTAGTCTTTTTTTAAATTTACATATTTTTTCAAAAATTAAATATTAAAAAAATATTCCCTGCAGATGTGACTCGTACGTTTTTCGTTGCACATACGGAGCGTGCATTGATCTTGACTTACGGTGCAACGGAGCCGTGAATTGTGCCGATGGCTCCGATGAAGATCCAACTCTGTGCATTAAGGGATCAACCGATAGACCTAAAGTGACCTCGAGGCCAACGACAAATCGTCCAAATAGTCAGAGACCAACTCCGAGACCAATTACCCAAAGAACAACTCAACGACCTACTCAGAGACCAGTCGCCGAAATTACGTGTCGAGTGCCTCAGCAACCGCCTAATGGTCACTATAAATTATACAAGAGTCACTGTTCAAGTGGAGAACATTGCAACGTGAGTCCTGGAGTTCGTACACTAGAAAAGGGAACTCAATTAATTTACAGTTGCGCTTCGGGATTTCGAATGGAAGGTTACAAAGACGTTCTCTGCGGTCCCGATGGAAAATGGCTGAATACTCCCAAATGCATTGGTGTGTATTTTTCTCCTTTAAATTATGCAAAATTGTAGAATTAAAATTGAAGCGGTTCGTCGAAAGTACCAGAGATAAAATATTAATATTAATAATTTTTCTTTTTACATTCAGAAATTCGTTGCCCGGGTCTATCGTCAGTGACAATGGAGGCCTATTGTGTGCACAACAATAAACATGTACCATGCGAAGAGTCAGTTCTTCCATTCACATCGGCGGAATTACGATGTCGAGCGAGCTATCATCAGGAGCAAAATCATTATAGTTTACCAATAAGAAAGGAGAAAGTGATTTGCAATGAAACAGGTCACTGGTCACCAGATCCAATTGAATGCGTCGCAGGTCCGTCTACGATTAATATTTACGTACAGGGAAACTTAGTAAACATCGAAAAGCTACAAGTAAATTATTCCAAAAATACCGAATTTGATCCCGATAAAATTTATTTTAAGGACGAACAACAAATCAGTACAAAACCACCAATTGATGTTCGAGCATTTTGTGAAAATGATAATTAATCAAAATAATAATAATAATAATAATAATTCACTATAGATTTAAAATGAATTTTTTAAAAAGAAAATCGACTGACAATTACGTTACAAATACAAAAATAAAATGAGGAATAGAAACCAAAAAAATTAATATAAACCAAAAAGCAAATATAAACCAAGAAAACAAATAAAAACCAAAAAACAAATATAAAACCAAGAAGACAAATATAAAACAAGAAAACAAATATAAATATAAAGAAACAAATATAAGACAAAAAAAACTATTTAAAAATAAAAATAAACTTATATTATTTATATTTAAATATAAATAGAGGAAAATAAAATTTAAGATCTTTTATGTTATTAAAAAAATGAAAGTAAATTAAATAAACAATTGGAAAAAAGAAAGTTAAGAAATTGTTAAAGGAAAAAAAATTAAATAAATAATTTTGAAATATGTTAGCATCGTAAACCGAAAAAAATGCCAAAAAATAAGTGAAGGTAAAATACATACTACTAAACACGCACAAAATAATATTGTAACCAATTTTAAAAAGTATAGTAAATTAATGTCCCTGAAATTTTGAACGTTCAAATTAACGACAATATTTTTATTACTTCTTTTCGTTTAAATTTTATTATAAAATTTTGTTTTCCATAATTTCTAAATAAATTCATTAAATTAATTATTTTCATTATTCATTTATTTATTTAATAGATAATTATTCATTTTTAACTAAATAAATGTTAAATTACATCTTTCATCTCAGTCTAAGTAATTTTTAAAAATATCGACACACAAAAAAATGTTTCATTCACTTCAACGTTCAAAATTTCAAAGACAAATGTAAATTATAAAAATTCCATTTATAAATACTTCGCACGTCATACCAAAAAAAAAAAATACTTTTCTTGTAAATAAAAATTGTTTATAAAAGTAAATAATAAATTATATTAATTAATTCACAAATATCTCCTCGGTTGTCAGTATTAAATTAATCTACTTTTTCTTCCATCAATCGTTGAAATAGAAGGAATTAATTAATATAATTTATATTTACATTTAATAAAGTTTATAATTTATTAAAAATAAAATAAATTTTCAATTTAAAATAGTAAAAGTAATATAAATTATTAATTTTGATGTTAAAAATACAGAATACAAAACAAAATAAGTTTTAATCTTTAAAGAAATAATTTGAAATTCATTGTTAAATAAAAAAATATCATCAAAGAAGGTACAATGTTTTGCTGTCAAATTATTAAATTCGTCAATAAAATTAATTTCTCCACGAAAGTAAAAAACTTAAATTGAAAATATAAATAAAATTCTCGTAATTGAAAATCGTTGAATAAAATAATGATCAAAGTAAAATTATATAAATATATAATAAAAATAAGAATAATAAAAAAAGTAACAATAACAAAAATAATAATAAAAATAATTCTAATAATAATAATAATAATAATAATAATAATAATAATAATAAAAATAATAATAACAAAAATAATAAAAGTAATTAATAATAACAAAAATAATAATAATAATGAAAAATAATTTCTTTACACATAAATACAAATAATTTATAATTTTTAGATTGTGGTAAGGCTGCATTAAATGTGGTGCAACTAATTGTGAATGGAACATTGGCGAAACCCTCGGAATTTCCATGGCATGCAACAATGTACAGACAGGATCATGGAAATGATGAAAAACAATTTATATGTGGCGCTTCAATTATTCAAGAAGACTTACTGATAACGGCAGCTCATTGTGTCTACGACGAATCATCTCGTCGACTGTACGACGCTTCACGATTTTATGTGGCAACGGGAAATATTTTTCGTGATTACGACGCTCCCTCCCCTTATGTTCAAAGAAGAAAGGTATATACATATTTATTTATCATCTCTTTAGTCACACAGTTCTTCCCCTCTTCATTAACTCTTTTTTTTCCCCAAGTACATACTTCGTGTTTACGCAGATAAAAAAAATAATCATCAGCTTTTTCGATGAAAAATATTTAACACAAGGAAAAAGTTGAAAACAAAAATTATTATAATTAATATAATTACAGGATAATAATTTAAGAATTTGTAATTAAGTTATTAAGCAAGTATTCATTTTCAATGAATTCTTAAAATTTTAAACGTTTAAATGAACGACGATATTTTTATACTTTGAATTTGTATTTGTTTTACAAAAAAATTATTTTCTATATTGAAAATACTAATTCTTAACTAAATATTTAATTTTAATTATTCTTTCTTCTTTTTACAGTAATTTTTTTTTTGAAAGAATTTAATTTTTTTTTAATTGAAACAGGAAAAAATTCGTACATTAGAACGTTCAAAACTTGAAGAAAATCATTTGCAAGAAAATAATTTTCAATTAATACTTAAATTAATTAGGATTATAGTTATTAAAGTAATTATTTTATTATTCTTATTATAAAGTGTTAATGTGACGCTTTTTTTCAAGGTGAAAAGTATCTTCATTAGATGCACATACCGTGGATTACAAGGACTTTATGCGAATGATATTGCAATTTTAGAATTAAAAGAGTCATTTATATTCACTGGACTCTTGATGCCAATTTGTCTCGATTATCGTGCACGATTGGGAAACAAACCAGTATTAGAAACCGGAAATTTAGGACGAGTACCAGGCTTCGGAAGAACGGAAGAAGGATCGACGAGTTATATTTTAAGATCAATTGCAGTCCCTTATATTTCACAGCAGCAATGCGAGACTGCTGCTGCTGAAACTGACAGTGCAAGTTTCATTACTGCTGACAAATTCTGTGCAGGCTACACAAACGGTATTTTTCATTTTTCTATTGTATTATTAATTATTTATTTTATTTCCGTTTTTTCTAAATTATTATTCTAAAAAGCAGTTAAATTGACAAAACAAGTTAATTATCCTTTAACTTTTCAATCGAGAACCAAATTAAAATTCAGAGTTGATCAAAAAAAAAAATTGTTTTCCACTGAAAAATTACAAAAATATATAAAAAGATTTCAGATTTATTAATAATTATTATTTTTAGGTTCATCTGTTTGTGACGGTGACAGTGGAGGTGGATTGGTATTTAAGGACAAAGAATTATGGTTTCTCCGTGGAATTGTCAGTGTTGGAATTGGTGCAAAAGGTGATAATGGCGAAAGAACTTGTAACAGTTATACGTATTCTTTATACACCGAAATTGCGAGTGGAAATTTAGATTGGATACAGGATGTTGTACAAAATTTACGAAGCAACAAATTTTATCCACAATGTCATGTAGAAGAAATAAAATTTTTCGAATCTTAATAAAATTGTTTTCTTTTTCAATTGTTTAGAAAATAAAAAAATAATTGTAAAAGAATTTAAAGTGAAGTCAAAAAGAATTTTAAAGAGAATTTAAAAAAAATTTTAAAAGAATTCAAAGAGAATCTAAAAAGAATTCAAAGAGAATCTCAAAAGAATTTAGAGAGAATCAAAAAATAATTTAAAGAGAATAAAAAAAGAATCGAAAGAGAATATAAAAAGAATTTAGAGAGGATCAAAAAATAATTTAAAGAGAATCAAAAAAGAATTAAAAGAGAATATAAATAGAATTTAAAGAGAATTGAAAAAAAATTGAAAGTGAATTTAAAAAGAATTTTAAAAAGAATTTTAAAAGAATTCAAAGAGAATCTAAAAAGAATTCAAAGAGAATCTCAAAAGAATTTAGAGAGAATAAAAAAATAATTTAAAGAGAATAAAAAAGAATCGAAAGAGAACATAAAAAGAATTTAAAGGGAATCTAAAAAGAATTGAAAAAAATTTGAAAGAAAATTTAAAAAGAATTTAAAGAGAATCTAAAAAGAATGGAAAAAAATTGAAAGAGAATTTAAAAAGAATTTAAAGAGAAGTTGAAAAAAATTTTAAAGTAGTTTTTTTTATCAATTTTTGCAAAAACAAGAAATTATTTATTCTTTTCATATCTTATTTACTTTAATACACAATCACAGAATGTATATACACACTTTGACTATTTTCTGTTAAAAAAATTCTATAAATAATATGTTCGATTGGTATTAAGAATAAACAGTCCGTTTTTTCTGTAGTTAATAAATTTAGAAAAAAAAATAATTTAATTTACTTACAATACACCACTTTTTTTGTAATTATTCTGTACTTTATTTTCTACACAGTAGGTAATAATTGAGTTGGCTTTTTTGGGGCTGGCAAATCTGAAAATTGTTAAAAGTAAATTAATTTAATTTTTTCTAAATTAGGGTTGCCACAAAAATTTGATTTTTTCTCCTAATTTCCTGACATAATTTTTCTAATCCTAAAGAATATCTCTCAAAGCTAAAAAACTCAAAAAAATTCTAAAAGCTATTAGATACACAATTTTTTAGTTGTTTTTTTATTACAGTCAGTAATTGTTTAAAATATTTATATTGGCAAAAAGTTTCATTAATTTCAACATTCCGAACTTGTACATAAACTATTAAACATAAATTATTAATTCTTCAATTTATTTTAATTTCTATTTGAAATAGATTCAATTACATTTTCTCTAAAGTTCAATTATTGTCAAAAATTTTTAGGACTTTATTTTAGAACTCGTAGTGATCTCAAAATTTTTAATGCGAATAAAGAAAATCGATAAGAATATTTTAAATATTTTCGAAAATCGTTGAACTAGAAAAAACCGGAATTTTCTCATTAATGCGAGAATTACAAGTAAATATTTTTTTCCGTATTATCAAAAATTTAATTAGAAGGAAAAAAAATTAATTTCGTTTATTTGAATATTTGGAACATTTTGATAAAATTCCCTGACCTTTCCTTGATTTCTCTAAAAAATTTTACTTTTTTTTATCTTTTTCCTGAATTCCCTGATTTCCCAAAATTGTGGCCACCCTGTAAATTTATAATTTCTTTAAAGGAAATTTTGTTGAAAAAATTACCTAATAGATTCAGACTTGATAAATCAGGCAGGTCTTTCAAATCAGGAGCATTGATAGATGTATCTTTTGCTTCGAAACTCTTCTCTTTTTCCGTATCACCAAACGAGGAGTTTAGTAAATCTTCCAATTCTTTCTCAAGACTTGTGTCGGATTCATTATCACGAAGAGACGGTTCTGCCAAAACTGACTGAACATCTTTCATTTCTTCCAAAACCTAAAATAAAAACATTTTTTATAAATATAAAAACATTTTCTAAAATCTAAAAATATTGTTAAAGAAGAATCCGACAAATAATCGGAGGAAAAGTTTATCAATTTTATAATTTCTTCAAAAGAAATAGGCAAATTAAATTTTAAATTCTACCAAAGATTTTAATTTTCAACATTTTAAACAATTTAAAGTTATTTCAAAAATTTCAATTAAAATTCTTTTGAAATTTAATTATTTCTAAAAATTTCTACTATAAATCTTTCAATATTCAATTATTTTCTGGAATTTTTAAATAAAATTCTTTTCTAAATAAATTATTTTTTAATAATTTTGCAAAAATTCAATGAAAATTGAATTATTCAAAAAAGAATTCATGATTCAAAATAATATTTAAAATTCCATTATTTTCAATCTAATTTTATAAAATTGCGATTATTTGAAAACTTTTCAATTAATTTTATAAAATTTTATATTAGAAAATTGAAAAGATTCAATTTTAAACTTTTCGAAACTTTTCCAAACGTATCTACAACTCTTCCAAACATCGATTTTTTAATTAAAATTTTTCTCTAAATCAATAATTATTTTGAACAATTTTTAGAAAGAAAGTTATTTCGATTTCTTATTCACGAAAAAAAAATTGAATTCTTATTCAAAAGCAACTTTTAATTGTTTAAAATATTAGAAAAATAAATTCTGTATCCTTTCGCCTAAATAAATTTAAAATTTGTCTTTTTCTTCTAAAATACGAAATTATAACCGAAAATATAAAATTAAATTTCCCACGAATTGAACATACATCAGAAAGATTATCCATCGTATCGCGAACATTATCCTCAGTCAAACCAGTTTCCTCGAATTTCTTGAGAATATTACAACCGACTTTATAAACATCCAGTACTTCTGCATCCGAGTGTGCATCGTGAATTCGTGACAATAGCGTCTGTACATTTCTCAATGAAGCACCACGTTTTTCAATGCATTTCTCGATTTCATGTTTTTTTCTCAAACAATTCTTCGCGGCGTGTCTAAATTCCGTGGAGACGTAACTCTTCGCCTTCTCCACACACGCACGTTTCTCCAATTCCAAAACTTCAATATTCTTTATAAGCATACTCTCTTGTTTTTTCAATTTATAAACACCTTCCTCGACCTCAGATATATTTTTCACACCGTGCGCCGATATCTTCACCAGTAAATCAGCTTTTAAATCTAAGCAATTTCCCTTGAGTGCCGCTTTTCTTGTATTTCTCAGCCAAATTAGAGCGAATCGAATATTCTTCTCGGTGATGAGTTTGTTTTCTGTTTTTCTCATACAATTCTCAACAATTTCTGACAGTGGAATTAAATTATTTTCTTGATTATTGTCAGCGTGGTCAATTGTTGAGAGAATAATTTCGGCCAAATCTTTCACTGTTGGCAAATGAATATATTTTGTATGAACATTTATGACTTCTTCGGAAACGTAATTTTTTGCTTTCGAGAATGACCAAACGAGGGGTTTTTTAACGAACACATCGACTGCCCAACCTGTCCACGTACTCGAGGGTTCCTTCACGAAATCCTGCTCCAAAATAATTTCTCCAGTCCTAAAATAAAGATTAGCGAAATAATTAATTAATAAAAGTTTGTTTGGAATCGAAAATCGTAATTTAATTTGTAAAAATTAATTTAATATTCTAAAATACCTATAAAAATTGTTAGGTAGAAAAAACAAATAAAAACTGATACTTATTGTAGAGAAACAAATGCAAAAAACAGTTTTATTGTTTCATTTATTTTCTATGAAAAATTGGATTTTATTCATTTTAATTTCTTGTTCTATGTAGAATTAAAAAATTAATTTAAATTTTTGAAAATAATTAAATTTCTACGAAGAATTGCAAGAAAATTTATTAAAAATAATTGAATTCTTTCGAAAATTTTTATCAAAATTATATAGAAAATAATTGAATTTCTCTGAAAAATTTTACTATTTTTGAAAGTAATAACATTTTTGCGTGGAATTTTATTATAATTTCTTAAAAATAATTGAATATCAGCGAAGAATTTCATCAAGATTTATAATATATTTCATCAAGATTTATTTTAATATTAATAATTGCGCTGTGTCTATTTCGCCCGTAAACGGGCGAAATAAGAGTGATGAATTATTTCGCCCGTCACTAAAAATACGTAGGTGGGGGACAACGGGCGAAATAAGAGCAATGAATTATTTCGCCCGTTATATAGTTATTCCTATAATATCATTGAAAAATTTTAAATTTTTAAGGTGAATGACAGAAATGAAAAGAAGTGTGTTCAAGTCAGGTTAGTAACCTTCACACCAAATTCAAATAATTATGTGTAGCTCATTTTTAAAAAAAGTACAGTTTCTTTATTTAAGTTTTAAAATGAATTTCACACTTTCACACTTTCTTTAAAAAAAAATGTTTTTGTCAATCAAAATAAAAAAAAATAAAATTATTTCTAAATTTTTCTTTCAAAAATAGTATCATAAAACTTATTTTCCAAATCTGAGTTAATATACTTTTGAACTGATTTGAACAAAAATAATAAGAATTTTCTAAAAATTAATGTTTTTAGTCTACATAGATAGGTAGAAAAAATATTAAAATACATAATCTAGTTTATTTTATAAAATATTATGTAGAAAATTACTAATGAGCACCAAAAATATTGATAAATAAAGAAACTTTGTGAATTATTATAAAAATTCACAACTTTTTAAGTTTTTAATTCAATCTTCACAAAAATATACAAGTGACAAGCTAACCTTTTTCCCATTAAAATTAATTAAAAAACCAAAAACGGGCGAAGCAATGTGTCATTGCTACTTCGCCCGTTTTACATATTTTTACTTATTTTTCATGATGGGCGAAATAATTTACTATTCTTATTTCGCCCGTTTCCCCCTACTTACTAATTTTTCATGACGGGCGAAATAATTCATCTCTCTTATTTCGCCAGTTGTCCCCTACCTACGTATTTTCAATGACGGGCGAAATAATTCATCACTCTTATTTCGCCCGTTTGCGGGCGAAATAGACACAGCGTAATAATTGAGTTTTGTCGAAAAATTTTATTAATATCGTATTGAAAACAATTGTTTCGTTTTGAACAATTTTAGTAAAATTTTGAAATTCGAATTTGAAATTATTGAAAAATTGAAGTTGACATCTGAAAATAAAAAATTTTGTAATTTACAATAATAAAAAACCAAAAACTGAGTATCGTTCGCTGGCACTTGCAACATTTGCCAGTTAAAATAATTAAAATATAAAATTTATAAAGATAATAATATAAGCAGTTAAAAATATAATTACCTGAACATCTCCTGAATAACAGTAGGTAAACACACTGGAACACGTCCATTTCTTTTAAAAGCAATATTCAAATCAGAAACACTAAAACAACAACTTTTGGAAAAATCCAGTAGCTCCAAAATTACTTCATGCCAGAATTTGTATTTTGAACTCCAATCTTGAGGATTCACAGAACGATTTCTAAAGTCAGCAAACAGGGAATTCATCCTGTCGTCTTGTTTCCAACATTCTGGCAATTTATCATCAGGTAAGGGAGGAAGATTATTAGGAGAATTGTTGTCCTTCGATGCCATTCTCGTCAGCAAAATAATAACTCACTCAACGAAATGTTTCGATAAAAAAATATCAAATTTCAAATAGAAAAATACGTCTTTATATATTTTCACTAAAAGTTAAACAATTCACTTTTAGTATTCAAATACAGGCATATTATCCACTTTGAATAATATATTTGCGTGTTATTTATAATGTTGACGTTTCTTTTTAGGTTAGGAAAACACACACAAACAGAACCAACAGAACTATATAACAAAAATATGTATTTTAAAACGAATCAAGTGTTGATATTGTAAAATTGACTGATAAAACTATAGAAAAGCATTCTGGGAGATTAAAAAAGGGAATTATCACTACTTTATCCTATTTTGTTGTTTTTTCTTGCAATCCTTGCAATGTTTTTAATTTTTCAACTACAACTCATTTCGCAAACTCACGGCTTTGTACGCTTGCGCAAAATCTAGATTTTGAGGCGGGAAATTTGAAAATAGAAAAACATTCAAAATCCGCGCGCGCCTTTTGTAAACCAATAAAAATCGTTTATCGACGCAAGCGCAATATTACAAGTTCACGTCAAAATTGTCTGCTATTCTTCCCAGGAAAAATGGCGACTCGTTTATTGAGGTTTGGCACCGTTTTGCGGTCTTATTCGGATAAAAATGGTCTCATCCAGGTAAGAATTATACCAATTCGCAATTACTTGATTCCTACAGATTAAAATACATTTTTATTTGATTTTTATTGCGAACTTTTTTTTGACAGTTCGTTTTCTTTCGATCAAAGCCTCCCTTACGTAACGTGATTAATTTTTATTCGTATTTCTTTATTTAAACACAAAATTTTGTGTAGTGTTTACTTCTTATGGTGAAATTGCACCCTCATGGAAAATTGTAGTTGTCGTACTTATTTCTTTCTTGTTCGGTTACATTTTCTAACCTCTATTATTGACTCCAAAATCAATCGTATTTTTTCCTAACCTTGTTTCTTCTAATAGGAAAAAATGGTCTTATATTTAATATTTGGAAAATTGAAATGTTAATTTCAGTTTTTTAAGTAGGGGGAAAATTTGGAAATACTTGAACGTCTCATGTCGAGAAAGTGTTAATTTTAAGTTTTCGTTTAAGTTTCCAAAGAGATGGAGATCGTCGCAAGCCTCACTGCAGCAAATTTTGATAAATCAACCACCGACTAAATTAACAACCCTTAATAATGGAATGAGAGTAGCTAGTGAAGATAGTGGAGCAGCGACTGCCACCGTTGGAATTTGGATTGATGCTGGAAGTCGTTACGAGAATGACGACAATAATGGAGTTGCCCACTTCCTGGAGCACATGTCCTTCAAAGTACGTTGCACCAAATTCCTTTTTCTTCGTCTTTACCTTTTCTTTTTTACACCTCTTTTCCTTTTTTTGAATCTATTTTTATTTTCTACACCTTTTTTTTATTTTTTACGCCTATTTTTCTTTTTTACACTCAGTTTTATTTTTTACACCAATTTTTATTTATTTATTTCAGTTTATTTTATATTTAATTTAATTTTTTATTTTACTTTCTTTCAGGGAACAGCGAAACGATCGCAAATCGATCTCGAATTGGAAATCGAAAATATGGGAGCTCACTTGAATGCCTACACGGGTAGAGAGCAAACCGTCTACTACGCCCGGTGTTTAAAGCAGGACGTTCCGAAAATGGTGGAAATTTTGAGTGATATTATTCAAAATTCAAAATTGGGTGAAACCGAAATTGAAAGAGAACGAGGAGTGATTCTCAGAGAAATGCAGGATGTGGAGACAAATTTACAGGAAGTTGTTTTCGATCATTTACATTCGACTGCATTTCAAGGCACTGCATTGGGAAGAACAATTCTAGGACCCACCAAGAATATTAAATCAATTTCGAGAAACGATCTCGTGTCGTACGTTAAAAATCATTATGGTCCACCGAGGTAAGTGCAAAATTGTTTTTTTAAGACAAAACAAAAAAAAACAAAAGAGAAAAAATATTTTAAAAAATACAAAAATTAAATAAAATACAAACAAAAATAGTAAAACAAAAAGGTTACAAAAAAAGAAAAGAAAACACAAGTGAAAAAAGAAAAACAAAAAAATAGAAATAAAAAAATAAATAAAATAAAAAATACAAGCAAAAAAAAGTAAAACGAAATTCAATTATTTTCAAAAGTCATAAAATTCTTCCAAGAAATTTAATTGTCTTTAAACATTTTTTTAAATTCTCGTCAAAATTTCAATTATTTTTATAATTCCTAATAAAATTCTTCCTTGAAATTCATTTATTTTCAAAAATTTTAATAAACTTCTTGGCAAAATTTCAATTATTTTCAAAAATTTTCCTCAATTCAAAGATTTTCAATATCTAAACAATTCACAATTATTTTCAAGTTTTGATAAAATATTTTATAAGAATTCAATTATTTCCACTTAGTTTAAATAAGTTTTTATAAAATGTCTCAAAAGAATCTAGTTATTTTCAAAAATTTTAATAAAATTCTACAGATTTTTTTAGGAAATCAAATTGAGACAAAAAAAAATTTGATATCCTTAGAAAATCTGTGTCTGAAAAGAATTCTATTAATTTAAAAAAATTTAAATAAAATTCCAAAAAAATTAAATTTTAAGTGCAATTATTAATAGACAGGATTATTTTAAAAGCTTGAAAGAAATTCTTTGTAAAATTCAATTATTTTGAATACAATTTTAATAAAATTCAATTATTTTTAAAAATTGTCATAAAATTCTTCGAAGAAATTCAATTTATTTTCATAAATTTTGATAAAATTTTTGACAAGAATTTAATTATCTTCATAAATAATAAAAAATTTAGCAGAGGAATTCAATTATTTTCAAAAATTTTAATAAAATAATAAAATTCTTCTCAATAATTAAATTATTTTTAAAAATTGTACTAAAATTTTTCTATCTATTTAAGAAAAATTTAATAAAATTCGTTACAAGAATTCGATTATTTTCATAATTAATCAAATTCGTCGCAGAATTTCAATTATTTTCAAAAATAATAAAACTCTTCGCAGGATTTGAATTAATTCAAATATTTTAATAAAATTCTCCTCAAGAATTAAATCATTTTTATAAATAATAAAATTTCTCATAGAAATTCAATTATTTAAAATAAAATTTAATAAAATTCATTACAAGAATTCAATTATTTTCATAATTGATAAAATTCGTTACAATAATTCAATTATTTTTATAAATAATAAAATTCTTCGCAGGATTTAAATTATTTTTAATATAATTTTATATCAATTCCTCGAAAAATGTAATTATTTTTAAAAACTTTATATTAAAATTCGTCGAAAGAATTCAATTTTTTTTAAATAATTGAATTTTTGTAGACTTTTCTAATAAAAATTGATTTAAAATTGAATTTTATAGTTACAATTTTAGATAATAATTAAATATTAAAAGCATTATAGCAGAAATTTTAGGAATAATTGAATTTTGAAAATATTTCAAATTAAATTCTTTGTAAATTTGAATTTTTCATACTTTTAACTAACAATTATGTAGAATAAATTTTTTTTTTTAATTTTAATTGAAAAAATCTCAAAGAACTTTTTCAAAAATTATTAAAAATAATTGAGTTAAAGAAGAATTTTAGTTAAAAATTCTAAAAAAATATCAATTGAATTGAAATGGTAAAAATAATTTTGAAGAATATATTCTTCTGTATTCTTATAATTATTTATTTTAATGTATTCTTATAATGTAAAATAATGATTTTATCACTCGGTCGTCCTAATTATTACAAAACTTGAAGATATCGATCACTCCAAGTCGAAGACTTGGAGTTATTGATTTCTTCATGTTTTGTAATAATATTCTTATAATTTGTTGAATTTCGAAAAAAATTGAATTTAAAATTTTTGAAAATCATTTTTAGAGTAAATCAAAAGATTTTTTAGGGTCTTTGGGAAAAAAATTTTGTCTGCGAATCAGAAAAAAATTTAGGGAAAAACAAAATTAAATTTTTGTGTCAACCCTGAATAAAAAAATATTTTTTAAAAAATATAAATAAAGAAAATAAAACAAAAAAAAACTAAACAAATTTCTCTAAATACAAAAATTCAATTTTTTCTCTAATTGCAAAAAAAAATTGTTGTTTCTAGATTCGTGCTCGCCGGTGCAGGTGGTGTCGAACATCAGCAATTGGTCGACTTGGCTGAGAAGCACTTTGGTAAAATGACTGGACCTCATTACGATGAGATTCCAACACTTTTGAATAATTGCCGTTTCACTGGATCGGAAATTCGTGTTCGTGACGATTCCGTTCCACTCGCTCACGTTGCCATTGCCGTACAAGGTGTGGGCTGGGCAAATCCCGACAACATTCCTCTAATGGTGTTTAATACACTTATTGGTACTTGGGATCGTAGCCAAGGAGGCGGTGGCAATAATGCCAGTAATTTAGCAAGAAAAGTCACCGAGAAAAATTTGTGCCACAGTTACCACAGTTTCAATACTTGTTACAAGGTATTTTATTCGAAAATTTAAATTTTTCTTATTCAAAAGAATTCTTCAAAAACTGAAATTTTTAATTAAATTTTGATTATTCGAAATAACGCTTTTCAAAAACTTGAATTTTTAATTAAATTTTCAATATTCGAAATAATATTTTTCAAAAACTGGAATTTTTAATTAAATTTTCAATATTCAAAATATATTTTAAAAACTAGAATTTTTAATTAAATTATCAATATTCGAAATAATATTTTTCAAAAACTGGAAAATTTTAATTAAAAATTTCTGATTAAAACTAAATTTTCCTTTCACTTTAGTTGATAAACAAGAAATAAAATTAATTATCTAAAATTTTTTTCAGGACACTGGACTATGGGGAATGTACTACGTGTGCGAAAACGAACAAACTGAGGACATGACATTTGCCGTTTTACACGAGTGGATGAGAATTTGCACATCCGTCACGGAGAAGGAAGTTACCCGTGCAAAGAACATTTTGAAAACAAATATGCTCCTTCAATTGGACGGAACTTCCAATATTTGTGAAGATATCGGCAGGCAAATGCTCTGTTACGAGAGAAGAATTCCTCTACACGAATTGGAAGCGAGAATAGAGGTAATTTTTTTAAAGAATATTTTCTATTTACTGCCCAACAAAAAATTGAAAACATGGGAAAAATAATTAATAAATTGAGAAAAACAATTAATAAACAGAAAAAAAATTAACTATAATACGAGAATATTTTCTATTTACTGCAAAAAAATTCAGAATATATACTAAAAATGCTTAAAAAATTGAAATAGTAATTAATAAAAGAATATTTCCTGGTATTAAATGCATAAAAAATAAAAAAAAGTACTAGAAATAATTACAGGGCTCGGATATTATGACTTTTTTCGACTATTTTCAAATAATGCGACTTTTATCGACTTATATTAAAAAATTGCGACTTTTTCGACTTTTCTTCCAAATTTTGAGACAAAATACCATATTTTTAGTATAAAATGCAACTTATTTCGATTTTTATACTGCAAAAAGCATAACTATAGACAAATCTTTGAAAATTTATTTTGGAATAATTTTTGAAATATACAATTAAAAAGATTTTGAATAATTGAAATTTTGTAAAATTTAATTGAAAACAAATCATTTTTTTCAAGTATTTTATTACAATTTTTAAAAATTAACTTTTAAAGAATTTTAATTGAAAATTTTGGAAATAATTGAATTCTCAAAAATTTTAATAAATAATCTTCAAGTGTAAATTCAATGAAAATGAAAATTAATGAAAATTAGGTTATAAAAATAATATTAAAATAGTTTTGAAAAAAGTAATTCTCTAAATTATTTCGTTCTAATTTTTTTAAATTCAATTACATACTTTCAATATTTCTGAAAATTCAAATACATTTATACAAAATAATAAAATTAAAATTTTTTAGAATTATTTTTAACATTTTCAAGAAAATATTAATTATATTCAAAATTTTTAACTAAAATTCTTCAAAAAAATTTTTTTTTTAAATTATACAAAAATTCTTCAATTATTTTCGAAAAATTACAATGCAATATTTATAAAAAAAACTAATTCTTAGAATTCTTTCATCATTTTTTAAGATTTAATTACCTTCGAATAGAGTAAATTAAAATTTTTAAAAATTTATTTTAGAATTTTTGAGAAATCATTTATAATTAAAATTTTTCAAAAATTTGATTATTTTTTAAAAATTTAATTTTTTAAAAAGATTTTATCAAATTTCAATTAGTTTTCAAAGATTTTACTAAATTTCAATTATTCTTTAAAAGATTTTACCAAATTTCAATTTTTTGATATTTTTTAATTTGTGTGTAATTGTAAAACTATTGTTTCAAAAATTATTTAGAAATATTTTTAAAAAGTTAATTTTACGATTTTCTTTATTAAAATTTTTGAAAATATTCTACCTTAATTATCTTTGAATAGAAAAGTAGACGGTTTCAATTATTATAAAAAATTGAATTTTTGTAATTAAATAATTGAATTCTCAAAGAACTTTCGGAAAATTATTAAAAATTAATATAGATTCTTGATTTAGAGATGAAGTTTAGTTAAAAATTGTAGAAAATAATTGTATTTTTTGAAGGGCTATAGTTTTAATTTTTGGAAATTATTAAATTTCAAAAATTGAAATTTTTAAAATTTTTTTCCTGTGAAAAAAGAAAAAAGAAGTATTTAAATATTTATTTATCAAAATTATACAAGTTTTAATGTAAATTTAGAAAAAGAAGATTTAGAAATCAGTGAAGAATCAGGGAAATACAAAATAAAATTTCTGTGATAACACTAAACTAAATAAACGACTTTTTCGACTTTTTTTCTATTTTAAATCTACTAAAGCGACTTTTTTTGTTTGTTAAAGTCGATCCGAGGCCTGTAATTAGTAAATGAAAAGAAATAAATTAAAAAGAATAGTAAATTGAAAAATTGATAAATCAAAAAAATAATTTCTGTCTCTTCCAATATTTGTATTAAATATTTTCTTTTTAATAAATTTCAGAGTGTCACATCCAAAACGATTCAAGACGTTGGAATGAATTATATCTACAATCATTGTCCAGCGGTAGCGGCAATTGGACCAGTCGAAGCTGTTCCTGATTATAATCTAATTAGTGGAGCAATGTACTGGTTAAGACTTTAAATAAATTCAAAGCAACAGTCACTAAATGTATTATAAGTTTAGAAAAGAAAACTCAATACTGTTCAATAGTAAACTTTTCAATAAATCATGAGTGTATTGATTCTTTTTTTTTCTCACTTAAACATCATGATTTTATAAATTTTACTATTGTTCATTTAAAATAGCAAAGTTATAAACATATATAAAGCATTCGTTTAAAAAAAAATCCATAAAATTGTCTATTCTTTTTTTTTGTATATCGATGTGAGTTGTAAAAAAAACCGAAAGTTTCATTGTTTTTCACTATTGTATTTTGGCTTTTTAATTTAATAAACTTGACTCATCCGTAAAGAATACTAAATTGTTTATTCAAAAATCTTTTGTCATCTTTATTAAATCAAAACGCTTCTCTTAATTTCCTTTTGTTGAAATCTTTATTGTATTAGATTGTTGCGTAACTGTTTTTGTATTTAAAATTAATAATACACGAGAATTTAATTTACTTTAATTGTCTCATTATTTCTAAAAGAGAGAAAACCTGTAGACAAAATTATGAATCAATTAATGAGTTTATTAAAAATTATGCAACAAACTAATATTTTTCCCTACAATTTTTTTAATGTTCAAAAATAATTACCGTCCTTTTCTACTCGAAACTTTAGGAAAAAATAGAAAAACATTTCAAAAATAATTGCCGGAAAAAAGGAAAAAAACCACTTTTTAAAATTTGTTTAAAATAAATCAGATTTAATGTTGACTAGAACATTTACTGTTACAAAAAAAATCGTACTTACTAAATTTAACAAAAAAAATTATTCATAACACCAATATTATGCGCGAATTTATAAACAATTCATTTTTGTAGAAAAATCAGATTTGATTCTTTTTTCGAGACTTACAAAAGTACCTAAAATGTCTATTACATCAACTTTATCGTCTAAATATTACTTGGTATAAATATTTATTCCAAATTCAATTAATTAATTAATTTACCAATTATTCGTGATTCGAAGTGTAATTCAATTAATTAATTCAATTAAAATCAATTAAGTACTTGATAAAAGTTATATAAAAACAACTATTTAGTCGGATCAATATATATTGTATCTAATGCCTAATGGAGTAAAATATCTGAGAAAAAAAAAATTCAAAGAAATTTTTATATACATATAAATTCTAAACTTTCCATTTATAAATTAAGATGCTTTGTAAAATGTAATGAAATTCTTTCCTCTCAATATATTGTCGTAATTGGATTGTACGAATGACATTCGAATAATAATATTTTCCCATTATTATACGAATCTAGTAGAAAATCAATTACTACTATTATTAATATTATTATTATAAATTTGATAGCAATGATTATAAGCAATTAATATTTCAAGTGAACTATCTTGAATGTGTCGTTGTTGCATCTGTAGTGTCTTTACACACTTTCGATGTCATTTCTGCCAACGGTTCTAATTCTTTGTGATTTATCAATTCAAATTCTGTGACAAAGTAGTAAAAGTGCTTGTAGCATGTGTTTACATGAGCCTCCTGAAAAAAAGAAATAAATACAATTGTTACATTTTATTCAAAGCAATCAAATTGTTCAGGGATCACAGTTCCTTTTTTTCTTATAAATTGGTGAAACTGCTTTCTAAAATATAAAATTAGTGAATTATTTCCTAAAAATAGGTGACAAGATTAAAAAATTTATTTTTCATAATTGAAAAAGTTTAACATTTATTTATAGAATTGACAATTTTTTATTTTCAAAGTAATTTCAATAGAATTTCACGAAAGAATTCAATTATTTTCTTCAATAAAATTTTTCAAAAGAATTCAATCATTTTCAAAAATTTTAATTTAATTTCTTCGATGAAATTCTTTAAAACAATTCAATTATTTTCAATATAATTTTAATAAAATTTCTCAAAAGAATTCAATTATTTAAAACTATTTTAATAAAATTCTTCAGCGAAATTCAATTATTTTCTTAAATAATAAAATTTCTCAAATGAATTAAATTATTTTCATAAATAATAAAATTCTTTAGTTGAATTCAATTATTTCCATAAATAATAAAATCCTTCAGTTGAATTCAATTATTTTCATAAATAATAAAATTATTCAGAGAAATACAACTATTTTCAAAAATTTTCATAAAAGTCTTTATAAGATTTAAATTATTTTCAATACAATTTTAATAAAATTTCTCGAGAGAATTCAATTATTTGAATAATTTTCCATAAAATTCTTCCCAGAGATTCTTCGCGAGAATTTAATAATTTTTCAGTTTTTATAAAATTCTTCGATGGAATTCTTCAAAACAATTCAATATTTTCAATACAATTTTAATAAAACTTCTCCAAAGAATTAAATTATTTAAAAAAAATTTAATAAAATTCTTCACCGAAATTAAATTATTTTCATTGATAATAAAACTAATCGGAGAGATACAATTATTTTCAAAATTCTTTGTAAAATTTAAATTATTTTCAATAAAATTTCAATAAAATCTCCTGAAGAATTCAATCATTTTCAAAAATTTTAATAAAATTCTTCGATGAAATTCTTTAAAAGAATTTAAATATTTTCATAAATTTTCCAGAAAAATTAAATTATTTTTATAAATAATAAAGTTCTTCGAGAGAATTAAATTATATTCAATACAATTTTAATAAAATTTCTCAAAAGAATTCAATTATTTTCAAAAGTTGTAATAAAATTATTCAAAGAAATTCAATTATTTTCATAAATAATCAAATTATTCAAAGAAATTCAATTATTTTCATAAATAATCAAATTATTCAAAGAAATTCAATTATTTTCAAAAATTTTCATAAAATTCTTTATAAGATTTAAATTATTTTCAATACAATTTCAATTAAATTTCTCGAAAAACTTCAATTATTTTAGTAATTTTCCATAAAATTCTTCGCAAGAATTCCATCATTTTTAATAAAACTTCACGAAAAAATTGAATTATTTTCAAAAATTGTAATAAAATTCTTCGAATGCATTTAACTATTTTCAAAAATTTTAATGATGTTAATAAAAAAATTTTGAATTCGACTTTGAATAAAAAAGGAATAATTTTCGTTAATCGGTATTTTCAGAACTTTAGGGACAAACTTGATCTGCATTTCAAAGAATCTAAATTTCAATTAGTCGAAATTTTATTTATTTCTTATAGGTGATTAATAATAATTATCCACCAATTTATTTATTTCTATTTTTTTCATAAAAATTATTAGTCTTATAAATAAATTAAAAATTTTGTAACCTTCAACAATTCTTTTTCAACAGAATTTTAATGAAATTCCCGGAAAAGAATTTAGTAATTTTCAAAAGTTTAAATAAATACAATTTGAAATTAATTAAAGATAAAATGAATAGGAAATCCAAAGATTAAAAACTTTGACGAATAAAATCCAGAGTCAACTAAGATTTTTGATCTACAAAATTGAAAATAAATAACATATTTTTTATTAAAAATACTTTAAAAAATTAAGTACTGTCTTGCAATAAAAATCAATCATTTAAATTCTACATTAAAAAACTTTAAAAATTAATTTTCTTTTATTTATATGGACGCAAATTATTGTAATAAAAATTAAATTTAAAGAAGAAATAAAGAAATTTCATCCAGAACCTTTGGATTATAGATTTTAATCGATGAAAATTTTAAGAAATTAAAATTAAAATTTATTGAAATCGAAATTACTTAAATTTTTTACAAAACTAATCTTTTGATTGATATTTGTAAAATTTACAAAAAAGGAAATAGGTGACAAAATTGAAAAAAGGTAAAAAGGTAACAGTCTGTGATCCCTGTGATACTAAAAGTAAAAATAAGAAATAAATTACCGCTCCAATTGCGACTATTCGGTCGAAATGATGAATATAAACGTGAACGAACACTCGAAATAAGCGAGTCAAGATTTTTCGACAAAGTGGAATAAAAGTTTTCGGAAATGGTACATCTGAAAAAAAGAAGAATAAAAGTAAAGTAAAAATAAGCAAAGTAAGTAATTAAAGTAAATTAGAATTTTAAATCTAAAATTACAAAAATTATTATTAAAAAACAAAAGAGAAGAGAATAATGTTACCAGTCGATACTGGGAAGACATTCTCGTTATTAATTTGATTCTCAGTCCAGTCCATTAAAAGATTAACATATTGAGGAGCTGGTAAGGCTGTTGGTTTTTTATATTTCTCTCCATCGGCCCACAAATATTCAAATCTTGCTCCACCACTCATAGTCGGACATGTCGCAGAATCACAATATTCCGAAACTGTTCCGTATATTAGATTTATTCTGTTGAAAAAGTCAACCACTGTGGAGAATATTATAATATAATAAAAGATTTATAATAGATACAATAACAGAATATAATAAAATAAATTATAATAAATAAAATAATAATAAAGAAAATAAGTTTTTTTTTATTAAACATTACATTTTGTAATAAAAAGGCGAAAATAAATTTAAACTTCGATCGGAATTAAAAATTGAAAATAATGACCCTCAAGTTTTGAACGTTCAAATAAACGAAATATTTGTTATTAAAAATATTTTCATAAATTACTGCTTGCAACAAAAATTAAAAACTTAAATTTTATATTTAGAAACTTTAAAATTTTAAATTTTTTTCCACTAATAACACAAAATTATTAATTAATAAAACTTTAATTTGAATGAGAAAAAAATAAATTTCGTTCATTTGAACGTTTTGATCTTGAGGATTATAGAAAATAACCAAAAATCAGAATTTAAAAAAGCAGATAATAAAAATGACAATTAAAATTTAATATTTTCGAAAATAAACGCCTTTTTTTATATTTACCATGAACAGCAATCCAATCACTCAAATCCTCTCCAGGTGGCAATTTAACAACAGTGCGTAAATTTATACCTGAGTTGAGAGAAGCTTGTGCTTGTTTATGTAGAGAATATCTTAGTGTCCCATGGGCAAATCTCTTTTTCGGTCTGAATGTCTGGAGAAAGAATTTCAATTGAAAACATACAATAAAATGAATAAAATATAAACAAAACTTGAAAATATAAAACCATAAATTATTTTTCTTTCCAATATAGGTTATGTTATCATGCTCTGAAAATAATTTTGTTCTCTTCACACTTACCTTTCCTTTTTGAAAGAAGTCAACGAAACCACTTAGTGCGGCCATATTATTAATTTGTAAAAATAACACTTGATGCTTATGGTTTAATAAAAACAAAATTTATGCCATTTGTTTTTTCAACAAAACATTTGTCAACATCCAAAAAAGATCCATTCAAGGTTTCAGTGCACAGGTTATAAAAGGAAATGATTCTTCCGAAGGTCCACGTCGATATAAAATTTTTAATTTCTCGTATCTGAGAATTCGATATTCGCTTTATCAATCAAGTGATAATAAAGTGGAGGATGGTATTCAAAATGTACTTATTCAGAAAAACATTTAAAATTATTAGAAATTAGGCAAGTGAGACAGTGAGTTTGTTGAGAAGCGCGAGAAGTGTGTGTATCAGAATATCAGTGTGTATGCAACCCGTTAAACACACAAGCCATCTATAGGTTTATCAGTGGTGTTAGTCGGATTGCAGATGTACAGGATGAGTTTCAAACCATTTTTTAAACCATTTTTTATCGTATTTTTTACTACCAACATTTTTATTAGAAATTATTTTCAAAGATATTTTATTAATTAGTGTTTTATTAAAAATAAAACTACGAAAAGGCTTGTTCCGTCTATGAATAAATAAATAAAATAGGTAAATAAAAATATGAATTATTATAATTAGTTTTTTTTATTAAAAAATATGAATTATTAATTAACTTTTTATTAAAAATATGAATTATTAATTATCTTTTTATTAAAAATATTAATTATTAATTAGTTTTTGATTAAAAATATTAATTATCAATTAGTTTTTTTTATTAAAATTGCATTGAAAATAATTGAATTCCAGTGAAGGATTTTAGTATATTATTTATGAAAATAATTGAATTTCAGCAAAGAATTTTGTGCAAGTTTTTGAAAATACTTCAATTTTTTCAAAGGAATTCAATTAAAATTATTCTACTGATAATAATTGAATTCTTGCGAAAAATTTAATTAAAAATTTAGAAAATAATTGAATTCCTTCAAAGAATTTTATCAAAATATTTTATATTAAAAATAATTGAAATTATCTGAAGAATTTTGTTATTTATGAAAATAATTGAATTTCTGTGAAGAATTTTGTGTAAGTTTTTAAAAATAGTTCAATTTTTTTCGAGCAAATCAATTATAATTGCATTTAAATAATTTAATTCCTGTGAAAAATTGTATTATTTATAGAAATAATTCAATTTTTGAGAAGAATGTTATTGTTTATGAAAATAATTGAATTCTTTCGAAGAACTTTATCAAAATTTTTGAAAATAATTGAATTCTTTAGAAGAATTTTTATAAAAATTAAAAAAAAATAATTGAATCTTGAAAAAAATTTTTATTAAAATTGTATTGGAAGTAATTGAATTCCTCCAAAGAATTGTATTAGTTATAAAAATAATTAAATTCTCGCGAAGAATTTTTTATTATTTATGAAAATAATTGAATTGTTTTGAACAATTTCTTTGAATTTTTTTAAATAATCGTTTCTGTTAATAATTGCAATTAAAAATTTGATTTATGAATTTCATTGAAATTTAATTAACAATACCTAATAATTGAATTTTTTTCAGAATTTTACTAAAATTTTTGAAAATAATTGAATTTATGCAGATTGTTTTATTATTTATGAAGCTAATTCAATTCTTGGCAAGAATTTTATTAAAATTTTTGAAAATAATTTATTTCTTACAATAAAGAATTTTTGCAAAATTTTGTTATTTTATTGAAAGGTTTTGGGAATAATAATTACATTTTATCCAGAAGTTTACCTAAAAATTTTTGAAAATAACTCAATTTTTTCGAGAAAATTTTTTTTTGTATTGCAAATAATTGAATTTGTGTGAAGAATTTTATTAAAATTATATTGGAAATGATTAAATTCCTCTGCTGCTATCAAAACTTTTAAGAATAATTGAATTGTTTCCAGAAATTTTTTTACAATTTTTGAAAATAATTGAATTCCTCTTCTGAATTTCCGAAAAGTTTATGTAAATAAATGAATTTCTATGAAGAATTTTTTATTATTTATGAAGATAATTTAATTCTTGTCAAAAATTGTATTAAAATTTTTGAAAATAAATTATGTCGAAAAATTCTATTGAAATTGTATTAAAAATAATTGAATTTCACGAAAAATTTCTTTCCAAGCTTTTTACAATAATCCTGTCAGTCAATAATTGTAACTATAATTTGATTTTTGAATTTTATTTAAATTTTTTTGCAATTAATTGAATTCTTTTCAGACACAGATTTTCTAAGGATATCAAATTATTGTTTTTTGTCTGAATTTAATATCCTAAGAAAATCTGTGAAATTTTATTAAAATTTTTGAAAATAACTAGATTCTTTTGAGAAATTTTATAAAAACTTATTGGTAATGAATGGAAATAATTGAATTCTTATAAAATATTTTATCAAAACTTTTGAAAATAATTGAAATTTTTAGATTATTGAGACTCTTTAAATTGAGGAAAATTTTTGAAAATAATTGAAATTTTGTCAAGAATTTAATTATAACTAAAAAAAAAAAATTTTTTTTAAATAATTGAATTTTGCAGAAGAATCTTATTATATTTATAAAAAAAAAAATTGAAATTTTGACAAGAATTTAAAAAAATTTTTGAACATAATTGAACATTTTAATAAAATCTTGTTTTGAAAATAATTGAATTCTTGCGAAGAAAGTTATTAAAATTTTTGAAAGTAACTAAATTCTTTTGAGAAATTTTATTCAAATTGTTTTGAAATTAACTGAACTTCTGCGAAGAATTTTATTATTTATGAAAATAATTGAATTCTTGCAGAAAGTGTATTAAAATTTTCAAAAATATAATTTAATTCTGATAAAGAACTTTATCAATATTTTGGAAAATAATTGAATTTTTTTGAAAAATTGTATTAAACTTTTAAAAAATTCTAATTGCAATTGTAATTGTAATTAAACTTTTATTTTCGAATTTCATTTAAATTTTTTGCAATTAATTGAATTCTTTTTAGACACAGATTTTCTAAGGATATTAAATTGTTTTTCGTCTCAATTTGACAAATTAAAAAAATCTGTGCCATTTTACAAAAATTTTTGAAAATAATTGAATTCTTCATATATATTGAAAATCTTATTTGAATTAAAGAAATTTTTTGAAAATAATTGAAATTTTGCCGTAAGAGTTTTATTAAAATTTATGAAAATAAATTAATTTCTGCGAAACTTTTATTATTTCAGAAAATATTTGAATTTTTGCGAAGAATTTTATTAAATTTTTTGAAAATAATTGAATGCCTCCGAAGAATATCTGGAAAGTTTTTGGAAATAATTTAATAATAAATTAGTCAATTAGTTAATAAATGAATTTTTTTTATTTCGAATCTGAAATTATTCAATAATTAAAATTGATATTTGAAAATAAATTATCATAGAAATATCACTATGGGAAAAAATTAATTTGATTCAAATAACCGATTAATTGACTATTATCAATTATAAATATTTGCTTGAATCAAATAATATTTATTGAAGTCAATTAAATTGTATTTGAACAAATAATTTCAGTATTTGAAGCAAATATGAACTAAATCATTTAATTCAATAAAATTTATTTAATTCATTTAAACTCCAATAAATATTATTTGATTCAAGTAAATATTTAATTGATAATAGTCAAGTAATTAGTTATTTGAGTCAAATAAATTTTTTTTTCAGTCAATAAAACGAATACTGCATATCCGAACGATATAAATAAAATAAAAATTCTTAAATTAAATTTGATCCAAAATTCAAAAAAGAAAAAAAAATCATTAAATTTTGAGATTTAATTATTATGTATAACAAAAGGTTTCTGATTTAAAACAAAAGCCACTACCCAGCAGTGACGTTGAAAACGACCCATCTCTGTCCTGGGATGTTTGGTACTGTAGTTTTCTACTCCCGGTATCCCGGTAGCGGTATTCAGTAGTAAACATCGGTTCGAGTAAGACGGTCTAATCGCCTAGCTCTCAGTGTGCTATGTGACAGCGCATTACTCTGCATTACTCCAAAAAACAGAAGCACACACTACTTGTGTGTCTGTGCTTTTACAACAATTCCCAAAAAAAATCAGTGTCTATTCTCTTAAAAAAAAAAAAAAAAAAAAAAAAATCCACAGGTACATTATGTTTTTTTTCTCTCTCTCTCTCCGCGTGTATATTATCAAGTGTGCACCTGCTGCATATAGAGAAAACGTGAAAAGGGCGAGTGTATAGTATTCTCGTATACGGAACGTTGTGTCGTTGTTTGTTGACCCCAGGGGCCGGTGTTTGGGGCGAGGTGGAGTTTTATTTTAATTCTCATCCTTTTCTCTGTCAAAAAAAAAAGTGTATTCTTTCTAATTAATTAAACAACAAGAAAAAATAACTCTTTTTCCCTCTGTTTTCCCTCGGAGAATCTGTTTCTTTTTTTGGATCAACTTATTGAGAGGAGAGGATTAAAGCTTCATCTTGCTTGGTAAGTTGATGTGATCAAACACAAGAAAACCTGATGCCCAAGATTCCGGTTTCGATGCTTTCTTTAGGGATAGGCCCTTATATACTATATATACAATTGATAATCGATCTTATTTCCCATCAATAAATTTAATTGCAAAATTCATTCATTAAATTTCATTCATTTCGCGCCTATTTTCAATAATAAGAATATAAATGAAGTAGTGAATTTTCTTTTTTTATTATTATTATTGTTTTATCCGAGGAATGAATGATTCTTTTCTAAGGTATATAAAAATGCGTTTGTGTGTGTGTGTTTGCTCCGATTGCGAAGGGGCTTTCTTATAAGCATTGTCTTTTTATTATTCTCTTTTCCTTGTACCTTTTTTCTTCTATTCTTTTTTTCTCCTCTTTTTTTAGTCTTTCGATTTTTTGCTCACTGGAGAAAAAGAACTGTAAATTTGTAGCGTATTGTAATTTTCTATACTCTCTTTATAAAATCGGAATTAATAAAAAGTGAGCTACTCTAAATAATATTCGCATTATTTGGTTAGCGAGAATATTCGCTTAAAAAAATTCCTTCAGGAAAATTCTGACAGAAAAAATTCGTTCGAATGAATAAAATTTCTTTCCCGATTAAATAATTTCAAAAAAATTTTCAAAAGAATAATCTAGTTATTTTCAAAAATTTTTGTAAAATGGCACAGATTTTTTTAGTTTGTCAAATGGAGACGAAAAACAATTTAATATCCTTAGAAAATCTGTGTCTAAAAAGAATTCAAATTAATTGCAAAAAATTTAAATAAAATTCGAAAATCAAATTTTAATTACAATTTACAATTGCGATTAGAATTTTTTAAAAGTTTAATAAAATTCTTCAAAAAAAATTCAATTATTTTCAAAAATGTTGATAAAGTTCTTTAC